AGTAGTGAGTTAGATGGGCAAATGCTTTGAGTCAGCTGGGGAAACACAGCCAGATGGGCAGAGTATAAATACTATCATCATCATCATCATCATCATCACCATCATTATCATCATGACAATCCAGTTTCATAAGAGTTCTGTCTGTAGCCTGAACTAAAGGTAAAGGTAAAGGGACCCCTGACCATTAGGTCCAGTCATGGCCGACTCTGGGGTTGCGGTGCTCATCTCGCTTTATTGGCCGAGGGAGCCGGCGTACAGCTTCTGGTTCATGTGGCCAGCATGACTAAGCCGCTTCTGGCGAAGCAGAGCAGCGCATGGAAACGCCGTTTACCTTCCCGCCGGAGCGGTACCTATTTATCTACTTGCACTGGCATGCTTTCAAACTGCTAGGTTGGCAGGAGCAGAGACTGAGCAACGGGAGCTCACCCCATCACGGGGATTCGAACCGCCGACCTTCTGATCAGCAAGTCCTAGGCTCTGTGGTTTAACCCGCAGCGCTACCTGCATCCCCCTGGACCTGTACCTGGAAGAAGGTACAGGGTTATAAAGACTAGATCTAGCCGCCTGAGAAACAGTTTCTATCCAAATGTGATTTTGGTTTTAAACGCAGTGTAAGGTAATCTCTATGGGAGTATATTGTATTTAATTATGGGGTATCAGAGTTATAGGGGGTTGACCAGGCTGGGATAGCAGGCTTGTTGGTTTTTGAATGTCTGATGTAGATTTTTTTCAATTTCGTTGTTCTGTATGGGACAATGACAATAAAGATTATCGTATCATAGCCACATGCCGTTAGGTAACCTCTCAAAATGAAGGGGCCGCTTCCATGAGATCTCGCCACATGCCCACCAGCAAGTAACCTTTTTAAACATCACTGTCAGTAGATTGGAGGGGCTTCAGCAGCCTGGACTGCCAACGCCACTTGAGCTACCGGAGATCTAACACCACAGTTCAGAACACTGGCCCAGCTCCCAGGATGTGCTAAGATCATTTGCTTTCCCCAAATCTGTTGGCTCTTCAGAGTTTGCAAGCACAACGGAACGTGCCAGCGAAGCAAGAAAGAACACATCTAATGCATCAATATTTCAACTAGCCTGAGAAGGAATTCCCAGGAAAAACCACCGTGTTGTAACAACGGAGAAGCAGCCACCCAGCACTGTTTCGAAAACAACTGGCAGATGGCTTGTTTGGACAATTCAACCCCACCCCGCAAGAATGTCAGCTTGAGCTATATAGTAATCTTGTTGGTTTCTCCCCCATTTGGGTATCCAGCCCAGCTAATCTTGATAACTGTTGAGATTTACCAAAGGCTTTTTGAACAGAGAGTTGTGCATGTATCATCTCTGCAAGGCACAAAACGACCCTGCAAGCCGAGCCAGTGCCATCCTCACTGGGAATCATCTCCTGCCGCAGCTGACCATTGATCTGCCTAACTCAAATGTTGCCATCACTGGCTGGCAGCAGCTTTCCAGGGAGTTTTTCCTAGCCTTACCTGGAGATGCTGGGGGTTGAGCCCGGGAATTTCAGCATGGGCTCTGCCACTCACCTGGGCTGGACAAACATTCCCCCCACTACGGCTGAGGCTGCATGTGTGTCTGTACTCTGCACAAGGAAGTTCACTGCATCTTGCAGCATTCCTCCATCAACAAGGCTCAAAGCATCACAGATATGGGGAGATGTTTTGTCTTGATACCTGGAATGTAGTTTAGGACTTCTTATCCAGGGAAGGGGAGAAAACAAGAATAGCTTCATGCATGCAACCCTCTGAGCCTGAGGGGGCTAAAACCTAGAAGTGTAGAACAAAATCTCTTATTTCTGTCATTTTGGACTCACAGATGTCCATGGAGGCACAGGTCAAATCTGTGTCCAGGGCAGCTGTTTACCAGCTCCATCTGGTACGCAGGCTGAGACCCTATCTGCCTGCGGACTGCCTCGCAAGAGTGGTGCATGCTCTGGTTATCTCCCGCTTGGACTACTGCAATGCGCTCTATGTGGGGCTACCTTTGAAGGTGACCCGGAAACTATAACTAATCCAGAACTTTGGCTCCCAGTACATTTCCGGGCACAATTCAAAGTGTTGGTGCTGACCTTGAAAGCCCTAAACGGCCTCGGTCCAGTATATCTGAAGGAGCGTCTCCACCCCCATTGTTCTACCCGGACACTGAGGTCCAGTGCTGAGGGCCTTCTGGCGGTTCCCTCACTGCGAGAAGCCAAGTTACAGGGAACCAGGCAGAGGGCCTTCTCAGTGGTGGCGCCCTGCCTGTGGAACACCCTCCCACCAGATGTCAAAGAGAACAACAACTACCAGACTTTTAGAAGACATCTGAAGACAGCCCTGTTTAGGGAAGCTTTTAGTGTTTGATGTATTGCAGTATTTTAATATTTTTTTGGAAGCTGCCCAGAGTGGCTGGGGAAGCCCAGCCAGATGGGCGGGGTATAAATAAATTATTATTATTATTATTATTATTATTATTATTAATCCAATTATAGTTTATTGGGAGAGGCCTAGGGTATCAAATTTTGCCCTCTGGGTCTGGCCCTCAGAACCCACCCCTCACTCGACCTGCTTTGTGCCTTGAGTGTTTGCCAGGCTGAGATGCGTCTTTGAACTCTGGTCCTATTTTGTGCTTTCCTGGATGGGGGAGCAAGTGAGCTGTGTGTGTGTGTGTGTGTGTGTGTGTTTGTTTGCATGCAGAAACCAGTCTGCTGAAGAAGAGGAAAATTCACATTCGCTGGGTCACTCACACTCTTGCCTCTGGTCTTGTGGTACCTGGAAGCTTTTTTTGCCTTGTGAAATTTAATTCCAAGCAGGCCTTACAGAGAATCTTCTTCTGCTGTAATCTCTTTATATCAACCTTCCTTCTGCATGTTTCCCCAGGAAGAGGAACAAACACACATCTCGGAAGACCACAGCCCCGCGGAACAGACCCCTGGACAATTGAGAGAATGTTGTTTCAACTTTTCTTGTAAAAGTATCCTGGAGGCTTTTGAAAACAACAACAAAAACAAAAACTTTTGCATCCTGCTATTCTACCTTTTAAAATTGTCAGAAATCTCAAGGCATATGTTAAAGCCCACCCACTTAAACCATTTTAAAAAAATGTGGCAAAAAGTAGCAGGATTTCTGGAGAGGCTGGAGGAGCGTCTTTGGTTTCAAACAACATCAGCCCGCTGCATTGCAGATCCTGCATCATTCACAGACCAGAGAGAGAGAAATACTCTGAGCTGAATTAATTCTAATGCACAAGACTATTAGAGAGTAATGGACAAAACACTGAGTTACTGTGACCCCTGGTGGCAGAGAGAGGTACCACAGCTTAAATAAACACGGCCCAGGATGTGCAAAGCCAGGGAAAATATTCACCTGCAGAGTGGAGAAGAGGTAGCTGTGTCTTTCTAGTGGCATCAGGGCAAGATGACTCAAGGGTTAGAAGGGTGTGTGTGTGTGTAGCACAGTTCAGAGCAACCTGTTGGTTTGAAGCATTAAACCACAGTCTCTGGAGGCAGAGTTATGGGAAACAGGGCTCCTTCCATCAGCTTTGGCTATCCCTGAAATATGAAAGCTGGCCATTATAACAACTGTTTTAAAAATCGGCACCCAAGTTTCCCCCTCCCTCCCTTTCCCCTAGTGTGCAATTTATTTACTTATTAAGCTTGAAAGCTTGAATCCACATTGGCAGAATGCAGCTGAGGAAGCAAAGAATACCCTGCTGATAAATAAAACTATCTCCCAGTACGTTTCTGAGCACAATTCAAGGTGTTGATGCGGACCTTTAAAGCCCTAAACGGCCTCGGTCCTGTATACCTGAAGGAGTGTCTCCACCCGCATCGTTCTGCCCAGACATTGAGATCCAGCGCCGAGGGCCTTCTGGCGGTTCCCTCATTACGAGAAGTAAGGTTACAGGGAACCAGGCACAGGGCCTTCTCGGTAGTGGCACCTGCCGTGTGGAACACCCTCCCATCAGATGTGAAGGAAATAAGTAGCTATCCTATCTTTAAAAGACATCTGAAGGCAGCCCTGTTCAGGGAAATTTTTAATATTTAACGCTGTATTGTTTTTAATACTTGATTGGGAGCCGCCCAGAGTGGCTGGGGAAACTCAGCCAGATGAATGGGTATAAATAATATTATATTATTATTATTATTATTATTATTATTATTATATCTCAGAATGTATGTGGCTACCAATTTTGGGGGAATTGCACATTTAGGTGAATTAGACTAACAATCTAAAACACAAACATCTCTCACACAGAAGTACGACCAGACTGTACTGCTTTGTTTGATTCCGGCTGAGGAGTCAAGTGGAATTGAAATGACACTTTTTCTTTTGCTTCAATTCATAAAAGCTTTCCTCTCAGTGCTGTTTGGCGCCTGGTGGGACTCTTAGGGCAGAAGTCAGGGAGACTCCTTGCTGAGTTCCACAAAGGCAACACTGAGACTTGGAAGAGTTAACAGCGACAGTGCCGCCCCGTTACTGTAAGAAAGGCAGGCAGGCAAACGGATGAGGAGGGGCTGGGCTGAGGGTAGACTGAGGTTGGTGGGGCTCATTCGCCCTAATGGGCGACATCCACTGCCTAGAAGTGAGCATGAGAGGACATGGAGGGTTTACAGAGTAGCATAAGCAAGCGCATGCTCTCTGCCCCAAGGAACTTAGCAAGGATAATGTGCAGTGTGGGGCTGGAAGAGGGGAAGGCAACAGAGCTGAGGCAGCAACGGGCTTTCGGTCAAAAATGCCTACATATCATGTCTGTGATTCCCTCCCTAGGCAAATGCTTCACGCAGGGTAGCAGGCAGGCAAGAACCACCACGTTCACTGCAAGAGGTGACGCAAACGGGATCTGAAGTGGAATTAAAATGCTTTCAAGAGCCAGGCCACCAAGGTGCACAGGCGTGGCTGGTTTGCAACGGCAGAGCGGTGGTGGAGCGCCCTTTCAATCTGAAAACCGTTTTCAGGTTAACGAGGGAAACCGTTTCATCACAGACATGGCTCAGAGAGGTGCGTTTTCTTTCTTTTTTTAATTCGCTGATTCAGAGACCGCTACGTCCCTCACAGTACAGTTTAAGCTAAATTTAGGAGAGGCGACACAGAAGTGTACTTCGGAATATACATGCTACAGTTTCAACTCTTACACTTTAAAGGCCTTTTAAAGTCACAGTTAGTATCAAATCCCTCCAAAGAATTCAGGGTGGTCTACAGTGCCATTGTTTTTTTTAAAAAAATACCCTGTTATCCTCATAACTGCCCTGTGAGGTAGGTTAGGCTGAGAGATTGTGACTGCTCTAAACTATCCCAGCTACTTTTTATTTTAATCAAGCGGATATTTGAACCTAGGTCTAGGTCTTGAACTGCACTGGTTTTCCATACCTTTCTTCTGTGGCTTGCCACCCCCTTATATTTAAAACTTATTGACTTATTTTAAAGTAAACGTGATGCTATTTTCTCCAGGTGTCAGTAGGTCAGAAGATACCCTTGTGCATGGGAGTGGAGACCAGCTCAGTTAACCAAAGCGCACTTGCAGAGGCGAAGTTAAGACCTTTCCTTGCACTCAGCACTTACTCCAGGAATTCTTGAACCAGACTTCTCCTGGGGAGGCAACAGTGTTCCAACAGTGGTACAAAGTGCAGAGACCTCTTTCTACATATGCCAGTCAATTAGAGAGGCTTTGTTTTGGGAATTTCAGCCTCTTGGTTCAAAATGTGGCATGTGCTACTAGGCTTATGACTACCGAGACAAGCGAGCCTGGAATCTACAAGAACGGTAGCTTATTCTACTTTCTGAATTCAGGCCAGGTGGAAAAAAAGGTTGCAGCCTTTGATACCGTCAGCCCCTGAAAAGTGGTGTCGCATCTTACTGTTATATGTCTTCTGCTCTCACTCGGAGTCAATGACTGCAGTGCGAGCCCTTCCCAAAAATGCTTCAGGCTAAAAAAACATGGCAGTACGTACAACAAACTGGCCAAGACATCCCTACATTGATACAAGCAGCACTATTGCTAGTTTTAGGGTTCGCTGTTGGACACACACACACACACACCATAAAAGAAGGCTAACTTTCATGAGTTATGCTAGAGGACTGGCCGTCATGAGTTCCCTGGCCAAGATTTGCTGTGGCCAGATAGCCTGCTCAAGAGGCAGGAATGGCGCATGGAGCAAAGAGTGTCTGCCGTCAAACAGCGCTTGAAGCAGCCTACCGGATTTGGGTGGTGGGGGAGTAGCCACCGGGGAACAGTTCATCACCCCCTCTTCAAAGTTGTCCTCAGCAAATAAAACATGGATGTCAGACAGGGGCTTTTAGCAGAGCGTAAAGTCCAGCTTGTCCATTTTTCCAGCTCTTTCTTCTTTTCCTCTTTCTGCCTCACTAAGAAAACGTGACAATTACGGCCGCGTCAGCCAGTCCACTAAGAACATTTTACACAGAGTAGGCAACAAAGTAAAATTATTGTTATTATTATTATTTTTAAAAAAGTGTCCCGCTGGAATGTTTTCCATGTGCAAACTTGGTGGAATCTGAGCTAGCAACGAATACGGTTAAGTTACACCTACCACCTCTAGGAATCGCCCTGTCGGCAGGTTCCTTCCTAGAGATGTCTCGTCGGACCAGGGTGCAACGCCCGCCCATCAAGCTATTTACATAACAACTATGCCGCTTACATTTTAAAATAAATATAGCTGTGTGCAATCTCTAAGAGGTGTAATGACTTAAGAATGAGGTAATAAAACCCAGCTGCGTCTACGTCTCATTGTCGGGTGAGCGCATGTCACTGAAAAGTTCAGGCAGGAGGGTGCCGGTGTGTTGGAGGGGGGGTGCTGCTGCCGCTCCTCCTTGGCTTGGTGCTGTCCGGGGATCGTGTACTCTCCCCCCTTCCTCTTTGCAAGAACTACCCTTCCTTGTCTTTCTGCTGCCCAGGCGTGTAGGTGTGCAAAAAGTTCTTCAGCTTCGTGGGGTAATCCGTCATCACGCCCGTCGCGCCCAAATCGAACGCTCGCTGGTACTCTTCGTCTTCGTTGAGGACCCAGATATACACCTGGAGGGAGAGAAGGCACACAATGGATGTGTGACTGATAATGCCTCCCAATACAACTTTTGCCTATGGCTGCTTTTGGCTAAGTCACAGGGGTCAGCAGACTTTGTCAGCAGGGGGCTGGTCCACTGTCCCTCAGACCTTGTGGGGGGCCGGACTAGATTTTGGAAAAAAAAATATGAACGAATTCCTGTGCCCCACAAATAACCAAGAGATGCATTTTAAATAAAAGCACACATTCTACTCATGTAAAAACACCAGGCAGGCCCCACAAATAACCCAGAGATGCATTTTAAATAAAAGGACACATTCTACTCATGTTAAAACACGCTGATTCCCGGACCATCCACGGGCCAGATTTAGGAGGCAATTGGTCCGGATCCGGCCCCTAATTTGCCTATCCATGGGCTAAGGCCACAACTGAAACTGAACCTAAGCAGGAATGCTGGCATTTGCTAACATTCATCCTTTATTAGTCTGGTCACCCACTTTTTAATTTTTATTTAACAGAATTCGTATACTGCCTGATTGTAAACCTCTAATGTCAGCTAGCCAGCTGCATGCGTTGCTGCACTTAGCAGAAAAACACTCCCGGCAGCCAGCCATAAATTCCTTTCTTTATTTTCTTCTGACAAGATTACATACAGAATAAACAAAGCAACCCGTCTCTCATGACGCGTTGCTCTAACTACTTTCTCTTTTCCCTCTCCCTCGAGACCAACAGAGCCAACGGCTCAGCCCCTTCCGTTTTCCCCTGTGACGTGGATCCCCCTCTCTCTGAAGCACCCCTTCCTCCCCAGACTCACTATCCTCTTCTCTGTCTTCTGAGGAGGACTCAGTACTGAGCAGTGGAGATCGTTCCCTGAATCCTCTAATTCTTTGCTCCCTTGCTGCTTGCAGTTCCCTGACATCTAAGTGGTTCTCTCTTTCTCTCTCTCCTCTCTCTCTCACCCCCCCCCCAATAAAAGACAGTGGAAAAGGAGCATTAAAAACAACTCAAATATAGTTAACATTTATAATAAGGTAAAAACACAGAGAACTGCTTTCTAATGAGCCAGACCTATGTTCCAACTAGCTCAGTACTGTCCACACTGAGTGGATGCAGCTCTCCTGGGAGGCAGCATTTCCTAGCCCCAAGGGGAGATGCTGGGGAATAAAAAAGCATGTTGATTTCTACAAGCTTCTTTCCCTTTGCCCTCGGCTTTTGGGTGGGGAGGGAGGGAAGAAGAAGAAAGACCGGAGGATCAAGACAAGAGCATGAAGCATAAAGCTTGTCCAGAGGCGAGAAGGTCAAGCAATGCTTCCCCCATCCACGTTTTCTGTAAGCTGAAAAACAACAGCCGGCCCTCCTGTCATGAGGACCAGAAGCATGATCTCCAGCGTACAGGCATGCTCTGTGGTGGCTGTGCATACAGGCTGATCAAAGCTAGTATAATGTGAGCTGGAAGTCACTTGCTCAGATACTAGGTCAGTCAGAAGCAGTTAAGTATTTTTTGGCATCAGATAAGTCACTTTCAAAGCATCAGCAGCACATCAGAAAGAGAATGTTCATATTGGCTTTCCTTAGAATCCCAGGAAGCAGGGGAGGAAGACCTCTGGCCAGCAGAGGTCAAATTTTGGGCCTGCCAGGCCGTGTCTCCCATGCCTCTCTGCTTGGGAAGTCATCTGATGGGTGGGAAAGTGGGGTTAAATCCTGCATCCGCTGTGCACCTATTACAGGGAACAGGGGTGCACAGCCAAACTGAGCAGGATTCAACTTCTGCCTATCAGCTGATGAGCAGGGGTTAAATTGTGCTCAGTTTGGCAGGATTCCATGCAGTAAGGAGATCCAGTAAGGAAGGGGTTCAAACAGAATCTCCTGCTAAAATGGGAGAAAAAAACTTCCTCTTAGCAGCACTTTGCAAGGTGCTTTAAAGTTCCAATGTGACATCAAGTCACTGACAGGTGGAGGGCGCCACCCAGCTGTCACATTCAGCCCTCAAGGCTGATCCCGATATGGATCTGGCCCAAGGAGGCAAGAAGGCTCCCCACCCGGGCTACAGGTTGAGCGGAGGTGGGAGTCAATGTAGCGCTTGTGTGAACTATGTGGGATCCCACTTAACACATGCCAAGTTCTTTAATGTGTTGTTTACGTCACACTTTTCTGAGGTTAGTTGGAGATGGGAACAGAACAGAGCAGCTCCCACACAAAATTTCAGAAGATCTGTGTTACACCGTACCTGAATTCCTCGAGCAGTGAGGTGGTCAAATAATGCTTTCCTCATTAACAATCTGCAACGACAGGATAGTAAGATCATTGACATGTCTATCAAAGGTGTGATATATACATATATACATATACATACATATATATACAGTGGTACCTCGGGTTACATACGCTTCAGGTTACAGACTCTGCTAACCCAGAAATAGTGCTTCAGGTTAAGAACTTTGCTTCAGGATGAGAACAGAAATCGTGCTCTGGCGGCGCGGCAGCAGCAGCAGCAGGAGGCCCCATTAGCTAAAGTGGTGCTTCAGATTAAGAACAGTTTCAGGTTAAGAACGGACCTCCGGAACAAATTAAGAACTTAACCTGAGGTACCAGTGTGTGTGTGTGTGTGTGTGTGTGTGTGTGTGTGTAGCTATACCTCCCTTTCCACTAAACTAGCACTCCAGGCATCCAACAAATTAATGCAAAACAAGCTGCACTTAGACGTGCGGTTTATTGTGTTAGTTTTACTGGCTATTACGCTAGCATTGTTATGTCTTCTAATGTTCCTTTCAAACTGAGGCACCTGTTGAGTTATGGAACTGTGGCTCTTTGATTGATAAAATTGCCACGTTCTGCTAAATTTGCATGCAGCTGGAATACTGCCCCAAATGTCAGCATGTAAAATTACAACATGAATTCTCAAGTTTATGAGGCTGCAAACAGATCCGTCCCCCCCCCAACAAATTAATACAGAAATGAGTGGCAAGCCTCCGCTAGATTCCACTAGATTTCCTGAAGCGGCTTTTCCAATGTGTGAAAGATCACATAGAAGGTAGAAATTGACCAGTAAGGAAACATTGGGAAGATGGACTAAAGTGTTGTCTGAATGCAGCCGCAATCTGATGATTTTAAAAGTATGGGTAAACAGGATGGGCTTTATTATCTACCAGGCCTCGGGTGTGTTTAAGCCCAGCTTTGTCTACTCTGACTGGGAGAGGTTCACCAGGCGAAGCAACATCTTTCTCACACCTGCTTCCTGATCCTTCTAAGGGGGTGGAACTGAGATTCTCTGCCTGAAAAACATGTCCTCTGCCACTGAGTTTTGGCTCCTCCCCAAAGCAGCACTTTGTACATTATCAGCAGGATATGCCCCTGTGGCATGTCTTGCTGTGCCTGCTAACCGGGAGGTGGTAAGGCTAGAGCAACGAACAGGCAACCTCCTTGGGAAAGGAGGGGTTAGTAACTCTATAGCACCTCTGCACTGGGATGCCAAGATGCAGCAAAAAGAAAGAATAACCCACCAGTGGAGGCTAGTTGGAGGGAGGCACTGAAACATTCAGAGGTGAGCATTCTGGGCTCATGGGAGACTTGAATATGCCTAATGCCTAATGGTTTTCCCAGTAGTGATGTATGGAAGTGAAAGCTGGACCATAAAGAAGGCTGATCGCCAAAGAATTGATGCTTTTGAATTATGGTGCATGGACTGCAAGAAGATCAAACCTCTCCATTCTTAAGGAAATCAGCCCTGAGTGCTCACTGGAAGGACAGATCCTGAAGCTGAGGCTCCAAGACTTTGGCCACCTCATGAGAAGAGAAGACTCCCTGGAAAAGACCCTGATGTTGGGAAAGATGGAGGGCACAAGGAGAAGAGGATGACAAAGGACGAGATGGTTGGATAGTGTTCTCAAAGCTACCAGCATGAGTTTGACCAAACTGCGGGAGGCAGTGGAAGACAGAAGTGCCTGGTGTGCTCTGGTCCATGGGGTCACGAAGAGTTGGACATGACTAAACGACTAAACAACAACAATGCCTAATATGAGGTCTAGCGCTGAGGGCCTTCTGGCAGTTCCTTCATTGCGAGAAGCAAAGCTACAGGGAACCAGACAGAGGGCCTTCTCGGTGGTGGCACCCGCCCTGTGAAACGCCCTCCCATCAGATGTCAAAGAGATAAACAACTACCTGACATTTAGAAGACATCTGAAGGCAGCCCTGTTCAGGGAAGTTTTTAATGTGTGACATTTTAATGTATTTTTAATCTTTGTTGGAAGCCGCTCAGAGTGGCTAGGGAAACCCAGCCAGATGGGCAGGGTACAAATGATAAATTATATTATATTGTACTAAACAAAGAGCCTGACCATTTGGGATATAGAGCTGTGGATCAGGAAAGCACTGGAAGCCCAAACAGCAAGAGTAGTAGGATCAGGGGAAGAGTTGGAGATAACGTTTGAAAACAGGCCCTAAGAGGTGTTACTCCTTTTGAAGCACTGCATTCGGGGAGAGGGGTGAGGCTTCTGCTCTAGAGGAGAATGACGGCACTATGACAAAGGGCTGAGGAGGAAAGGTAGCCTTACGCATCAGTAAGCCATATGGTAAACCGCTGGCTCCTTGAGATCTTCTCTGATTCTTTCAACCTAAGAAGAGAAGAGAAGAACTTGTGTTTACAGGACTGCCATTTTAATACATGCTGTTAGCAACTGGGAAAACAGAAAAGGGATCACTGAGTGCAGCACAGATATCAAGCTTGTTGGGCTTTAATGCCAAGCGGCTTGGAAGATGCACTCAGAGCCTGAGAAAGGCCACAAGGCCCTGTTGCAACACAGTTTCAACATGAAAAATGTAGGAAATTGGAATGCAAGCACCACCCGTTCAAAAACATACAGAGAAGCCCGGATCCCTTTTACTATCATCCCTGCTGGTGCAAGGAGCACACCCACACCCCTATACGGGTTTCTAGCCCTTCTCTCTGAGAAGTGAAGGGTGGATGAATGAGATTTCCCCCCTAAAGCTGGGGGCAAACCTTTGTGTTAGCTTCTTGCCCCTTCTGTGCTTAGCAAAAAATTAGTTTAAGGAGTAATAACAGCAGTTCATTACTGTATGTAACTTGTAAGCAAAAAATAGGCCTTTAAACATTTTACGTATAAAAACTAAATTACTCAAGCATTAAGAACTGACTGGTGTAATTCCGTAAAAGCAACAGAAATAAATGTGCATGATTTATGAACAGATCATAAGAATTCAGCATTTCTTTTTCTTATTAAAGAAAAAAGCAACCAAAGACTTCTGAGTGACACCACAGAACAAGGGTAGGAATTTCATAAAATTCCTCTTACTTGCCTTTTTTTCTCTAAACTAAAAAGTCCCAAACTCCACAACCTTTTATTCAGAGTAGGCAACACTGGCCTAGAGAAGACAAATCATTTGACTTGTTTTAAGGCAGCTTCCTTCTGTTTCTGCGAAAGCTTTGAGGAACCAGGTGAGCTCCGCTCCGCTGTGCTTCTAGCACCACTGCAAAACAAGCAACTTACTTGAGAATGATGGAAGGCATAGGAATCTCCAAGAACTCCTCCAGGATGGGAAAGAAAGGCAGGAGGCCGGTATAGAACAGGCCGAGGAGGAGCAGGACACGTCGCAAGCAGAAGAGGATAGGGATGTGGGCGTTCTGGAGAAATAGAAAGTGAGAGATAAAATAAGGCACAAACACAGCAGGTTTAATGCACAACTAAGGCCAGTACAAGGACGCAGGTGGCACTGTGGGTTAAACCACAGAGCCTAGGACTTGCCGATCAGAAGGTTGGCGGTTTGAATCCCCACAACGGGGTGAGCTCCCGTTGCTCGGTCCCTGCTCCTGCCCACCTAGCAGTTCGAAAGCACGTCAAAGTGCAAGTAGATAAATAGCTACTGCTCCAGTGGGAATTTAAACGGTGTTTCCATGCGCTGCTCTGGTTCGCCAGAAGCGGCTTAGTCATGCTGGCCACGTGACCCGGTAGCTGTACGCCAGCTCCCTCGGCCAATAAAGCGAGATGGGTGCCACAACCCCAGAGTCGGTCACAACTGGACCTAATGGTTAGGGGTCCCTTTACCTTTAAGGCCAGTACGTTTGGCGCATTTACAACCCAGCCTTTACCCCACGGCCCCAAGGTGGGGGACATGTATAGTATTAAAAGTTGCTAGAGCATCTGAGCAGGAGTCCTAGTTTTAAATCCCCTTTCAGCCACGGATTTCAGTGGCCGATCTTGGGGCACTCACAATCTCTCTCAGCCCACCCTATCTCACAGGGTTGTTGTGAGGATAAAATGCAAGGTGGGGGGAGGAATAACTCTGTACGTGGCCTTGTGGAAGGACAGGAGAAAAGCTTTGACAGGAGAAGGTTTATCAGGATGAAATGCTGGCCGCTTACCTCTTTGTGACACTTTTCAACTATCTCATGACTGACGTTGCCCCAAACCGTCAGATGTTCTCGCTTGTAAAGGCTCACCAACTCTGAGACCTGAGATCAATATGAACACAGAGGGGCTGCTGTTTTTTTGTTTGTGGCAATTACACAATGGGGCAGTTTCTTTAATGTTATTTCTCAGTCCTCAAGTCATTGTATTATTTCTCTAGATGAGGGTTTCCCAAACTTCGGTCTCCAGCTGTTACTGGACTACAACTCCCATCATCCCTAGCTAGCAGGACCAGGGTCAGTCAATGTTCTCCCAGTTTGATGAAATACACAAATGGACTTTTGAGAGGAACCAGACTGGGGTGGGGTGGGGTCTCACCTTTTTAATCAGTACGTCATTGTTCACCTTGATGTCTATGTTGACAGGAGTGTGGGGGAAGTCCTCAAATACCTCTTTCAGGAGAGGGATGCGCTTGTCTTCACCTTCGCAATGGCACTCTGATGGACACAAGCAGAATTTGGTTGCTGCTGGGGACACTCGCAGGCTGCCATCATTTGTAACGGGGAGAGCTAGAGTTGTTTCACATGTTACATGGCAACAAAGCTGATTTGGTGCTGGGTTAACATATGAAGCGGCTGTCACGCCACCGGGTCCACCCAGCTCAGCACTGCCTACACTGGCTGGCAGCAACTTCCAGTGACATAAAGTTCATGTACAGAAACCCAACGATGCCATGAACAAAAAAAATAACATTTCAAAAGTGGTAAGGTCTTCCAAATATTACCTTTCTGGAATGTTACATCCAATCTGCAGAGGTACGGCGGGAGTTCCTTTAAATAAATAAATAAAAAAGACATGGATGCGTTAACTCCACACAGATGCCAATTTACACAAACTGATTGAGCATCATCATCATCATCCAGAGACAGCCTCGTTTCAACCTCTCAGACCTTACACATCAGGTGCTCTGGAAAGAAAAATCTAAGGAAGAGTTATCTGGAATTTATTTTTAAGTCACAGGAACAAGAGTAATCTTTGCAGAGAAAGAACGTTTGGTCTTATTGTGAAGGAAGTAAATAATAATAATTAATAAATAAAATAAAATTTTATTTATATCCCGCCCTCCCCAGCCGAAGCCGGGCTCAAAGCAGCTAACAACAATAAAAGTAACACAGCATTCTAAAATCAATTCATTCTAAAATCAGTTCAAAATCAAATTAATGGCAACCATTGGGCTAGAGTTCTGTGAGGATTACCAAAGGAGGGGGTCAGACTGTGCCTTGGCCAAAGGCCTGGTGGAACAGCTCTGTCTTGCAGGCCCTGCGGAAAGATGTCAAGTCCCGCAGGGCCCTAGTCTCTTGTGACAGAGCATTCCACCAGATCGGGGCCACAGCCGAAAAAGCCCTGGCTCTGGTTGAGGCCAGCCTAACCTCCCTGTGGCCCGGGACCTCCAAGGTGTTTTTGTTTGAAGATCGTAAGGTCCTCCGTAAGACATACCAGGAGAGGCGGTCCCGTAGGTACGAGGGTCCTAGACTGTGTAGGGCTTTAAAGGTTAAAACCAGCACCTTAAACCTGATCCTGTACGCCACTGGGAGCCAGTGCAGCTGGTATAGCACTGGGTGAATGTGATCCCGCGGCGAGGATGAGGGGGAAAATGTTATTAAACATACACAAACAAATTTGCAGAGGAAGATTAGGCTAGAAATTGACTTTTAAATAGAAGAACTAATCAGTTCAATACAGTGCTTTTTTCCTAGAGGGAGAGCTACCGGAGTGGCATGGGGCCTTGCTCAGCTGAGTTCTGGGAGCCCTCTGCGCCTCAGCCAATCAGCTTAAGAGGAAGCACAACAGTAAGATCCTGAAACAAGGAGACCACTGCAGAGCATCCATGGAGCAAGAAATACCAGTGCTACTGTTATGGAGCTTCAGAAAAACATACAATCCATTTTCACCACTGAAGGAATCCCAAGGTAGGGAACCTTTCGTAGCCTCCAAGAACCACATGCCAACTGGTGGTGCAGCCAGAGGCAAAAGTGAGCAGAGCAGCTAACGCAGATCTTACTTTTGTACAGTAGGCTAGTTTTCTACACACATTCTGTGGGTGCAGAATGCTGCAGCGAGGCTCCTCACGGGGTCTCTGCCATGGGAGCATATTCACCCAGTGCTTTTCCAGCTGCACTGGCTTCCGGTGGAGTACAGGGTCAGATTTAAGGTGCTGCTTTTGACCTTTAAAGCCCTTCACGGCCTAGGACCCTCGTACCTACGGGGCCGCCTCTCCTGGTATGCCCCACAGAGAGCCTCAAGGTCCATAAATAGCAACACCCTAGTGGTCCCGGGCCCTAAGGAAGTCAGATTAGCTTCAACCAGAGCCAGGGCCTTTTCAACTCTGGCTCCAGCCTGGCGGAACGCTCTGCCTCATGAGACCGGGGCCCTGCAGGATCGGATTTCTTTCCGCAGGGCCTGTAAGACAGAGTTGTTCTGCCTGGCCTTTGGCTTGGAGCCAATTTGATTCCCTCCCTCCCTCTCTTTCTTTTTTCTTTTCCTTCTCCTCCTGCCATGAGGCTACATTTTAATATTTTAATGTTTCAATATTTTAATGTATTTTAATTTTGTTTTTAAGTTGTAATCATTGAACTTGTTTTTATTATTGCATGTAAGCTGCCCTGAGCCCGGCCTTGGCTGGGGAGGGAGGGGTATAAATAATAATAATAATAATAATAATAATAATTTTCACACACCCCTCTCTACGCTCCATCCAGAAAAGCAAGAGGCATGATCAACATTGCAGCCAGGCAAAAATATCTGAGGTGCAGAGCAAGGCCAGGGAAGGGGTATGGAGAGTTCAGAAGGCTAGACAGAGGGAGCTAGAGGGTCACATTTGGGCCAGAGGTTCCCCACCACTGTGTTGCGTTTTATAGTATCAGAGCCTGATGCGAGTTTTTCAAATGGGCGTTTCCATTACCAGCCTTCTTAGCTACTTCAGCAAGCTGCAAGCCTCAGCAGGGAAGATCTGCAGGACTGTGGATGTGACCTTCTGCACTATTTTTCTATATTTAGAATACTTAAGCACATTATTAACTGTTTTCTAAGTCTTACAGGCAGCCTTCTAGACCTTTGGAACTATGAGTCCCATAATTTGTATGCAAACAGCATTGAGTTTTGCCGTCAATTCAGTAGCATATAAATCATGTAAACAAACCAACCCCGGACTGCAGGGAATTGAGTCTGATGTCCTATGGAGTTCACCCAGTTGGGAAATTAAGCGGTGGAGGAAAGCAGAGGGTGCTTATTTCAACTTACCGAGTATTCGAGGTCTGATATATTGACATCGACCCCGGTCGACCGTTTCAGATTCTCGTCATGAGACACGACGACTTGCTCATCCTTCGTCAAGTGGCAGTCAAGTTCCAGCATATCGGTCCCAACGTCAACTGCACTGAAGGCAGAAAGCAAACTTGAGCTTCTTTATTTTAGGGGGTGGGTGTGTGGCAGCATGGAGAGAAGTATCCCGAACCTTTAAAAAATATGCAGCTTAGGTTTCAGCCCCACCGTAGGTCCATGTCACCTGCAGTTCTGAGGCAGAACAGAGCTCCAGTCAGACTGGAGCAGGAACCCTGAGGTCCCGTTCAGGCCTGAGAGGCAAGGGAGGCGTTTCAGGAGAGGCGAGAGAAAGAGAAGATAAATATCTCCTTTCTCTCCCCGCCCCCTTCTCTACGCTATATAGCTCTACAATTCTTGCAGAGTACAATGCGAGCATTTTATTGTTATATACTGCACAAGTGCTACCAGAGAGTGGAAATAATAACAATAATTATGAATAATACTAATAATAATTTTATTTATACCCCACCCTTCCCGGTTCAGAAAACAGGGCTCAGGGCAGCTAACAACAAATTTAAAACACTTAATTGATGCAACAAAAAACAGCATAAAATACAGTATAAAACGTGAATAACAATAAATTCAGAATTCAAAAATCAATTTAGGGGGAAAATCCATCCAAATGAGTCCTTTCCTTTCTCCTTATAAACCACAGTGCAGGGAGCTTTTCAGCCTCAAAATGTACAACCGCAACTCTTAGGCCACCTGCACAAATTGAATGTTTAGATAGACACAGATGGGTGATTGATTATTTGTGCCCCACCCATCTGAATGGGTTACCCCAGCCACTCTGGGGGGCTTGCAACTTATATAAAACCATAATAAAACATAAACTATTAAAAAAACTTCCCTAAAGAGGGAAACTGCCTCAGTTCTCTAGACATTTGCATAACCCAGAGGTTGTCAGCAAAACACCCATGGGTGCAGTGGTACCTGCAAAGCCTCCAAGCTTCCCGCCCACTGCCCCCTCGGTCATGATGTGGTGAGGACCACTACCTTTTCCACCCTCAAAAAGTACATGGAGCTGAAAGAGGAGGCTGAAAGAGTGACGCTCTTTCCCACTTCCTCTCTCACCTCTATATTCTTTTCCAGGGTCTGTTTAATTCCTCTGGATCTCACTTTTACCCAGATTCCTAGAGAAAGCAAAAGTGTGCATGGGCACATGCTTCCCTCATAGCAGGGGGCTGTCCAAGGGCTAGAAAAATAGCCAGAGGGGATGATGCCTACAGCACTTGCTTGAAATTTCCAGATCTGGCTGAAAATGTCATGGAGCCCTGGCTTAGCACATGATGGGACATTTCTATCCAGGCTGCGGTACATCTTTCTGCCACCAGGGGCCACAGTAACCTAACTTTTTATCCATTATTCTCCAACAGTCCTGTGCATTAGAATTAATTCAGCAGAGAGTATTTCTCTCTGTCCGTGGCCTGTGAATGATGCAGGATCTGCAATGCAGCGGGCTGCTGTTGTTTGAAACCAAAGATGCTCCTCCAGCCTCTCCTGAAGCCCTGCTGATTCTGCCACATTTTTTTAAAAAATGGTTTCGGTGGATGGATTTTAACATAATGACACACACTTTGATATTTCTGACAATTCTGAAAGGTAGAGAAAAGCAGAATGCAAAAGCTTTTTTTAAGCCTCCAGGAATATATATATATATATAGATAGATAGATAGATAGTCACTGTGCCCCACTTCTTGACATTACAGTGGTACCTCAGGTTAAGAACTTAATTCGTTCTGGAGATCCGTTCTTAACCTGAAACTGTTCTTAACCTGAAACCTGAGGTACCACTTTAGCTAATGGGGCCTCCTGCTGCCATCGCACCGCCGGAGTGTGATTTCTGTTCTCATCCTGAAGCAAAGTTCTTAACCCGATGTCAGGGAACTGACATCGGAGCTAGAGGTGGAGGGGAGGCTCTCTAATGATGCTGGAGAAGGGCCCAGCAGGGAGAGAGGCAGCTCAGCAGATGGGGAAGCAATTCAGTGCAACACCAGGAATAAGGAGGGGCAGATGGGGGAATCGGCGAGAGGGCTCCCAGACTCTTCACCGGACACCAGCGGGGAGAGCACTGGTCCTCGGCTACCCACGCCCTCCCTGCGCAGGAGACTTCCACGCAGAGAAAGTAGGAGGAGACTGGGTGTCAAACAACTTTTATGTTGGAAAAGGTTTAAGAAACGCCCACTGACAGATTCTGCTAGCGACTGAGGCAGCCACGAATTGAAGGGCTGTCCAGACAGAAAGGTTTAACAAGGCAACAAAGCCAGGAGAGGCGGCAACTTACGCACGAGCAACCCCATACCATTATACCCGAGGTACTATTTCTGGGTTAGTGGAGTCTGTAACCTGAAGCGTCTGTAACCTGAAGCGTCTGTAACCCGAGGTACCACTGTAGATTGCATGCTAGTGAAGGGGTGGGGGGAACTTTTTTTCACACCAGCCTCAGAATTAGTAGGAAAATGTGATGCACCAATAGCTACTGACCATTTACATTCTGGTTCTCCAAGGACTTGAAACAAGGGTTCTGAATAGTTTATTTTCCACCTATAAATAAGGCATACAAGATGCCCTGCTTGGCATCAGTGATCCGGAGTGCTAGATCAAGGCTAAATCCCTCCCTGCTGGGTGACCCTAAGGCAGTCACACTATCTTCCCGTTCAACCTAGCCTACCCCGACAGGGCTGCTGTGAGGATGTATGGGGATAAACCCCAAGCAGGCCACTCTGAGCTGCTTAGAAGGCAGGATAAAAGTGCAAGAAGTAAGCTAAAAGGGTCGATGCGCTGGCTAGCTTGTTGAAATCAGACCCATACATGCTTGGTGTGATAGAGCTGTTTTTAAAAATGCTGACAAACCTTTCTTTTTTTAAAAAAATGCTGCTAAACCACTCTGGTAACCAGTGTGGTATGGTGCAGTGGCTGATAAGCATCAACAATACAATGTTCTACCCACGTCAGATAAAATATGCAACAGGGAAAACTTTGCACCCTGGAGTCTCGCCTTCATTTGAGACACTGTGTTTGTGCAAAACATCCGACTGACCAAAGTCTTCCCTTTGTTTCCCACAGGTCCCAATAAAGGCACTAATGAGCTCCTGCCTCAGAACCGTAAAGGGAAGACTGAAGCCACCCAGCCCAAGTAGACAACAGCTCCCTTGACTGTCTTGGTTGAGTGCTTAATTAAACAAAATTGTTGTGTAATGTTAAACTCTTGCGTTCATGGCCCAAACACAACACAATAAAACAATGGAAGACTCTAAACGCTTGTCTCGGTTGGTGGCTTCGCAGGAGCATGTTCTGATTTGAACAAGGGCTGAAGAGCCACCAAAACTGGTTCTGTGCTGCGGAATCCCTAGAGGTAGAAAGTAATAAAGAATACTCTTCCCAGTTTCATCTATGAGGTTCAGGGACACAGATCCAGTGACAGCAACCTCCTTCTCCAATGAAGAACAGACCCCAAAGGAAAGGAAGCACAGTTGCTATTGCATGTGAGAAAAGTGCACATGATAAAACCACAAAGAGCCTTGTGGCACCTTAAAGGCTAAGAAATTTATTATGGCATAAACTTTTGTGGGCCCACAATCCATTGAGTGTAATCCTGAGTTGGCAAACCAGTGTGGTGCAGTGGCTTGAGTGCTGGACTAGGACCTGGGAGAACAGGGTTGAAAATCCCCAATCTGCCACCAAACTCACTGGGTGACCTTGGGCCAGTCACTGCCTCTTGGCCTAACCTACCTCACAGGGTTGTTGTGGGGATTAAATGAGGGGGAGAAGAAGGTACGCCACCTTGAGCTTTTCGGGGGGAAGGTGGCTTGCAAATGCAATTAATACTACTAATACTAATAAATACATATGGCAGGAAGAGGGGATTGTAGGGTTCAGAGGGAACTGAAATGCCAAAAATAATAGCCAACAATTTACCAAAAGCAAGAGAGTTCGCAAGCAATTAGAAAGGCACACCCTGACACTTCATTATTTAAATAAAGCCAGTCTTCACCACAATCTTTATGAAATCTAAAGAACCTCCTTCCAAGGTCTGCTTTAGCAGAGCTAAAGAGAAGAGGGGAAACTTTGTTGTGTTAAAACCATCACGTTTAGCTGCCATGGAGATTAGAATTGCCCGTGGCGCTTTTCAACAGCCTTGTTCAAGCTAGGAAAATTCTGACAATGCCTAGCACTTTGGAAGAAAGTGTACAGTACTAGCTGTGATAATACTACTAAGTACAAAGAAAGACTTAAAAAACCTGAATCAATTCCTGGGTTATAATCACAACTCCCTCACAAAGAAGGAATGTGTGGTTTCTTCTGGTTCCCCACTGAGAAATCTGTAGTAATTTGCCATTTTGCAAAGAGTAATTGGATGCGAGGGAGGGGGGAGGCAAATCCAACACGTTATTGATTCTGAAATTAATGCTGAAATCCACAGCCCACACATTTCAAGGCAGTCTTGAAGTAATACCTAGCAGCTTTAATGAATTTACTGGAGAGTGTGTAGGTTGCAAAACAGCCCTGGGACTTCTAGCAGTTAAGAGCCATGCATCTGAGCCATGAGGGATGACCAACAGGAATGTCAAGGATCCAGATGGCCCATAAGATATCCTGGACCAAAGTTATTATGGGCCTTAGAAACTAATACAGTCAAACCTTGGTTTTCACATGTCTCGGCTGCCGAACATTTCTCATTTTTCCCCACTGAACTTGCTGACAGCTCTTTGATCCTCGGTTTTTGAACGTTTCGGAAGTCGAACGGACTTCTGGATTATGTTCGAAAACCAAGGTTCCACTATACAAGGACACTGAATCTGACCTGGCAACACATGGGCAGTTGGTGCAAGTTTTTAAGCACTGGAGTTTATTTCATTTATCCCATTTCTATCCTGCATTTCCTCAAATGATAAGGTAAAGGACCCTGGTTGGTTAAGTCCAGGCAAAGGTGACTATGGGGTGCAGTGCTCATCTTGCTTTTCAGGCCAAGAGAGATGGCGTTTGTCCACAGACAGCTTTCCAGGTCATGTGGCCCGCATGACTAAACTACTACTGGCATATGGAGGACCGTGATGAGTCCCAGAGCTCATATAAACGCCATTTACCTTCCTGCCGCAGTGGTACCTATTTATCTACTTGCACTGGTATGCTTTCGAACTGCTAGGTTGGCAGAAGCTGGGACAGAGCAATGGGAGCTCATCCTGTAGTGCGGATTTGAACTGCTGACATTCTGGTTGGCAAGCTCAAAAGGGGTTTAGACCACAGCGCCATCCACATCCCAATGAGTTCCAGGTGGTATATATACTCACCCTCTCCTCATATTCTCCTTACAACAACCCTGTGAGGTAGGCTAGGCTGAGCTTGACTGACTGTCCCAAGGTCACCCACTGAGTGGGGACTTGAACCCTGGTCATCCAAGACTTAGTGCAGCACTCTAACCACTGCACCACACTGGACTGCCAACTCAGTGATTGCTGTTGTTGGCATCCATCTGTCTTGGGATACAGTGGAAGAGTGTGCCTTCGGGGGTGAAGTCAAACTGCTGGAGAGTTACAGCGCCTGCTGTGGCTGTAGAGACTGATATGGGAGAGATATGTTTAACTGCAGGTTTAACTGCGTTTGGTTTTGGTGCACCATGGCAATTTAGGCTTACACTTAATGCATCTGCTGAAGGGGACTATGGCCCACTACAGCTTATGCCACAATATATTTGCTAGCCTTCAAGCTGCTGCAAGACCCACTGCGGTTCCAAGCTTGATTTCAGTACACCTCTTTCAAATGTGATAACTGAATGTGTTTGCTTTTCATGGCGTCTGTTCTTCCTGGCAAAAGGAGATTGTAGTCCCTGGAGACGTGCACCTGAGTCCCTGATCTGCATAGACGAATATTTTTTAATCACTTTGTACCTCTAGGGATTCCACATCACAGCGCCAATTCTGCTGATTCTTCAGCCCTTGCTCAAATCAGGACACACACCACACTGATCTGCTGGCAGCAGTCTGTCCCCATCATCTGATTAGTATGTGCTATAGAACATATGCAGTCTGTGTGCCCTGTGTGTTTTGCCTCTAAAAGCATTGGGATATTAGGCAACCATTAGCCCAGTAATAGGGAGAGGGCTGGTTGCCACGCAGGTCTGACTCTGCCACAATCAAGCCTGCATGGATCACTTTCCCCTATCCCAGACTGCAGCCACTTGTGGCACCTCTGTTGAAAGGCTGGGTGTCCTCTTACTAAAAGGTTCATTAATCCAGGGATATTGTCTATGAAATACAAGCTTTGACATTCATATATTTAATTGCAGGTGCAGATATACACCCACCCACCCTGGATTTATTTTGTTTCAGAAGCCAAAGCTCTCAGTGGCAAATAGGAAATACACTGACCTTTATTTCTCTGTGACCCTTGCAGCAGACTGCAAGGAACATCTGATAACTTTAGCCCACTGAACAGGTGCCTCTTCTCACTGCCCTCTGCTGTAGCTTTTTCCCAATGTGTATCCATGTGGCAAGGAGGCCCACGTAGGAAAGCTTTTAAAGAACACGGCAAACTTCTGCACGGCATTCCCAGCCTCAAGGCCGAGAAGTAACACAAACGTATTAAACTATCTAACTTTCACAACAGTGACCTTCTGTGTTCAGGGCTTCAGCTCTGTTGAAAAGCCGGCACTGGAAGGCAGTTTTATGTTTTGGTTTGAAGGAAACAGAAACTTTTCTCCTGGGTTCTACTCTCAAATTTGTTATTCTTAAGCAAGCAATCTTGGGCAAGCCACAACTTGCATACCAGTATTCCCTCCATCACGTATTACTTTCCAAAATATTAAAGAGAAAATCCATTGGCTGGAATTCAAATAATGTGTTCCGTCGATGCAAAGGTTCGTGTTTGTGCAACTGGTCTTCCTCTTTCCCTGCATGCCCTCTAAATCTGTTCTAGGGGTTCCTAGATTTACAGCTATTACTCTTTTTTGGGGGGGGGGGAGGGCCATCCCACTACAGATGGAAGCTGGCCAGGAAAGCAAGAGAATCCTCTCTCTCATCTGTTTTGCTTGGGGAAGGAAGGAGACACCTTGACAACACAGAGCTCAGAAGACATCTGTCTGCCACTACAAAAGTGAAAAGATACCTTGGAAGGTAGGTGGGGAGTTGAAGGGAGAAGCTTCTCCTCCAGCTTAAACCTGCCTCCCTGACCTGGAAAAGCCAACCCCACGTGCTGGATGGCTTCCTTTCTCAAGAGAAGTTAATAGAAGGGAGGATGACATTATGTCCTCTGCAAACAGCAGCTCTTGTTGACCCATGAAAGGAAATGCTAAAGTATTTCAGACACACAGATCCTTCAAAGGAAACCGAGTGCATGCAGGGAATGTGGAATGCCACCTGCAGGAAATGAGGAATGCCACCCACATTTCTGCAGCTCAGGGAAAGGTCAAATGAATAAGCCTATTGCCTAACCTGAACATTTTTATGGAGATAATTTATAAGCAAGACAAGAGCCTCAGGGGGTCTCTGCTGATTAGCTCTCAAATACTGAAATAGATTGGACTGAAGTGCTATTGTCCAAGAACAACTGGCTGTGTAAACAAGTCATAGAAGCATAGAACTATAGAGTTGGAAGAGACCCCGAGGGTCATCTAGTCCAACCCCATGCAATGCAGGAATCCTGCCCACAGCCATCCCTGGCTGGACTCAAACCACCAGCGTTCTGGTTAACAGCCAGGCGCACTGACCCACTGTGCCACTAGAGATGCACATGTGCCAACTGTCTGTGTAAGCAAATACTGATGATAAAAATTGTGATACTCACTGGCGAAAGGCTGCCATGGTATTTTCCAGATTCTCTCCAGCCCCTGTTGGGAAAAAACAGCATTTTAAAGGAAATAGCAACCACTTGGTGCCAGGATCATGGCTGCATGTTTTAAGAGCTGCATGTTTTAAGAGCTGCAAGGGAGCTAGGTGAATTTTGTGAACTCTTTGCACCTGTTTTGAAGATGCTCCTGTTCTAGTGGCCGGATTGTTTCATTGTGCATTTTGAGGTTTGTACTGAATGGATGTTTATATTTTAACGCTAGTGGAACAGCTCGTCATATTTTGCAAACCACAGAAAGCCTATTTTGGCATCAAGTGGCAAATAAAATAATAAAATAATATTTTAAAGGCATTTCATGAATTTTATGGTTTGCTTGGCTCACCAAAAGTGAGAATAGTGCCTAGTTTCACCTCACAGGAATATATATATATATATAATGAAACAGGGATGCATAACACAGACTTAAAACCAGTGACAGAAATGGCGCAACTCTGAGAAAGCTGCTTCCATCTGCCATTGCTAAATGGATTTAATGCTATCAAAACTGGCCAGACATCTAAGTAGCACTTGCAACAAACTCAATCGCCTATACTATTCTGCTCCAACAAAAAGTTCTTTGTCTTTCCTTCTTTATCCTTAAGGACCTAGTTTCACTGCACAGTAAGTGCCAAGTTGAGAGGCATGAGTCTGACACAGATTCTTGCCAAGGACTGCAGTAAGTGAGTGAATGTGGGTGCAAAGCTGTGTGGGGTCGATGCCAGTTTAAAGCCACTTAATATGCACTCCATGCAGCAACTCAGAACTCTTACCTCCAACATCTTGAACGTACAATGTTTGTTAATACAACGTACAGCTGTGCACCAGCTGTTTTCAATAGAGATCCTAGACAAAATGTATTGTGTGCGAAACTGTCTGCAAACAGACACTGCAGTGGGTTAAGGAACAGGCTTTAGCACACAGTTGCCATTCCATCCTTCCTCTTCCTCTCTCAAAAAGTCTGATCTACTGAAATATCTTCCGGCGTATGTGTCAAGCATAACCACTCTTCAGAGGCACTTGAAAAGTGAAAAAAGTACAATTTAACCCTGGTCCCCTAACATTTAGAACCGTAAGGAGATTCAAAGCTTATTTACCCTCACCCACTCACTAACGCATGTGCTCACTGCCCTTCCTCCTTAAGGCTACAGTTCATAGGTCACGCTCAGCTTAAACATACCAAACACCTGTTAAATCAGGAAGCAAATGCATCAGCTCCACCTCCTCAACAGAGAAAGAGAAAATATAAGCTACGAACTCTGATGTTACCAGGCAAGTTCTGTAAGGAAACCCCATCATAACAATCCCTGTTCTCATTCTTTAAACACTGGTGGCTGGTACCCATTGGGAACGGCAGGGTGGAAGGTAGGGAGCCCCATATTAAGTGGCCAATTCTGGGTTTGCCACCTTCCTTCTTCCTGCTGATTCTATAAAGGCAGAACAGGGTGAGGAAGAGGAAGTCCGGGCTCATTAACAGGAAAGGAATAAGCCAGGTACCTCTCCGTCACGCCTTGGTACAGATCCACACCTGCTGAATGACAGCCTGCCACATAGATGTGAAAAGCTTTGGAGAACAGGACAAAACGATGACAACCACACCTGACATGATATACTGCTTGTAATTCTGAAACCTTTCTATTATTAGAATGAAAGTTGTACAGACTAAGACTTCAGACCGTCCAAGGTGGGATTGGTGCGCAGGGCGGAGAGACATAAGGAAGGCGTACGCAACATGATGCCCTTCCAAATGTTGTGGACAACAACTCCCATAATCCCTGACCACTGGCCATGCCGCCTGGGGCTGATGGGAGTTCAAGTCCAAAGCATGTGGAGGGCACCATGCTGACTGTCCTTGGTATATGGCATGGGAACAATTTTGTTGGACAGGGGAAGTATGGATCACAGATAGGTGCATAAAAGGAAGATTATACTGCAAAATTATTTGAATGCGCATATACCTGTTTGGTATATGTAGCTAATTAAATTTTATAAGCTGCCTTTGGAGGGTTTTGCCCTGAAAGACTGGATATAAATATCTTAAATAAAAATGAATGGATTTGATTAAATGCACTCTAATCCACCTTGGGGCGGGGGGAATCTGTGTCTTTAATGCACCATCAAGGTTTCTGCTGCAACGTAATAGCATGGCCACCTGCCCACTTAGTTGTTCATCTAATTACTATATTAACACATCTTGTTAAGTGGCTCAAACACACATAAATATCACCACACTCAAACTTCTACGGAACAGTCATGTTTCCCCCTTACTAATTACCATTTCTACCTTTGCCATGCTCACACAGTGCAATGGAGGAATTAGCAAAATTACAATGGAAAAATAAGCAGAGGACTCTAAATATTTGATTGCGTAGTTATGATTTCAGCTGTATGATCTGAGTGCTAGAATTAAGCGACCATTGAATCTGAGATCTGATCCACATTAAAGCCCTTGGCTGGATGTGGAGTGAGGTGAACTTCTCTCTAATTAAAATATGGAAATCATTACTAGAAGAGGTAATGATTGCTTCTGCCTTAGATGGCTTTTTAAAAGTGTTAGTCAAACTTGGGTATTAGTACATCATAAAGCCTCCATATTCAGAGACATGATTCCTCCAATTTTCAGATGCTGAGGGCAAGTAACTAAGTGATCCTAGTCAACCACTTTTGGAAACAGAAAGTTGGACTACAAAACAGCTGGACAAAACATGTACCCAATGTACTTTTGCAAGGTAAGAGAAACACAACTTAGCACAGCACTTCATCTATGAGATCAGTCTCCCACAACCTTTTGTGTTCCATATGTTGTTGAACTACAACTCCCACCATGCAGGGCTCCTCTTGGGTCTGGTTTGGAAGTTCCAGCTGGTGAAGAATTTGAGATACCAGGCTGCTATTTGGCTGAAAACATGTGACACCATTGTTAAAGCATCTGCCCTGGCTGGCTGGCTGCTACCAAGCCAGGCTCAATGTCTTTGTATTAAAGTCCTGAACAACTTAGGTTCAGGGTACCTCAGGGGTTGGCTGAACCCCTAATATCCCAGCTTGATCATTGAGATAATCAACTGAGTTAGAAAGGCCCAATTAACAGCTACAAGTACATTGGTACCTCAGGTTACAAACACTTCGGGTTACAGACTTCGCTAACCCGGAAGTAGTACTTGGGGTTAAAACTTTACCTCAGGATGAGAACAGAAACCGTGCAGCGGCAGCGGGAAGCCCCTTTAGCTAAAGTGGTCCCTCAGGTTCAGAACGGTTTCAGGTTAAGAATGGACCTCGAGAACAAATTAAGTTTGTAACCAAAAGGTATCACTGTACCAGAGTCCTTAATATCATCGGTCCAGTGTTGTGGAATACTTTGCCTACAGAGATTCAGCAGGCGTTGTGTCTGCTTTTCAACACCTGCTGCAAACTTTTCTAATGCGTGCAGCAGGCTCCACAGGCAATTAAGAGAACTGTACATCTTTCCATATTAGTTGGTTGGTTTTTGATTTTAACATTTTCTATGTTTTTTTACTGTGTGGTTTTATGCATAACTGTAGCAAACGACTCTTGATTTTATTTTATCAATAGTGGTATATCATTATTTTCAGAAAGAAAGAAAATCTCCCCTGACCATTGGCCATGCAAAGTGAGGCTGATATGAAGGGACAGAGGTTGGGGAAGGATGCAATAAAGGAACCATTATAACCACATTGTACAAGGCTGATTATACATACTAGTACATATTCAGAGAAGATTGCAATTCTCTACATGCCCACCCTAGTTCTATCTGCAGGGCTCAGTAGTAAGCGATAAGAAAAATCACTTTCTCCCAGAAACCCAGAGAATCCTGTGCCAGTCGGTGGGTGTGTCTGTGTGTTTGTGTGAAACCGGGCTAGGTGGAAAAGAAGCACAAGGCAGATTCTTTTACAGCTCAGGGTTTCTTAGGTTCTTAGCAGTGTCTCTTAAGTCACTTTGTCACATTAGCCCTTTGTAAGAAATAAAAAGCACATGTTTGGGGAACAAACATGAACAAAGTTGGCTTTTTATTTCCACATGTCAGAGAACTGAGTTGCATCAGCCAGCTGAGGATGGAACCTGGAATCCCACATTACAGAGTGAGTTTAAGTCAGAGGACCAGCCCAGCTTGCAGAAGATTCAGGTGCATTAGTGCCTGATCTTCTTACCTCTATGTAATTTAACTCTGATGAAATGTGACCTAGATAAGTGCCAGACACTCTCAAGGCAAGCCTATATCGCTTTGTTATCCTGGGACAGAAGGTCTTTAGAATCGGTTCCCTGGAAGGGGAAATGATTATACCACAATATGTGCCGCATGGGGGCAAATCCTACGCAAGTCAATGAAAGTCTGCAATGAGTGGTTTTAGATCTGATCTAATTTCAACTTGGCATCTTAAACCAACTCTTAACAACCCAATGTGGAAGAGAGCCATCACTACTTATCTATGACCTGTATCTTGAGCAAATGGAGAAGCCTTACGGTTCAACATGAACAGGGCCAAAGAGCTTACTGTATCCACCACTTGAAAACACAGGTGCATGTAGATGCCCAGTAGGGCTAATATAGTTGGTTGCCAGTTCAAGGCCCAATCCAGGCCCAATCCAAGGTGCTCACATTAGTGTTCAAAGCTTTAAATGACTTAGGCCCCAAATATTTGAAAGACTGCCTCTTTCCCTACAGACCCTCTTGGATGTTAACATCAGCAGATCTTGGAGGTTCAATCACCCTCAGAAGTTTGGAATGGTGGTGGCCCAGAAGAGGCAACTCCTACATTGTGGAATTCCTTACCCACAGAGGTGCGCCTGACACTTTCATTATACAGTTTCTGCTGTATTCTGAAAACACACTTCTTTACATTGGCCTTTGACATCTAAGATATATATTTTTGGTACCCAACCTACGCCTGTTAAGTGCAATTTGTTTTAAAGTCTTTTTAATTTTATATATTACTGACTTTTTGATCACTTGTAACCTGCCGTGGGACCTGATAGTAAAAAGGCAGGTAAAACATCAAATAAATATTACAGCAATAACAATAAGAATAAAACCATTCCTGATTAAACAAGCCCACTTTTCAACAGGCCAAACAAAGGCCTCATATTTGCATGTTTGGCAGCTCTGGTACTGAACCTCTGCAAGCATCGTTCATTCAAATCTACTCAGTAGAAAGCATATTGTGTAGCACAAGTAAAAAAGAAAGCTCATCCACTCAGCGATGGGAGATTCAGGGCTCTGGAATAAGAGTATCTGAGAGCTCAGTTACTCATCTTCCAGAACAAGCAGTTTCTTAATGCAGGTCTGTCTACTAATAATAGATGAGGAAGTTCTATGAAGGCTTGTAAACTGAGACAACTTGAAGCATTCATGTTGATGCTCAGGATGAGGCAGAGTTTGATTTCTGAATTAGATGGGAGGCAGCAAACAAGGTGGCTTTTATATGGCAGGTAACAGTACAGCCAGCAGCTAGAAAGATTAAAAGGCCTTAAAACAAGGCACATCACATTCATCAGGACAGAAGGCATTGACCCAACACAAATAAGAAAGCCTCCCTTTTCTCCCTGCCCCTGTGAAGAACCAGTATCCCTGCCCAGAGAGCATTAAAAATCTAAATAATGGAAGACAAAAACGAAAGGAGAGATTACAGCTTGATGGAGGAGCAGAGGTGAGGAAAGGGTCGATTCTTCTGTGATTACAACCAGCAAACGAACACAAGGATGCAACAGAGAAAGATTTTATAGAGGTGGGAGAGAGTCTTAACCTGGTGAGTTCTAGTTATATTCCAGGTCTAGAGGATGCATAGGTAAAAGGTAAAGGGACCCCTGACCATTAGGTCCAGTCGTGGCCGACTCTGGGGTTGCGGCGCTCATCTCGCTTTATTGGCCGAGGGAGCAGGCGTACAACTTCCGGGTCACGTGGCCAGCATGACTGAGCCATGCTCATGACTGAAATGCCATTTACCTTCCCGCCGGAGCGGTACCTATTTATCTACTTGCACTTTGACGTGCTTTCGAACTGCTAGGTTGGCAGGAGCAGGGACCGAGCAACGGGAGCTCACCCCATCGCGGGGATTCGAACCGCCGACCTTCTGATCGGCAAGTCCTAGGCTCTGTGGTTTAACCCACAGCACCACCCGCGTCCCTTAGGGGATGCATGGAAGGCAGCAAATGGAAGCAGTATAAGCAGGTGAATGGAGTAAGGAAAAGGTGACAAGGACCTTGTCATCCAGATGCCTAAATTCTTTTGATGGAGCTGAAAAATCCTGATCATCCTTGCACGCAGCTGTACTTAAACATCTGTACTTAAAGCTAATTCCTGCAGAAAACAGCCTTCGTCTGGCCAGCCTCTTCAGGGACAATACAAGAACCAGTTCAAACAAGGCAAGTATCCCACTTCAACTGAAGGTCACAACTTTGTTTGGTCACACATCTTACTTTTGCACAATAGGAGTGGAAGGCATTAGCTTTGCAGGATAATCTTCATGGAATGCGCTGATGGAGGTTTACTCTTGGGAAGCTTCATCACGCAGAAAGCAGCCTCAGTTCAGAGTGCAAGGCAGGTATTAACAGCTCAGGACTGGACTGCAGGTTCTGTGATTGCTTATATGCCCTCATCCATTCATTTAAAAGCTTCTGGAGTAGAAGCATAGAACTATAGCATTGGAAGGAACTCTGAGGGTCATCTAATCCAACTCCCTGCAATGCAGGTATCTCCACCAGATCACACATGAATTCAACCTCTGCTTTAAAACCTTCAAGGAAGGAGAGTCCACCCCCTCTTGTGGGAGTCTGTTCCACTGTCAACAGCTCTTACTCTCAATAATTTTTTTCTGATCTTTAGTCAGAATCTCCTTTCTTGTAACTTGAATCCAGTGGTTTGGGTCCTACCCTCCAGAGCAGAAGAAAACAAGTTTGATCCACCTTCCATGTGATAGCCCCTTACGATATTTGAAGATGGCTATCTTATTTCCTCTCAGTGTCCTTTTTACCAGACTAAACATACCCAGTTCCACCAACCATTCCTCATAAGTCTTTGTTTCCAGACCCATTATTATCTTGGACACCCTTCCCTGCACATTCCAGCTTGTAAATGTCCTTATTAAATTGTAGTGCCTAGAACTCGACAGACTCCAAGGCAGAATGGACCAATGCAGAACAGAACAGGACTAGTATGACTAGTATATTTTACTTCTGCTGATGCAGCCTAAAATAGCATTAGCTTTTTTTTGCTGCTGCATCACTCTGCTGACTTGTGTTCAGCTTGTGGTCTACTAAGACCCCTAGATCCTGTTCATAGGTGTCCCCCATCTTATATTTGCACAGCTTCTTATTCCTTCCTAAGTGTAGAACCTTACATTTGTCCCTGCTGAAATTCATTTTGTTAGTTTGGGTATGCCACACACTCTGAGAACCACTGAACTTTTTGCTGCTCTCCCACACCCCTTTTAAAGATGGAAACAACATTTGTCCGCCTCCAGTCTGCAGGGACCTCACCTGCTCTCCAAGAGTTCACAAAGTTTATAAACAGATGCTCTGAGATGATATCTGCAAGCTTCTTTAGTACCCTTGGGTGCAGCTCATCAGGTCCTGGAGATTTTAGTTCATTTAAAGCAGCTAGGTGTTCCCTTACCAGCTCTTTTCCTATCTTGGGCTTCATCTCCCTCCTTGCATGATTTATTGTGTTATTTATTGTGCTGCATGATTTACCAGGTTAGGCGCCACTTTCCTTTTGGATGAAGACAGAGGCAAAGTAGGTGTTGTGCAGTTCCACCTTCTCTCTGTCACCCAATAGCACAGGCTAAACAGATTAGAAAGTGAGTCAAGTGAAATCCCTTGAGGAAAGATGACATTTTAATTGCCATTGGCTGGTAAAATGACCTAGCTGAGCAATTACTAAGATAAAATGTAGAGTTGTGAAATATACCATTAAAGGATTCAGAAACCCCTCTTGCAAAAAAGGAGCATGATGAGCAACCCCTCTAAGGAGGAAATTTGGGGCCCATGTATTTTACCTCCTACCTCTACTGTGAGAACAGGATGCTGAGCTAGATGGGCTCACTTTGGCCTGATCCAAGAGGCTCTTCTTATGTTCTTCTTATTTATTATAATGCTAATGAACACATAGGTGCTGGTACCTCTTACCTTTTTATTACTTCCTTTTCAGCACACGTAGTTGACATTCAACTCTAAGGAAGCTGGTATCAAATGGTGAGAGGTAACAGATTTGGGATGGGGAGGATAGACCTTCCTATCATAAAGGGGTAGGGAATAACTACTGCAAGGTGCATGCTCACAAAGTTACGAAGCGTCCAACACAATTTAAGCACAGGTTGCTCAATAAAGGTCTGGCATGCATATCGTATGTATTGTTGTGTTTTTATACTGTAAACCTGTAAACCCTGTGATCCTCCGACGAAGGGCAGTATAGAAACATTGTTAATAATAATGCCTCCCAAAAAGACAGGCACAGGATTATAGTTCATTGATTTTTTTAAAGCCCTATCTCCATATGAACTTGGGACAGACCCAATTAAAAGACTGCTTTAAAAACAAAACAAGATTTAAAAGCATGCTGTCCATTAGCTGCCCTGAAACCCACCTACTCCCAACTTAACCCTGACCCTGCTGCCCTCTCAGGGCTGCAGCCTGTCTAAACAAGACAGATTTTGCAACATCTCTAAAAAAGAGAATATTCTGAAATTGCCTATTTAAAGTTTGACAGATGGCTGACAAGATAACAGGGCATAGGGAGGGGGATGTACAAAAAAGGAATTCCAAAGGATACAAAAAGGTGGAAGGAGTTGTGAAGTTTAGGAAGCAGACAAGTTGCAGAAGGGGGAGGGAGAGGTTGGAAAATCTAAATGATACTTCTGAAAGACACTTCTGAAATCCGAAGCAGAGAAGTGTCTGACAAAAGGGAGGGCTTGGGGAGGAAGAACGGGGAGGAAGAATGAAAGGGATACTAGAGGGGAGGACTGCATAAAGGAGTGTGTGTGAGAACTTTAGAAAACAAAGCTGGCCAGATTTGGGGGATGTTGAAAAAGGCAAATCCTCTATAAAGAGGATAGGGGGAGAGAGAGGAAAGGAAACTTGCCATTGTGTGGAGGGGGTGAGAAGCAGCCCAGAGAGAGGATGATGAAAAATAACAGTGTAACATACAAAAACAGAATATAATCTCTATTTCAACATTCAGACATTATCATCACAGTAAAATTTGCTTGCTGATGTCTGAAGAAGTGTTTTATTTTTTTGGGGGGGGTGAGGCTAGGCACGAAAGAAAGGTAGCAATCTCCACCCCTTTTCTTAGGGGCGGGGGAGCAAGGAGGGGGCACAGATTTCAAGGTCAGCTTTTTTGAGAGAGGAAGAGAGTGAGCGAGCAAGGCCAGCATCACCGCCAATGTTCTCCCTTTCTTCTCTTTAAATTGCCGCTGAAGTCCCTAGGACAATCAATTGCTTCACCCGGAGATTTTCAGGGGCTGGGGTGGGGGTGTGACCTTGTACACATACACATTTTTCATCACCCCCAAGGGGGGGAGGGCAAGTGGGTCTTCTCTCTCCTCTACCATAACCCCCCCCAATTCAGTTCCTGCCCAAGAATGTATTATTTTTGTATCACAATCTGTTGCCCCTATAGTTCTTTGTAGCCCCCCTTTCACCCCTCCTCAAAAGATTTATCTCCATTTGTTGCCCCCCCAATATTTTCTCCCAACTTGTCACCACCAAAATGCTCTACATTCCCAATAATAGTTTTCTCTCCAGTTCTTGCCTCCCCACAAAATATCTGTCCCCCACCCAAAAATCTGCACTGCCCCAAGAACATTCATTACAAATATTATATTGTTGAATGTATATACAGCTTCCCTCCCATCAATAAATAGCCATTTGGACACTTATAAATAATATTAAAAATAATGTACTTAATCATTACAAATAGATAATAAGACAAATCCCCCTCCCCCACAAAATTACCATTATTATATTATTAAATTCATACAGCTTCCCTCTCATATTCCCTGGGTGACTAACAAACAACATTAAAAACAGTGCATTCAATAATTACAAATAAATAATATGCTAGGGACCCCCCCCTTTATATGATTTTGCATTTTTTGTATATTGTTTTTCTCTGTTTATTTTCTCTGTTTGTTCCCTGCTCTGGGATTGAAAATGTCCAGTTAAGAGAGGGATATAAATACTGCGAATATTATTATTAGTAAGGCAAGACCCTACCCCCGCCCCCAATTATCGTTATTGTATGATTCAATTTGTAACAGCTTCCCTCCCATATTCTTCGGGATAGCCTCAATATTAAAAAAACCCCGTATTTAATAATTACAAATGGTAAGGTGGGCAACACCCCCCCAAAAAAAATCCTCTCCACCAGAGAACACCCCCTTTTCTCTCTCTCGATTGCTACGCCCACTCCCCAAAATAAAGCTGCGCCCCTTCACAAAAGAAAAAGAAAAATCCTGCCTCTCGATTTGACAATATATATGCATATACATGAATACAACGACGCCCAGCGGCCGCCCTCACCGCCGCGGTGGGAGATGTGCCGGCATCGGAAGCGGTGGCGCTTGGGTCGGTGGAGCAAGCCCGGGTACTTCAGCAGCAGCGCCGAGGTGAAGAGGTAGCCGCCCAGCGTGGAGAGGATGTAAAAGACGACCGACATGGTCGCTCCTCCTCAGGCGGCCGAGGAGGAATGGAAGACAGCAGGCGCCGAGTGCTGCGGAAACGCAGCCCCTCTTGCCTAGTACCGCCCGCTCCCTCCTGAGCGGGGGTCTGAGGCGACCGGCCACCGCTCCCTTGTCTTTTCTCCGGACCGCCAGGGAGCTCCGCCCACTCCGGCAGCGCATGCGCCAGTCCCAGTTGCGGTGGGGGGTGTGATGATGATGATAAGGATAACGGTGAGGGAGATGGGAGAGTAGGCGCGAGCGCGCTCGGCGCGCTGATTGGTCGGCGAAGCGCGCGGCCCGACAATAACGATTTTAGCGCGGAGCGGCGAAGAATGTTGGCGGCGGCGGCGGAGGAAAGAAAGGGATTGCTGGGGTTGGCGGTTGCGATGGCTCCGCTGTGACGTCATGGGCCGTCGCTAGGTCGCAGACGCCCCGCCCACCGCGGCCAATCCAGTGTGTGAGGTAAATCTGAAATAACGGTCACTCTTCCCCTCCTCGCGCTTTAGAATGACGAATGCCACCAACGTTTAAGGAATAATAATTAACAACACGTTAAAACAGTAGTGCCAATAAAGCTTAGTATTTCTAAGATAATAATGATAATAACAATAATAATAATATAATGGCCAAGCAATTGGGTAGTATTCAGTGTTCATCTTGCTCAGACAAGAACCATGGAAAAGAAGGAGCATGACTTTGATTTAAGTCCATCAGTTTCAATGGGGCTACTCGTGAGTAGAACTTAGATGGATACGACCCATTACCGTTACTGATGTTATTTCCAATTCTTACCCGCCCTTCACCATAAGGTGCCAGGGTGGAGTTGCAGCAGTCTATAAAGTATCTTCTTAGCCATTCTTCATTTAAAAAAAAGCTATTTAATTAAGGCCACACTAAGATTTATACTTTTGGGCAGTGTCATATACAAAAGATATTCAACAGACTTGCACACGACAATTACTGTATTAATTCATCCTGACTAAGACACCCCCATTTGCTTATGCTACATAGACACATGCCCAAACCTTTAACTCCATAATAAGGTTTTAATAGACTAAAACAGACCAACACAGACCCTAAGCAGTCACTCTATTAGTTGCAGCTATTATTTAGTCCAGGATGCAAAAGAGGCTGTGATTAGTATGGTAATTCTAAGTTAACATTTTTTTGGGGAGTGTATTTTACTTTTAGTGATCATGTTCTGGCTCAATAGCTCAGTCGGTAGAGCATGAGACTCTTAATCTCAGGGACACGGGTTCAAGTCCCAGGTTGGGAAGAAGATTCCTGCATGGCAGCAGATTGGACTAGATGACCCACACGGTCCCATCCAATTCTACAATTCTATGATGCTCTATGTGAGCAGAAGCTTCTGAGAACAGCTGCCCTTGAGACTGACCCAGAAACTCCAGCGGGTGCAGAATGCTGCTGCAAGACTCCTTATGGGGTCTTCGCTGCGAGATCACATTCATCCGGTACTATACCAGCTGCACTGGCTCCCGGTGGAGTACAGGATCAGGTTTAAGGTTCTGGTTTTAACCTTTAAAGCCCTATACGGCCTAGGACCCTCGTACCTACGGGACCGCCTCTCCTGGTATGCCCCACAGAGGAACCTACGGTCTGCAAATAAAAACATCCTGAAGGTCCCAGGCCTCAGAGAGGTTAGGCTGGCCTCAACTAGGGCCAGGGCTTTCTCGGCTGCGGCTCCAATGTGGTGGAACACTCTGTCACAAGAGACTAGGGCCCTGCGGGACCCGACATCTTTCCGCAGGGCCTGCAAGACAGAGTTGTTCCACCAGGCCTTTGGTCAGGGCGCAGCCTGACTCCCTCCTCTGGCAACCTGCACAGAATTTTGCTTAATGGTTGCCATTAATTTGATTTTAATTAATTTTTATAATGAAATGTTTTTAGAATGTTGGATTATTTGATTGTTTGATTATTTGATTGTTGTTAGGCGCCCTGAGCCCGGCTTCGGCTGGGGAGGGCGGGATATAAATAAAAATTATTATTATTATTATTATTATTATTATGTATGATGCCATTGCCCTTTATTTCTGCCAGCCCTTCCTCAAAACCTACCTTTTCCATTAACACTTCAACACAACCCTCTGCTTCCCAAACTCTACTGCAGGTGTAGCTTAAAGTGCCCTTCGGGTATCCTTGGACTACAACTCCCATCAGCCCTAGGCAGTATTGGCCAACAGTCAGGGATGATGGGAGTTGTAGTCCAGCAACATCTGGAGGGCACCATGTTGGATACCACTGCTCCCCTGTAACAAAGCATTGTCCTGTATAACAGAAACAACCATAAATTGTTTCCTTTCCTCTGTTTCACTTGTGGACAGATTCTAGTTTGTAACCTCCTTGGGACAGAGACCTTTCCTCTTGAACTGTGTTCCAAACCACCATGCAAACTGACACCAGCTTATCAATAACTTAAAGAAACAATCAATCTGATCTGGTTTTCCCAAAGAGGCCAAGGACATCTGCAGCACTTCCAACATATTTCTGTTCAAAATGAAACACTGATGTTCCATAACTTTCAGTTAATTGAAGATTATTCTTTAGGGAAGCTGAAATACCTTCATTCCCGACTTTAATTGTGCTGAGAGCCCCCTAGTGGGCTAGCCCAAGCAATTGCAACCTTGTGGTTCCCTGAAATGCAAGGGCTTCTACAAGCGAGCCTCAGATGTGAATGACAGGCATTATTCCATAGGATTACAAATCCCTTCATAAACTGCCCTTGCATGTTCAGCCAAATCTCAAATACTGGATGCACAGCAGCAGTGGGAAACCTTAGGCCTGGGGGCGAATTGCAGCCCTTTATGGCTCTCCACAGGCCACATTTCTTTGAGTGCCTTTGCCTAGCTGGAATACGTCCTTGAACTGTGATAATGTTTCTTGCTTGCCTGGTTGGTGAAATGTATGTGTAGAAACCTCTGACATTTTCAAGGCTATAATGTAGCATACATTACAAAGGCAAAAGTCTTTAGGAACTTGCCATTGTTTGCTGTGGTCGACACAGACAAATGCTTTTGCGTAGTCAATGAAGCAGAAGTAGATGTTTTTCTGGAACTCATAGGTTGTTCCTTTATAGCTGCAGCTGTGCTGCTTGAATTTGGCACCTTCCCTGTTGTGTTGCTTTCAGCAGGGATTGGAAACACACAGCAGCGATTGGGGGGTCCCAGAGCATATCCAGTCCCTTAACAAAACAGCACAGCAGGGTAAGGTGTTGAATTCAAGGCACAGCCAAAAAAAATTGAATGTTCCTTTGCAGCTGTGACTTAATCCGCCCTGTACCCAATGTCATCTCATGGCAGGTTATAGACAAGTGGGTATGGCTTGACCAGAACAGCCTTGTGGGCCAAACAGGGAGAGTAGGAAAGCCAAATTAGGCCTGAAGGCTCAAGGTTTCCAATTGCTGACAATCCCTCACTTGGTTACCTGTGTAGATCCCATCCTGGTCACTAGGTGGGCGGGTTAGATTACTGTTTTCTTTTTAAGGTCCTAAATGACTAAACACAGGCTCATATCTGCAGGTGTGCCATAAAACTGAACAAACATTGTGGGATTATTTGCAAGAGTGCACCAAAGCCTTTGGCTGTTTTCTGCAGGAGCAGCAGGTGGAGCCACAGTGCAAAGAGGGAGAAAAGGATAGCTCAATTTGAACAAGGACTTGCATAGTCCAAAAGGTCATTGGCAGGCCTTGCTCCTCTTTTAAAGGCAAAGGCTCAAGGCCAGGAATGTCCATAGATTAAACAAGAAGCAAAAAACATCTGACCAGGCCAGAATATTTCCCAATCATGTTTGAATAATTGTAACATGCTATTCCACATCTGGAATTAGATGGAAGTCCAAACCACAGAGCAGCAGAAAAACAGTGCCCTTTGTTGTTGCAACACTTTAAAAGAATCGCTGATGTTTAAGAACTTTTTAGTTAAGTTCTGCTTTTTTATATATAAAAAAGATCTGTCCACATAAAGTATCTGTTTCCTAATGGTCTGTGTTTTTCCTTCTCACCCCTTCCCCTTTTGTCAAGCAGGAGACAATTAGCTGCCAGATGTGTGTTTTACCAGCTTCAGCCAAGATTGCCTTTTGCAGCTTTGATTGAATCACCTTTTATAGAAGATGGACATGACATCCACACTTCAGTACAATCCTTTGGCTGTCTACTCTGAAGTAAGTTTTATTGAATTCAGTGGCATTTATTCCCAGGAAACTGGATAGAGGATTTGGAAACTTCAGTTGGTCCAAAGGGAGGTGACCAGAATTACTAGGGGCACCTGATGACTGGAGCATATAATTCTAGACTCGTGCTAGATCCAATGATTACCCACAAGGATTCTTATATAAAGCTGTCCACATTTTAAGATCTATTTTGGAGGCCCCGCTCCCTGCATGAATGATCAAAGTGACTAAACACAAGAGACAGGGCCTTTTCGGGAGTGGTGCCGATGCTTTGAAATGCCCTCCCTGTGGTAACTTGCCTGGCCCTGACATTTTCCGGAAAGAAACAGAAATTATGCAAATAAGCATTTACCATCTAGCTCTGCTGCTGTTTTTAACTGCTGCCTTTTATGGTTGGTTGCTTCTAATCCTTTTTAAAGTGCTTTATTTGTTCTTTATCGCATCATTGTGTCCCACTTTTTTTTAAGTGGCTCTGAGTATTTATTGGTAAAAGAGTGGGATATAAACATTAAATAGTAATAATAATAATAAATAGCATCCAGAACGTCCTTTAATGCAGCACTTTTTAGCTGATTTTCCATATCATCTCTCTTTGTATCCCCCTCCTCTTAAGAGCAAATTCCATCAGCCGCAGCCAGCAGAGTGAGGATATACTTCAATATGTTGTTGCAGCCACTTGAATACAATATAAAACAGTAATGACAAGCACAGATCTTATGTTTTATTTTTCCTTTCTTCATCTTGATCCACAGACCTTTACATACTAGAACTTAATTTGGCTCCTGCATTAATATACCCCACCAATCCAGTGTCTCTGATAGGACTTGGCACATACATATGGTTTCAACACTGGGACTTTTTAAGTGCAATAAAATCAAAGCAGTGATTGCTGTGTGAATTCCAGCTGTTGTTAATCAAAATCCGTCATTTAGAATGGGGTGAGGCTGGGGGGGGGGGAAGAAAATACTAAATTCCAAAGCCAATTCAACTTGTGTGGTCAAGTAAGTCCTATTGTATCACAGCTTTTAATATTCCTCGAAGCACCTTGTAACTCATGAGCTGCTGGTTTTCCTTTGGAGGGAAGGACGGTCCGCGTTCCGTCACATAGGCATAAGGAAACCGAAGAACCCACAGTCCATCGGAAGGAAGTTTTATCTCTTGTTTCTCCGGGTAAAAGACAGGGCAAGGAGGTGGCCCTGGCTGAACCTAGGAATGAAAGAGAAACAAACATCAACAAAATCTCCAGACAGGTAGCTGTAGCAAAATGACAAGTCTCTCATAAGAAAAGCCTACTGGATCAGGCCAGTGGCTCATGGCTACCCAGATACCTATGGGAAACCAGGATTCAAGCACAGGAGCAACTCTCCCTCCTGTGGTTTCGCACAACTGGTATTCAGAAGCATACCACTTGCTCCAGCTGTAGAGGCAGAGCACAGCCATCATGGCTCATAGCCATTCATTGATAGCCTTATCCTTCATGAATTTGCCCAGTCCTCTTTTAAAGCCCCCCACTTCTCAGCCTTGTGGCTAAGATCAAGTGTAGTGGTCTCATGACACCCTGAATACAAATAAAGGTAACATGGCATAAACCAGGGGCGAGGAAGCATTTCCACCCCAAGGGCCACATTCATTCGTGGGGAACCTTCTGAGGGGCCACATGTGAGTCGTGGGTGGGGTCACAGGCAAAAGTGAGTGATCTATGGATGTGACTCTCAGGCTATACTCTAGCCATGCAAAAGTCAGGGGCTTCTACATAAGCCCACTCTATCCAGGCAAACAAGAGGTATTGCCACTCTGCCAGGACACATTCCAGTCAGGCAAAAGCACTGCAAAGGTGTGGGGCCTGGAGAGAGAACCCCAAAGGCCACAGAGAGGGCTGGAGGTCTTAGGTCCACTTCAGGAAGTTTCCCACACCCTTTTGAAGCCCTCCTCTTCAAAAGAACTGCCCTACTCCTGGGCCAGTCACCCCCTCTTAGCCAAATCGACTTTGTGCAAAGATAAAAACTGCAGGGGAACTATGACCACAAGCCTTGGAAAGGTAGGATGTAAATCTAAGAAATACATTTAGTATAGGCCTAGCATTCTGCTGCTGCTATGGATTACCACTACTCATGTTCTACGAACATTCACTAAAACACAGGTTGAAATACTGATACGTCAGTTGCTGCGGTTATCTTCTGAAGACTTATTATACTGCACAGCCTTCCCCTGACCTATAAAACCAAACCCTGCCATGTGTGCTAAGAACAGCCAATGGCCCATCTAGTCCAGCATCCTGTTCTAACATATGCCAGAAACCCAAAAGCAGGGCCTCAGCACAATACACTCCAGCTTTTTTATAATCTTCTCACCTGTGGAGTCAGTACTATCTGCAGCGGAGCGTCAGGCACCACAACAAAGAGTCTCATCAGCTGAGCATAGTGCGGCTTCAGCCCCCGCCCAGGGTTGGACGACAGGATGTACAGGGGCATGTCGGAGTTGAGAGCCTTGAGAGCCGATTCCTTTGGCCCCCCTCCCATCACCTTCATGACCTTCTCGGGGCCCGAGCACATGAACCTCCGGCCACGGGCATCCTCGTACTCAAACCCCACAAAGGCCCGGGCCACGTCGTCCCGCCGCCTCCCTCTGCCCATGACGACTGCGCTCCTTTTCCCGGGGACAGACTTGTTAGGAGCCGGCCAGGAATTCGTGTCCAGCTCCCCCTCCTCTTCCGTCCGTGTCCGGATGACAATGTCCCAAGGCATTAGGTAATTCGTTCCCAGGATGAAACCCTGCTGGTCTAAGCCGGTGTGGAAGTTGTAAGCCTTGGCAGGGCCGAGTTTTACCAGCGACCAGCTGGAAAACTTGGGCAGGAGGCCCTTGGGGCAATTGGAGTGGAGCATCCCTGGCAGATACTCAACCGTCGAGGCTTGGCGGTCAACCAAGCTGGGCCTCTTCTCTCCTTTGGAGTCAGCTGCCTGCCCGTGAGACTCCGTGTTGTTCCCTCCGCCCTGAGGGTCAGCTGGGTAGGTCCCCAGGCTGTCCGTGGACTGGCCCAGACTGAGCGCTAAGCTCAGGCTGGTGCTCTCCCCCTGAGTCTGCGGCTCCTTCTCCTTCAGCTTTTCGGCTTCGCCCTCTGGAGGGCTGGGCGATGTCTCATTCTTTGCCGGTGCTGGATCTGGAGTGCTTGGCTGGAAGATGGGGAAGTTGATGTGGTCCAGTTTCCCGCAGCATTTCTCTTCCAGCAGCTAGGAAAGCAAAAGAAAGGGGTAGAAATGAGAAGGTTTGCAACCTAGAGCCGGGTGGGGAACATTTTTCAGCTTGAGGGTTGTGTTTCCTTGTAGGTAACCTTCTGCGGGGCTGCATAACAGTGGTGGATGCAAAACAGATGCAAAAGCAGGTGGAGCAATGGATGAGATTCCCATCTTTGTAACACAGGCCATAGCCCAGTCATGCATAAGGCAGCCGTATCTGCACACAGACACACACCCCTCCATCCTTCTAGGTGAGCAAGGGCCATTGTTCCCCTTCAACCAGGCTTTGGTCGTCTTGGTTTAATTATTTACTGGTGTTTTATCTTGTATTTTATTCTGTGAACTGCCCCAGTTATAATAACAATTGTTGCAGCCCAACGATGCATTCAAGTCAGGCAAAAACAACTAATGGGAATGTGGCCTAAGGGACAGGGGTGACTTGGGGAGAGACCTGAGGGCCAAGCAGAGGGGCACAGAGAGCCACACCTGGGGCCTGGGGCCAAAGGTTCACCACCCTTGCGATATAGAGATGCCTCCAGGAACATGCTGTGTAAAAGCCCAAGGCCTGGAAGCTGGGTATCCAAAGGCTGCTGGGAGGTTGTGCCCCCCTCCCTCCTGGACAGCAAAGGGTAGATGCACCTGGCCCCACCCTTTAGTTCAAAAAGGGGTGGGAAATCTACTGCCCCTGGCCTAAGTACAAATGCCCTCTGTAAGCAATTGGCTTAGAGCTTTGGGCAAGAGCAATCTAACCCTTTCCTTGCAACTTGCTGGAGGGAGACGAAGAGGGAAGCAGGAAAAGCACAGGGGCGGGTGGGCAGAAGGAGCAGGGAAAGGCAGGAAGCTGCCCACTTGCAGCCCAGATTCCAACTGCGGAAGGCAACCCCTGACAGATTACCCCAGAAGGAGTGTGGCCCTAAAGAGGGATGAAAAGGCCCACACAATGACAAGTCTTCAACTGTTAGTTTACCCATCTATCTCAGAACTGTATCGCAAGAGGAAGATGACAAATAATTACCTGATAGAAATCGTAATTTGCTGCTTTGATGTCGAATGGGTCATCCCGGGGTGCTTGTTTCCTCCCACAGTTGCAGGTGCCAGTGGAGCGAGCTCGGCTGTTATGGTACAACACAGGTGGGTTCCTGTCTGGTTCAGGTTTCTCCCCTAAAAAAGAGATCCACAAAAGGAAAATTTCCATCAGTTGGTTCCTTTGACTTCTTTGCTTCCTTAAAAGCTTTGAACAAACAACACAGAATCCAGAAACTTGAGAATCATAACCCCACTTTTTTCAGTCCAAAAAAACCATGCATTTTGGAAGTGATGCAAGCCCTTTTTATCCCGGAAAACATTTGTTGCCACAGATTTTATTCAAAAGGGTGCTTGTCATTATACTAAATATTTTGTACTTGCTTTTAATGCAGATAGGACAGATTAAAGATCCCTAAGTCTAAAATGTATGTGTGTGTGTGTGTGTGTGTGTGTGTGTGTATATATATATATATCTCCATCCATCCATCCACCCATATATGTGTATATAGAAAGATGTGACATGCTGAAAGTTTCACCTTTCAATTAGGGATCCCCCACTCTGGAAGTTGAACATGTAGCAGGAAATGATTGAACAATATTGTGAAGGACAATGAGGGCTAGAAACCTAAAAGATTAGCAAAAAGACTCTGCCTTCCTGCCTAGTGCGATCTGGCAGGGCCCATTTCCAAACTTGTGTGAGTGTATATTAAGTGAGATGCATATGCAAACAAATAGAAAATTGGGAGTGGAGGAAGGAAGACAGTCCAGACCATGAGCTTCTAAACCCCGAATGACCTGAACTTACCCGATTTCGGAAGCAAGTGAAATTTATGCACACAATGCTGGTCGGTCAAGCTCCTCTCCTCACACAACTGGTGCCCGTTGCTCCAGAACTTGTAGCAGTCTTCGTGCAACTGCAGGGCATACTTGTGAAAGGCTGGTCCCCGGGCGTGCTGGCTGTAGACCCGCAAGGCCTGGGCCAGCTGGTTCTTGTGGACAGTCATGGTATAGTTGTGGGGCAGGTTGGACTGGTAGGCACTGTGGGCCATGGGGAGGGCCTTCTGGCAGCGGTTCTCTGAGAACTTGGTGTCAATGTCCAGGTAGCCTTCCAAAACCTTGATGCTCCCCATGATTTTGGAGGTCAGCTCCCCGATGGCCGAAGATGGGTCGCTGTCCTTGCCTTCAATGGCCACTTCGTACAGCTTCAGGGCTGTGGCCACCCACTTCTGGTAGGTGGGCAGCTCGAAGTGGGAAGGCTGCGGGTTCCTCCCTACACTGTCGTCAAAGCCCTTCTTGCCCAGGACCAGCTCCACATGCTGGAAGAGGAACTCCTTCAAGGTGCAGTCCACCAGCTGCCCCGAGGAGCTGGAACTGCTGCTGCTGCTCTCCACGTGGAAAGACAGCTGCTGTCTCCCGTGCCGCATGGCCTGGTACCTCCGAGGCCCAGCCAAGGCAGGTGCCAGCGAGGCCTCCGCCTCCCGGGTGGTGCAGTTGCTCCGCAGCTGGTCCAGCAAGACAGCAATGGGGTCGTCGCCCTCTTGCGCCCCACCGGCCACGATGTAAACAAAGGCCTGGTTGGCCGGGACGGTGAAGAGGCAGTTGATGCTCTGGTTGGTCAAGACCCGGCTCTTGCGGAAGATGCGGTAGATCTGGTCCTCCAGGGCATGCTGGAGTCGCCGCTTAGGAGAGTGCTTCTTCGCGGGGGGCTTTTCCAGGTGCCCACAGAACTCCTGCCCCCTGCCGGGCACGGGCTCCACCTTCAGGGCTCCATTGAGCTGGAAGAGGAAGAGGAGGCGGGGCGGGCAAGGCCTGCAGTTGAGCTTCCAGTCCTTGCCAACGGGGCAGTCTTTGATAGCGGCCTTCAGAGAGGGCAGCACCTTCTGACGCAAGCCGTCCAAGGCTCGGAAGACCCGGTCGTAGGTGATGTCGAAGGAGCAGGTGGGGTGGACCATGAGCAGGATGTGGCAGACGGAGAAGAGGTAGAGGAGGCTGAGGCAGTGGAGCTTCTCCTGGTGCTTCCAGAACTCGTGGGCCTCGGCATGGGGCAGCTGGGAGCCGCCTGGGGCCAGGAGGTGAGCCCCCAAGCTGCCAGGCCCTCGGGCATCCCCCATGGCATCCAGGTCCTTGCAGGCTTGCAGAAGCTGGTGGCTGTCGCAGATGGACGTGAGGACCAGGTAGAGCACCTTGCAATCCTGGCTATAATAGGCTTCCAGGAGGTTGTAGTCGCCCTGGGAAGAGGAGGCGGCGGAAGAGGAGGCGGAGGAGGAAGAGGAAGCGGAGGAAGAAGCCGAGGGGGAAACGGTTCCTGGGTCTGCGCCGCCGCCGCCGCCGCCGCCACCACCACCACCTTCCCCTCCTGCACTATCAGTTCCTCCAGCGGAAGATCTGGCTTCGCCGCCGCGCTGGAAGAGGGGGAAGACTTGCCTGTCGCACACCGTGTTCACCAAGGCCGCCTTCTCCGAGCTGAGCTGCAAGGCGGTCTTCCCGAAGATCCCCACCACGCAGACCTCCTCTTCCTCCCCCGGGGTAACTACCCCGGGGGCGACGCTGCTGCTGGTGGTGGTGCTGGTGGCAGGAGCAGCAGCGGGGGCGGCAGCGGCAGCAGGAGCAGCGGCTGTAGCGCTGGCGGCAGGGGTGGCGGCAGCAATGCCAGCGCTGCTGCTGCTTCCCCGCTCCGCTCCAGCCAGCAGCAACTCATGCAAGCCCACGGGGCCTTGCACCGCCGTCGCGCCCACCATCCTCGCCTTTTGCAACGGCACCGCGAGCCTCCTGGCAGGGCTGTTTTGTCGTCCCCCGGAGCAGCCGCCGTCCGAAGCCCGGGAAGCACGAAGGAAGAAACTGCGCAGGCGCGGGGAGGAAAAAGAACGCGATGTGTGTCGAAGCACCAGCCAATAAGCTGCCGCGGCTGGAAAGAAATGGCCTTCTGCGAACGTAGAAATGGGAAAAAGTGAAGAGTGACACACTTCCAGCGTTGGAAGGCGAGATTTCCCCTGTTGCTTCCACACTCCACCCCTTCGTTTTGTCAGGTTGCACCCTAGGCAGGCTTACTAGGTATCTAGTAAGGTATCTAGACTGCATCATTCCACACCACTGAACGTGTTGACAGGGGTTAATGGAATAATAATAATAATAATAATAATAATAATAAATGGAATAAATAATAATAGGAAGGGACCCAAAGGGTCATCTAGTCCAACCCCCTTGCAATGCGGGGTTGATGGGAGCTGCAGCTCAGCTAACTTTTATTGAAATATGTCTAGCCTGCATTTTTGGTTAAAATAAATAAATAACAGCAATACTCGCTTGCACGTCTTGGTTTTCGCGGGGTGGGGACGGGGACCCAGGATTCCGTCCCCAAGCACCCTCCCAAATCCTGCTGCCAATCCAGCAGGCAGGAGACAAAGGGGAAAAAAAGGTCTGCAAAGTCAAGTCAGAAGGTGGAAACGTTGTGAGAGTCTATTTTTAAAGTCTATGTTTGAAACAAGTGAGGGCAGGGAGGCGAAGGACTCTGTCCTTGCACATGCTCAGACATCACTATGAAGCCGCTGCGTCCTGGAACTGCCCTTCCTCTTTCTGCGAGCCTCCGAATGGAGCACGTGACCAGCTACAGGCAGGGTGTTGCCGTAAGCGCGCGCCCTTCTAAGTCAACGTGCACAGGATTGGGCCCTTAAGCACTGCACAGGTGTTTAGCCTTGTGCAGCTTTTCATATGCTAGCAACATATGATGTAAATTCCATGAATTCCCCACTTATTTCTCCCCACGCACCTGTTGACAGATGCAGGTGTGTGCTCGACGATTGTCATTAAAGTCCTTTTTAAGAGCAGGGCTGGGGAACCTGTGACCCTCCGGAAGTTGCTGGATTCCAACTCCCATCAGTCCCAGCTAGCATGGCCAATGGTCAGTGATGATGGCAGTTGTAGTCCAACACCTAGAGCGCTGCAGTTCACCACCTTAGAAGCAAGACAGAAAGGTCCGAAGACGGTGGATAGGGGACAGAGGCTACGTATCCTGCCCAGACTGAGCAAAAAGGTAGAACTCTGCACGATCTGCAGTGCTGCAGCTAGGTTCCAACGCCCAACAATTTATCAATAGCAAGTAAAGTAGTTCTCCAGCACAGCATGCCTTATGACAAATGCCTATCATATTCCACGATTCTCTCCTGTAAGAATATGAATATGTATTGGTTGCTTTTCACCATGTCTTTTGTGTCGCTATACTGGCCACCTTTAATGTTTTGTGTTTAAATCAGTGAGCTGTCATAACTCAAGTGCAGATTGGCACAGAGCAGGCATCCCCAAACTTGACCCTCCAGATGTTTTGGGACTACAACTCCCATCATCCCTAGCTAACAGGACCAGTGGTCAGGGATGATGGGAATTGTAGTCCCAAAACATCTGGAGGGCCGAGTTTGGGGATACCTGGCACAGAGGCATGCATGTTATGCCAATGGATAACAGTAGATAACCAGTGCTCACCTGAGCCAAGCCACCAATTTACATGTAGCTTTGGTTAGCGGATCCCACAAGTCTAAAAGTTTGCTTATCTCTTATGTAGGCAGCAGCCTATCATCCACTATTTGGGTATAGCACATAGAAAGTGCTGACTCTGTAAACACACAAGACGTAACCGGCTGTACTTTTGAATAAATAAGGTATACTGTTCATTGTATCGAATTGTAGATTTCAACGGAAGTCTCATAAAGTTTACTGCAATCACTACTATGCTGTAAGATCCACTATCCTGTAATATTACATATGAGCCTGCTCTACTGATGAAGCCTAGGATGGTGAAACAAGGCTAATATTCTGGAAATCCTTGTCTTGGACTCTGTGAAAGGATTCTGTGGAACTGAAACAACCCTTCATGTGGATTATTGGACTCTTTGAACAGACAGGTAGAATAGATACTTTTACATGTATGGACCTTATGCATGAACTGACTAGACAACGAACTGATCCACTGGGTCTTCTGCTTTTTTCATTGAACTTTATGAGACTTCCGTTGAAATTACAATACAATGAATAGTATACCTTATTTATTCAAAAGTACAGCGGGTTACGTCTTGTGTGTTTATTGAGTATGTTTCACGTAACCATAGGTTTGTTGTTGTTGCCCTGCTGACTCTGACCACACATTAGTCAGCCAACTCAGCATCCTCTTCACTGACTGGCAACAGCTCTCCAGGTTTGAGACCAAAATTCCTTTCTCTCTCTCTCTCTCTCTCCCCCCCATCTATCTGGAGATCCTGGGGACTGAACATGGGACCTTCTGCATTGCAAAGCTGATTGCTTTACCACCGAGCTACAGCCATTTCTTGAAGCATACATCAACCACGTAATTGGACTACCAAGTGTTGTTGGCTACCACTCAATACATTTCTGATGAGACCCATCACCTTGAACAATAATAAAACACTCTTTTCCAAAAAGAACATGAATGAGGAGCAGGACAAGAAAGCCAGCAGACTGCCATATTCTTTTTTTATTGAACTGATTTCAGTCCGCGCAGCTTTACAATATTTAGTTTCAAGTTGCTCCAAATTGTGCCACAGGTAGCTATAGAAGCTATTTGTCTTTGAAATGTGCAGGAGGTAAGCAGCAAAGCAATTGAATTGACACACACAACAAACAGCAATAAAATGAGTGATGGGTAAGAAACGGATGCAGAAACACAGTGTAAACTTGTAAATAACTAGGTGAGCTGGGTTACAGCTGTATAATGCAGCGTGCATATGTAGACGTGTACATTTAGGAACACTTTAGCCTACTGACCATCTCTACCTTAGCATTAAAGGTTCAATCTTTTTTTCCTGGAATGCTCCATGTTTCAGATGGACAGTCTGAAGGGTGTCTGTTTACTCTGCAGCAGAGCTGGTGAGTCTTTGGTCCTCCAGGTGTCACTAGACTCAAACTCCCTTCATCCACAGGCAGCTTAACCAATGGTCTGGAATGATGGGTGTTGTAGTCCAACACTGTCTGGCAGGACCACAGGGTCCAGATCCTTGTTCTACAAAGCTTCACACACACACCCCAAATTTTTTTAAAGCTTCTCCCTGGGAACTTTTGTGAGGATGCTCTTAAGAGGCCCCTGTCCTTGCACAGATGAACAATCTCCAATATTCCAAGCTACACAAGAATGTGTCATAGGCATATCAGGAGAAAACTGGCGCCACTTGTGCGCATATGCTCACAATATCCCTTCAAAACACTAAGGCCACATTCTACACCATACATGTAAAACACATTGCTTCTCACAAATAATCTTGGGAACTGTACTACTGGGAACAATAGCTCTGTGGGGGTAAACTACAATTCCCAGAATTCTTTGTGTTTTTCGGGTGGGGAGCACCTGTGCTTTACATGTATAGTGTGGATCCAACCCAACTGCATCTAAAGGAGAAATAAACGTTAAAAAGAGTTATGTGCCCAAGAGTTGTTTACCACAGTGTCTGAATTGAAAGGATTGCTATCTAAGTTAAGGCATTTCCTTCCATTGCACCGCCAAGGCAATTTGATGCTGGCGCCCTTTTGAGCTGTTCATGGGCTTGATGCAAAAGCAGCATGTCAACGGCCCTGGAAAACTAATGAGCTGAAGCTTCCTTTTTGGGTCCTGCAAATTTATTTTGCCTTTTAATGCACTTGCAAGCAGACTCAAGGCAAAGAATACACTCTTCAGATTGCCGATACAGCTTTTTAGATGAGCTGCTGTGGCTTTTTCACTAGCTTTCCTCTGTTCGATGAATTTCCAGTTAAACAAGTTCTGGAGTTCTTCAAAACCCAGTCTGACCGAAGAGAGCAGGACTGATGAGAAGTCTGTACCCCCACAGAAAAGCATCATCATCAGCACTTTGAAAACAATAGCTGTCATCTTCAACCAGAACCTAGTCTCCATCTTACAGATACAATCTGTACATAATGGTACACTCTGTAAATAGCTCTAGGTGCTACTCACATTTTTTAAGGAGTGTTTGAATGACCAGCTGATGATTCCAACCTCTTCCATCATGGCAGAACCTCATTGTTTCTCAGCAGACCAAGAGGGTGTAAGGAGCGACTCAACATGCATCAGGATCTCAAACCAGAAGCAAAAACCTCATTTGAGGTTTGCTGAACATACAGCCTCTTTCGGTACAAAGGCATGTTAGACTTCCTCTGCAATTCACTTTTCCCCCTCAGAGAAAGGGGCATTTTCCCTTATTGAGAAAAACATATACTTCCCCCTCTAAGAGAAGATAAAAAGGTATTCTTCATTATGGAGAAAACATACACAAATTCATGTGTACACATACACTTTAGATGAAATTTCCAAGACTGACTGCCACCCTTCTGAGTTTTAAGAACTTGGGAGTTTTTTAAAATGTTTCTCTCCCCAAATCTTTTTTAAAATAGTAAATACTTTAAAAATATATATAAACGTTTCAAGTTAAGTTACAAATAAAACAAGGTTAGGAATGCCCAGTTCCCCATGCAGGTATTTTATATCTTAAAGGTGTTTTATAGTGATAACCTCTTATTTGCCGATGCGGTGTTAAGCAAGGAGGGATGCTCTCTGGATGCTGCTGGGAATTGTAGTCCAACAAATCCAGAGGGCCACAACTTCCCCATCTCTGCCGTAAAGGAATAAAAATCAGGCTGGGGAAAAAATACTTATACTGTCTCTCCTTTGTGTGTTTCACCTGGGGATGGTGAGCTCTGCTCTAAAGGACGATGAAGATCATCCTTTCTTCTCCCCTCCCTGCTCCCAGTGTATTTTATTGAAAAATAAATTCCTTCCACGTTAGTAGTGCCCATCAGCAGAGGCCAGAAAACCAGCACAGGGAACTGCAGGTAGGCAGGAGATGCGCTGCTAACTTTGCTCCTCAAAGCTGCTTCCTTTCGGCAACAGGGATGGAGAGGGACTCTTTGGGTGAGCCAACTGTCAAGAAAAGAGAGAGAGAGAGGTTTCAACTTTTCCTTCTGGCTGTAACTTCAGTTTTTGCGCCGTTCTGCCCACACTTCCTAAAGCCACTTCCTCTCCTCAGGCTAGACTCCTCACCTCACCCCCTCCCTCAAGTTCTTTTGTACAGATGCAGAATTCATGTTAATTGTAGCAACACCTCTTGCTTGGGCTGGGGGAGGATGGGGAGGGTTGTGCGCGAGTGTGCACAGGCAACCCCGCATTTACACGCGTTCAAAATGTGAACGTGCATTACGCCAAACCCAGAAGTGACCCGAAAACGTCACAAAAAGGAGTGGAACGGGAAGGGGTTGGGTGGGGGAAGCACTGCTTGTAGGCATTTTCAATGCCGTTTCAAATACCGTATTTTTCGCTCTATAAGCTGCACCCGACAATAAGACGCACCTAGTTTTTAGAGGAGGAAAACAAGAAAAGCCAGCAAGACACGCTCGCTCGGCGTGGCTCTTTAAAGATAGAGCGGCTCTTGCTGGCTTTTCCGGGAGGTGGGAGAAGGGACTGACGGGCTGCCCTCCGTCCCTTCTCCCACCTCCCTGAAAAGCCAGAGGAAGCTGCGCAGCTATCACTGAACCCAGCGGAGCAAGGGCTCCCGTGTAAGGGCTCCCTTCCGTTCCTCCTCCCGCTTCGCTGGGAAGCCAGCAGAACAAGAGGCGCTGCACAGCTCTCGCTCTTGCTCTGCTGGCTTCAGCGATAGCTGCGCAGTCTGCATTCGCTCCATAAGACGCACACACAATTCCCCTTACTTTTTAGGAGGAAAAAAGTGCGTCATATGCAGCAAAAAATACGGTATTCACTTAAACGGCCTCGGTCCAGTATACCTGAAGCAGTGTCTCCACCTTCATTGTTCTGTCCGGACACTGAGGTCCAGCGCCGAGGGCCTTCTGGTGGTTCCCTCGCTGTGAGAAGCCAAGTTACAGGGAACCAGGCTGAGGGCCTTCTTGGTAGTGGCACCCGCCCTGTGGAATGCCCTCCCATCAGATGTCAAAGAGAAAAATAACTACCAAACTTTTAGAAGACATCTGAAGGCAGCCCTGTTTAGGGAAGCTTTTAATGTTTAATAGGTTATTGTATTTTAGTGTTTGATTGGAAGCTGCCCAGAGTGGCTGGGGAAACCCAGCCAGATGGGCGGGGTATAAATAATAATAATAAATTATTATTATTATTATTATTTAATTATTATTATTATTATTATTATTAAACATGGGGTGCCTCGGAACATAACCCCTGTGCAAATGGGGGGTTGCCTGTGTGTGTGTGTGTGTGTGTGTGTGTGTGTGCATACACACAAGCATACACACACATATACAGACGTGCAAAAAGCCTCTGTCTTTTGCAGTTGGAATGTAGACTAGTGTGCAAAAGTACAAGTCACACCTCCATTGCTCCTCCCAATTTTGCCCCTAGCCCCACCCATCCCGGCACATGACCTGCGGAAGGTTTCCCCTGCAAGGGGAATGTGGCCCTTGTGGGGACGAGGTTCCCCACCCCTGACTTGGGAAGATGGGACTGTGCGTTCGAAGCCCCCTTTCAACACTTGCTTTGCCAACCCAACAGAGATCCCTAGAGAGCCTTGCCTGAAACTTGCGCCGCAGAGCCTGCGTCATGATGGGTGTCAGTCCTGTGCCAGTCTCCATGTTCTCTTTGTTGCTTAACGGGGTTCCACCTGGGCTCCTGGGGCAGCGGAAGGAAAAATAAAGAGGGTACACGGTCTATGCTGGGAGCCATAAACTTGTGTTTCGGTTAACTGGATTCATGTTTTGCTTCTCAGAGCGACATATCCTAAAGCAACTTACAGGAATAATAAAATGCTTTCATAAAAATATGTCAAAGACACAGAGGGAAAGCCTCCATTTATTGGTTCTGCCCAAATGCCTGAGGAAAGAAATAATGCCTTTGCCTGGTGCTGATGTGATGGCAAGGTTGGCAACAGGTGGGTCTCCCTGGGGAGACCATGCTACAAAATGGGAGCTACCACAGAGAAGGCCCTGTTCTCTCATTGTCCTCACCCCGGAACTCCCTCAAATGATGACCTTGGGGTCTGGGCAGGATCATATGGTGAGCTAAAAGAAAGGAAAAAAGGGGGAGAATGACCCCTACTTCCCTATATAGATGGTTACCTCTCAATAGCGACTTTTCTCAAGTGTTTCCGGAAATCTAAGCTGCTTCTGCTAGGAGTGCTGGAGGGGGAAAAGAAGAGCAAACATGAAAATTAAAATACAGATTTCCTAAGTGGACCAACGTTAACGCTGCACATAAAATTTGCAGAAAGGTCAGAGGTGCCTTACATCAAGTGACTGGTAACCCGAGCTTGTGGTCTTGGGGCTTTGGATTTTAGATTGATGCTTTGCAAGTCGGAGAGGGTGATTAATGCCTTGCGCCTCTCAAACGGAGATCTCCTCTGAAGAAAAGAAAGACTTGTTACTGCACCATACCTTCTGAAAGAAGCTTCAACACAGTGCCTTTGTGATGAATTTTATCAGGGGGGCACAAAAAATTTCTTGGGCCCTTTCCCTTCTCCATTATTCTTGTTTTTATCCTCTAAATCAGGGGTCGGCAAGGTTTATCTTGCCTGGGCTGGATCGGTCCCACGGAGATCCATCCGTGGGCTGGATCGCGCCTGCCTGCAATTTCCGGCGTCTGCGCAGATGTGATTTCCAGCGCCATGAAAGCAAGTTCCTGTGCCATGCTGTGGCGGTTTAGCGCAGTGAGCAAGCAGGTGGCTCGGTTCGGGGGCAGCTTGTGGGCCGGTCAAAAAACCTCCGCAGGCTGCTTCTGACCCATGGGCCTTAGGTTGGTGACCCCTACTCTAAATAAACCCTACCAATACCTCTACCCAACCCCCATTCCCTTGAAGTTCGGACATAACCTTAAATAGCTTAAATTGCTGGTGACTTCAGGAAAGTAGGAAATTAACTGCTTGTTGAAGTCTGGGGATGTTATTTTATTTTATTTCTTACTTGCCATTCAAAATACGGTGGTACCTCTAGATGCAAACGGGATCCGTTCCGGAGCCCCGTTTGCATCTAGAAGCAAACGTAACCCGTGTCCGTGCGTCTGCGGGTCACATTTCGGCGCTTCTGCACATGTGTGTGACATCATTTTGAGCGTCTGTGCATGCACAAGCGGCGAAACCCGGAAGTAATGCGCTCCGTTACTTCCGGGTTGCCATGGAGCGCAACTCGAACGCGCTCATCCCGAAGCACATTCAACCCGAGGTATGACTTTAATTTATTCCCCTACCTGGAGAAGGATAGCCAAACCTTTGTTCTTCATGCTATGGTAACCTCTAGGTTAGATTACTGCAATGTATTATACGTGGAGCTGCCTTTGAAGACTGTCCAGAAACTGCAGTTGAGGCCAAATTCAGGGGCCTGACAGGGCAAGGCAGTCTAAGGCTGAAATGCCAGCCCCAGCCCAATTGCATCAGCTACCAGTTAGCTTTTGGGTTCAATTGAAAGTGGTGTTTTGTGTGTTTCTGTATTTTCAAAGCTTTATTTTTGTTTTAACTTAAGTAACATAAAGAGTCGTACAAGTTGCTGCATTTTTGGTTACAGCCAAAGAAGAAATCTTGTTAAAGATGTATGTCTTTTTACAAATCATATAAATAATCAAAATGGTTTTATGTAACTACAAAGATAGCTTTCATAACTCATAGAAATGACTCAAAAGTGCACAAACATAACTAAGTTATTGCTTAAAATCAAATCTATTTGTCTGGTCTAACCCACTATCATATTGTTTTTATTACACCCTCCCAAGATAAACTGGATCTTTGAATTTTTAAAAATTTTGTTTAAAGATGTTCTGCAAATGCTTTTGAAACTCATTTTGTAATAGAAAATCAATGAAAATCAATAAAAATTGAATTTGGAAAAAGAAACTACACAAATGCATAGCTCAGTACAAAAACCTGATTCAAACTCTCAGATTCATAAAACAACCATACAATAAACCTTCCTTTTGAGCTCAAAGAATTCCCTTTGTTACTTATCAAATGGCTGGTTTTGACCTATAAAGCCTTATGCAGCTCAGTTTCCCAATACACCAAGGACCACTTTTCCCCGTATGAATCAACCTGGACACTGATTTATTTAGTTTTGGCCAATTTTGTATTCCCTTCCGCTTGGCCCAATTTCACCCGGGTCCCATTCATTATGCTATTAATCAGTGTTTGAAAGTGGACCGTTTTCTGCAGATATTTTTGTTTGTTTGTTACTGACACCATCACAACACCACACCTGTCCAGGTGACCGTAGCCTAGGAGTCCTTCACAATACCAATCTGATACAGTGGCCGATCATCAGACAGCAGGGCCCAAACAGCTCAGCTCAGAGCATTTAACACAAAATGTGAAGCACATTTAATACGCCTTTCCGAATTTACCTTGTCTATCCCCATGCTGCTTTGGGCCTTCTTTAGTTTTACATTTAGGAGGTCCTGGAGGGTTATCTGCATGGGTACGTCTTTTTTTAATGAGGCTGCCTGGATCAAAGAAGAAAGTGGACAGAAAAGAGGTTCAGAACCCACAGCTCTCTCAACGACACTGACCAACAAAGTCTCTGACTCAACATCCTTCAGCTCCTCCTGAAATCCTACAGGAATTAAATTTCTACCCCACTCTTTTATCTAAAGGGGCTCAGGGTGGGAAGCAGTGAAATGCTACATAAAAATAAAATACATAGTTAGATATCTGTATGGCAATATTCATTAAAAAAACAAACCAATCTATCTACAGCAATCGTACATACAATAATAAAAAAAAGATGTAAAAACTGAGAATCGGAGATCAGCTAACTACTGTATTGCGATTAATGTATGTTCTTAATTGTCTGCATAAGCTTGGAAGCATTTACCTTTGCTCACCTCTAGCTCTGCTTACCATTGGCAAGCGGCCCCTGGGAGGCTGCCCAGGGAGGAATGCGGCCCCCAGGCTGAAAATGGGTTTCCCATCCCTGGATTGCTCCCACCAACCCATATGCTACCAGCAGGCAAGAAACTGAAACGGACAAGACCCCAATTGGAGGAGTTAAGAGGAACTCTCACTGCCATACACATTACCGGCGTCTTACTGCCACCAGCTCTTCTGAGAGGGAGAGGTGCAGGTAGAGGCTGGGGCGGAGGGGGAGGGGGTGGGGGAGGGGGAGGAGGGGGAGGAGCCAAGGGCTGTGGAGGCAAAGATTCTGGAAGGCCCAGCTGCGCATGCGCGGGAAAAGCTGGCTCCGGTTTCTCCAACTGCATCTGGCAAGGCGGCTTTTCCGAGAAAGGCACAACAGTTCCATTCTGTTGAAAGAGGGAGAAATCAGCGAAGGGGATTCAATTCAGCACATAGAGGCGAAAGATTTATACGATCTGAAGAGAAACCATATATATTAATGTTATGTAGTTAGGCATTGTAGTATGAATGAATTTTGTTCTGTATTCTTTGTTTTATAGAATATGTATAATAATGTTATGTTACTAAGCAAATTTAATAAAACAGAAAAAGAGAGCGGGGGGAGCACATAGAGGCGAAAACTGAAGTCTCATCAGCTGGAAATGTTAATCCAAAACCTTGTGTAAAGCCACAGAGACTTATGAACTACCCAGCTTAAGATGAACTTCAATGGATTTTTCAAATGTTTAACTCAGTCTTTTGTTTTCTTTAACTTTTAGGTGAGTTCATGAAGATACCAGCAAAGGGTAAGTTCGGTGTTGTTCACAATACTGAGAGATGCTAGTGAAGTTGTAGATGGATGTTAGTGAAGTTGTAGACAGAGTGCCGGCGTTTTGCACCTGTTTCGCCCTGGCTTTGAAACCAGACATTCTAAGTGTTATGTACTGAAGTTCTCACCCTGGGCCAGCAGGGGGATACTGTAGATAGTTTTCACTCAGGTCCACATATGCAAATAAGGAATTGAAAGTGACGTTCAGTGATTGGATAGTTACAGAAAGTTGTTACTGTTACATTGTAGTGGAGCTCTATATAAGCAGGCTGGCTGAACCCTTCAGTTCAGTTCTGGCCTGTGAATAAACAAGAGCTGTCTGAAGAATCACTGTGTCGTCTGATATGTTCACCCACAACTTAACAGTAAGTTCATCTTAAGTTGGGTAGTTCATAAGTCTCTGTGGCTTTACACAAGGTTTTGTATTTTGCTCAGAAGATTGATAAAGAATGTATAATTATTTTGGCAATTATTGTTTGCATATTAGTCGCCAACGTGTTGCATGAATCGTACTACACAGGTTGCATTTTTCTAGCAGGAAATGTTAATCTGGCAGTAAGGCACCAGAGTGGCCAGGTTGTCAACTCAGTTATGGGATGCAAGCTCTTATGCACCAACTTTTCATTTTGAAAGTTTACTAAACCACATTAACATGCACACACCTAACACACACCCCAAACTCCCAGTTACAACATACGTTTCCTCTTATTTATTTCATAAAACGTCTATGCCGCGTGATTGTGGAAAAAAACCCCAGATAATCTTAAAGCGGTTTCTATCATACAATAGAATTTCGGATACTTATATTTTAATGCCTGTATAACACGTCTGAATATTAAGCAGTATATATAAATAACTGAAATAGCTGGTTTTTATACCCATAAGATACTTGGAAGCCTATTATGGAATTAAGCAGTACATAAAGGTACGGGCCAGTCTTGACAGACTCTAGGGTTGTGCGCTCATCTCACTCTATAGGCTGGGAGCCAGTGCTGTCCGCAGACACTTCCGGGTCACATGGCCAGCGTGACAAGCTGCATCTGGCGAGCCAGCGCAGCACACGGAATGCCGTTTACCTTCCCCGCTAGTAAGCGGTCCCTATTTATCTACTTGCACCCGGGGGTGCTTTCGAACTGCTAGGTTGGCAGGTGCTGGGACCGAGCGACGGGAGCGCACCCCGCTGCGGGGATTCGAACCGCCGACCTTTCGATCGGCAAGTCCTAGGCGCTGAAGCTTTTACCCACAGCGCCACTCGCGTCCCTAAGCAGTACATAGATTAATGTTAAAGTAATTATCTATATTTTACAAACCACAACAAATTGGACTCGTCCACAGCTATTTGCCTGCGGCAAAGAAATAACATTTAAGACAAAGTTGCCACCCCTCCACGCAGGTAAAAGTCTTGCCAATGGTTTGGGCTTCAAGGATCCTGTTTCCAAAGTATGAATGTCAGGAAGCAAATCAGTTCATTACAATATATCAGAAGCTGGCCGGAGGCGGCAGATTGGATTGCTACAAACTTTGTAAAAAGTACGACTTACCTTGACCAGCAACTGTAGGCTGGCAAATTCAGTTTCCAGCTTTTCTAACCGTTCCCGGAGTGCAGCCAACTCCTGCAGACACGTGTTTGATGGAGACACAATTTTTTTGACGACTTGAAAGAACTGGGAGAGCAGAAAAGAAGCAAGAGAAACTGATTTTCTACAGAGCTAGGCATAAGCCCAATGTATATGCACACTTGGCAGCAGAAAAAAAGCCAACACCCCGGACCAATGCAGTGGGGGGAGAGGACACAAGAGGGCCACTTTCCTTGGGTCCCACATTCAAAAGGGGGCTCAGATTTAGTTTTTTCACATTTAACTTGTTTCGATGTGCACCCGACTCAAATGCGACTCTCAGCTTAGTGCTGCAGATTTGAGCAGGTAAGAAACATGATTTGATGAGACATCATTTTTCTTAACCTATACAGAGCTTAAAATGTTCATAAATATGAATAAAAATATATCCGTTCCAATGGTGGGTCGTTATTTTTTCATTTTGGCTGGGGGTGGGCCTCAAAAGCAGGAAGTGGGCCTTTGACTGCCAACATCCTAGTGGTTGCTTGAAATGAAAAGCCATTTCCAAAGAGAAAAAGGGAGTCTAAAATTCTTGCTACAATCAATCATCATGCTGGATTTTAAAAGCTGTGACCAGGATCCCAGGAAAGAAAGGGTGACAGGTGAAGGAAACCTCAGAGCCCGCCCCAGACAACTTAAGAAGACACCTCCTTGATCGATCAAGATGTTTGCCTGGTCCAACAGCCCCACACCTGATGTCCTGCCAACAGCAGTCTTACCCCAGTCCTTGCTGGAAGTGTTGAGGATCAAAAGTGGGAGTCATTGTTTGCAAACTGATGCTCTCCCAACTAAGCTGCAGTCCCTGTGTCTAAGTTTGTTACTGTAGATTCTGAATGGCAATGAGGAGTCATCCTTTCTAGCGCTGCTTTTCAGGATCCCTTGAGCTGGTGGCGTCAGAGATTGAACCCAGTACTTTTACTCATGTGAAGCCTGGGATCCACCAGCGAGCATGGAGTGGCTCAGCCCCTCCTAGGCTGAACACCCTCCTCCCAAACATCCACCAAGATTAGACACTCTCGCTCTCTTCCATTCTGCACTGAGTAGGGGTTCAAAGAATGTCTCTTCGCGAGCCACTGCAATGGGGGGCAAAGTCCCCCACATTGATAGGTGGGGCATCCTGGCACAATTTCTTGCCTTTGTCACTTTTTCTGTTCTTTTAGATGTGGCAGCCATTCTATGTCAGGCTACACCTCCATTTCGTTACGGTCACTCATCATGCACTCTCTTAATTCCACATATGCCCTCCAGCTCAAACAGACAAAGCTGGTGCTGCTACAGTTTTCAGTATTCTAAATAAAAAGATCACATGAACAAAAACTTACCTGTCCAACACTTTTCTGGCACCACCTGTACAGACACAACCCTGCGGTCTGTAAAGCCTTCACTACTGCAATGCTCAGAAATGTCAAGGGCCATGAGTAAAGAGGTTTGTTCCAGCTGCAGGGTGAAACCGGAAGCCTACCAAAGACAAACACCAAATCAAAATCTTAAAAAGGTGACCTTCATGGATGGTTCCTATTGTCTTTGGCACAGAAAACCACCTCATTCCCATAGGCTTCCATTACTAGAACAAGCAGTGCATGAGCATTACAATTATATTGTTATAGATTTGAGAACGGGGGAAATTAATTAGAAATTAATAAATGGTAGGATTTTCATTATTTGGGATATGAAGGGGAAATACAAGCTGCAGATGAATTCCTGTGCAAGCCTATGCAAAATGACCTGGCCAAGAAACAATATAGGGCCATTGGCAATGCAAGATAACTGTCCTCCCCTCTTGCCCTGAGGTGTGAACAGAGATGGGGGTTTGGTAGGTTGCCAGGGTAACTGGGTGTGAGGTGACAGGAAAAAAAAGTATTGAGCAAGGGTTGCTGAGGAAAAGAAGATGATGGAAGACGGACTGGGATCCATCTTGGGCAGGCTGGCTGCAGGGTTGACTGGGAGATATGCCTTTGACTCCAGGGCTGCACTGCTGTGGGGTACAAGCCCCTCTTGAAATGGCTATGCTGTAAGATCTGGACTCCCTCCATGCAGACTGAAGGTGTGAATAGGTGAATAAACCATATTTCTTAAAGCTACTACAGTCTCCACATACCCTAGGTGAGTTCCTGGAAGCCCATGAGCTCTTGCCACCACTTGGCAGAGAGAGGGGAAAGCACCCAACTTTCGCAACAATTTTATATGCATTTTATTACTTTCTTGCTACATAAATGGCCTTGGTCACTTTCAATGGTTTGAAAACAAGGCAACTGTGATGACTAGTCATAGAAAGAACACTGAACAGAAAAATTAAAAGATCAGAGGTGCTTACTTTGGAGGGAGAGAACTTGAACACTGAGGCTGAATGATAACTTCCTTCCTGTTTGCCAAACGTTTTGCTCTGGCTCTCAGTTTTCGACGCCGTCGACTGTCCTTGCCCATTTTCTCTAACTTAGACTTCAGGCTAAATCATATCCCTGTTAGATGTCCTTGATCTGAAGCTTTGTTTGAAGGGGACAAATGAGTAACAGGAATCCTGCCATACCCTTAAAAAAAAAGACAGCTTTTTTAGAAAGACCAAGCGTAGATTTTAAAAATGTAGGTGTTGCCAGATGGAACATCATGCCCAAGAAGCACCCATACAAACAACACCCACCCACCACAGATGTAAATATTGCCATTGTCCGAGTGTTGAGTTTTCAGGGATTCTGCACACTGAAACAGATTTTGATTTCCTTTGGAATAAGATCACTGGATGCGTACTGATCTCTTGTAATATCTACGTTCATTTTACACACCCTGTGGAAAAGATGAAGCAAGCCAAGCAGGCAAAGTGGCCAAAATCACATCCTGCTCCAGTTGATCTATCCTCTCCACACCCACAGGGCTAACTTTACGTTGTATTTCATCTGAGTGAGCATCTTAAATCTGTAAACTGTCTTGGGCATATTGCAGAAAGGCAACATATAAATTAAGCACAGTAAACAAGCAGAAAGAAAGAAAAGCGATGATAAACCTAGACAGCATCTTAAAAAGCAGAGACATCACCTTGCCAACAAAGGCCCGTATAGTTAAAGCTCTGGTTTTCCCAGTAGTGATGTATGGAAGTGAGAGCTGGACCATAAAGAAGGCTGATCGCCGAAGAATTGATGCTTTTGAATTATGGTGCTGGAGGAGACTCTTGAGAGTCCCATGGACTGCAAGAAGATCCAACCGATCCATTCTGAAGGAAATCAGCCCTGAGTGCTCACTGGAAGGACAGATCCTGAAGCTGAGGCTCCAATACTTTGGCCACCTCATGAGAAGAGAAGACTCCCTGGAAAAGACCCTGATGCTGGGAAAGATGGAGGGCACAAGGAGAAGGGGACGACAGAGGACGAGATGGTGGGACAGTGTTCTCGAAGCGACCAGCATGAGTTTGACCAAACTGCGGGAGGCAGTGGAAGACAGGAGTGCCTGGCGTGCTCTGGTCCAGGGGGTCACCAAGAGTCGGACGCGACTAAACGACTAAACAACAACGACAAACAAGCAGAAGCTCAGCTGAAATATGGGGTCCTCCCCACTCTTGTTGAGGCTGCGGGCGCATATGGAAATCTAAGAAATTCTCGCAGGGGGCACAGAAGCACCCATTTTACAGAAGAAAAAATGGCAATGTTCCGTACCCATCCTTAGCAGACGGGAAACACACCTGACTCCCCACCCAATAAAGCCAGAAAGAAGCAGGTGGTTCCCGCAAAGCAGAATACTTACGAGCGCTCTCATTCCATCTCCTAATTCTTCATATCTTAAACAAAACCCCTACCTTAAAAAACCAAAACTCCGCCCTTCTTGACACATGCCAACATTTCCTTGCCACGCCCAACATTTCAAACTGATAGCAGCCTGCGCCACAGCCAATCACAGTTCCCCGTGCTGCAGCCAGTGTTCTATTGAGACAAAAACCTATTGGCATCCTGCGTCCCACGATTGGTTGCAGATCCAGCCAATCAGGAAACAATAGCCAACCAGATTAAAGGTCTGGAAAAAAGGGGCCAATAAGAGAAAGAGGGGAGGGACGAGAAAAAAGGTGGCCAAAATGTCAACCCGCCTTAGAAAGAAATGGGACCAATGAAGAACCGGGTGTTGAGCCTTTTGACCAATGTAGTCTCTCGGTCCAGCCCAGTTCTCGCCCCCTACAGTTTTCTCTTAACAAACCAATCAGAGCCGCCACCGTCTCGAGCCTATCCAATAGGAGCCGCTGTCTCATGCCGCGGGGCTGTACGCTTTGTTCTCCAATAGGCGCGAGGTTGTGTTTGAGAGAAGCCAATGAAACAGAGGACGTGGTGACAGCTGCCCAATCAGAGGCGCCGGCCCTTCCTCTCATAAAGAAAGGGAGGGGAGAGGGGTGGAATGCCACCGCCTGAGGAATGTCAACTATTCAACATGGAGACGGCGGTTACTACGCTCGAGACCATGGTGAGTCCCGGGGCTGCCGTCGCGACGAATGTGGCTGCGGTTTTCTTGAGGGAAGGGGCCGACCGTTGAAAATGTGGGACCAACGAATGGGAGAAAGAAAGAAAAAAAAAACACCGGGAGGGGGAAGGAACAGTTGAGGAAGGGGGAAATGTGAGGGGATAGTCCCATCCCCCCCCCCGTTTTGGACCCAACCACACACCGCGGAGAGGCTTCGGAGAAGATTCCGTTGGGCGAATCCACTATCTTCTGAGGGGAGGACAAAAAGGGGCGTGCTGGTTTTGGTCCATTTCTCTTTGGAGGCTCGCTGTTGGGGGCGTGGCTCGTCTGTGTGGGCGTGGCCCTCCGGCCTAACCCATTCTCTGAAAAGCCTGCTATTTACGGGGCGTGACCAGAGCTTCGAGGGGGCGTGGCCCGTCGGATTGGTCCATTTCCCCACCCATCATTCATCAAAGGTCCTTTTTCTTAGAGAGAAGGTGGAACAAGATAAGGCAGTGTAGAAGGGTCCATGTCCCCCTTCCATGGGAGGGAAAATAAGGGTTCAGGCTGGTGCCACTACTAAGCAACAACTCTAATTGCCAAAAAAAAATTTATGTCCGTTTGAACCAATAATTCACATAACATTATCTATGTCCACCTGAACCTGGGTTTCGCTTTTATATTATATATGACTTGATTTCTTTATAAGCTGTCACCCATGTACATAGATCCACCAGCTGTGGGGTGTAGTGGTTGCCAATAAAAAACATATGCAAAGCAGTAGTTATTTAATCATTTAAGCAGAATTTGTATGATATAGCACCATCTAGGTGAGCTTGAACTTTGGTTTCTATTTTATATTATTAATATATAATGTTTGGGCTCAAGTAATATTTGACCTGTAGCTGTTGCAATTTTCTTCATCCCAGGAGTGGCAGCTGATCTGACAGAGTCTACAGCTTGCTTTGTGTCAGTCCTCCAAGCAAGAGGCCTGACAGTGGTCAGAAATCCATCCTTTAGGAGGAAGCTGCAAGAAATGTAGCACACTCCAGCTTAGCTTGCACGCTATTGAGAGAAAGGCCTCCAATTGTGTATCTTGTCTTCCCTGCTAAGGGTCTTAAAGAGAACAAACAACAGGGGAAATACAGGTGCAATACATGGTAATAATTCATACTCATCTTTCAAAATTTCTCAGAGGGCATTCCCAGATCTGGAGTATGAGACCGTATCACTGTCCTCTTCCAGAGAGGGATTCAAAGAATCCACTCCATTTCTGGTGGATTTGAGGGAGGGGACAATGAAACTTCAGACCCATGATCCTGACTCAGGGATTGAAGGAGGTCAGCTGGCTGGATGAGAACACTCCTTGTTCCTCTCTTTGATAGTTGGCATATTTCTTGGAGGTGGAAGCTGACAAGAACACCATCCTCCTCTAAAGATGGATTTGTGTGGATATGCACACATGCACACACACATATTTAAATGAAAATACTGAAAGTAACTTTTGTTCCCAAGGAGAAACAGACACCCCCCAAAGATCTTGCTTGGTTTTTTTTCTTTTTTAAACCAAAGGTGATGGTGCATTTCATAGAGTCAATTCTTGAAATGTTTTGTAAGCTTTTCTTTTCTTTTTTGCAAGCCGTTTACATTTTCAGGATCTGTTCTTTCTTTTGGAACCAAAGAACGCCCTTCTGAGCCTGTTCGATTCTGCTTCCTTGTGGATGGCAAGAGGTGTCTGTCCACTGCCCTTTTTATGTTGTACTACTAGTGAACGTGCACAAAAAGCAGTGCAATGTTAAAAGGGCATTGGCCAGCGATGCTCAGTCAGCTAAAGTGACAACTTGAAGAGAAGTATGCAATCTTTTGTATGTCTGTATGTCTGTCTGAAACAGGGGTGGGGGACTCCTTTTTACAGCGGGAATTTTAAAATTGGTGTACTGATATGTGCACCCAGCTATAACATGTGCATAAATAATAGCCTTATGCAGTTATTACCTTTCCACTGCAGTTCTTCAATGGTGCATCAGCACCCAGTCAGAAAAGAGCCAAATTCTTTCTTCCTTGATCAAGACCACTCAAAATGAGGTGAGATCAAACTAACATGGACTGTGGATGAGTTGGAAACAGCCTGCTGGAAAGAGTTATGCATGTGTTGGGAGTTATGATTTAGTTTGGAGGCTTCCCCAGCCCTTTTTAAAAGGAGGAGAAGCTGTTTACCTTTTTCTTATTGTGAAGTTCATTTATAAATTCAAAGTTCAGTAGCCTATTCATTGTTCTGAAGGCTTCTTGCAATGCATCTAGTGCAGAACATCTCTCCAAAGCACCTTGCTGCTGACAAGGGCTCTGACTTCATTGCACTACTGTACTTCCCAATGAGCAGTGCAATAGTATTGTCAAAGCACTTGTGGGCAGGACCCTCAGCAGTGGCCTTGTGGCTTCTCTCTGTTTCTCCAAAGCCTACGTAAGTGAATTGTGCAGAGGGAGCTGGAAAGATTTTGTGTTTGCTTTTATGACTGCAAACATTAGCTGGAGACTTAGTGAACAAAGGCTCTGGCTAGCAAGTGGATTTGCTGGAGGGCTGCTTTGAGAAGGGAATGGAGGAATGTTCAACCACCACCAAAATGGGATGTTGTCCAGTAACCATAAATTCTGCTTATTCACACCTTGCTTAGCTTGGGTTGGCAGGATTTGTTTTAGTCCGGTGTGTTTTGCCAGTCACTTGATAGGGAAGGAGACACAGTTCACTGGTAGAGCATCTGCTTTGCATGCAGAAGGTCCCAGGTTCAATCCCTGCCACCCCTAGGTAGGGCTGGGAGAGAGTTCTGACTGAAGTTCTTGAGAGGTGCTGCCAGTCAGAGTAGACAATACTGAGCCAGATGGATCAACAGTCTGGCGGTATAAGGAAGCTTCCTGTGTTCCTATTACCTCCTTAAAAATGACTCTTTGGCTAATTGATGGAGCTGTGGGTTAAGGGCACAACTATCTTTGAGAGTTTTTAAAAAGTCTATATTGATTCTGGCATGTTGCCGTAATAGAAGATATAGAAGAATATTGGATGGCCTTTAATTTCCTTTTAATTAGGAGTGGCACCTTTTGATAGTTGAAACGGCAGCTTTTGCTTGTTAAATTGCCAGTTTTCTTGCACGTCTTTCAGCATCTCAAAGGTACTGGAGCTGCTGGCAAGATGCACATTTTATTTAAAGATTTGTTTATTTTTTAATGCCCTGTCATTTTTCCTCTTTAATTTGTTGACGGCCCTGGTAACTAGGTATCACTTTGTGAGGTCAGCCTGCCTGTTGCATGATACAACAAGCTTGTGATCACTGAGAAATGGCACTAGTTTTATTTATTTTGCTGCTGGAAAGAGGCTTCTTTTCTCTTATTATGTGTAGCTTGCTGGAAATTTGGAATGGACTGCCAGTTTTCTGATATAGCAGCTCCCAGCCTGACCATGTAATTCCTTTCAATGGAATTGAAATATGGAAATCTGGGTATGTAACAGGGCATGCTTACAATTTTCAGATGCAACCTTTTGGGCATCAGGCATATCAAGCTTTAACACTGTGAGTTCCTTGCCTGCAATCCCTAATTGGATAGGTGGCAGGAAAACAGAAAGCCAAGTACCGTACTTCTTTACACATGGAATTCACTTCTATAAGAAGTTGTGATGGCCACTGACTTGGAGGGCTTTAAAAGAGAATTAGACAAGTTCATGGAAGATAAAGCTATCACTGGCTACTAGCCAGGATGGCTATGTTTACTGCCAGTGGCAATATGCCTCTGAGTACCAGTTGCTGGGAATCACAAGCAGAGACAGTGCTGTTTGCACTCTGGTCCTGTTTTCAGGATTCCCACTTAGGGCCTCTGGTTGGCCACCGCGATAACAGAATGCTGGATGGGCCACAGGTCCGATCCAACAGCCTGTCTCTTTTCGTGGTCTTTTACAAACTGTTGCATGTGCTTCGTATTTTGGGTTCTTGTGATCGCAATAACGGTTTTGATCAGCTAAAAAAAGACCCTCCGGAATGGGGGTGGGGGAGGCAAAGTAGGGCATGATTTCCTCAAGTTAAATTGTAGTTCTCACAATGGCCAGCAAGGGCATTAGGTGCCTGGTGGGGCTAGTTTTGCAGCAGAGCTGCCTGGGACTGGGGCTTCTGCTTCCCATCGCCTCCATTAAGGCAGCCTGCTGGAGTGGGCTGCTTCCAGGTCACAGCTGATGGCAGTGGAGGGGGACCCCAGTGGAGATGGCTTTTCCAAGGGATCTGATGCCCTATACAGTAACTGCATAGTCTCCTTTGAGGGTGAGTGAATGGCGTGCTGCCCTCTTGTGTCCAAAGTCAGGAAACACAGGTCTTTGTCTGTTAGACATCTCTCTTCCAGCCTTCTGTCCTGCAGGGAGGTACATTCTTTCGGTTTAATTCTTTTTTCTTTTATCATGTTAAAATACGTAGGCACCTGTTAGCCTCTAAGTAGGAAGCCTTTAATTACTAGCTAGCCCCAACTTTTAATATGGAGGCCAATCTGTATGGCAAGGTAACATTTCCAGGATCTGGATGGCTAAATTTGGCAAATAATAAAGTCCCTTCCCAAAGCGATGTTTTCCTCTGAAGACATTCCTTGGGCTGTTTCTGTGAACTGGGTGTGCAGCTGCGATTCCCATAAGTCTTTAATAGCTCCTTTAAGGAACTGATTACCGTTAATTAAGTAATGCCCCTGTCATCCCACTGTCTTACTCAGTTCCCTGGTGGCTCAGTAATCATGAATAGAGGGGAATGGTAACATTGTAAGCTTGATTATCTCTTCATCAGCCTTGTTTATCAAATGCCTGGCAAGAGGAGCTATCAAGAGGATGAGTTTTGTAGGGTAATTATGTGGGAGAGAGACTACATAACCCAGATTTGGCAGCCCATAAGCAGATCTCTCTTTGTGTACAGAGCTCATGCTAGTACAGTGGTACCTTGGTAGCTGAACCATTTGGCTCCCAAACAAATTGGCTCCCAAGCGCCGCAAACCCAGAAGTGAGTGTTTCAGTTTGCAAACGTTTTTCGGAAGCCAAATGTCCGACGCAGCTTCTGCTTGAGTGCAGGAAGCTCCTGTAGCCAATCGGAAGCTGCTTCTTGGTTTTCAAACCATTTTGGGAGTTGGAAATGGATTAAATTCGAGAACCAAGGTACCATTGCATGCTATACCATGCATGTTGTTTGTATGAGAACTCCTTTTGGCCCAGTGAATGAAATGATCACACTTCATTCTCTCAAACTCCTTCTCAAAAAAGAGAGAGTCAGTGTGGTGGCCCAGGACATCAGCATTCATATCCCTGCTCAGCCATGAAATACTGGGTGACCTTGGGGCAGTTACAGTCTCTCAACCTACTCTACCTCACAGGGTTTTTGTGGGGGGGGGGAGTGGGAAAGAAAAGAACCATGTATGCCACCTTGAGCTCCTTGTAGGAAAAGTGGGGTAGAAATGTGATAATAAAAACTTGCTTCTCTGTATACCTTCATGGCAGTTAAGCCAAGCTCAAGCTGGCTTACAGCACCTAGCCTTGTATTTTTTGTGCCAGGGAAGGTGGCCTTGTGCTGGATTGAGGGGAAGGTGTCATAGGTGCCATTTGTTCCCTTCTGACATAGAGATGGAAATGGTTTGATGAAGGAAAACTACCTGCCTTTGAAGGTGACTCTTTGCAATGTAGGAAGTCCAGAATGTGACTTGTGAAGAAACCCAAGGACAGAGTCTCTTTCCTGGGTGGTGGGCCAGTTCTTGAACACAATTAAAGTAAACCTTTTTCAGAGAAAAGAGCGGACTCAACCTCCAGTTTCAATTCAGGGTGAGGGGAAATGTGCCTCTGCTGTCAAAGTTTTGAAAACACGAAACAGGAACTATCAGAGCCTATGTGTTGTATCCAGTGTAGTCCTATTGGCAGTGTGCTTGTTCCACTTTGAAATTTTGTGTGCAATTGCTTCATCCACCACTGCCTTGGTGCAGGGGGTGGCGTCGGGAGGAAGAGGCAGCCCGCCTGCCTGCTGGGGCGAAGGGAAAGGCAGACAAATGCACGAGGCACTGCCTGGCTGCGGACGCTGCCTGACGCCCCTGCCGGACCCAGTGCTTGACAACATCAGACAGCCCTGCTCCACAAAGCATGGATTGCACCCCACGCCTTGTGGAATGGTGAGCGGTGCCAAGGCTGCCTGATACTGCTGAGCGCTGGGAGCAGAGGGCATCCCTCGGCCAGGTTTCAACATTGGGATGTATCGGCAGATTGCGATGTCTGGCTGGTGATACATTGTGAAGTTGAAAAGCTGACATCGCCCAGCCCTAGTGCACCTTTCTCTATCTTCTCTCCACATCCCCTGCACTTAATGTGTGTACTGCAACAGTAGGGGTGTTTGGTTTCCAATTTATATAACAGAATTGTGATTGACCATTTGGGTGTTTTAGTTCCAGAAGGCCGAATCCGACCTGGATTACATTCAGGCAATGTTGGAGTTTGAAATGGTGAAAGGGCATGCTGACGGACTGTCTAAAGAGGTACTGAATCTTTTAATATAGGTTGTAAACCACTTTGAGTCGTCCCCCCGCCCCTTATAAAGCTATAGAAATGAAATGAAAATAATAATAATAATAATAACTTTGCTTAAGGCTGCACTCCTATCTCCACTTACCTGGGAATAAGCCCCACTGAACCACGTGGGGTTACTTCTGAGTAGCTATATCTAGGGTTGTGCTGAAAGTAGTGGTGTGAGTTTTCTGAAAAATGTTGGAATTCATTTTCTATATGCAAATTAGCTAGATTTGCATAGGGAAATTTGCATCAGAAAATTTTCCGGTGTCCTAGAGCACCTTTAATTGACTTGGTGCTCTCCAGATGCCATTGGACTGAAACTCCCATCAACCCACAGCCAGTATGGCTAATGGCCAGGAATGATGGGTGATGCGGTCCCACAACATCCCTAGGGGCATCATGTTGGTTGCCACTGCCCCAGAGAGTAATCTAATTCAGCTTGTTTATTTTATTTGTATTCAGTAAACAAAGCTTTTTTAAAAAGTATCCCGTGTTAATTTTTTGTCCACAAACATTTGAATTTGTGGTGGTGGACAGCGGAATTAAACATGACAAATATTACACAGCGATGCTCATTGGGATGTACATGCTTTAATTTGCTGAAATTTATGGGTGGTGGTGGTGGGGAAATCACAGATGCCTGAATCTGGCGCTCTAATTAATTTTAGCAACCCATAATATACTGACTCGCATACTTGCCAAGGAGAATTGCCTGAAAAACATCACCATGTCCGTGCTGCACTGTGCAAGTTCTCTGGTCACATCCACACCATATGCTTCCAGCACATGGCTTTCCCCAAAGATTCCTGGAGACTTTCGTTTAAGGGTGCTGTGAATGGTAGCTCTGTGGGTACAAACTATGGTTCCCATGATTCTTTAAGTGTATGGTGTGGCTGTGACTTTTAACCCTCCAGTTAGCTGAATCTGATTGGGTAGGCCTCCCATTTGTGTTGTGTTTTGAGGGTCCTTTCTCCTCCCCACCCCCATTTCTGCTTCTCTTCCAACTGTGCATCTTCCTTGCTTTGGCAACAGGAGAATCCTCTGGTTGTCATACAGCAGCTGTCACTGGTGAAGTCTCGCTACAAAATGTTGTGTGAGCAGCTAGAAAGGATTTCTACCGAGCGGCGGGAGTCCATGCGGTCGATCCGTGCTACTCTGGCCAAAACAATGAAGCTGGTTCAGGAAATACAGCACCACACTGGAATGGAGGTAGCGCTCTTGAGTTGCCTGGCTTGAGGGACGTGTCTGTGCACGTGTATAGATATAGGGAGAGACAGAGAGCATTGGACTTTCCTCCATCAGCATATAGGAACTTCAGGAAAGAACACAAGTTGCTTGAAGTGTGCATCTGTAGGTAATTGGTCTGAAATGTACACCTGCTGGTATTCAACTCCTGCTTTTGAGCTTCCCACTGGGGCTTCTGGTTGGCCGCTGTGAGAACAGGATCCTGGACTAAATGGACCACTGGCCTGATCCAGCAAGGCCCATCTGAGCATATTCTGGGTTTCAGTTTGACTCAGTTGGGCCTTGGCATTTCCCATCACAAGCTATGTGAGCACCAGGATCAGTCCCAGGGCATATCTTAGAACAAGACCTGGAAGATTTCAGAGTTGTAGGATCTACTATGCTACATTCCTAGGATCCACTGGCTGGAGTCAGAGGGTTGGGGGCTGTGGAGCCTGTTGCAAAGTGTTGGCTAGGGGGCAGACCCCATATTCTATCACTCTTCGTGAGACATATCCTGGGACAAGGGTAGCTGATGCATTGGACCCCAACTCCCATTCTCCCTGGCCCTTAGCTGTGCTGTGGATGATGGTAGTTGGAGTCCCCATGACTTCTGGAGGGCAACAGGTTGGCTTACCCTGCATAATAGTAGTATCAGTAATTTTATTATTTATACCCTGCCCATCTGGCTGGGTTGCCCCAGCCTTGGAATATCCTACATATTACTAAATTACTAAAACCTACAGATTTTAAATCTCTACAAACGGGTTTTTTTAAAAACCACCCAGCATAACTTCCCAAAGACCTGGTCAAAGGCAACCAACGAATTTCACAAGTGAGGAACATCTGAAGTTGACGCAGAAGCTATTAGCATAAGGCCTGCCATGGCACATATATATTTGTTTCCTTCATATTTGATTGGAAGTTGGAACCCTCTGCCAATCTTGTTTGATGATCTAAAATATGGCTAGGAATGTGAACAAATGACCTTTGACAAAAGAAATTACAAAACATTACAGAGATTAGAGACAAGATTTGATGAGGTTCTTGAGGACAATATTTATTTTATTGCAGAATGTAAACAGCCCTGCTTAAGATGTTCCTCTCTCTTGTCCCCAGATCTCACCTCTATCTGAAGAAGAAGAACTTGCAATGCATCACTTAATGTACCAGACTGCTCAAGTATCAGATACCCCAGAAAAACAGGTAATTCTGAACCCTGGGGATCTTGTCTGTGTTTTTGCTGAGTAGCTCCAGACAGGGTTCGAAATTAGCGGGTGCCAGTTGCATTTTGCAACTTGCAACTGGCCTTTTGCGACTTGATGGCGATGTCCAGGTGCCACTTTTGGCACCCAGCATCTCCACCTGCCTGGCCGGGTGATTCAGGGGGTCTGGTCTCCAGGGTAGCACGGCAGCAAAAGGCATGTCTTTTGCTATCACTCTACCCTGCCAAACAGCTGCTTTACCCAGTAGTGCAGCAGCAAAAGTCACGTCTTTGTTTTTTTGCTGCTGCTACGTCTTCTGCTGCTGCGCTGCCCAGGAGACCCTGGTTCACCCGGCAGCAAAAAAATAAATAAAAACGCGCCACGGTGGCGGAAAAGTGGCTTATGTTCCTCTCCTACTCCACAATTTAAAAAGTAATAATAGAAACAAGGCAATACCTCCTCTCCCACCTTTTTGCCTGTAGAAATCGTTACTTGACCACTTGCTCAAATTTGAGAAGCGCTAAAGAATGGGCTCGCACTTTCTGCTCCCTTTTAATATTTTCACAGATATGCTTTGAAACCTAACTACAAAACATATTTTGGGCTCATGCTTGGGTGGAATAAGACTTCCACAATCATTCCTGAAGTACTGAGACATTGAAAGTTCCATCTGCATCTTTATTATCTGTAGTAGCAGTTCTCCTGTGTATGAGCACCAGCTTAATCTTGCTCTTGTCTAGTGGGCAGGGGTGTGTGAATTCAGATAGGTGGTGATATGTGATCCTTCTGCAAAAGTTAACACAATTCATAAGAAATATGGCAGCAAAATATGGCAGCCTGTGATTCTTGACTTCTGTAGTTTAGAGCAATGTCTTACAAATGAAAAGTAGTTCCTTTTTTTCTTCTTCCCCTTTGAGGACAGAATATGATTTGTCTTTTTAAAAATGTTGTTCTTCTTTTCTGCAGAATTGTCCCAAAGAGCATGAAACCCACTGATCCCAGACAAAAATTCCAAAAATAGCTTGTATGTGAGGGCACTCATCAGAGTTGGAAGTTGAAAACTGAGGCTACACTTTAAATGTCTAGATTGCTTGTGTTTTCTTTTTAATATTGGTACCCAAGTTTCCTGTACATACTTCCTAAATTGTTGTCAGATGAACAATGACTTGAACGTTTTGTGGTGGTGACGTTGTTGGTGTTGTGATGGGGTTGATATTGTAATGTTCCAAAGGTGCTTTCAACCAGAGCTTGTGGTCCTCTGGATGCTATTGGACTATAACTCCAATCATCTCTCACCATTGGCCATGCTGGCTGCTGGGAGTTGGAGTCCTACAACATCTGGCAGGCATCCTGTTGGCTAGTCTTGCTCTGGGTTAATTCAGTCTGCTGCTTACACTATACAATGAATGGAAGCTGTTTTTGATACATTGTACAGTACCTTTCTCTTTAATGTGGATCAACTTGTATATTCAAAGCCAGGCTTTCTCAAACTCGGCCCTCCAGATGTTTTGAAACTACAGTTCCCATCATCCCTGACCACTGGTCCTGCTAGCTAGGGATCATGGGAGCTGTAGGTCAAAAACATCTGGAGGGCCAAGTTTGAGGAAGCCTGATTCAAAGCCATAGCTGTACCTTTGAAACAGTAGCCAAATTGACACATTGTGCTTAAAGTTGTATTGCATTTTTTTAAAAAAAATACTTAGAAACAATAAAGATAAATGTATGACAACACAAAGAGTTGGCATCCTTTTTAAATCTTGTGGTTTATTCACCTTATTTTCCTAGTGTGTCTTTCACCTTCAGTTAACTCCAGAACTATTGTGCCTTTGGCTAATCTGATTTGTGGATAGAATAAGCCAAATCTTAATAGCTGTGTGAATCTTCAGTTAGTAAACCTGGAGTGATAGCTCAGGAGATAACCTCTCTCTCTCTCTCTCTCTCTCTGTGTGTGTGTGTGTGTGTCTGTAAAATTCTTGAGTAGCTTCCTGTAGTTATTGTGGGAGCAGAGAATATTATACTTGTGTCTCAGATGTGACTCCAAGAAAACACACACACACACACACACACACACACACACACACACACTGTTAGGTTACCTCTTTTTCCTCCTGGGCATTGACTCTAGCCCAGACATCCCCAACCTGCAGCCCTCCAGATGTTTTGGCCTACAACTCCCATGATCCCTAGCTAACAGGATCAGTGTCAGTGATGACGGGAATTGTAGTCCAAAACATCTGGAGGGCCGAAGGTTGGGGATGCCTGCTCTAGCCAGTCAAACTAAGTACTTTTCAATCCTGTCGGTTTCAGTGTAAAAGCTTAAATCTTGCTTGTCGAAATAAGCTTAACTTGAAGTGGTTGTGCCCTAGCGGGTAAACCTGTAGGCATGTTTATAATGTAAGAAAAATTTTTAAATGGCTTGTTCCATATCCTGAAAGTTTGAATGATTTTGACAGGACTACAGTTTGGGGAAAGTCTGGCTTAAATATGCCTTTGAACGACTTCCTCTGTAGAGCAACAAATGGCAAAGCAATTCAATTCATAAAAATTGTTAAGCCTAGCAGTGGCAGCACAGGTGGGGTATGAAGGGCAAGCGAGTAGGCTGGCATTAAGAAATGGCACCAGATTTTCCCAAGTGGACCCAGTGATCAACCAGTTGTGTCTCAGCCAGAAATGGTGAGCGACCTTTGGAAAGTTCCTTTCACTTACAAGAGCCAAGAGGCAGCTCACTTTCTTGCTGTGAACTTGGTCAAACTCTTGTTGCTGGGAGCCTCTTGTAGCTCTGGACAACCAAGCTTCAAACATCCCAAGACAAAAGCATTGTTCACATGGATATGGCCTTGCCTTGATAAGGCTCAAGGATGCAATAAGCCAAAATGTCACCTAGGTGCCTACGAATCAAAGTTCCACTTGGATTTGAATTTCTTGGAAGGTACCATATCATCCCAAGATTACTTATTGGAATACTGTCTGTCAAGGTTCATGTTTTATAGAGGGAGGCTGAGAGCTCTTACGGGAATAGTCTTATTTAGTAATATGATTGAGTTATTTTCACTGTTTACTAATCCAGTTGTTTCTTCTTTTGGGTTTCATTTTTGTTCATGATGACATTTAATTGGCACAATTTGGGGTTCAACTGTGTACAGTCTAATCCTATATACCTGAAATATGTGTTGCTGTACTCAGTAAGATTTAGTTGATATAGTAAAGAGTTTAGGGTTGCAGCCTGAGCTGAATAATTGACGTGGGGGGGGGGGGAAGAATACCCCTCTCTCTAAATTTTTTAAGGGGTTCCTGATGAAGTAGCAGGCTCCTATATTTTTATTTTTCTGCTTGTTATTTTTTTGACACCTCTTAAGATATCATAACCAAATCTTGCACAATGTTTCCAGAGACCAAGGAGCAGGTTTTTGTCTATATTTGGATATGATTGCACACCATTTTGGTTCAGAATGGACTGAACCTTTCAAAACTGCCCTGACTTTCGGGTTTCTTAGAATTCTAGACCAATGCTGGGAACAAGGTTGCTAGTTCTTAATGAGTGGATGCAGGTGGCCAACATTATCTTAAAAAGAAATACCCCGCCCCTCTTTAAGATATCTTGTGTAACATTTGTGTGCATCGCCTTAATTAGAATCATTTGTTTTTTTCATTACATAAGCTAATGCAGGTTGAACAGATCAAACTGATTTCTTCCTGTGTGATGGCCTTCTAGTGCAAACATTTTTCGGGAGATGCTGGATGTGAGATGGGGAGTTGTCTGTGGGTTTAGCTTCAAGAGACCTGCTTGTGGGCAGCCGCTGTGAACAGGATGCTTGACTAGATAGACGTTTAGTTTGATCCAGCCACTAGACTCTTGTACCCTGGCATCAGTTCCAAGCGGTCAAGGATGGCATGCATGGAGGCCTTTGTGCAACAAGCAATGGGTGGCGCTGTGGGTTAAACCACAGAGCCTAGGACTTGCCGATCAGAAGGTCGGCGGTTCGAATCTCCGCGACAGGGTGAGCTCCCGTTGCTCGGTCTCTGCTCCTGCCAACCTAGCAGTTCGAAAGCACGTCAAAGTGCAAGTAGATAAATAGGTACCGCTCCAGCGGGAAGGTAAACGGCGTTTCCATGCGCTGCTCTGGTTTGCCAGAAGCGGCTTAGTCATGCTGGCCACATGACCTGGAAGCTGTATGCCGGCTCCCTCGGCCAATAAAGCGAGATGAGCGCCGCAACCCCAGAGTCGGTCATGACTGGACCAATTGGTCAGGGGTCCCTTTACCTATGATAATAATAATAAGGTTATTGCACTACCCCGAGATATATTTGGCTGAAGCATGCCCAAGCGCACTGCAAGTTTCACTGACCAGGAGAAGTCAATTACTGGCTCTTTGCCTTATCTGTTCCTCAGCTGCTCATGCCTTCCTAATTCAAAATCCTAAACCAACCTCACATCATCCCTGACCACTGGCCATGCTGACTGGGGATGATGGGAGTTGGAGTTCAACATCTGGAGTCCCCATCCCTGGTAGATCGTAACCTATTTAAGAAGAAACCTCAATTCTATATGCTGGCTAACAGCTCTTTATACTTGTCCCGAGGAAGGCTGACAATAAACCTCCAGGTAAATATAGTTAGGAGTGAACATAGAAAGCTGTTTTTATACTGAGGTGGTGTTGGAATGAATCCACGACAGACGAGTGGTAGGTGTCATATGAGAGGCGTCTGCCGGGGCAAGCCCCGGGAACTCTCTTTTATTGAATATTACAAACATTGCCACAGGTGTGCTTGTGGCTGATTGGTTGATACAAACACAAAGCATCTTGTTGCTGATTGGTTAACATAGGTACAAGGCGGGAATTACATATGACTATCATTGATAGATCAAAGGATGAGAAATGGAGCTAGAACTAGACAGGCATGAATCCTCCTAATTAAATTATAACTAAAGATTGATATTGAAAGAACATAACATGAAAGAATACAACAATCACGTTTCGTAGATGTGGTCAGCAATGCATTAAGAACAGGTCAGGATACACTGTTTCATGAACTCAATGGGAACTGTTCAGAACATTCTCAGACTCATGTGCAGAGGCAAAAACTTCCCAGAATGCAAGAGAAAAGAAGCAATACAGTGGTGCCTCGCAAGACGAAAAGAATCCGTTCTGGGAGTCTCTTCGTCTAGCGGTTTTTTCGTCTTGCGAAGCAAGCCCATTGACGGGATTAGCGCTATTAGCGCTATTAGCGGCTTTTAGCGGCTTTTAGCGGCTTTTAACGGCTTTTAGCAGCTTATCAGCTTATCGGATAAGCAGATAAGCGGCTTAGCGACTTAGAAAAAGAGGGGGGAAAGGGAAAAAAAAACCCAGGAACTCGCAAGACAGTTTCGTCTTGCGAAGCAAGCCCATAGCAGATTCGTTTTGCGAGGCACCTCCAAAACGGAAAACTCTTTCGTCTAGCGAGTTTTCCGTCTTGCGAGGCATTCGTCTTGCGGGGCACCACTGTAGTTCTCATAGCAAGACTTAATGCCACAGTTATGTGCAGAAAGAGAACTGCAGAAAGAAAACTTCCCTTCAAGGTGGACCATTGGTGTATACAGCTCAGTACTGTCTATTGTTTCGTAGACTTGGGTCTCCAGCTCCCATCATCTCTGACCACAGGTCCTGCTAGCTAACAATTGGAGACCCAAATTTGGGAAACCCTGGTCTACACTGACTGGTAACGGCTCCCAGGGTTTCAGGCAGGGGACATTCCCAGCCCTACCTGGATGTGCTACCAAATGAACCTGCGACATTCTGCATGCAAAGCGGATATGCTGCTACTGAGCTGGGGCCCCTTCCCCATAAATTAAGTGCAGTTTAGTCCTGTTCATTCTGGCACAGAAGTGAAGTCCCACTTAATTTAAAAGTAATATACAGCTGAGTAAGTATTAGTACTCCTAATGTGCTGGGGAAATAGGTTCTCTCTGAGGAAATAATAGGATAATAAGCAGAATCTGCTTGTTCAGCTGGCCTGTTTCCCCCTCACTGTATAAGCAGTTTCTTTGTGGCATAAACTGCAAGCTGCAGTGTGCTAACCCCTTCATTGAGTGGTGCCCAGCGAAGCGGGTGGCAGTGGAGCTGCTAAACTACATGTACAGGGTTATGTAAACTGTGTCAGCATTCTTAGACAGGAAAACCGGAGCAACGTTGATCACAAATACAGTACTGATTTGATGATCAGAGTTTTGCTGTAATGAATGCAGGGGGGAAACAGATTAAAATGTGTGGCTGTTAGGGTTATAGCGAGTGACTTTTTTAAAAAAAGTAGCATAGATACCAGAAACTAAGACTTGTGTGTACAGTGGTACCTCGGGTTAAGTACTTAATTCATTCCGGAGGCCCGTTCTTAACCTGAAACTGTTCTTAACCTGAAGCACCACTTTAGCTAATGAGGCCTCCTGTTGCCGCCGGAGCCAGATTTCTGTTCTTATCCTGAAGCAAAGTTCTTAACCTGAAGCACTATTTCTGGGTTAGCGGACTGTGTAACCTGAAGCGTATGTAACCTGAAGCATATGTAACCCGAGGTACCACTATATATTATTTTTAATTGTATTTACATCCCACCTTTCCTCCTAAGGAGCTCAAGGTGGAATACATGATTCCCCCCCTGCCTCATTTAATCCCTGCAACAACCCTTGGTTAGGCCAAGAGGTGATGGTGACTGGCCCAGGGTCACACACTTAATGGCCAAGCGGGGATTTGACCCCTGGCCTCCTAGGTCCAATAATATAACCCAGGGTTTCCCAGACTTGGGTCTCCAGCTGTTTTTGGACTACAGTTCCCACCATCCCTGACCACTGGTCCTGCTAGCTAGGGATGATGGGAGCTGTAGTCCAAAAACAGCTGGAGACCCAAGTTTGGGAAGCACTGGTCTAACCACTACCACAAACAGGATATACATTCTAATAGGTTTGCAGAACATAAGCTGCTCTATTAATTACTGTCGCACTAGCTGGCCAAGGAGCTGAACTCTTAGCACCAGCTCTGCTTGGATCCAATGAAACCTTCCCCAACTTGGTGTCCTCCATGTTTTGGACCACAGTTCCCATTATTCCTGACCTCTAGGGCTGATGGGAATTCAAGTCCAAGATCTGGAGAGCCACAGGTGCCTCATTCCTGGCTTAATTGCCATTTTTTTCAGTCCCCAGTGTTAAGAGGCCTGACTGGCCACAAGCTTTTGACCTTCAGGCATCTATAATAGTAGGTGGGCCTTTGTAGCTATTTAATTTTTATTTTTGGTTAGCCAGACACCTTGATGATAATATTTTTATATGTTTATAAACTACTTTAAGTTTTTATATTGTACACTGCCGATATTTTATGATATGGTGGTCTATAAATATTTTTATAAATAAAAATCTAGCTTGCATGGGTGTAGCCAGGATTTATGTTGTGGGGGGCAGAACCTGAGTTATTGATTTACTCGGATTTAGAGGGGTGCAGCTGCCCTCCTCTGCCCCGCTTGGCCACACCCATGCAACCCTGATAAAAATAAAGAGTTCTGGCATACTCAAAATCTTGCTCACAAGCTTTCATTTTGTCGGTGAAAATGGAGAGGTTTTTGGAGTTATTCCCCCCCCCCAAAAAAAGTGGCAGTGTAAGCTTTAGCTATGGATGCTACGCTAACCTACTTCTGCTGAGCTTATTTGGAAACACGGGAAGTCAGATCACTGATCCATGATCTAGCTCAGTACTGCCTACACTGACTGGCAGCAGCTCTCCAGCGTTTCAGCCAAAATCCTCTCCCCAGTTCACCCTGGAGGGATTTATATGGCTGCGCCTTATTTTTCCGCCATCCAAACAAACCCGCGCTCATCCCCCTCCACTGAATGCGGCAGCCTCCAGAGCCAGAGAGCCCGTACTGCGCATGTGCCGCGGGGCACTCCCTCCCTCTCGCCCAAGGGAGAGAGAAAAGCACCGGCGAGCCCAAGCAATTTCCCTTGGAGGGCGGGGAAGAGATAGGCGCATGCGCTCTGCTCCACCGGTTGTAATGCAGGCGCATCGGCCTTTCTGAGGAGAGCATGGCGGCGCATGCGCAGTGAGGCAGAAGGAGCCTAGTCGGCTCTCCCCCTTCAGCCGCAAGGCGGGAGGAGGAGGAGGCGCCGTTAACGACTCCCGTGTTATTTGCCTTGTTATTCCTGCTATTTATTCTCCCACCACCGCCACTTGCCCCCCGGCTTCGCCCCTCCTGTTTCGCCTGAGAGGAAAATGGCTGGTCACCGGGCGGTTGCGGCGTGAGGTGCCCCAAAACCGGCGACCCCCTCCCTCCACATTGCAATGTGTTTTATTAATACATACATTCATACATATAATATGATAAAATATTTTTCTTTTCCCTCAGGTGACGGCGCCGGAGGTCCCTCTCTCTTCCTTTCCCTCCCACCCCTCCGCTCGCTTGAGGGGGAGACGCTGTTTGAGTCATGGACGAGCAAAGTGTTGAGGTAAAAAAATAAAATTAACAGGCGGGGGATCCACCTGCTGAGGGGACGGAGGGGCCTTAAAGACCCCTCGCCCTCTCGCATCTCCCTCAGAAAGTGGGTCGGTGGGCTTATTGGAGCCAGGACTCCTGGGTCCTCCCCCCCACTCGGGTTGGGAGGGATGAATGCTAGGTTGGGCAGGACTCCTGGGTCCCTTCCTGGAGTGTGTGTGTGTATGTGTGTTGTTTTGCAGCCAGGACTCCTGGGTTCTTCTCTTATCACATATTAGTGAAAGGGGCAGCAATACTAGGCGGGGGTGGGGGCAGGACTCCTGGGTCCCTTCCTTGGGTCTCCTATGCCTTCCTAAGGGGTGCGTGTGTATATGTATATCTGTGAGTGTAATTTTGCAGCCAGGACTCCAGGGTTCTTCGCTGTCATGGGTTTGTAGAGGGAATAGTAGTAGAGGAAGCCGCCCGAAGTGGCTGCAGAAGCCCAGCCAGATGGGCAGGCTAGAAACAATAAAATTATTATTATTATTGTTATTATTATTATTATTAGTTCAGAGGGCAGGACCTGGGACAGGAGGCCTGAGTCCCTTCCTTGGTCTCCTTCCCCATATCTTCTTGCTCTGTGTATGTGTTAAATTGGAACCAGGATTCCTGGGATTTCCTTCCTGCTCTTGGTCACTGGAGGGGTGGTAATACTAGGTTTTTTGGGAGGGGTCAGGACTCCAGTGTCCCTTCTTTGGTCTCCTTTCCTATGCCTTCCTAAAGTGTATGTATGTGTTAGTTAGTTTGGAGCTAGGCCTCCTGGGTTCTTCATTATCAGGGGTTAGTGGAGCGGGTGGCGACAGTAGTTCAGAGGTTAATATGGGAGCTAGGACTCCTGGGTCCTTTCCTTGGTCTCCTCTTCTTCGCCTTGCCTTCCTAAAGTGTGTTGGTGGGGCTACTTTGAAATCAAGATTTCTGAGTCCCCGCCCCATTTCCTCACAGGCAAGTGAATTAATTTATTTCAGATAATTCTAAGCACCCTTCCAAAGGCTACGGCTTTCACAAGGTGGCAGTGCTGGGGGCTGGTGGTTGTTACGAAGTTGGTGTGTAGGGGTGGCATAATATTAGGACGCTTGAGCCTTTCTTTTGCAACTTCCATCACATGCGTGTTTCTTGAGGGTGTTGCTGCTCTTCTTTGGGGGGGGTCCCTTTTGGTTGGACCCCAAAGCAACTTCCTAACTGGGCACGACCACCATTCTTTTTTCTTCTCCTCTGAGTGGGTGGGGGAATGTCCTGGAAGTCCTTACATCAAAGTTGCCCCCCAACCAAGTTCTACATGGCGATTCCTAGCCTTCTCTGTTGATATATCATATTGTTGGCTTATTTTTGTTATTGGAACACCACTTCTTTGTTGCATTTGTTTGTTTTATAAGCCAATCTGAATTTCCCTGAAAAGCAGCATGCAAATACATTTAATAAAATGAAATACTGTCTTGGGGTTCTGCATTGGTTGCCTTTTGACTAGGTGCTGTGCTCCTTGTGGAAGTAGTAGGCCTCTTTCTTGGGTTCATCTTTCATTTGAATGAGTAATAAGCTAGCTGTTCATCTTTTGCCCTTTGATTATTGTATAGTGGCACAGAACTACAAAACAGAGATGGCCTAATTGCTCTGATTTAAAATGATTTTTTAGAAGTTGTCAAAATTTTAGACTATGTCTAAATGCGTGTATTAAGAGTTCCGCAGTTCCTTGAGTCTGTAAGAACTGAGTGGGTGTACGTGGCTAACATACATGATTGATACATAGACATTTGTCTTGTCCATGACTGAAGTACTTAATTTTTTTTCTTTGCAGAGCATTGCTGAAGTGTTCCGATGTTTCATTTGTATGGAAAAGTTGCGTGATGCGCGCCTATGTCCACACTGCTCCAAGCTGTGTTGCTTCAGTTGCATTCGGGTAAGCTGTGAGCTTTGGATCAAACTATATATTATGTGGGAGATTTGTGATTGGCTTATTTAAAAAGTACTTCAAAGCAGCATGGAGGGGCTGGGTTTGGTGGTGGCTCTGGGTGATAGGAGTTGTTTTCTCTCTGCGCCATTTCCATGTTTTAAAAACCTGCTCTCCCCAACTGCTAGTAGTGGCAGTGGGGGAAAAGACTGGCAGCTATCTTTTTTTACCTACTATAATTAATAACTGATTCAGGGAGGGGAAAAGACTTTGAAACTCCATGCAGAGAAAATGTTAGGTCATCAGTCCACAGTGGTGATCTACCCATTTTGGACCATAGTGGTAATCTTGTTCAACACCCCCACCCCAGCAACTTCTTTTACATCTCCCATGTTGTTTGACCCTTTCCCCTTTCAGCTTTTGTATGTGAACATGTGAAATGCTGCTGCAATTGAAAGAAAAAACTTTGCTAATTTATACATTTTTGCTGGAGATTTTTTCCTCCTTACCACAAACACTGCATTTTCTTACGTCACTGCTGTAGCAACTGAAGGGTAGGTAGAATTGCTCTAAACCACTTGATGAATCTGAACAGTACATATATAACACATACTTTCAAAGACACCAGCAAGTTATTAGCTCTCAGTCTTTTCAGATAAGTCAACTAAAATTGCTAGCATTCCATTTTTACTATGTTACCAGACCACCAAAGGGGTGGTGAAGGGTAACTAACTGTTGTGAGGCATTTCTGGCCAGTTATTTGGGGGTAATTTTTGTTAGGCATGGCACGTCTTTGCACTGCAGAAGGTAGTGGAGCATATTTTTGGGAATATTACACTCAGGTAATATCCAGCACTGGCCAGGCTATTGGATCTTACTGTTGCCCTGTATGAACTCAGAGTGTACCCTTAAGTATACCTAACATTCCATGGAGCTGTGTGTTGTGGGAAAAGGACATACAATTAATTGAGAAACCCCCAATGATCTTCTGGGGAACCGTAGAGTTTCCTAAACATGAAGTTTGAAGATTTCCAGAAGGGTAGTCTTGTTAGTGTGTGTATTATGTATTCTGGCATTTATAGTTTGATGACTATTATGTATGCTTTCTAAATGTCCCAGTGGCTTGGATCCTTACATAAGTTAACTTAAGAGTATTGACGGAGGGAAAGTTTATAATCCCTTCCTTCCCCCTGCAACCTCCTGCACCGCTGAAAAGCCTTTCTGGAGAGTTTGGGGCTCTTCTGAACAAGTGCGACCCCTGGAGAGGCTTTTCAGAGGCCAGTGAAGGCTGTCAGCTGGGTGTTGGTGGTGGATAACTTTCCTTCCATAAACTTCCTCAAGTTAACCATTCCCAGACTCAGTAAGTTATCTCTCAGATTTCCTCAGCTTGTGTCTTTATGCGTGTGAAAAAGTGTTCTAGGAGTGTTCCAAAATCCAATTTTGTGTGAGTGGAATTCTGCTTGTGCAGCAGGCTTTGCCGTCGTTTCCTCCCTCCTGCACACCTCCAAACCTGTTTGAGAGTGTCCCCCAACCCTCTGGAACAAATTTTTACAGTTCACAGGGCTGTAGGAGGGTGAAGACCCCTTGTATGCATAGAAGTCTATTCAGTTCCTGCACAGAGAGCATTGGATACAGCCCCTGAGTGATAACTTACTTATGAGAAATAAGTCCAAATCTGGAGAGATCTGTGACATCTTATCTTCTAACACTTCTGAAATTCTCCAGTCTCTTATGATATGTCTATCATTGTTTTGACAGCGCTGGCTGACAGAACAAAGAGCTCAGTGCCCTCATTGTCGGTAAGCTTGCTTCTAAAGCTCTATTTTGTTTTAGTTGGGGGCACTTATTTTTGCTGCGCTGTATACTTAAGGTGAAGATGAATGGCAGGTAGCCTGTAGGCCTGATTTGACCTATGAAGCAATGTTATTTGACCCATAGTGATGTTACCAAATCAGGGTATGGTAAAAACTTGTCCTACAATTGTGGAAAAGAAAATAGTTTTCAAAATTGTGTGAGAGATTTTACCACCTTGCTGTTGCATCTCTCTTTCGGTTCTGTGGCCAAGCACCTTTTTAGCATGCCTATGTAGAGCATCCTTCATTGCCTAGATGCACCTGGCCATTCTGGCAGGGACTGATGGCGGTTGTAGTCTACAACATCTGGAGGTAACCAAGTTGAGGATGGCTGGTGTAGAGCCTGACTGCTCATGAAGAATTTTTTTGTTTTTAGGTTCCAGGATTTTCAAGGAGGATTAAATTATTTGCAAGGCTTTCCGAAGGAGCATTAAAACATTTTGCTGTTCCTCATGAATTTATTTCATATGAAATTGTGTGAGGTCAGAAGGCACATTCCAGTTTCCTCCCTCAGTCAGGGCCTCACTAATGGTCCCTCCCCTTCAGACTCTCAGCTGTGTTCAGTCAACCCATTCAATGTCTCAAAGGCTGGGGAAAATTACAAAAATTAATTCGTATCTATTTTTGTGATTTACCTTTAACTGTGGGACGCAGGTGGCGCTGTGGGTTAAACCACAGAGCCTAATACTTGCTGATCAGAAGGTCGGCGGTTCAAATCCCTGTGACGGGGTGAGCTCCTGTGGCTCAGTGCCTGCTCCTGCCAACCTAGCAGTTCGAAAGCATGTCAGAGTGCAAGTAGATAAATAGGTACCGCTCCGGCGGGAAGGTAAACGGCGTTTCCGTACGCTGCTCTGGTTCACCAGAAGTGACTTAGTCATGCTGGCCACATGACCCGGAAGCTGTACCCCGGCTCCCTCGGCCAATAAAGCGAGATGAGCGCCGCAACCCCAGTCGGTCACGACTGGACCTAATGGTCAGGGGTCCCTTTACCATTTTACCTTTAACTGCATACATTCCAGCCTCCTAATAATAATGTTTGCTTGAATATTCATGGAGGATAAGGCTATCAGTGGCTATTAGCTATGATGGCTGTGTTCTTCCTTCAGTGTTGGAGGCAGTAGACCTCTGAATGCAATTGGGGAGAGGGCTGTTGCACTCAGGCTGGCCTTGGGGGCTTCCCATAGGCATCTGTTTGGCCCCTCTAAGGACAGAATGCCGTACTCGATGGGGTTCTGGTTTGATTCAGCAGCCAGGCTTTCCCTGTGTTCTTACTTTCCTAGAGAGTAGGAATTGGTTCCTAATTGCTAAACCAAATTCCTTGCATTCTTACTTGGGAAAACTAATTACTTTCAGGGCCCCACTCCAGCTGCGAGAACTTGTCAACTGTCGTTGGGCTGAGGAGGTCACCCAGCAGCTTGACACGCTTCAGCTGTGCAATTTGAACAAGCATGAAGAAAATGAAAAGGACAAGTAAGTGGGATCAGACTGTGAGCTTCGATGTGCCTTGCCTAAACACTGGTTTAATTCTGCTCAGAATTGGGAAATAAAGTATTCTATGTAACATTTGTTGCCATCGTGTCAAGGGCTGGATTGACAATCGTGTTAAGTAAGATGCCAGCAAGGGACGCGGGTGGCGCTGTGGGTTAAACCACAGAGCCTAGGACTTGCCGATCAGAAGGTTGGCAGTTTGAATCCCTGCCACGGGGTGAGCTCCCGTTACTCGGTCCCTGCTCCTGCCAACCTAGCAGTTTGAAAGCACGTCAAAGTGCATGTAGATAAATAGGTACCGCTCTGGCAGGAAGGTAAACAGCATTTCCAAGCGCTGCTCTGGTTCGCCAGAAGCGGCTTAGTCATGCTGGCCACATGACCCAGACAAGCTGTATGCCAGCTCCTTCGGTCAATAAAGCGAGATGAGCTCTGCAACCGCAGAGTCGGCCACGACTGGACCAAATGGTTAGGGGTCCATTTACCTTTACCTTTAAGATGCCAGAGAGTTTAGATCTCTTCTTACAGTGCAACTATTTAACAACAGTCTAAATTAAGGGTCCACAACTTTGGCTGGCCTTGGCAGCCAAATTTGTGGTCATCAGAACCCTGCTTTCTCCCCTCATTTTTTAGATTTAGTTTTTTTAAGCACCTTGCTCTTCTTTCCAAGTGTAACCAAGTCCAAGGTTTACACTCACTCTGATGTAACCAACCTTTTCATTTCATTGAGAAATTGTATCTTGGGGCTCTTGAATGGCATGAAGAACATAGGAAAACTCTCAAGGTGTTCAGGTTGCCTTTCTCAGGATGTATCTTTTTTTCCAAAGAATTTTAGTAATTTCTTTGCTCCATTCTGTTAAAAAATATTTTACTATAGGAATGGGGGCGTGCCGGTAGGACAAGCACAAAAGAAACAAGTTCAAATTTAAAGGACAGTGGATGAGTGAAAAATATCAAGAAAGAGGCTATGGTGATAATGTTAAGAGGTCTGTTTTGCCTCTATATTTTGCCCTATATGGCCAAGATGTGGGTGGGGGGAGCACAAGTAATTCCTGATAGATACTGACCACACTGTGTATAATTTTAAGAGGATAATATTATTGGGATAAGTTACCAAAAGTGGTGTGCAGAAGAGATGAGCAATTACCAGCATTTGGTTTTTGAAGAATGATTGAGAAACAGTCTTGCAAAAGACATGTTTGTGTGTGTTTTGCAAACTCTTTTCTTTACTTCCTCCCTCTCCATAGGTGTGAGAATCATCACGAAAAGCTCAGTGTGTTTTGTTGGACATGTAAGAAATGCATTTGCCACCAGTGTGCTCTTTGGGGTGGAATGGTAAGTGGCAGAATAGTTTTCTCTGTGAAAGCTGGAGCAAGGCGCTTCCTACTCAGTGCTTGTTTTTTAATACAGGAGTGCAGCCAAGAGCTCAGAAAGGATGGTATAATTTTGCTTTATTTAAATTAATCTTGTATATATGATTATGATCCTGAATGGTTTTTCTTTTTTCTTTTTCATAGCTTGTTTCTGTCATTACAGAAGAACATTGCTTGTGCCTTCTTAAAAAGAACAAAGCCATCCTTCACCAAATATAAAACTACTTCATTGAAACATTTAACTGATTCATTTTAGGATATAAGTAACTTTCAATTACTCAGATTCCCTATCTCTGAAGCAGTTAAGTTATGCAGGTTATTGATCCATCACAAAAATTCTGAATATTGAGAACTACTAGCAGAGAACTTTGTTTGAGGGTTTTTAAAAAAATTTAAAAATGTGTTTTGAAAAAGAAGTCTGCCTTAACTATGAAAATCTGATTAGGACAGCCAGCTGCTATATAAGCTGAGGTACCGTTGAGGCATAACTCTTTGTATCACAGATTTTTGACATTCCAAGACGAAGAACATCCTTACTCAAAACACATTGGGAAATCATTTTTATACTTCTGTTGTATTCAATAGCACCTTTTCCTATACTGTATGTGCCCACCCAGGACCTAAGTTTTTATATGGAGGTCCTCTAGAGTAGCCCCTCTGGCTGAGATTCAGAGGGTGCTGATGAGAGGCCTGTTCAGCAGAGGCTCCCCTCTTGGAGTGGTCTGCCTAGGGTAGCTTGCTTGGTGCTGATTTTACCATCTTTTGGGTGGCAGGTAAAGATGTTCCTCTTATCCTGGAACTTTTAAATATATTTTTTTCATTGTCAGCTTTTAACATCGTTTATTGACTGTAATAGTGTTAGTTAAGGCTGTGATGGAGTGGGTTGTGCTGTTATTTTTGCAGATTGATGTATTTATGCTGTTGGGTGGGGGGAATTTGGATAGTGCTGGTTTTTAGCTAGGGTTTTATTGATTATATTTGCTATATTGGACGGGTATAACATTTAAATAAATCACCTAGAGGCTTTCTTTTTTGTTTAAGGCAGCTCATAAATAGATTTGTTGTTTTTGTTTACCTTTCTGGTTCATTCCAGCATCAGTGTCAAGATGCCTCTCTCTACATGCAGATCTCACACTTTTAAGGTTCCAACAGTGTTGTTTGCTTTAGAATTTCATGTTTATTCATTTGGCTCATGGTAGGTGTTGGCACTTGAAAATGGTCCTTGTTTAAATTACATTTTATAGGATTAGAAAAATGAAGGGCCCTTAAGACAGAGCAGTGCAGTGTTAGTCTTCTAAGTGGGCTGCACCATAAAGGAATGCTTCCGTCTGTTTTGCTGCATATCCCTGTAGGCTTATAGACTTAATGTGAGGATTACATTAATGTGATAGTTTTCTCTCAACTTCGGTAGAACTACCAAATAGTAGCCTAACTACCTCCCACTGCTCAATGAAACCTCTGATTTGAACTGCTTTGTTGGAACAACATTCTTTAAACGTCTAGGTCTTTTAAAAAATAAATAAATCTACTTTTAATGGAGGAAGCTTGGCTTTGTCAAAGTAAGTCCTTTAAGTCCCCTAAACCTTGAATTAGTCTTCCCATAAGAGGTGCGTCTGGGAGCTAATTTATCCTTTTCCTGAAATGGTATATACATGTTCAGAGTGTCAAGCCAGTTTCAAATTAATTAGCTGAAGAGATGCACAGTGAATACAGAACCTCATTTCAGGCTTTCGACTCAGAATAGATTCCTTCAGGAAGTGTGTGACTGGAACAGAAGCCAGATCCAAGGCTTGTTAACACATTAAAGACAAGATAATATTCTATGGGACAGTCTCTTAAGAAGGAGGTGGGGAAGTAACGTGTCCTGTCCTGGTGCAATGAAGCTGAAGCCTCTGTGTCTTTTTAACAGCATGGAGGACATACGTTCAAACCATTAGCTGAAATTTATGAACAGCATGTCACAAAAGTAAATGAAGAGGTGGCAAAGCTTCGCCGAAGACTGATGGAGTTGATCAGTTTGGTGCAAGAAGTGGTAAGGGCAATCTTCATACCCATTTTGGATCAACACATCATTACAATGATGTTCTTAGGATTTTATTTATTTATTAAATTTATATTGTGCACCTTCTACAAAGGAAATACACACTGGAAAAATATCATGCCTGTAATGGGCAATTTTGCTTCATTCATCCTTTGTGCTGGGTTGCAATCTGTAGACTTAGAAACTTGACACATTGGGTAATTTATTCTGCTTCATAAGCTGCTCTTTAGTTCATTCGTTAAAGCATTCTGGCCCTTGCTGCTCATTAGCTGAAAAGCCTCCCAGAATGACTTACTGTTGATAAATAAAGAAAAGATAGTCCTTGCCCTCTAAAAGACACAACACAACAAGGAAAGAAGAGTTGGGGCGGGTGGGGAGCAAGCTCAGGCACCGGTTCTCTTGGAGTCACCAGAGGGCGCTCTTTAGAACACAAACAAAACAAAATGCACTTGCACTATAAAAAAGTATGCATGCTACTTACTTTTGGGGATTGTTATGATGGATGTGTCTAGACAATAGCTTTGTATAATAGATCATGTTTTCATTATAGCTAGTTTATGCTGTGTTCAAATGATCATGATGGTGCTGGTTGAATCAACATCTTAAAAGTAAATCAGTCAAAAAAACTTTTACAGCTGCAAGGTGACTTACTTTTAACTGGTTTGTGAATTTTCCAGCTGGTAGTAAACTAATGTCTTGTGTGTCTTCCAGGAAAGGAATGTAGAAGCAGTACGCAGTGCGAAAGATGAGCGTGTTCGGGAAATCAGGAATGCAGTAGAGATGATGATTGCTAGGCTAGACACTCAGCTGAAGAACAAGCTTATAACACTAATGGGTAGGCTTGCCTTTTGTTTTGTTAGATTTTGGGGCAGGCATCTTTATTTTGGCAAAACTGTTGCCCACTTGAGATAAGAGTGATCCATAGAACTATAGCTTTCTCTGTTCCAAAAGGTTGGTAATAATTAGAGAAAGCAAATATATTGAGGCCCCCAAAAAGTTATATTAGACAAATTAAACAGTACAGTGATATGGCTGGTGGGTGCTCCTTTTCAGGCATGTCAGGTTTGACATAGTTGGTATTTTGCCACCAAGTGAAGACATACCTGTTTACTCAGACTTTTTAGGTCTTGTAAGGAGTGTCTTTTAGCTTCACTGCTGTGCTTAGCTTTGCTGGTTGTTTTAGGAATTTGTTTTATTGATGACTGTTAAAACTTATTTTATATTTTACTCTGACCTGGTGTTAGCTGATGAAGAGCCAGCTATACATATTTGTAATACACAATAAAAATAAATACATGTTTCAGGCAGGAGGTGTAGCCCACAAGCTACGCTGTAAGTCCATGATTTAACTTTGCATTAAACCTCAAATTCATGCTCTTAACTAAAAAGGGGAAATGTTAACAAAAATACAGTGAAGTGGAATCATATTACTGCATATGAAGCATCTTAATTGTATTTTTGTTACCTGTGATTTGTTACCTCGTCTGTTACCTGTTTTATAGTGTTACTGATTTTATAGGTTGATTTGTTACCTCGTCTGTTACCTGTTTTATAGTGTTACTGATTAAGGTTAATTCATTTTAGTTTTACTGTATTGCGCCTTCTGTACACCCCTTGGAGACAGCTGTGATTAAGCATTAGAGTGGTTAAATAAATAAATGCATGTATGTAATGTATGTTTTAGGAACTGGCCCTCCAAATTTTGTATTATCCCTTAAATGCTGTTTGGATTAGCATTAAAGCACCAGGACAGTTTACTTAAAAGCCTATCATTACGTGACTATGGCTTTCTTGTCTGGCTTAAATTAAATAGGTCAGAAGACATCCCTCACCCAAGAAACTGAACTCCTGGAATCCCTGTTACAAGAAGTAGAGCATCAGGTGATGGAAGCAGCTGGTTTGAATCCCTTTGAGAAAGTTTGATTTATTTTTATCCATCAATTCTCACTAGCAAATAGTATGGGTTTCTTATTTGGAATTGAATTTATATGTGTCATATGTAAATTCTGCTAACAGTACCCCAGTTTTGGCCCTGAGTGCTCACTGGAAGGACAGATCCTGAAAGTGAGACTCCAATACCTTGGCCACCTCATGAGAAGAGAAGACTCCCTGGAAAAGACCCTGATGTTGGGAAAGATGGAGGGCACAAGGAGAAGGGGACGACAGAGGATGAGACGGTTAGATAGTGTTCTTGAAGCTACCAGCATGAGTTTGACCAAACTGCGGGAGGCAGTGGAAGACAGGAGTGCCTGGCGTGCTCTGGTCCAGGGGGTCACGAAGAGTCGGACACGACTAAACGACTAAACAACAACAATATTAGTGGGGTGTATGGGTTGTTAGGGGAGGGGTAGTATCTGCAATGGGGGACACATTGTGGTCCTTCTGGGGTAGTATGTCCACCTTTGGTCCCCACTGCACTCAGTTCTCACCTGTGGATCCTAGAAGCTATCAGCATGTTTCAGCAGCCCCCCTCCACTGCTTTGACTGGCTGGCTAAACCAGGTGAGGGTCACTGTTGGTTCTCAAACCCTCGGTGAGTTAGGGATTTCTCCTACATGCGAAGACAAGCTCCAGTGAATTGAATGGACGAGACCAAGATTGGGTCCAAAGATCAAGAAGGCAGTTTCTGCACGTGCTATAGAGGGAAGTAAGGGGCAGTTGTGGCTTGTCAACCTGGGAAGGTAGCCCATCTAGGAGAAGGAAAACTCTGATCCTAAGCCTCCGTTGCCTTGTGGTATACCTTCAAGAAACGAAAAGGCTCAGGAGTAAACCCTGCACAAATCTGAAGTGGAATCTAACAGTTGGATAGTGCCTCCTTTCAGCAACTCCTTCAGCCAAGCTGGTGTGAAATGTATTGCTCTGCTTTCCTTTTGACCACATCAGTGGGTAGCCCAGGACCTCCATGAACACTGCCCAGGCTTGCACCCTGGGGAGTTCACTTCGATGCTGCTAACACAGCAGTTTGACTTCATCCCTGGAGGCACACTCCATTGTCTCTTGAGACAGACAGATGCCAACAATGATTAGCATTTAGAGAATTGCTCTTAGGAACACATTTTGTGTGTGTGTTTGTAATAACAGATGGCTACATACATCCATTCTGTTTTAAAGCTTGGATGCAGCAGAAGTATTAGTCTTCCTCATTTGGCAAATTTGAATTATTTTACTTGATTTGGTTGGCTTTCTTAAAAGTTTGAAGCTTATTGTTTAGACATTGCTATGCTGGATATCCTTAGTCCTCCGTCTGGGCATTGCTGCTGCAGCTTAAGCTTAGCACTGACACTTTTAATATATTAAACCAATTAAAAATGCTACCTCACTTGGTGGATTTATTGACATTGGCATGCATTTGTTCTCCATTTCCTCTTTTTGCAGCTACGGTCATGCAGTAAAAGTGAACTGATATCAAAAAGCTCAGAGATATTGATGATGTTTCAGCAGGTGCATCGGAAACCCATGGCCTCTTTTGTCACTACACCTGTCCCTCCAGACTTCACAAGGTACTCCAGACTCTACTAGTTTTAAGTTTGCAGATTTGTTGTTGTAAAAGCCATTTGATCCTTATTCATGCAAGCTTCCCAAGGTGTACGTGTACACACAGGATGTCATATTCTACAGTCAATAGGCATTGGTGAAATCCTCATTATTATTACCCCTGACAATTGCAAGGAAAGGGATTGTTGACCTGCATACATAGATTCTATGCAGACATTAAGTCCTAGGTGAAGATTGTCCAGTGGGTAAAAGGGATCTGGCTCCCCACAACTCTTTGGGGATTTCTTTCTTGCATTTGTATCTCACTTTTTTCTCCAAGGAGGTCAAGGTGGTGTGTACATGGTTCTCCCCCTCCTCATTTAATCCCCACAACAACTTTGTGAGGTAGCTTAGGCTGAGAGCCACCCCAGGGTCACCCAGTGAGCTTTATGGCTGAGTGGGGATTTGATCTCTGGTCTACCAGGTCCTAGTCTGACACTCTAGTCATGATACCATGTGTTAATCATGCTTTTAGTTTGGCCCAGTGACAGATTTCTGCAATTGAGGCAGCCTCACGTTTTTTGTAAAGCGGATGATAAAAATGGTCAGTAATGTATGGCGCTGGGATGCTAGATTGAAGGCCAGACCTATAGTCGGCTTCTCCCATGGAACTTTTATCCACCCGAGAGTTCAGGCTCCACTTCCCTCAGTGTTGGTAAGAGAGAACACCTGAAGTGGGACCAGCAATGCTTATTTGACTTTGGTGTGTCTCAGACCGCCAGAGTATAGCCCAAGTTTGTTCATATGACTGCATAAAGCTAAGGGTACAATCACTATTGCAACAAGACTGATTGCCTAACAAGTTGTTACCATCCTTTTTAGTAATGTTGTGAGTGAACTGTGGAAACTTCCTGCAGTTTTTTAGGGGCATTTGGAGAGTCATTTGTATGCCAGTCATGTTCTTGGTAAGCAAATCGTTTTCTTACCTTGCACTTTCAAGTCTTACCTGTTATTTTCCTTCCTGTAGTGAGTTGGTTCCTGCATATGATTCAACTACCTTTGTCTTGGAGAACTTCAGGTAGGGACATGACTTACCAAAAAGTGGGATTCTAGCTAGCTTGGGTGCGATCCTGGAGTTTAATCAGAGGTTAGGCTAAACCTGTTGCCACTGGCAGGGTTTCAATTCCAGAACACATTAAGTTGTATTTTATTGTGTTCTGTGCACAAACATCTGACTAAGGGAGGAGGCTCTTTTATCCCTTGCTAGCTCCTCCTCCTGTTGTTATTCCTCTTGCAGCGACATACTGAAATATTGAACAGAATCTAACTGTTCAACAGATTATTCCCCTTCAGAAGAGCATGAATTATCCTCCAGATTGGTTTATGTAAGCAGCTCACTTTCCCAGCTGGAACAAAAGAATTGAACGCGATGCTTAATTTGTTCTCTGTGGTAACTGGGGACCCAAAATCTGTTTTTCAGAAGCAAGGGTCAAACTCTGAAGTCAGCGTTTCCCATATCTTATGTTTGCAGGGACTGTATTTATCACCTTCCTCACTAGAGAGTGCTTCTGAGTATGCGCAGAGTGCATTTCACCAGCATCAAATAGCCACAATCCATTTAGAATGAGTGGGGTCAGGCTTTTGTGTTGCTATATGGATACCAACATGATCTCCCCCAGAAGTTGTTGGAGTCCCATTCCCATCAGTCCCAGCCACCATGGCCGGTGATTGTGTTTGATATGAGTTACAGTGCAACATCACCTGGAGGGCACACATTGGTTACCCCGTCCTACTGTCTTCTACAAGATAGGAGGGTGTGTACAAATATAAGGAAGCTTTTGAGGTGTGAAAGAGAGAACTATAAGGGAGTTTATAATAAAAGCCTTGGAAAAGAATAAAGAGGAGTGAGGCATAGAACAGAACACGGAAATGTTTTTGCATAATGGAATGGCTGCTAAAGAAAATTCTAATGGTGTGTATTGAGAGAGTGGATCCTAGTGAATAATTATTTTGTATTTCCTTAGGTTTGAAAATGCACATTAAGGAATGCTTGCTCTAGAGATGACGACCCTCCCGTTTGTGTTGAAAGATTTACTTTAACCTTTGCACTGAATATTTATTTCTCTCATCTCAACAGCACTTTACGCCAGCGGGCAGATCCCGTTTACAGTCCACCTCTTCAAGTTTCTGGGCTTTGCTGGAGGCTCAAAGTTTATCCAGTGAGTGTGGCTGATACTGTTAACAAACAGCTACTGAAATCTTGGTCATAACCTCACTCCTGGTGCATTGTGATCCATAACTTGGCCTGCAGTGTTCTATTCTTATGAGTAGTCCTGAGGTACAACTTCCAGAAACCAAAAATGTCAGTCTCTGGGTTAATTACCTGGAACTAATATTTAAAAGAATGTGGGGAAAACATAATAGGGGGGAGTCTTGAAAAAAGAATCCTCATGATTTGATATACCATGGATGCACCAGAAGAAAAGCTAAAATACCTCTTAGTAGGACCATTTCCTAAAAAGCAGCTTGGATATTGCAAGCAGTTTCTGTTCAGTACTACAGATGGATCACAAGCCCCTTATTTTTTTAAGCCAATCACACCTGGGATACTTTTTAATGTTGTTCTTTTTTTCTCTAGCAGCAGCACTTACCCAGTACGGGGTGAATCTGTAAAGCAAGCATGTAATGGCCAAAGGAATAAGGCAAAAAAAATAAAAGTGGTCTAGCATTGACAGGCAATGTAAATAATTACTTATTTATTGCATGGCACCTCACATGTTAACCGGTTATTCTGAAAGCTTACAATTTTGCTAAGATTTGAATCTTTGACACAACCCTTAAAATTGCCTCTGTAGAAAAGCCAAAAATCTGTGCTCTAGATGTATTATGCAGGTTAGGAACTTTGCCAATAGCTTTTATGCAGCTTCTGTTTTCAAATAATATGGTAAAATGGAGGAAAGGAAAAACCTTGTGGCTGCCTGGTGGGTAAAACAAAGTGACAAAGAACAGAAAAACCGTAAGAGGGAGGCCATGCCACAATTTTAGTTTTCTAGATTTTGGACCTTTATATGCTGCTGATATTATTTCCAAGCAGTGAGGCCTAGAGGAAATATTCCGCTTTTAAAAATGCAAGATGTTTTTCACATTATAATACTGCATTACCACAACACCGAAGAAATCTTCCCAGTTTGTGGGTATAAACGTTTTGTTGAACCACATTCTGATTGTATAGGGCCTAACTGAGGAGGGGCAACATGTTTGGCTGTTGAGGGCGCTTATTCACGGTGGCAAATAAGTTAGTACTCCAAGGCTGGAAGAAAAATATCTGCCACTGGTTGTGCAACAGACTGAAGGCTTATGTCTTTTGGCAGCAAATGAAAGGGCAGCCTTCTGGCAGAGGCAACAGGAAGGAAAATATCTAGTCATTTGGGTTCCTTACGCCAATCTATTTGCATGAAGCAGCACTGTGTGACTTTATACTATCTTTTATTTATTTGACATTTTTCTGTCTTCCTCCAAAAAGAGAGCACAGGACAGCTAATGACATAAAGCAATAGATCAATCATAAAAACATGGAAAACATCAAATGGCTGCTTATCAATAACCGCTTAACAGATAATACCTCCCCAACACCAAGCATACCTCAAAAGCCTGATGAGTTATCCAATTGTGTGTGAACATAGCTGATTGCACCTGTGAGGGTGTTTCATAGTGCTGGCCTTGAGGGTGCCCTGTCTTCTGTAAATATCTTCCTCACCACCAGTACTGAAGGAAGAGCAAGCTGGACCTCTTCCAATAATGGCAAAGACTGCGTTGAAAAGTGCTGGGGAAGACACATTTTCTTTTTCTCTCCTGGATCACGCCGACTCCACCTTGTCATGGGAGCCAGGCTGAACATATAACCAACTCTATGCTTGGACCGACAAAGTAGTAAGACAGCCCCATGCTTGTCGTGGTGGCCATAAAGTCCTGATCTGACATGACAAGGCAGCCCTGACATGGAGATTGAAGTCCCCCAAGAATAATATGCTGGGATTCTTCAAATCTATTCCAGAAACACCTCCTTAAGCCCAGTCAGGCTGTGTGGGAAGTGGTATACAAGCAGCATCTTGTAAGACAGGGTAGCATGCTAACAGGGTTTACTCATCCCCTCTTCTTTTTCTCCCACACCTTTTCCTTGGTTGTCTCTAGTTCTTACTGGTTTCTATGAAAAATTCTTCCACGCACACACACACAAAATTATTAACAAATGTGAGAAGAGGTTACCATAAGAAGGAGAAACTATTATAAACTATTACCCTAAGAAGGAGAAACACTCAAGTTCTGTTTATTTGAACATGCACCAAGCTGCACCCATAGGAGGGGCTAGTGGCTCCGGTGCTATGGTGCTGGTGCTTGGCTTTTGAGGCCAAAGTACCATAAGACATTTGGGGCTTCAGTGCACAAGTGGTTTCTGTGATGTAAAGTCCCCTCAAACAGATCACCAATTTGTTGATGGTATTTAAGCATTGGTGGTGGCAGGGGGGGGGGAGCATTCTCTCTCAGTTTAGACTCTCCGGAACTGTGCATCAGGTAAAAGCCCACTTCAGCTGTATTTTCAATAATTGCAGGAAGCTGTATTATGAACTTTGAAATCTCATTTGGCAGGTAGTAGGCATGTTGTAAGAAACTAACTTTGACTTGAACGTTTTTTAAAGGATGGAAACGGAGTGGTGCGAGGCTATTATTTATCTGTATTTCTCGAGCTGTCGGCTGGATTGCCAGAAACATCCAAGTAAGAACAATCACTGTTTCCCCCTGTGTTTGGAATAGGGTTGCACTCTGTGTCTGTGGTAATGTTGGAGGGAGGAAGCAGGGAGTCTAGTTAAATTATGTGTCTGACCAAACATGAAATGTATGCTCAAACCATGTGATTCTGTAGTAAAGAACCTAGGCAGTATTACTTAGTCCAATCTTTTAGGGGTCTTCACCAAAAACTGTGCTCGATCCAAAAAGTCCTTCTTTGTGTGGAAAAGGCTTTGGTCCAGAAGAGTTTTCTATGAATGGAAATAGTGTGGCAGTTTTTCCAGTTCCCCCTGAGCCCCCCTCCCACAACACTTCCTATTCTGTTCTGAATGGTCCCCAATCTTCTGGAACGAGTCTTTGAGTATGCTAAGGCAAAGCAGAATTGTTGAAAATTGCCTGCCACATTTATGTTGAGGAAAGTTTCCCTTGGACCAGAGCTTGTTTATTTACACAAATATTTGTATACACAAAAATTAAAATGGATCACTAGCTGACTATTCAATGGAAAACATTTGTCTTATTGTCTGCATAAATAAGCCTGGTGGCAAAGAAAATATTTCAGCAAATTTTTGAAGGTTAGTATAGAAGCCCTGCCAAGTCTCCAGTCTTCAAGAAAGGGCTAATAACACTGAAGCTCAGTTTTGTGCTGATGTCAAATGAGCCTCACCCAGCTCAGAACTACCAGCAAATCCTACAGATGATCTTGGTGACCAAGCTGGGATATAAAGGTTCTACAAATAGAAGGAGTTATTTTGTTTGTGGAAGGGCAGATATAAGCCGGTTATGTTAAGAGTTGTAGAATATCAGCACTTTTCTAGACTCCCCTTGAATATTAATAATAATTTTATTATTTAAACCCCACCCATCTGAATGAGCCATGTTAGATTTTTCCAAAACTCTGTGGATTCTGTGACCAAAATTATGTGCCCAGGCATCCAAGAGCAGGATTCTGTTGCCTAGATCAGTTATGCAAATTCACCACATTTCCATAGCTCTGATTTAGCTAGTCATGGGGGAGATGGAGAGGGGGGAGAAAGAGAGTGGTACATCTCAGAATCTTTTTCAGCCACCTTCATTTTCTGGAAATTCACTAGGCATTTCCCTCAAAGGATAAGACCATCAATGGCTACTATTCGCCATGATAGCTATTTCCCCTCCACTGTTGGAGGCAGAATGCGCCTGAATATCAGTTGCTGGGAATTGCAGGTGGGGAGAATGCTGTTCCCCGTCTGCCCTACGTTGTCCTTATGTCCTGCTCCCAGGCTTCACACTGGGACAGCTGGCTCTAACAAGGGCTGCTAAATATTTTATTGGACATTTTGAGTGTGTGTGACTTTTGGCTTAAATGCCCTCTGCTTGTGGGGAAAGTGGCTTAAGTAATGTAGTTTCATGGTCATATTTGGCAAGAAGGGAATATTTGACAGAGGTGTTGTGCTGAACTTGGTCTGAACAGCTCTGTTAATTGCAGTGGGAAATTGATTTCAAATGCAGCCAAGTGGCTGGCCAGCCTGTCTTTCAGGTGAGCTAGAGGTTACCTGCCAAAAAATTACCATAGATGCTAGGTCACCAAGAATTTAGTCCCTGAGCAGCTTTTTAAGCACAGCTGATTCAAAGGCTTCAAAACATCCACAGCCAGATTGTGTCCTTGACAAGGAACCAAGCCTGCCACTCCTGCCAATCTGAATCTGAGCTAAGAGACCTGTGGCCCTCCCAACATGTTGCTGAACTACAGTTCCCATCATATCTAACAATTGGCTATGCAGGCTATGCCTCATGGGAATTGGAGTCCAATAGCATCTGGAGGGCCAAAGTTTTCCCGGCCCTGATGTGAATAAAAACCCTGGTCCCCAATCCTAGTTTTTCAGGGGTCGGTTTCATTTAGATTGCTTGAGTTTTGGGAGGTAAGCTACAGCTAATAAATGTGCTTTTTTGAAAAGGTCTGTGAAATAAGATGGGAAGGTTGGTTATGGGTTTATTTGTCTCTTCATATTTTAAATCATTTTGATAGTACAGTTGTACCTTGGTTTTGAACAGCTTAGTTCATGAACAACTAGGAACTCGAAAGCTGCAAACCCGGAAGTAGGTGTTCCAGTTTGCAAACTTTGTCTCAGAAGCTGAACATTTTTGGTTGAAGACAGTTGTAGCCATGGTTGCACCGGTTGTTCTTACCCTCTTGTGTCAGGTGTGCCCTCCACATAAGATGTTGGACTCTCAACAACCCAGCAGCTTCTGGTTGGCGAAGGCTGTCTGGCATTGGTTGTTACCGCAGTGTATACCCTTATCCATGCACCCATCACATCAGCATTTTTTAAATATCCCACGGAGATATCTATGGCCTCACTGTTGCTAGTCTTTGAAAAAAGGCTGAAGACACACTTATTCAAGTCTGTGTTTGGCTGAATAGTAGTGCTGCTGTTGTGGTTTTTTATTTAGTTGTATTTTCATGTGACTTATGCCCTGCCTCACAGGACAGCCATGCATTGAAATGCAGGTTTGTTTTTTGTTTAAACAAAACTAAAAGCTGGTAGAAAGATGACATGCTTGCTAATTGATGGAAATTTATTAATTAGTGAAATGTAACTTAGGATATAATTGAACCAACAATTACTGTAACAAAGCTCAACAATTATAACTGAAGTAACTAAATGTTCTTCCCCTTTTTGCCACTGTTTCATTCCCCTTCCACTTCCTCCTGTGTGAATATACAGAATGTAAGCCCCTGGGGGCCAGGCCCTGTCCTCTCATTCTTTGCAAAATGCCATATACATGGGTGGCACTATAAAATTAATAGATGTTAATGTATGGTTCCACATAAGGTCAGGTCTAGCACTGGGAGATTTATTTTCTGTTTGCCTGTGGCATTTTTGTTTTGTAGGTATGAATACCGTGTGGAAATGGTCCACCAGTCCACTAATGATCCTGCTAAAAATATCATTCGAGAGTTTGCGTCTGATTTTGAAGTTGGCGAGTGCTGGGGTTACAACAGGTTCTTTCGACTGGACTTGCTTGCTAATGAAGGCTACTTAAACAGGCAGAATGACACCGTCATCTTAAGGTACGGGAGAGGCCTACTGCGCAAGTGCTGTAAGGGTGCAAGATGACCACAGATAGCTTTTTGAGGGTGGATGGTAGGAAAAGGAACCTCTTGGCACCGCATCCTATGTGGTGGGGGAGCAGCCCTTGCCTTACTCTATTTGTATCTGTTTGTAGTGTTGTAATGGTGAGAGGAGTTCAATTTAACTTGTTTAGTAGGCCTGTCTCTTTAAAAAGTTCTCAAGAATTTTAATTGAGTAATCATTGCCCAATAAATGTGAATATTGGCTCGACCTCCAAGTTGGTGCCTTTTGATGTATGAGGACTTTGCCGATTAATAGATGCAAGCTACCTGTCACTGTTACAGGGAAGGGTATTCTCTAATATAATTTTGATCTCTGTTACAGTAGCACTTCAGAAGCAAAATAAGCATCAGTAAACAAAGTGTAACCTTTAAGCTTTAGCTGATTTAATTCACTTATTTAAATTAGCAGCCTAAATTTTTTAGGAGCAAATGGGATGAAGCTGGATGGCTCTGTCCCTCCTTTCAGATTCTTCTTTAACGATGGTGACACAAGGTTGCTGTCGCAGCTTTGTAGAGAACCCAACTGCTAATATTTTATTTTTTTTAAATTATATTTATTAAAAGTTTTAAAATTACAGAAAAAAGAAAAAAGACAGCAATAAAAAAGAAAAAAAACATAGAAAAGCAATACAACAATACAGCAAAAAACCCCAAAGAAAACTAAAACTAAAACACACATCCAATATTCCATGTCTTTACCTTTCCTTTACTTGTTTCATCGACCTCCTCACACCTCCCTTTTTTTGTATTCTAGTTCAATTCACTATTTCAGCAAATTCTTCCCATCTTTCTCAATTTTTTTCCTATAATTTATCTTAACGATCTAACCTTAAATTTTTTCATTTTAACCCGTTATCAATCAGCTTTTACTTAATTCTTTGTTGCATTTCTACTAAAACCATATAACTTCATTCCAGCATCCTTCTAACACTCATTAATTTTACAATGTTTCTGTAAGTATACTTTGAATTTTTTCCAATCTTCTTCCACCGACTCTTCTCCCTGGTCTCGGATTCTGCCAGTCATTTCCGCCAGTTCCATGTAGTCCATCAGCTTCATCTGCCATTCTTCCCTGGTGGGTAGATCTTGTGTCTTCCAATGCTTTGCAATAAGTATTCTTGCTGCTGTTGTAGCGTACATAAAAAAAGTTCTATCCTTCTTTGGCACCAATTGGCCGACCATGCCCAGGAGAAAGGCCTCTGGTTTCTTCAGGAAGGTATATTTAAATACCTTTTTCATTTTATTATAGATCATCTCCCAGAATGCCTTAATCTTTGGGCATGTCCACCAAAGGTGAAAGAATGTACCTTCAGTTTCATTACATTTCCAACATTTGTTATCGGGCAGATGGTAGATTTTTGCAAGCTTGACTGGTGTTATGTACCACCTATAAATCATCTTCATTAAATTCTCTTTTAAGGCATTACATGCCGTAAACTTCATACCAGTGGTCCATAACTGTTCCCAGTCGGCCATCATAATATTATGTCCAACATCTTGTGCCCATTTAATCATAGCAGATTTCACCATTTCATCTTGAGTATTCCATTTCAACAGCAAGTTATACATTCTTGACAAATTCTTAACTTTAGGGTCTAACAATTCTGTTTCCAACTTTGATTTTTCCACCTGGAAGCCTAGTTTTTATCCAAGTTATATGCCTCCATTATTTGATAATAATGGAGCCAATCTCGTACTCTGTTTAATTTTTCAAAGCTCTGCAGTTTTAATCTGTCACCCTCTTGTTCCAAAATTTCCCAATACTTCGGCCATTTGGCCTCCATATTGAGTTTTTTCTGAGCCTTTGCTTCCATTGGTGACAACCATCTTGGGGTTTTATTTTCTAACAAATCCTTATATCTTATCCAGACATTAAACAGTGCTTTTCTTACAATATGGTTTTTGAACGCTTTGTGTGCTTTAACCTTATCATACCACAAATATGCATGCCAACCAAATACATTATTGAAACCTTCCAAATCCAAAACATCCGTGTTTTCAAGAAGCATCCATTCTCTCAGCCAACAAAAAGCGGCTGATTCATAATAAAGTTTTAAGTTTGGCAGGGCAAATCCACCTCTTTCTTTAGCATCAGTTAATATCTTAAATTTTATACGAGGCTTCTTGCCCTGCCAGACAAATCTGGAGATATCTCTCTGCCACTTCTTGAAACAGTCCATTTTGTCCAAAATTTGCAGTGTTTGAAACAAAAACAGCATTCTTGGCAATACATTCATTTTTATCACAGCAATTCGGCCTAACAACGATAGCTTCAAATTTGACCATATTTCTAAATCTTTTTCACTTCAGTCCAACATTTTTCATAGTTATCCTTAAATAAATTCACATTCTTAGCAGTCATGTTAACCCCTAAATATTTCACTTTCTTAGCCAGTGTCAGTCCTGTCTCCTTCTGAAACTTATCTCTCTCAATCTCTGTTAGATTCTTCTCTAAAACCTTAGTTTTCGTCTTATTCAACTTAAAACCTGAGAACCCAACTGCTAATAGAACATGTGTTATTCTTGTATGGGACTTTTGTAAGCATTGTGAAGTTTTCCCCTCCTTCTGCCCCCCACAAGGTTCCAGGTGCGGTCACCCACCTTCTTCCAGAAATGTCGGGATCAGCACTGGTACATTTCTCAGCTGGAAGCTGCTCAGACAAGCTATGTCCAACAGATAAATAACCTTAAAGAGGTAAGCAGCATTGTGACACGTGAATGCTAAATTGAGGGACAATGCCATTAACTATAGTGGGTGGCTGATATTTTGGGGGGCAAGTGTATTAGGCTAATTTGAACAATGAAACATGAATGTTAGTGTGTTGTGCTTGTTTCCCAGACTGCTGAGGGTTTAGGAACCTTTCTTATTTTCTGTATTTTGAAATTGGAAGCATGCTTCAATTTACACTTGGGTCCATGGGAAGTTTTCTTATGTTGAGTCATAACATTGGTCCATCTAGCTCAGTACTGTCCACATTGAGAGGCAGCAGTAGTTTTAGATGGGGCATTCCCTCTACTACCTAGAGATGTCACTGGGGATTGAACCTAGAACCCTTTTGCATGCAAAGCATGTGCTCTACCCCAGGCTTCCTCAACCTCAGCTCTCCAGATGTTTTGAGACTACAATTCCCATCATCCCTGAGCACTGGTCCTGCTAGCTAGGGATCATGGGAGTTGTAGGCCAAAAACATCTGGAGGGCCGACGTTGAGGAAGCCTGCTCTACCCTTTGTCCTGCAGCACCTTTCCAGATGTGCAAGAGCTGTTTGCCTTTAGAAGGACCTACCTCTGAATTTCTGCATGAGTCACTGATCTGGGTGTGCTTTCTCAGGCAGGTAAAGCTGCTGCATCTGTGCATCTGGAGTGATTGATCCAATCACATCCAATGTAGAGATGTGTCAGAGCTATCTGTCTCCAGGAGAGGCTAACTGAAAAGAGAAAAGCGAATCAGGAGTAGATGTGGTGGGTAATCTCTTTGGGTACGTAACTTGGGCATCACAGCTCTTGCTGTCAGTCACCATGCGGTTTGCGAACAACTGGTTTAGTATTACAGTCGTACCTTGGATCTCAAACGTCTTGGCTCCTGAACAATCAAAACCTGGAAGTGAGTGTTCCGGTTTTCGAACAATTTTTGGAAGCCAAACGTCTGCAGCTTCTGATTGGCTGCAGGAATTAGAAGCCACACTTTGGTTTCTGAACGTTTTGGAAGTCGAATGTACTTCTGGAACAGATTCCGTTCGACTTCCAAGGTACGACTGTATAAAGAATGTTGGCTACATTAAACCTATGCCTTCCGTTTTCCATATGTGTATGCTTTATTTCCTTTTTCTTTTTTAAATGACAGAGGCTTGCAATCGAGCTTTCTCGTACCCAGAAATCCCATGGCATGTCGCCCCCCGATACTCACCTCAGCCCACAAAGTGATGATGGTCCAGAAGCAAGACCTAAGAAGTCAGGATCAAACTCTGAAGTGCATCTTGAGGCTGTGGCCAGCACAGCATCTGCTAGAGAAGCAAAGGATGACGAGGAAGAAAAAATACAGTATGAAGACTTCAATGTAAGAATCCTCCTCTCCTGCCCTGGTGAATTTGCAGTAATGACCAAACATGAGATCATGTCAATGGCCCTTTAGTCCAGCATCCTAGTTTCACAGTGGCCTACTAGATGCCTCTTCTGAGAAGCCCAGAAGAAGACGCTGAGCACAACAGCACTCCTCATTTGTGAATCTCAGCAACTGGTGGTATTCAGAGGCACGCTGCCTCCGATGGTGAAGGGGAGAACACGGCCCATGTGGTTATTGGCCACTGATAGCCTTCTTCTCCATGAATTTGTCTGAGTCTCTTTCAAAGCCATCCAAGTTGTTGACCATCACTATTTATTGTTGGAGCAAATCCCAATGCCTGTAGATCAGCCTGTGCTAATGGAGAGGGGTTGTGCTTGGTAAGCAGGAAAGGGTAGATCACAGGTACACATCTGAAAATAGTAGCCAACCTGTTTTGCTAACTGTTGCTGTGTTGTTTGAATTTCAAAATAGATTACATGCTTGGTGGTACAGAGGGACATCTGGTAACGGAGCCTTTTATCAGTGCTGAAACACACACCCTTTCAATGTCTGTGCCCAGAGCATGCAAATCTGTGTTTAGTGTTGCTGAATTCTACTATCTTGCATAATGTATTCTGTTTTTGGTAGTTGTGGAAACCTTATTCATTGACCACCACCTTGGCTTTGGAGATTTCAGAAGGCAAATTAGGCATACAGTATCTGTTTTTAATCAGTAAGACCTAGAAAAAATGTTTTTTAATCAAAGTAGTGATTCTCAGGGAGCTCAGTTCTGTACCTAATACCATGCCTTCCTTCCAAGGATGAGGATGTTCTTAGGTACTCTATCCCACTTACTTGCTACAGTTAGCAAGCCAATAGACATTACTCTTGTTCATTCTACGCTGTGAGAGGAAAGTCCTCTTCTGCCATGCTCCAGGCATCAGCAGGTCTCTGATTCTGGAATAGGGCCAGCTACCCCCTGGAATTCTGGGGGTACGGGCAGACTCCTGTGTGTTCCTGGCTTACATAAGAATATAAGAAGTGCCTGCTGGATCAGACCGATGGGCCATCTAGTCTAGAATTCTGTTCCCACAGGGTTCAGCCAGATGCCTGTGAGAAACCTGCTTCCAGAGTTCCCTCTTTCCAGTTAACCAGCTAAACATTAGTGTCACTGCTTTCTCTGCGCCAGGATAACCAACATGGTCCTCTCCAAGTGATGTGGACTCCATAATCCCCTGACTGTTGGCCACGCTGGCCGGGGCTGATGGAAGTTCTTGGGCTACCAACTGGAGAGCAGCATGTTGGCTGCCCCTGCTCTGCACTGCACACACAAGCATTATTTCAGAGCCATTTTTGCATGCTCTTGACTGCAGCATGAACTCTCAGATGGGGACCTTGATGTCGATCTTGTTGGGGAGGACGAGGCAAACCACCTTGACGGCAGCAGCTCTTCAGCTAGTTCCACAGCGACCAGCAACACAGAAGAAAATGATATTGATGAAGAGACGATGTAAGAGACCCTGTTCTTGTTCTGCCATCTTTGTTGTCTATTGAAATGGAAGCGCCTTCCATTTGGAGGCAGGGTTGGGAGGGGAAATCCTACCCTAGATGATTGTTGCTCCCAAGGCAGCTAACAAAGCATAAGGACAAAGGAAACACTGTAATAAAAAAATTATCTATTTCATTTATTTAACAAAATTCAGACAGCGCATGGCTGCAATAAAACCTGTAAGCAGTTTACAAAAAAATCCCAACATAATTATCAATAAAAGGACAGGTATTGAAAAGCATTCAGAAGATAATGAAAATCAACAAGCCAAAAAGAGATTAAAATTCATGTCCAGTTCTGCATGTCTGGAAAGGCTTGCCTAAAGAAAAATGTCTGGAGAGGCAGCACAGAGGTGCACTTACAAATATTTGGCTTCTTTCTAAGACTACATGCCTATACATTTCAAATGCGATGTTTTTTCCAGTGGTCTATGCTTTTAATAGAATGAGGGTTCAAGGGCTGAGATAGTGATGAATGAGCAGAATGAACATTTTTAGCACTGGGGTATTGTTTATGAGTTTTATTGGGGTTGTTGCTATTAATTTTTTAATATCTTTATTTTGGATCTAATGATTCATGTGGAAATTGTTCAGTCTGGTTTTGTACTTTTTGACGTTTTGTTTATTGCTTATTACTATTTTTGTTAAGCTTGTATTTTTTATATGTTGCAATCCGCCTTGAGCATGGTTTTAACTTTGGAAAGGTAGCATACAAATAAAATGATTGATTGATCCATTGATTGATTGAGATAGCAGAATGAACTGTACCACTTCAGAGTGTAAGTGGGAGATGAAGTGGATATTCAACACACTTGTGGCCATGCAGTTGAACTTGCCTTCCATCTCCTCTCCCTATGTGCCCCCTAAAATCTGTTCTGGGGGTTCCCCAAGCTATCTAGAACAGATTTGGGGAGGGTGCAGGGGGAGAGGATGGGGGAATTCTGTTGTGGAAACAGAAATGTTAAAGGGTAGAAAAAACAAGTCTTCCTGCAAGGAGAAAAGTAGCAAAGCTAGAACCTTTTGGATATCTACCTTGTAGGAAGTATTGAAGTAGCTGAAGGGGTAGAATCCATTCCAGCACCCTGGGACTCTGCTGCATGTATAGACTGAGCCTTAGATGCTAGTACTTGAGTGATGTAAGCGCATGTGTGAAAGAGTGGTTTTATCCCATAACAATGAATTTGCTAATCTGTGCAGTTTAAAATCTATGAAATTCTTTTAAGCACAAGTGATTTTTCAGTACAAAGGCTTCAAAGGAGCTCTTTGTTTTTGTTTAATTTGTTTCTTAGGTCTGGGGAAAATGATGTGGAATACAATCACAACATGGAGTTGGAGGAAGGAGATATTGTGGAGGAGGCAGCTTCTGCCGCAGCAGGTGCCTCGGGTATGAATGGGATCCTTTTTTCATTAAACTGCATCTTAGTATACGGAGCCTGCTTTCCATCCTTCTCCTTGTTCTCTCACTGCCACGTCAGAGGCAACGCAGAGCTGTGTATTCTGCAGGATTTTCTATTTTTGGAACTGCTGCATCATGTACCGTATGTGGAGATTATTGCAATGTAGGGCAGTCTTCCCATTGGCTCACAGTCATGAGAGGTTTGCAGCTGAATTTCCTTAAGGGCTTTTAAAAAACGCATCAATGGAGTGCTGACGCTTCCCAGTCTTCTTTTTTAAAAAGAAAAGAAAAAAGTACTCTTAAGTAGAGCTGGTGGTTGATTTCCTCTTTTGCCTTTTACTCATTTTCCTTTTCCCTTGGGAGTGTTGACACTTTATCTTAAACAGTGTGATCTTACTGCATAAGCTTCCTTACTGGGGTGAGGAAGGGATGAAATGTGTGAACCTCTTAAGTATCAAGTGGAGAGGAGTCCAAGGGAATAGTGCCTATAAATTTGACTAATTCAGACACAGATTCTTCATCTGCGGCTGGGATTTTGAAAGCTCTTGGAAGGTTTCTTTTTAAATAAGCACTTAAGATACCAGTTCTAGCAAAGATCTGTCAATTATCCTGCTGGGAGGGAAGCGTTGCTGGTGTTGTATTGCAGTTCTCCTTATAACTGTCTAAATCCTATTGTGGCTCAGATAGCAATCACTGGCATACGACAGTTAAATTATACCTCTGTTAGAATTCCTTCTGAGCCAGGAAATTAATTCATATTTAGCTGATTAATACCACCCCCTTTACAGGAACAGAGGTGGAGGCATAATGTCTGCAGAACTAAGTGATTGATTGTGTTCCCTAGCCTTCTCTTTTTAAAAGTGTTTGCTGTCTGTAAAATCCTCCCTCACTGGTGTCTGTCTGTAACCCACTCAATTCTGAGGAATCTCCAATTTTGCTAATTGCGTGTTCTTAATCACCTGCTTTGCCAGAGCCCCTTAGTGGCTTTTTATATGGGTGTTTATTTTCCCCATTCAACTAACTTACAGCGGGCAACTAGATACACTGTTTCCCTGCACAGACTTTTGCACCAAGAGTAGTTTGGCTACAATCCTGTCAGACACACATACTGAATTCGCTATTTGGGAGAGTGGAGGTTGGCAACTGCAGCGGACGGGGCACTGCCCCACCAACCTCAACCTGCCCTCAGCCAGCCTCTGCCTGCCTGTCTTCTTACTTACAACCAGTCCAGGGAGTGGTGCTGCCTGTCGGCTTCCTCCTCCTTAGCGTTGCCCTTGTACAACTCAGCAGGGAGAAAGGTGGGAACAAAATTAGAACTATTAGAGCCAGTGTGGTTAAGAGCAGTAGACTTGTAATCTGGTGAACCGGGTTTGCATCTCCGCTCCTCCACATGCAGCTGCTGGGTGACCTTGGGCTAGTCACACTTCTCTCTGAAGTCTTTCAGCCCCACTCACCTCACAGAGTGTTTGTTGTGGGGGAGGAAGGGAAAGGAGAATGTTAGCCGCTTTGAGACTCCTTCAGGTAGTGGATATCAAATCCAAACTCCTCTTCTTCTACTACTCTTCTCCTGTTGGTCTTTCTGCCTTCCATCTCACCAGTCCCAATGGGCGGCAGCCACCCCTAACTTTAGAAGGCCTCCACTGCTGAATGTGAAGTGCTTTGGATATTCTTAAAGCATTATAGAAACACTAATCGGACCATCGGCTGTGGGGAGGACTGCAGGGCCTGCTCCCTTCCAGGGCCTTTTCCAATCTGGCCCAGGGGGCGTGGCCCAGGCCCTTATTTGGAACAAACTTTTGGGGAAGTTGGGAAGTGTTCTGCGATTGCTTCCCTGTTCCAAGTGGTTAATGTGTTTTAAAATGTCCTCAAGCAGTCGGTGGCAATTTAAATTTGTATTTCTTTTTTCCTTTGTTGGGGGTTGGTGGGTGGGATGGATATTTGGTTGGGGATTAATTTTAGTATAATTGTTCTGTTTTTGTTTTTTGTTGTTTTATTGGTTCTGTATAGTTTGTGTTTTGTTTTTAAGGGGCGGGATCAGGGCTGCCTGGGAGTGGGGCCCCAGCCAACACGATGGCTGGGACAAGTTCCACAGGGGGGGAAGCACTGGGACATCCGATCTCGGTGATCATGGGCAGGAGGAGGAGTTACGCTAAGACCAGACCATGTCATTACCGAGGAGGCAGGTTTAGTCGTTGTTTGAGGACTATCCCTGCCTCCGGGTCTGGCCTTGACCGGATGGATACTGGAATCAACAGGGGAAACCCACATGACCTGAAGGTGTTGCTGTGTAATACCAGGTCAATTATGAATAAAACCACTGCCATCCACGACCTGATTGTGGATGGAGGATTTGACCTGGCATGTGTGACAGAGACCTGGTTGGAGGAAGCAGGTGGGCCTGTCCTTGCTGCTGCTTGCCCACCAGGTTTCTCTTATGCACAGCAACCCAGGTCATGTGGGTGGGGAGGGGGGGTTGCAGTGATTTTTAGGAAGTCATTAGCTTGCATCAGGCGTCCTACTGGGAAGACCCAGTTTTCTGAGTGCATGTTCTGGAAGTTGGGCAATAGGGGCAGTACAGGATTCCTTTTGGTGTACCGACCTCCCCGCTGCACCAAGGATTCCCTGTCCGAGCTGCTTCAGGTCGTGGCGGATGTCCTCCTGGAGACACCTAGTTTGGTTGTCCTAGGGGATTTTAACATCCACGCCGACACAACCTTACAAGGGGCCGCTCGGGACTTCGTGGAAAGCATGGCCTCCATGGGGCTGTCCCTGAATAAGTTTGGCCCAACTCATAGTCATGGACATGCCTTAGGCCTGGTATTCACCTCTAGTGATGTGGATGATCTGACACTAAGTAAAAGTGAAACAAAAGAAGTGCCATGGTCAGATCACTTCCTGGTGCAACTGGACTTCTCCGCGACCCTTCCCCTCTGCAGGGAGGTGGGACCAATTCGGATGGTCCGCCCCCGCCACTTAATGGATCCAAATGGCTTCCAGAGAGTGGTAGGGGATGCTTTAGCCCATGTTGATGGCCTTTCAGCTGATTCCCTGGTGGCCCGCTGGAATGCGGAGTTAACCAGGGCTATCGACTGTCTGGCTCCAAAGCGCCCTCTCCGATTGCATGGAGCCTGGACAGCCCCGTGGTTTTCTTCGGAGCTGAGGGCGATGAAACAATCGCTGAGACGGCTAGCGCGTCGGTGGCAGAAAACTCACTCCGAATCTGACCGGACACAGGTTAGAGCTCAACGTCGAGCCTACCAAGTGGCGATAGCGACAGCGAAGAAGACTTTCTTCACTGCCTCTATTGCATCTGCAGAAAATAGTAGCAGGAGACTCTTTCAGGTGGTTCGCAATTTAACGGAACCACCTTTACCACCGGGGCCTTGTAAAGACCCCAAGATCTCCTGCAACAATTTTGCAAAGTTTTTTGCAGATAAAATCACTCATATTCGGAAGGAGCTAGACACCACCGTGGGAGCAGGGCCAGGGCGGGAGAGTGCTAGAGCCCTGTCTGGTCAAGTTGCATGGAATCAATTTCAATCCGTTACCCCCGAGGATGTGGACAGGCTGCTTGGACGCGTGAAAGCAACCACCTGTCTCCTTGATCCTTGCCCATCCTGGCTAATAAAAGCAAGCCGGGAAGGGCTGGGTGATGGGCTCTGCGGGGTGGTGAATGCTTCCCTGTGAGGGAACATTCCCAGATCCGCTGAAAGAGGCGGTCATTAAACCGCTTCTTAAAAAAACCATCTTTAGACCCGGCCAGTATGGCCAACTATCGCCCAGTCTCAAATCTTCCATTCTTGGGCAAGGTGATTGAGCGCGTGGTTGCTGAACAACTCCAGGCACGCCTGGAGGATGCGGACCATTTGGATCCCTTCCAATCGGGGTTCAGGCCTCACCATGGGACTGAAACTGCCTTGGTCGCGCTGGTTGATGATCTCTGGCGAGCTAGGGACAAAGGTGAGAGTTGTTTCCTGGTTCTGCTGGATCTCTCAGCGGCCTTTGATACAATCGACCATAACATCCTTCTGGACCGTCTAGAGGGGTTGGGAGCTGGGGGCACTGTTATACAGTGGTTTCGCTCCTTCCTCCTGGGCCGTGTTCAGAAAGTGGTGGTGGGGGATGAGTGTTCAGACCCTTGGGCCCTCACTTGTGGGATGCCTCAGGGTTCCGTCCTCTCCCCCATGCTTTTTAACATCTATATGAAGCCGCTGGGAGAGATCATCAGGGGGTTTGGACTGGGTATCCATCAATATGCAGATGATACCCAGCTCTACCTCTCTTTCAAATCAGAACCAGTGAAGGCGGTGAAGGTCCTGTGTGAGTGTCTGGAGGCAGTTGGAGGATGGGTGGCGGCTAATGGATTGAAGTTGAATCCTGACAAGACAGAAGTACTGTTTTTGGGGGACAGGGGGCGGGCTGGTGTGGAGGACTCCCTGGTCCTGAATAGGGTAACTGTGCCCCTGAAGGACCAGGTGCGCAGCCTGGGAGTCATTTTGGACTCACAGCTGTCCATGGAGGCGCAGGTCAATTCTGTATCCAGGGCAGCTGTCTACCAACTCCACCTGGTACGCAGGCTGAGACCCTACCTGCCCACGGACTGTCTCGCCAGAGTGGTGCATGCTCTAGTTATCTCCCGCTTGGACTACTGCAATGCGCTCTACGTGGGGCTACCTTTGAAGGTGACTCAGAAACTACAACTAATCCAGAACGCGGCAGCTAGACTGGTGACTGGGGGCGGCCGCCGAGACCACGTAACACTGGTCTTGAAAGACCTACATTGGCTCCCAGTACGTTTCCGAGCACAATTCAAAGTGCTGGTGTTGACCTTTAAAGCCCTAAACGGCCTCGGCCCAGTATACCTGAAGGAGCGTCTCCACCCCCATCGTTCTGCCCGGACGCTGAGGTCCAGCGCCGAGGGCCTTCTGGCGGTTCCCTCACTGCAAGAAGCAAAGCTACAGGGAACCAGGCAGAGGGCCTTCTCGGTAGTGGCGCCCGCCCTGTGGAACGCCCTCCCATCAGATGTCAAAACGATAAACAACTACCTGACATTCAGAAGGCATCTTAAGGCAGCCCTGTTCAGGGAAGTTTTTAATGTATGATATTTTAGTGTTTTTTAGTTTCTATGGAAGCCGCCCAGAGTGGCTGGGGAAACCCAGCCAGATGGGCGGGGTACAAATAAATTATTATTATTATTATTATTATTATTATTATTATTATTATTACTAAGCATTCTTCTCCTCCTTCCAGGTGGTAGCCATGGCTATCCCACTGCAAGCAGCCGCATGTCCAGGAGGGGAGGAAGCGCATTAGGCTCTTCAGCCAGTAGCAGCTTACTTGACATAGACCCTTTGATTTTAATTCACCTGTTGGACCTGAAGGACAGGAATGGGATGGAAAACCTGTGGGGCCTACAGCCACGCCCTCCTGCTTCACTGCTGCAGAACAGAGGTGAGTGGATGGAACCTCCCCCCCGCCCCATCCAATCAACAGCATTAACAGGATGGAGCTTTCTGAATGGTTTCCTGTTCAAATTGCTTTCCTGTACTTGGAATGGTTTTTAATGTGAAGCAACAGAATGTACTTCCATCATCCAGTTGTGTGTTTAAGTCTAAACCTTTGTGTGTCTTGGAATTACCTGCTAAAGCTGTGCAATGCTAGGTTTGTGTCTATCACATAGGGTCTCTTTCTGGGAAGGATTTATAGTCTGCACTAGTTTCCCCCAACCTCAGTTCTGCCCATCCTCATCTCCTAAGATGTTTTAGACCATAACTTCCATCAGCTTCAGCCGTCAGGGATGATGGGAGTTGGAGTTTAAAATATTTGGAGGGCACCGGGTTGGAGAAAGCTGAACCCGAACCTGAACCTTGAAGACAACCAAGGGGGTGTGCATGAGGTTGGATGTAGACATTTGACTTAAACCAGATATCTTAGGGTTTTTATCCAGTGTTGTCCACATAACTTACTGTTGTTGTCCAGCCTAAGAATTCTCTAATAATACATTCCAGTTCTGTTTTCCTTTAGTAGCATACTTGCTGCTGCAGATGCTTCTCCTTGGTGTTGTTTAAGATGCCTGCAGTCCTCAGCCCATGGCCCATCTGAGCTCTTAGAGAGGCAGGCATGATCTCAGGGCAAACCAGCCATGTTTGCCATATTTTCCTCTGTCTTTCAAACACTGGAGATGTATCTTAGCCTTAACTGGGCACAGGCCAGAGGAAAGGTGACCTAACCGTACACGTCCTTTTGTTGCTACAAACCAGTGAAGGTCAAACTTTAATGTTTTTATTTTGTTTGGAGTTAATTGGCCTGGAGCCACTGATACCTGGTTTCAGGTCACTTTGAAGCAACCATTTTGTTGACTTTAGAGAACAGAGGATAAAATGATGATCCATCTGGTACACACAGACACACTTTTTCTTCTTTCCATAGCAACACCTCTTGTACTGTCAGCTCTAAAGATAGGAAGAGAGAGAGAGAGGCTGGAACAGAACTTGACTGCTACAGTCTGGCAAAATTAAGCAGGCTTCATGTTATCAGTAGAAAGAGAGGTGGCTAAGTGGCTTGTGAAGTTATCCAGATTCTTAGGCAGGGGGATAATGACAAGGTGGCCACTGACAAGGGAGCTCTAAATTTCAGCTAGGAGTGAGATGATGGGGAGCGAACTTTACTGCCGTTTCCATCGCCATGTTTCGTGGTACATGTGTTGTGATTCTTTGAGTGGGCAGAGGAAGAGATCTGATGAATTATATCGTGTCTTGTTGGAATGCAGCTGGGATAACTACAGCAAATTTAAGGATTTAAATGAGCATTCTGATGTATATCCAGATGCACATTCTGAGCAGAACCCAGAGCTTCAGAGCGAAGGCAGTGCTGCTTCAGTTTGCCTTCACTGATGTGCCTGCATGGCCACATCTGATTGGTTTCCAATCGCATTCACTTCTGCTGTGCAGACTGCATGGTTTGTGCTGGTTCTGTAGTTGCCATTATGTGTGGTGTACACAGAACAGCCAACAGAATGAAATCATGGGCTCTGTGATTGTGAAACTAGCTGGGGAGCAGAAAAGGCGTCTTCCACGGTGCAAGGCCCAGGTATTTGCTCTCTGTCTATAGTCATTGTCTTGCTGGGCTTCTGACTTTTTTCCTCCATTTCCTCTCTGTCAAGCATCCTATTCTCTCAAAGAGAGGGATCAGCGGAGGCACCAGGCCATGTGGCGTGTTCCGCCAGACTTGAAGATGCTGAAGAGGTTGAAAAGCCAGATGGCCGAAGTCCGCAGTAAAATGTCAGATGTGAAGAACCAGCTGTCGGAGGTCCGGAGCAGCAATGCTTCTGATGGGCCAACCGCTTACTCGTTTCCTGGTGACCAGGGAACCTTGGCTACTTGTGGGACGGAGAGCTACAACAAGCTGCAAGAACTTGGGAGGGAGCTGCTGACAAAATCATCCCTCTCTAGCTGCTACATACGGAATTGTAAGTGGGGAAGGGGGGTTAATTGTCCCTTTTTTGCAGAATGGGGTCTGTCTGCCTGAGAACAGAAGTATGCTGCCTTTCTATAGCCTAGCCGTGAGTGCGCCTACTCTGAAGGTGGCAAAAGAAGCTGATAGCACGCGCTCATGGTTCCATTGGAATGGTTTTAAATAAACCTTTCCAGCCAGACATTTTGATTTGTGGATTTACATGTCCAGCAGCTTGGAAGCCTATATAGTTTTCTGATCCAATTTCAAACCGACTGCGCCTGTACTGTGAATGTTAAACAGCTCTTGCCAAAGCAGCCACCATGATGGTGGTTCTCTTGAGGGTTGTTTTTACTCAAGTTAGTGGCCTCCTGGGATTCTAAGAATTCCAGCCCTGGAGAGTGTTGAAACATGCAAGTGTTGAAACAATCCAAAAAAAGACTTTCAGATGAGGTTCCTCATGTGGTGCGTTTCTGGTGCTTCACACAGGGCAGAGCAGGCCTGCATAACTTGATCTACCAAGCTCGGCACATGCCTGAGCCTATTGTGGCTTTCTCCAGGCGCATTCCATGATGTTGCAGTTGTGTAGGTTGAAAGATCAGGAGGGTTATTAAGCTGCTGGGAAGCTGTGTTCTGCTTGATAGACTGCAGCAGGCAGGCCCGGTGTAGAAATAATTCATTAGAATTTAAATGAAGCAAAACCTTCAATAGATTGATTTGATTTATTACAGTCACAGACCAATAAAAGTTGATGCAAACAGGTTCATTTACATAATAAGAGAACAGACAGAGGAGCCGAAAGGGACTTCTTCCTTTACTCTCTGCTTTCTCATTTGTATTGAGGATAGAGATAATTTAACTAATGTATGAAGAATCATCGGTTACACAGCAAGATAACAGGATTTCAGCGGGTCTACTGGGTAGAGAGTTCTTAATAACAATTAAGTAGGAGCCTCTTCATGTACCCAAGGATTGTAGGCTGCTTCCTTACCCTGGGTCAGGCCCCTCATCTCAATAGCTGAATATTATCTACTCTAACAGTAGTTCTCCAGGGTCTCCAGCAGAGACAGGTCTTTCCTATCTGTGCTTCCAGAATATGCTTTTAGCTAGACACCAGAAACTGAACCTTCTGCATTCAATGCACGTGCTCACACTGAGCTGTGCCCCCACTAGATGCTCTGTGATCTCCCATCCCCAGAACTGGAATTACGAAGCTTTTAATCAGTTTAGGTGACAGATGTGCTTTGAGGTGCTCTGGTTTAGATACTAAATAACTTCCGTTGTAGCAGCAGTTTTCAATGATGGAGAGTAATTAAACTTGCAGAGTGAGAAAGGCATGTGGGGAGGTTTACCATAAGAAAGGGAATGTCCCATCTCCCTGGGGGCCAAGTGGGATGTCACCCTCATTTTCAGAGTCATTACTGAAAGATGTGATAATGGTAAGATTAGTCGGCATATCTTTGTTATTTTTTGTTTTTTAATGCTGGTTATTTTAAATGTAGGTTTCCTTTTCTAAATCTTGCAGCCACAAATAAGAAAATTCATTCAAGCAAAGCTAGTCGAAGTGGAGCAGCAGGGAGTCTGTCTCTGCGAAGAGCAATGGATTGTGGAGATGGAAATCTTCACTTGAAGGGAGATTGTCAGATTTCTTCTGAAGGTATAAACAGGGTGTGTGTGTGTGTGTGTGTGAGAGAGAGAGAGAGAGAGAGAGAGAGAGATTTCCCTGGTAACTACTGCATATTGAGATTCCAAATTGCTGTTAATAGAGCAGCAGGGGTAGCCAACATGGTGTCCTCCAGACTCCATCATCCCTGACCATTGGCCATGCTGGCTGGGGCTGATGTGTGTTGATGTCCAGTGACGTATGGAGGAGACCCCAATGTCTACCCTTGCGATAGAAAGTTGTTCACAAACCAAACCACCCAAAGTATCCAGGCTTGACAATATACAGTATTTTCAAAAGTATGGATTGTTCTGCAACATTGGGATCCCATTGTTATAGCCTGGGTGGCCATGTGACATACTTGCCTTGCCTTTCCATAGGTTGCCTGGGAAACCCAAAGCCCAGCAGTAGGCATGGCTCCCCCAGGTCCTTGACCAACGGCTGTGCCTCAGAGCCATTGTCTAAGCCCGAAGACAGGCAATGTGAAGTCTCAGATTCTGATGTGGGTGCATGTGGCTTAAATGGCATAATGCCTGTGGAAAAGGCCAGGAAAATAACTGCTGTGGGGTAAGTTTGTGTTGCTCAGTTAGCCTGTTTGTGGCTTCAAAGAAAGGAACATCATTTTATTCTCACCTTGTGGCTTTTGTAGCATATTTCTCAACTTGGGGTCCCTCTCTTTCCCATCCTCTGCTTTTCACTCTTGGGAGATGCTCAGTAGTTAATGCTACATATATAATAAATTTACCTGCACCAGAAAACCACCATATATTAAAAGTAGCCCATGTTTTCTCTGGCATGTGCCCGCTTTACTTGTATTTGTTGAAAATGTTGGCTGAAGTAGTGTGCTTGACAGGGGAGTATTTGCAGAGGGGCAATATGGTGGGTGGTCCTTTGTAAAAGACTGATAGCCATGTAAGGCTTTGGGGCCCCAAACTGCTGTCTGTAGGTACCATGGCACCCTCAGGCGCTCCTTGTGTGCCTGGCAAGGTCCCCTGCTCCTCCCATTTTTTTTGAATAGTATTTATTCAGATTGCACGGGCGGCTGCTTTTTTATCTTTTTGGGAGGTTTATTTAGGTGGGTTACCTGTTTGGAAAGGGGGTTCTGAACATAGCCACTTTTTATTCTGTGAAATTGATCTTTTGGGGTGCCTGTGAAGGTTTCTTACAACTTCCAAATGTGCCTCCAGGCTGTAATCCCAGTTGCTGGAATCACAAGCTGGGAAAGTGTTGTTGCAGTCAGGTCCTGTTTGCAGCCTTTCCACAGGCATCCACTTGGCCTCTGTGCGAACAGGATGCTGGATGGGCCATTTGCCTGACCTGGCAGAGTTCTTCTGTTCTCCTTACTTTCTTACGTAAAAGTTTGGGCATGGAGACTTGACCTTATAGACTTGGTAGTTGTTGACTGCATGATTTCAGTTTAACCCCAGCAACCAAGTGCCTTTTTAAATAACAAAAGCTTGAGCTTCTTGGCAGTACTAGCTTAGCACTGAATGTCCTTGGCTGCTTTGTAAAACCTGCCCTGCCTCTTCCTCATAGACCCAATTCAAATAGATGCCGCGTGGAAACAACAGAGCCTGCTGACTTAGAAAACAACACGGAGGCTGGAGAGCTGCAGGTGGTGCTCTCTGAGGGAGCCTCAGCAGCAGGGGCAGAAGAAGGTAAACCCAAGGCTGTTTCGGTTTTGCAGGGAAACGGGCCCAATGACTAAAAAAGCAGGAATGTCTCTTCACATGCATCAAGGACTCAGTAACCTTGCAGGTTCAAGTATTGTGAATCTAAAGAAGCAGCTGTGGTTGTCGGTACAAAGAGCCTTCTAATGAACTTCCTTCTCTTACTATTCCACACGTTTGGAATCTTGCAAATCACTAGCTGGAAAGCCAAGCTGTACTCGGTAGCTTGCTTGGGGTTGGGCTTAAGTTAGTGGTCTGAGGTGCAGAGGGACTTTGTTACTTACCTTCCATGCAGGGCTGTAATGTGTTGTTAGCCAGTGCAAAGAGAGCCTATATTAGCATGCCTTCTATATCCAGGAGGCTCCTGGTTCAATCTGCCCCTGTTCTTGGATCCTTGGAGGACCTTCTTCCTGTCTGAGTAAACTGTAGGAGTTGTATGTAGTCCAATGACATCTGGAGGGCACCAGGTGGGTCTAACCATTCAGCAACAGGAGTATCCAGAGCAGTGCTTTGAAGGTCAGGTGTGTACCTCAAGAGAATGCAGAACAAGTTTCTGCTATAGCCATGCAGTCAGTGGGTTGCCTCTGGGAAACATTTTCCATCTCTCACCTCGGCTCTTCCATCTGTGAAACTGGAATAAGTGGCTTGCCTCACAGAAGGAGGTTGTGCTAATGAGCAAAGGGGCTGTTTATCTCTCTTGAGCAGTGGGCTGAGGTTGCTGTGAGGTCCTCTTGGCAATGATTGTGGCTTAGTTGGGGTTCTTATGCATCTTTAGAATGCGATCTAAAGCAAGCTTAGCAGCAGTGGGGAAGACTTTGCTTTTCCCTATGGAAACAAGAGGCCACCCTGGGGCAGGGAGTAGGTTGTTCATTTAGAAGGTCTCCCCACCCACCCCCTGCCACTCACACTTTTCTTGCAAAGCTCTGCCTTCTACCCCTGCAGGCATTTGAATTTCAATGTGTGACGGCACTAAGGTGCCAGCATCCACCACCGTTATCTGCGCAGGGCAGTCTTGCGTAGGTGTTGCAGGAGGCGTGTCTGACATCAGGCTGAAATTCCTTCTTAGTCACTCTGCTTTGCAGTTTGGCTGTCGTAGGAGGCAGCAGGAAGAAGGCAGACACACTAATTTATTGGTTTTTTTAAAACCTGCATTATGGAAAACCCCGTTCCTCCTTATTTCCTTTTGTTAAGGGAATCGGAAGCAGCAGAACCCTTTTGGTTTGGCTTTTTGTAGCCATGGAGACGGAGAATGTTGGCAGTTCTCTGTTAATACTCAAGGACAAAGTTAATTGGGAGCCTGATGTTGTAGTGTGATGCTCTGAGCTGGGGAAACCTCACTCTGACGTTTAGGTTCTCTTTGTATGTGAAACGGGGAGTGCCTTCCTAAATGGAGCTGCTTGGCAGAAGCCCTACAGCACCTTGGCCCTTCTATTGAAACTCCCCAGATGTGCTTTACAGCCTCTCTGTGATCTGGAAAAGTGTCCTGATTTGCAGGGTAGCACTTGGAGAAGCTGGGTGGTGTGAACCTGCTTAAGGAGGCTACGGCACTGCCTTCAGCTGCTAAATATAGATAACGTTTTGACTTTGGAGCTTTTAGAAAAACAGTGATTCACATGTGCTGCTGGTGGCAGGAGGGCAGTGCTGGCTGGCTGGCTACCAACTGCAAAAAGCAGCTTAAATAGTGGAAGCAAAGACTATCATTAGATGGATTTACTGAAGTAAGAGTAAAAAAGAGATTACGTTGGTCTGCAGTGAAAACAACATGTGGCTAACAGTCCGGTCCTCAACATGTGAACTTCAGAACAAGTTATATTGATGTCAGTGGGTTTTACTTTTTAGTGCACTGAGGATTGTTTGTAGCAGACATAGAAGCTTAACATAGAGTAGAAAAGGAATATATATAACCTGTCAGCCAGTCCAGGCCATGAGGAATTCTTGTTAAAATTATAGCTTTCATTAAAAAACACAAAAAACCCTAGAGACAATACGTAGTTGCCCACACATTTGAATGTTGGTAACAAAAATGACTCAGAATTGGAAACTAGGAAGGAAGCAAAATGGAGAGCACTGGACTTCCTCTAAGGTTCCTTCTGTTCAGATGGAACCAGGCATCTAGTGATGAGTGCTGCTCCCATTGACCAGTGGAGTCAGGACATGGAGACTTCAACATTTCTACTGGGGAAATGATCTGGTCATAATTGGAAGTCCTACTCCTGAGGAAATACACACCAGAGGTAGCACTCAGGTATTGATGCTGAAAAATCCTTCAGAGCATTCAGGCATCAGATTCCATAAGTCTCCAGGAATAGAACATCCTAATAGGTCCTAGAATTGCTACACTCAAACCAAACCTTACTAGAAATGCCTCTTATATAATTCAAAGCTGCATTAAGTATTATTATTGTATTATTTGTCTGAACTCTGTAAACCAGGGGTCAGCAACCTGTGGCCCATGGGCCACAAGCGGCCCACAGGGGTCGTTTAAACGGCCCACGAGTTGCCCCTGAACTGAGCTGTCTGCTCGGCAAGTCACCACCCGCTGCGCTAAACCAGCGGAGCGGGGACTTGCTTCCATGGTGCCGGAAATTGTGTCTGCACATGCGCAGATGCTGGAAATCACGCCCGCGCAGATGCAATCCAGTCCACAGAGCGATCTCTGCGGGAGTGGACTGGCCCAGGTAAGGTAAACCTTGCCAACTCATGCTGTAAACCATCCTGGGGCTATAGGACAGGGATCAGAGCTTTAAAAACTAATTTTCAAAGTGTTGAAATATAACTAGAAGTGAGACAGTAACAACTGTCATAAAGAGTCCTTTCTAAGGTTTTAACTAGGTTGGCCTTCTTAGGGTCATTGAACCTGTGGCTCAAAGGGCTGATGCTCCCCCGTCTCCCAGTTTACCCCCATGGGAATGCAGATCTTGAGAGGAAACAGGTTTCCATTGATAAAGAGAAATACCCAAACAAAAACTTGGGCCTTATCCAGGGTGAATCTGAATATCCTGCTCTGCTTGAGGATGAGGAACTGCTCTGTGACTCTGTTCTGAGTCCCCTGAGGCAGTGGGTTTGCTGCAGCTTCATCTTTTGACTTGACTGCCTAATTGACTGCCTAACTCTGCTTACTCAGTTCTCACAATTCTGGGTGGCCAGTTTTGGAATCTTGCTGAAAAAGATTAGCCAAATTTGCAAGATTTCAGCTAGTGCCCATTAAAATGTGGAACTTCTTTTGATTGCTCAAATAGTGTAAACGAACTGTGGTGCTTCAGCTCTTCAATAATTTCCTGTGATGCTGGTTCTTCCTGTTCATCAAGTCTCCCCCCACCACATCACTCCATAGGAGGTGTTAACCTCTGAGAGAATGATTTTATTCTCTTTCCAAGGCTCCATGTTGCTTTCTGGGCCGACAAGGCTGGGAAGCTTGAGTGTTTTTTAGATCTAGATTGCAGTTCTCAGGGAAGAGACTGAAGCTGTTGGTGCTTTTTTTGAGAGCGGTTTCTAGAGCCTCAGCAATCTCTCCTCCTCCTTGCTGTGTGCAGCTGGGCTTTGCCAGAAGCACATCCTTCACCTCCTGCCAGGCATGAGCAGTGACAGTGACATTGAATGCGACACAGAGAATGAAGAGCAGGAGGATGGGGAAGCTGCCAGTGCCGCTCCAGATGTCTTCAGCCAGGCTTTCCAGTCCCAGCCTTCAAGTGACGGTAGGTAAGGAGGCTGTCGGACAGGGATCAGGGCTGGGGGAAAAACTCAGCATCTAGGTCAACTGTCCCCCACCTGGGACCTTCCAGATGTTTCAGACTACAACTCCCATCAGCCCCAGCCAGTGCTGGTTGGGGCTGATGGAAGTTATAGTTCAAAACATCCGAAGGGCACAGGCCAAGGGTGGCCAGCTTATACGTTGCAAATACTTTCGCTTTACCTAGTTCTGTGAGCTTCTGATTTTGTACTGATGGTTCTTATCTAGTGCTACTCCCAATATTACCATCTGCCACTCTCTCTCTCTCTCTCTCACACACACACACACACACACACACACCGTAGTTACACCCTTGGATCCTGAAGATGCCAATATTTAAACTCTGACCTCCTCAGCTTTCCTAGTTATGAAGCAGAGAGGACTCCCCCAAAGAGGCAATGACAGTTCTGTTGATTTGTGTGGGCCTTCTTATTGCAGTATGGTTGCCTTAGCAACTGCATAGGCTTCATGCATCACCACTCTCTCTCCTTTCACTGAAAGGACCACATTGGTGATGCAGCCTGGATGGGCACATGGTCGTGAAGGCTGCCTCTTGCATGGTGTAGGAGGACCTTCACTTGAGTGTCTTGCAAGTAGGACAAACATCCCCTACCCATATTGCGTAGGGATCTTGGAAATTGAGCAACTCAATGCAAGCACAGTATAGTGGACACATTGCTCAATGTGTCAGTGTTTATAGTACAGGTATTTTCCATCATCGTATGTTCAGGGGAAAGCTGTGTGAGAAGCAGCCCCCCCCCCACCTTGCATTATATGGGCTGCATTATATAAAATACTACTACTACTTATTTTAAAAAGTTATTTGAAACTGCTTTTGGTGTGTTGTGTTCTAAATCCCGGTTGTTTGTGTGTTCAGCCTTTGAGCTATGCTCAGTTTTTCCTGAGGGTGACCAAACAGGCCCTGAAGACCTCCCTTTTGCCACCGGAAAGGACGGCAGCACAAGGTAAATGGCAAAGGAACTGCTGTTGGTTTCTGTGTGACTTGAAAGTCTCATTGTGGCAAATGACTTCAGTCACCCTTGATACATTAACTTTTATGAGGGTTGGGGATCTGTGGAGTGAGGCAGCTACCAGAGAAAACTGCCATTCTGGCACAAGTAACTTTCTGCCTAGGTGATATTGTAACATCTTACGACTTGATAGGTTTCCTCACTCTTTATGCTTCTGTCAAAAACTGACTTTCCAGGAGGATGAGATCCTGCTGAAGCATTGCAGTACATAGTTGCCTATTTGCATTGTTGTTGCGGGAGACATTAGGCTGCTTCGAGAGCTACTTGCTTTGCTTTCTCCTTTTTTGTTCATAATTCTAGGCTTGGGTTCTTTAAACCAGGCTGGAAAAAAATACTTCAGGTGTATCCCTTCTCTTTGCTTCCCCCCCCCCCCCCGAATGTTGACTTGGGCTACTTCTGATAAGAAATTTCTTTCTCTCTCTGGCCCAGGTAGAGCATGAGGTAGCAGAGGCTACCCGAAGATGGATTAACATTCATTAGCCTGTTGAAGGTGGCTGGATGAAGCATCACTGGGTCCCTCTTAATTCACCTGCATTGTTTCTGGTAATGCCTTGTGCACATTTCCTTGCTCCTTCCGGTCCTTTTCCTACTGAAAATCTAGCTGTACTCGCTTTCCTGATCCTGCTTGGTGTCAACCTGCACCCTGCGTGCCTCTAAAAGGTGCTGGAGCCTCAGCCTTGCTCTTCATAGCTGAGGAGTTTGGGATGGGAGAGGGAGAAGGGGAAGGGAATGCCCACCCCACCTTTATTTTTAAGTGAATTGAACTGACACTAAAGCTGTTACACTTCTGATTCCTGAGCTACTTACAGTGAAATGCCTCTATCCATGAGTCTCTCCTCTCTCCCCATTAGTCCATTTTTGGCCAGTTGAAAACTTTGTTGCCAAACTCTTTTGCCACTGTGCATTGCATTTGAGCTGCTAAAGGTGTTCTGTGAAGCTAAGCTGCATTGGCTGTTTTCTTTTAAGCATGAGTTACTGTATAAATGTTTGTTGCGTCCTCCTGAATGTTGTACTTAATGGAAGGATTTATTCTTGTCGTTTAACTGCTGTAAAAATTCATATAGTTCAGATGAAAATGGTTTGCACTTTTAATTAATAAAATGAACATGGAAATGACAGTGCTTGTGCAGTTTAAACCACAGACCTTGGACTGAAAGGGATATTGTGTGTGGTATGGGGATGGCAGATTGTATGCAAGAAATAGCTGTTAAAATGCCCTGATTGTTACAAGCTGGTGAAGGGAGAGTGCCCTAAAGCAAAGAATGATGTATATCCTTAGGACTTCATATCAATGCAGCAGCAGTGATGAAGGTGTTTAAGGCTGGGTCTGATCCAGTGGGTAAACTTGGCCACATCCCTCTGCCAGTTGATATACCACTTGCTTTATTGATCATAGCTTGATTGCTGAAATTTCCCAACCCACACTTCATAGTGCCCACGTTAGGCACAAAGATGTAACATTTTCTCTTGAAAGTGTAGCTTGCACTGGGTAAGGTCAATTCTAATACTCCAAAATGTCAAGCCATTTGCAAGTTCCTCTGGTGATATTTTCAGTTAGAACAGCAAGACTGTGCTTAGTAGCAGAATTGAAGTCCTGTTGTTGCCTGACGTAAGATTCCCCCCCCCAACTTAGCTCCTTTTGAAAAGTGACTTTGTTTTCCCCTCTTTAAAATGTGGTTATTTCCCTTGAAATAAGTACACAAGAGCATAATGTTTGCTGTTTTATTAAGATATTGGTAGAAGTTGAACATAGTCCTTACCTTTTGTGAACAGCTTTAATAAATAAAATATGGCTAATACATGATTCCTACTGAACTTGTGAGCTATAGGAACAAAGTTGTCAACGGGTCCCAACAGAGTAGTAAAGTCATTTCTAGTAAACCAACCCACTTCATTAGTTTTCATGACAGCATAAGTATATTTCAACAGGAACTCATTAATACACTTGGCATTCCTAGGAATGTGCCATGGTAACGCTTTTAGTAATAAGGGTGAATCTCAGCTGGCTTTCCCCAACCTAGCTTGGTTTAGACTCTCCCTACTTCTAGAAACAAAAAAGCAACAGCCAAGAATGGTAAGTAAAACAAATCTGTTTATATTTATAAACCAAACCTTCTGATACTTGTATAATACGGTGCTGTTTAATACTGGAAGTTATAGATTAGTGTTTAATGTAATGTTAAAAGTGACTTTGTCACTTGAATGCATTCCTTGACAGTGGGCACATTCACATGGTGTGGTAAGCTCATAAACCACCATGGCTTACTGTGCATGAGTGGATTGTGCCCACTTTGCTCCTCTCAACTTATGCTAGCAGGAAACAAATCCTGATCCTTGCTTCGTCAGGGGTCATGATTTATTTTGCTCCCAGCAATCTGTAGCCAAGGTTTGCTCTTGACATACTGATCATGCTCTATTGAAGCAAAACATGATCCCCGGTTCAAACATAAGACTAAGCTGGGGGGGGGGTCATGATTGGTTTCCTTTCAGCATAAGCGGGGCTGAGACAAAACAAGACCAAAAGGTGCTTTCTTGGTAAGCCATTAACTGTGGCTTACTTTCATGTGCAAACTGGGCCATTGGTGCAAGACTTTAACCTCCTCCAGTTGAAGGTTTTTATGCTGCACAGCCCTAACTCATAGGCATACGCAAAGCTACAGCAGCCTCGCCTTGCTTCTCTTTTTTGCATGAGAATGAGCTACATTTTGGCGGAGCCGGCTGTTCAGGTTCTCCAGAGCTGGAACGAAATTTATAGGTAACGGAAAGGACTGCTTGAATGTAATCTGCATAGTTGCTTTAATTGAATGTTCTAGGGAAAAGAGCACTGTGCCTCTGCATAAATGACAATGGACCACTATGAACAGAAGGCGAAAGGTAATGTTATACTCGATGAGACGGAAGGTTCTAAATTTAAAAGGCATTAGCAAGTGGCAGCTGCTACTTAGGAGTGTCGGCTGCTAAAAGCCACAAGAAGCAGGAACAGGCTCTGCCAAAATAAAGGATGGATATTCTCTTCCTCATATGTCCTCCCTTGCTTTTCTGAGCCAGGAAGTGAGGGGACAAAGAAGGGAGTGCTTAGCAGGGGACCCACAGGAGTCTGCTTCCTTTTGTTGGGGGGGGGGAGGAGGGCTGAGTCACATGGAGTAGGCGGGTGTGTGCCTCCCTGGCTTCCAAACAGACAAGGACAATTGATGGCACTTCAAAATATAAATATTTTACTTCTACAACTTGTTAGTGCAAGTGAAATGGATTAATGGCTTGCTGCTCTGCTGCTATTCCATTTCTTGCAATCGGAGGCATTCCTCACAACTCTGTTAAAGCTGGAGACAGGAGACATTAGGAGAGGGATTAAATGAATCCCTTTGAAACTCACAGTGAATAAGCTCACCAGCAGGTTTTGAACAGCCTCGGGGGAGAGGCAGCCTGGAGTCTCCTGTCCTCACCAACTACCACCACTACTACTAGTGTTCCTACACAACTCATGTAGCTGATGCAGATTATGAGAACTTGAGGGCTGCTTCAGCTCTTTATTGGAAAGGTCTCATTATGCAAATGTCACCACTATTAAAATACACAGATTTACAAAACACTTTACAGACAACCAACATTAACAGTTAATAAATACAGTTAGATACCTATATTTTTTGTACATTCTCACCAGCTAAAGGATCAAAGTACAAGATACAGAACACTGAGAATATCATTAATTAAAAAGGGGAGCTTATTGCTTACGTCAGCAAGCAGCAAATAAGGGCACAGGAGTTTGAACTGAAGAGAACTACGTCCTATCACCAGTGGCATTAAGAGAAAAACACACAGCATATCACAAAGCACTGCTTTTTTTTTTTGCCTAGTGTGTATAGAATTGAGCAGCTTATATTGGACCAAGAACTACTACTTTTAAATATGTATTCTACCATGGTTGAAGACTTGCCTCACAAATGGATCCTACATACTACCACTATGTAATGAAAGATGAACACTTTCTAGTTGTAACAATATTTTGTACTGGACCACACTAGGAATGGATGGCAGATTCTCTCCTGTAGGATGAACAGGATGAGCAGCAGATAATCCATGTATGAATCCACACATATGGAGTTACACTTCTTTTATAAAAAACATGAGAGCACACTCTGAGGCTAGTACTTTCCAATTATGACTGCATGTTGGGAAGAGGTCAAAACACATTTGCAACATTTTAGAATTTTGACATGTCTTCAAAGAACTGCACTTTTCCCATAGAAGCACAACTAATTGAGTAGAAGGGCATTGCAGTCTGCCTTCTCCTCTGCTATGTCCTCAAGCATGGCAGCAGAAACAGCCTGCTCGTCTGCAGCTCCTCATTTCATTGGTAACACTTGATTTGTAACACAACGCACCTAAGGCTTGCAGATAAGTGGGAAAGTGCTGTTGCTCCTTAATTTTGGTTATCCCCCCCCATCCCTGATGGGTAAAAGCCAAGACCTTTTAGCTTTCTGCACTTGATTTCTAACAGTTTCATCAAGTTTCTTGAAGAAATTGAGTTAATAAAAAGCCATTCAGAATAATTACCTAATTCTCCCCAGTCCTTAGGCAAATTATCAGTTTGGGGAGGGGTCACAGCTCAGGGGCAGAGCACCCACTTCGCATACTGGAGGTGCTGGGTTCAATCCTAGGGCTGGAAATATCTTCATGTTTGAAAATGATGGAGAGCTGCTGCTAGTCAGTGTAGACAATACTGAGCTAGACAGACCACTGGTCTGACTCAGTATAAGGCAGCTTTCTATGTTCCTATACACTAATGTCAAACTGCACTGGGCAGTGATTCTGTTGAGCTAAAACTTAATCCCCATGGAATTATGTAATGTAACATATTCAGATCTGTGTACATTTAATGCCTTAGTATTTTAGATCATTCAAGCGAATGTTAGCAACCAAGAGACCTCTTCTAACATACTGTCCCTGATTATTCTGCATTTCAGCTATTTAATGCTAAAACTGATTTTACTTATATATATAGAGAGAGAGAAGTGTTTTGCTCTTTAGTATGAAGGATGGAGACAGGCAATCATCAAACCCTTCCTGAGCAACTGACAATTAGAGTTCATCTAGTCTCTCTCATTTTACAACTGCTATAGCAAGCTGCCTTCCTCTAGCTTTTCCCCAGTCCCTTCATACTCTGAAGGTCTCTTGCAAGGACCGGACAAATAGCTGAGCCAAACACTACACTGCCATATTACTGTCCCCTCTGAATGGGGAAGGGAGAACTGATGACCAAAAAGTCTGACAAGCAAGTTGCTGGCTCCATCAGTTCACAGGACAACATATTTGAATCTGAACTAGCTTTATATCAGTTTGACACCTGAGATAAATTAGGGATTGGGGAGGACACAGTGGTGGAAAGATTTAACCACTACTATTATTAGATGCAAACAGTTTTAACATTATTACTTTTTTAGTTTAAAAGACTAAAATGTCACTAAGCACCCCAAAAGACTCCAAGCTATTGAAATTTCAATATAGTTTCAACTTTAGCCACAGGAAATGATCTTTAAAAACTACAAAAATTAGTATTCCCTCTTTTTTATATGTTACATGGGGGCATAGATAAGATTAGTCTTAACTGGATATACAACAGGGGCTAGGAGTGCTCAAGTGCTAGATTCAAACCCCCTATGGCTTTTAATAATGTACCTGCAAAAGCCTGCTGCTTCCACAATGGCTCTGTTAACCTTAAAGAACCACCCCACCAACTACAACCTGGACTACTTCTGCCTTCCTCTTCCCTTCCCTCCACCCCACCTACAAAAACTGGCAGGTTTTAAAAACGAGATCCTTCAAAAAATATTGCTCCACAGACTCATCTCAAACAGGTAACACTTTTTTTTGGCAATCTCTCTTTTGAAAGAATCTCTCTCCTATTTATTCCATCGTGTCACTGTCAGTATCTAGTTGCCATGAGCAAGATGAAGCTATAGATACGTGTTTGTGTATGTGGGTAAGAGAGAGGATGTGTATGTGACATTGCTTAGAGAGAGAGAGAGAGAGAGACTGGTACACCAGCCATTATTTTATTTTTTTTAGACTGAAACACACATTCCTAGGATCTATTTACATGAGTGGTACATTCCACAATCACATGGTTCTGAAATGCTCACTCTTTTAAATTTACTCCTCATTCTGTGAATGCCTAACCTAAACTATTTGGGGGAGAGGGGCAGGAGAGGGGAATACAAAGGAGCATGCTACTTTGTACACCTCCAGAGGAGCCCAGGGTCTGGTATACAGTGGCTCTGCCTTTGCAGCAGGTGAATACTCTTGCCATGACCCCGGCAACAACTAGAGAAGCCCTGCCAGAGACGGCTTCTTATCAACTTATTTCTACGGCTGTTCGCACTGCAAGGTGAGGCCAGAGCTAACTCTTCTGTGGGGGAAAGCAGCCTGTTCTCAAAGAGAAGCATGTGGAGCTTGGGCTTGAGTCTGGCTAGTCGCTGCCACCGCTTTGCATCACAGAAGTGAAGGGGAGAGAAAATGGAAGCTCTTCCTCCCCAAGATTTGAAGTGCTCACCTTCGAGCCTGCTGGAGATGCTGTACCCGTGTGGGCTTGTGGAGCCAGAAGGAAGAGAGGCTAGCTGCTCCTGGAGACTGCTCTGCCCACCTGCAGGAGGCGCAGGGTCGGCCACTGTCTCGTTCTCTGCTGATACACCCTGACCCAAGGTTGCCCTCTTTGGTTCACAAGTGCTGAACCATTGATCTGAGGACAGGCGTTTTGCACTCTGAAGTTTGCTAGCTTCTATTTTCCTCAGGTCAATATAGCCTGGGTCTTCCAACACGTTGATCCTGGAACCTGCACTCAAGGTAGTTCTGTCTGTGAAAGAATCCACTCTCCCATCGTACCCTAGATCAGCAGGTGCGGAGACCTGGTGCTGAGGCCACGGTCTCTTGCAATCCCCGTGGTTTTCTTTATTGTCGCCGTTGTCTTCTTGCCCACCTTGGAAAGAGTTCTCTGTCCACTCTGACTCCTCACTGATGTTTACGGCCGTACTCATGTCCCTGAGAAAGACCACAATGACAGTGATGTTGTCGCTGGAGCCAGCATCTCGAGCCGAAGCCACTAACTTGTGGGCCACCATGCTGCTATCCCCATTGTTCTCCTTCAGGTGGTCAGCCACCACTTTCACTGCTTCATCAGGGTTCACGGTGTCATAGAAGCCGTCGCAGGCTAAAATGAGGTAGTCTTCCGATCCATCCAGAACTGTGGAGCCCGAGTCCGCGTCCCCACAGATGTATGGCTTGTGTTCTGCATCACCTGGAGTAGGTGGGTAAAGAGATCCAGAGAAGATTTAGGCAGCTGTGAAGTCAGGATAGATCAGTGAATTCTCTTTACCTCTTGGCTTAAGGCAGTGGAATAGTGAAGGCAGAATGCTCACTGGTTGGGAGACAAGGGCTTGAAACCTCTTGGGTGGGGACTCACTTCTAGCTCTCATTTGGCATGAAAGCCAGAAAACATGAGAAGAGGTGGAGCAAATTTAAAAGGCCTAGGAATCGACTGATGATTCAGAATGCCATCTTTTCTAAGCTACTGGCTCATGGGTGTTTAGACCTCAGGTTTGGTAAGAGGCCCACTTTTGGATTTGCACTGCTTTATGGGGATGAGAAGAAAGCTGTAAATCAAATTGGACCTTGCAAATTCAATAGGGATTCCTGAGTATAAAAAGTCCATTTTGTCTTGTGTTGAGTTTAGCATGCTGACTTTCTCCCATACTCTGCTCATAAAGCACAGCTCTCCTAAGCAACAGCTCCCCGCGTTCTGGGATGTTGCTGTAGCACTGCCTTTCCAGGACAGTGGAAAGATAAGTAACTCCTGCATTGGACATGCCCCTGCTTATCACAACATGTGAGCCCTGCACCATGCTCTCTGGTGCAGTCAGAGAGTGCCCCACTCAAGAGACGACTGGCAGAATGCATCTGCTTCTCTACTTATAGAGCCATCTGGTCACACTCTGGTTTAATTGGAAGTGCAATAATCTTGTGCTGTTAATCCAATAAACACCTCAATTATGACTACTAGACTTCAAGATGGACACATTGATTTGGCAAGGGAATTCTGAAGTTGGAGCTGCTTGTCCCCTCATCAGGTATACTCCTCCTGAAAGCTTCCACTTTAACTAATACAGCTAACAGCTGATGATATTTTCCACCATGCATCAGCCTAGTGTTTTATAAAGGCATATCTTTCTCTTCCCAGCTTTCTGAACTGAAAAGTGCCAACCTCTTTGTTACAGGTGTTCCTTCTTCTGTACTTCCTCCAGCTCTACAATATTCTGAGATGAGGTGTTCAGTCACCTAGATCTGAAAACAGATTTTCATAGCAACACTGTAACATCCCTTTCCCAGTGCTGAATTTGCCTTGTTAGCTACTACAGCACTCTGAGAAGACGTTTTCACTGGATCTTTCACTGTGATTACAGTATCCCTTGGCTGGGAAGTCGCAACCAATTTAGAAACTATATTTAGTCACTAAAACTCATAGGGGCTAATAAGGAAAGTAAATGAAGAAGTAAAAATAAAATAGACCAGAAGACAGGATTTCAGTTTCCTACCAATGGCTCTGGAGACAGACAGACTCCCATTGACTCGCCAAGCCCCAAACCAGACCACGCAGCCTCCGAGGGCCTCAATGCGCTTCTTCTCATCCTAAACCAGAAGGGAACACATAAGCTGGTCAAAGGCTGATGCTGGGGATTCTCCTAAATATTTCAGTGCATGCTTTCTCTCACACTCACACTACAATTTACTTGCTGTGGCAATTTTCATCCATTTCCCTCTGAAGTAGAAATATGTTGGCCCTAAATTAATGGCTAACTACAGTAGCTAGTAGGCAACTGGACAGTGAGGGTCTGACAGAGCCCAAATCAGAAGTACAGAGGGACTGCCATCATCCATCAGTTGCTTCAAAAGACACATCTTTTTCTTCTGCTTTTCCTGGCACAAAAAACTGAACCATTTGACTATGGTTTGTTTTGGGGTTGTTTTTTTCTAATACTGTTTTACTGTTTATCTTCTTATGATGTTGTATTTGTTCCAAAGTTGCTTAGAAATGCTTTTATATAAATGGTGCAGTGACCACCACACCTGTTTCCCTTCCTGTGGGGCTAGAAAACCATCCACTCTGCCATTACCCCAGGCAAGGCTCACCTCACGATCCGGTTTATGAGGTTTCATCAGCTCCACTGCTTGGCCCCCCCTGACAAGCATCACCTGGGAGTCTCCCAGCCAGGCCACATACAGCATGTTCCCTCGGATGAACGTCACAACACCTGTGGTCCCACACCGCAAGCTCTAGGGAGAAAACAGAGCCTTAGTCTTGCTATAGACAGGCAGAAGCTGCCTGGCTGCTTCAGGCATTTTCAAGCACACATCTCAACTGCAGCTAGACTGTGATCTAAGCAGGTGGTTGGGCTGATGGACTATTTACTGTCAGATGGGCAGCATATAAATAAAATTATTATTATTGTATACTTGAAGCCTATGGAGTAACAAGCAAAGATTTTACCAAGTTGCTCTAATGCATCAATGTGCGGTTCTGAGTTGTGCCTCTGCATATGCTGGCACATTAATCAAAACACTGCAGAGAATGTGAAATAGCCCCAATAAAGTGGAAGTAATTCTCTGAGGACTCTTGCCCCCAGCTTGAACCACCCTTCCACCAAAACACACAGCCTTTAGAAGATTTGGAAGATTAACCTGTACCACAAGTTGCTCCAGGTAAGAACTGTTTATTCTGTGGCTGGCTGCAGAAGTGCTCCCTGTTGCAGATCTCATGGCACAAACAGCTGCCCCAGAAAGAAATCTTTGTCCAAACCCCTTTAATCCCCACTCCTCAGGGGAGGCCATTTAGATAGGCTCAAACAACTGTTGAGCAGATTTTTCAGAATTAACCTCCACCCTCACCCGAATTAAATGTTGCTCATTCACCTCTCTGGCTGCCTTCTGCACAAAGCGTTCATCCGTCACTTGGAAGGCTTTGCACAGTGCCTCTGCAGGGTCATGCTGGAACATCTCTTGGTGCACCAGGTTCACGTGGAGGTGGATGGAAGCATAAATGGCAGCATCCACTCCTCCGTGGCCATCAAATACTGCAAAATAGGCCTGCTCCTCTTGATCCTGCCAAGAGAAGGGCATTGATATGATCTGAGAACGAGGCTGAGAAAGGCCACCAACCTGGATAGTTTTCAAAGAGGATTAGACAAATTCATAGAGAAAAGGGCTATCAACGGCTACTAGCCATGATGGCCATGATCTGCATCCACAGTTGGAGGAAGCAATGTTTCTGAATACCAGTTGCTGGAAACCACAAACGGGGAGAGTGCTCTTGTGCTTGAATCCTGCTTGCTGGTTTCCCACTGGCATCTGGCTGGCTGCTGTGAGAACAGGATGCCGGACTAGATGGGCTACTGGCCTTATCCAGTAGGCTGTTCTTATATTCATCAAATAGCACTGGCAAACAGCTTCAGCTGCTGGCATTTTAACTGGGGTTGGGGGACAAAAGCCACACTCAATAAAGAGCTAGGTGACTTGACTATTCTGCAGCTGACAACAACTGATTAAGTGGTTGCAACTGGGTTGCTGGTTTGGTGATGTTTCTCTGTTCTCTGATTGGACAGTCATTAGCTACATCGACATCACTAAGCTTATCTGTGGGTACAGCAAGTGCCAATTTCTTTCTGTCTCAGAACACACCAGGGATCTGTTGGCTCTTGTCCCACCTGAGGTTTGATAACTGTGTCCTAGCTGCCTCCCGTCCATTCTCCTTTCCTCAAAAAGCTCTTTACCTCAAGGTTGAAGAGGGTGTTGAAGTCTGGAATGCAGACGTGTTTGTCTTCCATCTTGCGGCGCATGTTCTTAATGGCATGAATGGATGTTTCGTAGTAACGGTGGGGCTTTGGCTGGAGGGGAAAGTCCTTTACCCAGCTGCTGCAAACCTCATGGAGTTTGCTGAACACTGTACGGGCCAGCTTCACTGTTTCTACCTCTAAGAGACCGGATACAAGAGAAGAGAAGAGTGGACATGTGGTCTCTGCTGACATAAGAAGCATCATTGTGCTGACCAGGAACTTCCAGTGTGGGGGTGGGAAACCTGTGTGTCACCCCACCCCCCCGATATTGATGGACTCCCAGCAGCATGGCTCCAGGGTCAGCAGGAGGGAAACTTAGTCCAGCAACATCTGGAGGACCCCAGGTTCCTCACCCCTAAACAGATAACCTCTTTTCTGTCTATGTTATATTGAAATTTTCAAATGTATCAACACTATGTCAGGTGCTTGTAGCAAACAAAACTACATACTAATTTCCAGTCCTACTCTGCAGATCGTATGCAGAGATCCCTTTACGCAACTAGTGAGGTCCCCAGTAGTATTTGCACAGTCTACCATCTGTTGTGCTTTCACAGTCTTAAAATGAACCTTAAGTAGGCATGATTTATCCACCAAAAGTAGCCAGGGGAAACTGCATGCCTTTGTCACTTGACAGAAGTAACCTCTAATCTAACTTTGTAAATAAGTCCAAAAAAGTAGTAGTCTGGGCAGCAGGGGGGAGGGGATTACATGTTTCCAGGGTGGCTGCAGAGGAGGACAGAGTCCATCCCGCTCCCAGCATGCTTATTTGCCTGCATATAATTCCTTGTTAGCTATGGACCAGGTGAGCTCTCAAATACAACGCTGGGGTAATGAACAATTTGCTGTGATGGGTCAGAACATGAGCTATCAAACCAAACACTACGATTCAAGTCTGCTTCTAGCCACTTAGTTCATTTATCCAAATTTATTTTCCAGTCTCATGTTAACCAGCTGCTACATAATTCTGAACTTCTAGGATTAGCAATATGTCTTTTGGGTTGCATCTCAGCTGCAAAACACTGACCAGAACCAGCTGTCTGGTGTCTGCCAATCCTGAAGCAAATAGTTAATCAGGCACACTTCCTTGGCAGCTCTTCAGCCTGATACATCTCTAATGTAGTCACCACTGAGGAACCAGTTGCTCATTTCCATTCTCCTCACTTTCTAGCTCCAACCCCAATGGGGTTTCCTGGCAGCAGGTAGTGAATATTCTGACATCAAAAGTCATCAGAGCAAACCACATGGTGATTTGCCCGCTCCTCTAGTCTAGGCAGTTGCCAGTCCCACAAGTGAAACACCACATTGGTTGCAGAGCTTCCCCACCCAATACCCTGGAGAAAGGCACTGTCTTTCCTGCTGCTTTGCACATTTCAGAAAACCCCTCTGAAGGAAGGTGCCCATTTGCTGTGCTGAAACTTTAAACGCAGCCCCCTGTGGATAGCACACACAGTGTTAGCATCATCAATAATTACTGCTTCAGATTTTTTTTAAAAAAGAGCCCTCAACAGGCTATCCACCCCCGTGCAGCTGAAAATTACTCATCAATCGTTAATGTTGCAGTGCCAAGCTAGGGCTGAGTCAGCTGTCATCCTGCCTATGTCATGCACCATTTCATCTTCCCCCTGCTGCCTGGGAACCATCAGGGCTGGAAGTGCTGCTTAATTGCATCAGTTACAGTGGGAGACCCGGCCCAGCCATTTTACCCAACAATGGGAATTGGCTAGCTGACAACTGCTGCAAAAACGGGACATGTGAAGGAAGGAAAGCAAATTTGTGACCCATTTCCAATGGTAGATTTGCATATTCTTTTGACAAAATTCAAAGCTGCTGGGGTGGTTATGCGGCTGTTTGCAACTGAAAGCTGATGAGTTCATTATGCTAGCTGAATATTCCTTGAGCTTAATATAAATATAATACAAAGTATTAAAATCAATATGAAACAAGGATTGTGATTATGCCATCATTAATTCAGTTGAGACTTGTATAACTTTCAGGTTCATTCCTAAAGCCATCAAAAAAAGAGAGGAAGGTCAAGGCTTTCAGAAGAAGCCACATGGTAACTCGCTCAGTCTTTAGGAAGTCCTCCTAAGAACCTCCCATTCTTTAAGAATCCTTTTTGTATTTTAGAAACTAGCTTAAGTAATTTATGGAATCACCATACATTTATAGTGCAGAAATGCTTCGGAGTTCCTCTTCTCAAAACAAAGCAGGACTTATTTCCAACATACAAATTGGAAATTAAGGCTCACAGCTTGCCTTAAGTCACCAAGAAGCTGTATGCCAAGGGGGATATGAAATCCTAGCCTGCTCAATCCTGTATCTGAGCCAGTGCCCTCTGCATATGATTCTGCCACAGAGTCACTGGTGCTGACCCATGTTCTCATTCTGCTAACTGATATATTAGCGTGTTGGGCTCTATACAGTACAAGCTTAAAGACATTCTAAATAGGGCAGCTGCAAGGAATTTCCAGCTCTCTCAAATATTCTGTGTAGAATGATTAGTTTGAAAAATGTCAACATTTCCTTGGAGACTGTCAAATATTTATGCAAGTTTTAACAGATCTCAATTTGGAACTAATGAGGGCTGCTCAGCCAGAACAATGACAAATCTGCTTCTTTCACCTGCACAGGATTGGGAAAGGCAGAAAGACCTACAAATGAGGGCAAAGTATAGGCAGTATTAGCCTCTGCTGTAAATAACACATGAACTTAATTTTTTATATTTTAAGCAAATGCAAAGGAGGGAAGGATGACAATATATTTTCCAGGCTGAACAACAAACACCCTGTCAGCTTCTCCTATGAGATGCTATCTTTCATTGTAACAAGCGTTCTGGGGAGCCCACAGAGGGAGCTTAGTCAGCACAACTCAGAATGAATTACAGCATAGGGCTGGAGGATGGAAAGTTTTGCTGCATCATAAATACAAACAAGTAAAAAGGGAAAGTTTCTTTTGCTTTTTAAAAGATTGCCTTTGAAAAGAAAGACATTGTGTTGCAAATGTCACAACAACAATGATCCCTCTGAAATTCTCCTGAATTTTCTGAGAGGAGAATAATGTGTGGAAAATGAAGAAACATACTATCCCTTAGAATAGCTTAGGACAGGGCTCCTGAAATAGTCACAATGGATGTCACCCCATAAACAACTGTCCAAAGGTAAGATGCAAATCAGGATTCTGCTTGCAATGCTGTTCCTGTTCTTTGCGGCGGGGGGGCGGGGGGTAAGCATCATGCTCCATGGCATCAAAGCCAAAAGGAGTGGAGAGACTTGGAGCTGATAATTAAGCAGATGGACTGACATTTCATCATGTTCTGGGATTTTATTTATTTCATAATATTTATACACTGCTTGACTGCAAAAACCTCAAAGGGCTTTACAAAAAGATACTGTATATCAGGCACTTACGTATGATCCCATCGGGGCTATCCTCATGCTTGGGCAAGTAATGTGCCGAAAGATCACTCTGGAGGACTTCATCGGCGGTCGCACGGGCTAAAGCAGCCGCCAAAAATGAAGGGCAATTACTGGAAGAGAAAATAGAATTGGGAAATCATTTTTCTGCTAATAAGGTAATTGGCAAGTTCCACAACACAGAATCACACAGGACAATATTAACTAAAATAGGAAGGTACATTTTGCCCCCAAACTGAAAACAAATAGTGCTAGTCCTTTGTCTCATCTTTCCTAAGAAGAACTTTGAAAGAAAAAGCTGGACGTTAAGGGCTGGTCTTTTTCTTTTGAAAGGCTGCATTGTTCAGCTTGCTATCTTGGTTACCCTCCCCAAAAATCGCCACATAACCCACTGCAGAGCTAGATCACTAGCATACTTTTTTTCTTTTTGGTGTTACTGGCATGGGCAAATGAGATCTCATGAAGAAGAGTGTTCAAGACTATCAGATGTGAACCAGCAAGTCCACAATGCAAAACTCAGTTGCTCTTAATGCACTAGGTGGCCACTAGGCAAACCACTATTCTTTCAGCAATCCCATCTGCAAGTATTTGGATACCACTACTAATTTCAATACTGAATTAACAGGGTGATAATAAGTATTAAGGCTGTAATAATAAATGTGGGGCAATCTGAATACTCCACTACTGATTCTAAGCATCAAATGTTATCCTCAGCGTATGCACATCTATTTACTGCAATCTTTCCCTTGGAGTAAGATCTGCCATATGTTCCAGTCTGCTTAGAGGTAGACGTGGACCTACTAGAAAGATCCCAACATGGCCACAAGTACAACTCTGCCCAAATCTGCACAAAGTACATATCTTATTTATTATGGTGTATAACACTTTGCAGCCTAAACACAAGTTTTCCCTAGTAGCAACAACATGGAAATTGAAACAGTGATTATGGTAAGATAGAAAAAAATCTCTGTCCAAATCTCTTAGAGCTCAGTAACCCACCCCTACCCTGACACCTTACACTCTTGAGTAGTAACAACCGTGGCTTTGCACCCATTAGGATCATTTGAAGCTGCCATATGCTGAGTCAGGTCACTGGTCCATTTTGCTCAGTACTGATGACACTGACTGGCAACAGGTCTCCAGGAATTCAGAGAGGAAGTCTTTCCCAGCCCTACTTGGAGATGCTGAGGACTGAATCTGGGAATCTGGCACAATGTAGGTGCACTACCATTGAGCTACAGCCCTTCTTAGTCCCATTATAAAGCCACTTTACTCAGTGCTTCCCAGATGATTGCTTTTGCCAACAAGCAGCCTTTTGAAACTGTAAATCTGGAGTGTTATTACATAAAGAGATTTATAACTTAAGTGCATATGCTAAATCTCCTGGCTATTTCAATTTTTAGCATTTCATGTTTATGTAAGTTACCGTATTTTTCCATGTATAAGACTACCCTTATTTTTTTGGACCCAAAATTAAGAAAACAAAGCTCTAAAATAGAAGTGAAAATCTGGATGATCTGCGGTGGCAAGTTAATCTTTTTGGGAGCAATTGCCTTCAAAGTTTCCAGCATGAGGTGCATGCAGTGCACCGTGGTGCAGAAGCAAAGTCAGCAGCTGGGGCACCGCATACTCCCCCTCGGTGGCAGCTGCTGCTGCAGGGAAGCGAGGCGAAGGAGGCTCCCAGGCAGAAGAGCTGGGGGAAGGCAGCGCCCACTCTGCGCCAGGCCATGCCATGGAGCAAACTGAGCTGAGGAAAGTGGTGAGCGGGCTGGGGGCAGGGTGGGAGTGTGAGAGGGGAAGGGGGGGGGAAGGAAAGAAGGGCAAGGACAGGTAGCTGAGGCAGCTCTCAGCAGCAGCGGTGGCAGCTGCTCTTGCTCCCGTGGTCGAACCAGCGGGGGCTTCAGGAGCCAGTCGCCAGTCGCCAGCATGCATCCCGGAGGGGGAGGAGAAAGGGGGGACGGCAGCAGGAGGGACCACCTCAGCCCGCCCAAGCCAAAATCCTGGACATATGCTTAAATATTTAAAAAATCCCCCTGGATGCCCATGTTCCATGTACAAGACGACCCCCAATTTTTAACTTTTTTTTTATTTAGCCAAAAAACTCGTCTTATACATGGAAAAATACGGGACTTAAACATAGGGTTAAAAATAAAATACCAACAATATCCACCAAATGATATCCTGTCAAGAGTCAAGTTCTAGCCCTTTAACTTAAATGCCATCAACACGAGCCCTTTCTCAGCATCAGCAGTTGTGCCGACTACCCACGCAGTGACTTCAAAGCTCAGTAATACGCACACTAATGAAGCACGACTAGCATGGGATATTACAGAGTCTTTGGGTTGGTTTTTCCTGGCACTAGGCAAATCCTTGGATACCATTTAGCACACAGCAAGATGCTGGCTCTCCACATCCATCAGCAAAAATGAATGCACTCTGACATGCTCTTCCCAGCTCATTTCCAGCATGCTCAAAATGCAATCACAGATTTATAAAATGAATCGCTTTATTTAGTTGAGGTGTATCTGTGTGTGCATATTTACAATGAACTCCTGTGTCCCTGAAAACTATCACAGTTTGTTGCTATTTCATCTCATGCATGCTGTGTTAAGAACTGTGATAGACTCAGGAGGCTCTTGAGAAAAGGGCTACAAATGAATCAACCAAAGAATCAACAAATAAAAATATGTAGCCACCCATCCACAAATCTGATGTAAAGGCAAGCCAAATTATAAAATCTGAATGTATAAATTAAGCAGTGTGTGTGTTGTGTGTGCGTGCGCGCGCACGAGCGCACACACACACACATATATATCCTGGGTGGCTGATTATTAAAAATACAAAAATACAAAAATACAAAAAGGAACAAGGTTTTAATGACCCGATCCCATTCCCTCTTGTGTGAAGTCTTCTCCATTAGTCTCTCTTCCTTCAAAGCAGCCCACAAAACCCCAACTTTTGTATTATCCCTTGATTACACCCACAGCTAGCTATCCTCAACTGCAACGAAATCTAAACATGCTACACTTTCTCTCATTCATCCCTGCTTGCTCTTGCCTGTCCCTCTGTTCTCTCCTTTCTGGCAAACTTTTGATTGTAAGTGTGTTTGGAAGCAGACCTGCCTTATACCTACCATATATAGTGGAATACTAAAAATAATAAAAAGTGCAGAGCCCTGTTCATACAGGTAGATGACCTGAAGGTTCTTTTGAGAAAAGAACAAGGAGCACTTGGCTTCCTTAGTCATTTAAGGAAGCCTAGCGCTCCTTGTTCTTCTCTCAAAAGACCCTTCAGGTGCCACAAATGCCATTTTCTCCTCATTTGCCTGTCGACTGGCAGTGGTGGTGGTGGGTGGGGAAGGCAATACACCAATTCCTACTGAGTCACATGCTCCTAAAGCTGCAAGTTGCCCATTGCCAGTTCAGAATATGTGGCATCAAAAATAAATGTTTTAGCAGAGAATATATGCTATTTGAGAACAGTCACAGTTCAGGTCATTATGGAAAGCTAAACTGAGGATCAAGATAGAGCAAGGTATGCCAAGGGTAGGAAGCTACCTTGTAGGAGACCAAACTGTTGTTCTTCTACACTGGTACTGTCTCCTCTGACTGGCAGCTGCTCTCCAGGGACTCTGGTAGAGATTCTTCCAATCTGACCCCTTTATAAAGCTAGAGGTGGCAGAGACTAGGGACTTTCTTCATGCAAACATTTTCTCTACTAATGAGCTATAGTTTTTCACCCTATCACAAAAATGAAATTGAAATCCTCCCATGATTTTAAAAATGTAATTTTTCCATTAGCATTACCAGAAAATAACCATTGAGATGCAAGTGACTGGGTTTTGCCAACAGCTACCTATGTGGGTCTGCTTAGTCCACACCTGTGAAGCTTGCACACTTGTATCTAGCCAAAATATCGAGCTAATACCCTGACAACTCTGGCTTCAACAAAAGCCACTCAGGGTGTTATTAGATAAATTAGATGGTTTAGTATATTCTTCTGACTCTTTGGCAATGCAAGCACTTGGCACGACACCCACAGCTGCACTCCTGTACTCCTGGGAATAACGCCACTGAACTGGAAGGCAGGCAGCTTCCATCAATTAACTTTAGAGGGAAACAGTCTGAAATAGGCTTGTGTCACCTTATTACATTTGTCTGGGCTAATGACTCCATGTAACATCAGAGAGCCAGTCAGAGAGTAAGGAAGAAATCTCTATAAAAAACACTTATTCTATACAGTTCTATTTCTGTTCTAAATTTAATACAGAAGTTACCAATCCACCAAATTCATAAACCAGTCATTCGACAATTTTGATGGGCAAGATAAAGGGGGAAAATCTCCAGGAAAGCTCCCCTTCCTGCATCACGATACGCTCTTCTAATAATACCAACAGACGGCCACAGAATTAATTGCCTTTGACATCTGTACATTGCAAATCTTCTTAGAGAGGCTTTCCAGGACTGCAGTGCAAGCAGGGAAGTGATCAGCTGGGGCAGTCCCTCTGCTTCTGACTAGTAACCATCGGAATCTCTTTCCAGAGGCTTTTGTTAAGGAACCTTAACTGGATTGCTGTGCGCTGCCAGCCAAGACTAGACAAGAATCTGACTGCTAAACAGTGGAGGAGATGTCACTCTATTACTCTGAAATACAACCATGCAATTCAGTACCTCCAGTACTATTCTGGACTTAATACCAGTTAACTTAAAACTAGTATCAGGGAACGTATTTTCATTGTTTCAGTCTGTGTGATGCTCCTCAACACAATGTAAAAATAGACACAAGCATAATCCCCATACAATGTTGTCCATGCTTTATTTCTTAAACTAAAGGCAAAATGTCAGGTGTAAAATTAGTCCTCAGTGATGTACAGTTTCCAAAGTACATGTTTAACATGTTTTGCAGTGTTATTGGGTTGGAAAACTAACTTTAAATCAATTGGTTAAAAAAAAAAAGGCAATAGCTATGAGAAATTTGAATTGTTGCTGCTGTACCTATATGCTGGAGTCTGAGTGCGACTTATTTATGGCACCTAATACAACAAGTTACTGGTAAAACAATTATCTATTTGATATTGAGCTGATTCATTACATTTAAACACGAGTGAACTCCTATGGTCTCAAAAGCAGTTTGAGGAGGATGAAAGACAGAGGATGAAGAAAGAGTTGTGAGTAGAGAGGGGCCCTTTTCCCATCATTTGGACCCCTTGGGAAACTCAACAAACCTGCTGTACCTGGAAATGGATGTGAAGAGTGCAGCTAAATGGGATAGAGCTATGGGCAGCCTGAGCAAGTACCATCCACCTTGGGCCTGCCAATAAAAAGCAAGTCTAGAGTGAGAGACTAGAGTGATGTCTGCTGTTTTAGGAACTCTTCTCATTGTGAGACTTCTGTAGGTGAGCTGAGAGTTTGTTTGGACCCTGGGTGAGAACCTGGAGGCTGAGAGCAAGGGTGTGTCTGAAGGACAATGAGATGATATTGATGTATATGTATTAGTAATTTTGTATTAATGTAACATTTTTATTTCACATTTTATATGGAAGAGAGAGATGGGGGCTCTGATGAAGTTTGACATCACGAAGAGCAGAAAAATATTTGGCAGTAAAGTGATCCCTCAAATGCTTTATGGAGTTGAAATCTGGGGTGAGGATGAGAGTGCTATTAAAGGGTTAGAAATGGTGCAAAACCAATTTCTCAAGTGACTGTTTTCCCTACCCAAGGGAATGGCAGCTGCACTCTTACGCACGGAAGCTGGATGGCCAACGTTAACCGCAAGAGCTGATTGCACCAGATTTAATTACCTGAAAAGACTGTCCTCCATGCCTTGCGAGCGCTCGCCAGCCCTATGCTATGTGGAATTGGAGAACAGCCAATAGTGGAAATGTAACACCCAACGTTATTTGAACTCTTATTCTTTCCATAAGCTAGAGCAGATTATATCCACAGACAAACGCCAGTTAAGGGACTGCTGCCACTGGACAGAATCACTACGTGATCTGCAAGCAATCAAATCCTCTAAATGCTCTCCTTGGTTTCCCCTTCTAAAAACGGTCCATTTTAGAGCCCGTTACCTGTCGAATCTCCAGCCAGCATCACTTAAGATCTGCTTTTACTGAGCTGCATTTTCAAGCTATGCCCTCCACCATCCTAGATAGACGATACAACAGGGTACCATACAAAGAATATGTGGGCAACTGCAGGAGGTGATTTCTCACCTTACCATCCGTACAGGAAAGATGTCTCTCCCTGGCAGAGAAGGTCCTATGGCTTCTTAGTGATGTAAACATTTCAGTGACTCATAAAGTTGCCCTTTTTGCTTTGGAGGCCAAAAAGATCAGAAAGAAGACCCTTGACAATATAGCAGTGAACTGCAAGGGAGATGCAGAGAGCTAAATAGCACGACACCCCTTTTGCTTGTATTTATTTTTGATTCAGATTTGTCATGATCAATTGGCTAGTACAATATAGTTATTTGGATTGAGTGGATGTACCTGTGTATTTTTGTAATACTTTGTTTAAGTTATCTATTGCTGCTTCAGTTTTTTGTACACTGCTTAGAGATATTTTGAAGATATTAAGTAATATAGAAATTAAATAATCAAAAGAGTTAAAAACTTAACTAGTGATTTGTGATAAGTTTATAAGGTATGACAGTTTAAGTACCAAACTTTCTGCAAGCATTCATGCTTTCATGGAGCAGATTGGGCTTTCCCATACCTGGTCTTGCAGCTACCAGTAAATTCAATATTTGCTTTTGTTACCTTTTATGTACTTTACATATTTCAGTGCTTCTAATATTCCCTGTACCACCTCAACTATTTTTCAAGATCTACTATATAGGACTGATTCTATCTATCTATCTATCTATCTATCTATCTTGCTCTGATTACAAACCAATCACTTCTAAGAAATAGATAAATAATAGAGTGCAGAATACACTTTATGAGAAAGATACGCAAAATCTACCATCCTCAGCATCCCCTACTATCCTGAAAATATGGAGAGCATTAAAACAACAACGAAGCAATGTTGTGAATAAAGGTATTTCCTCTGATTAATCTCTGCAACTGCATGATTTGACAACTTTGATTTTTATAAGGTTTTTACCATAGGACATAAGATATTCTTTAAGATTGTGTGTATGTGTGCATGTGTCGATATATAGAGAGAGATACAGATATAGATAGATAAGTTATTAAGTGTGTAAATAAGGCTAATGTAAAGATTATAGTTGTGACAAGTTCAAGAGGTATGAAGTGGTCTTTATTATATTGTTTTTGTATTTTTTTCTCACACATACTTTGTGTGTGTGTAAGGGTGTGTAGTTTTTGTTGTTGAGCACATTAATAAAACTTTAAAAATTAGTAAGAAAAACTCAGAACTCCTGAAAGCTTCTCAGTTTCTGTTGCACCTCAACCCATGACATTTCCTCTTCCGTATATACAAAACACAATAAAATATTAAAGATGGATGTTCCTCCCAACAAGCAGGAGCTCTTATTACGTTGTAGGTTACTGAACTTCCTTTCATACCTCAGAAAATGCAACTTTATTGTGATTCTGTTAAGATGCAAGTACATTTAATAAAACTAGAGAAGAAAAATCAACTAATAAAAATTACTCTGTCCACATTTCTAGCATTTAAGTACCAGTGAGGATTTTGGGTCTTTCCTTAGTGCTAGAGGTTATTCAAAGATGCTTGACACAGAGACAGCCAGAGAGAGGAGCATCCATCCTTGATAAGCAGCCTGTGGAGCTTTGAACGGATTACTGGTGCACATAAGGGATGCCAAGAGTGTGCTATTCTTGGCGGAGGTGTCACTGAAGATTCTCCTCTCAATTTGCACACACCACCTTCCCCCGCTTGCTAGCACACTGATCTGCTCTAACCTATGGCTGGCTAGTGGTTTTTCCACAGCAGGTGAAGGCTCTGGTTGTTATTTTTAAGCCCCAAAGTGCTGGCAAAATCAGAGTGTGCTTATTACTGACACACGGTGAAATCAGAGCTACTGCACACATAGAGGAGAAAAAGAAAGCAGATTTGTCTTTTTAAATGTTGTGTAACTCCATTTGAACAGACAGTGTTTAGACAGCAAAAGGATGGCAAATAAAATGTGTTTCAGGGAAACAAAGTGTCCTTAAAGTGTTAATGGAATAGAGAGTGCCCAGTTAAAATGCAATATTAATCTGTCTTTTCAGCAACTGCTGCAGGAAACTTATCTAATATAAAACCACTGAATGTTACACGACTTCTTATTAGCTTATAATATTTACAGTCTTTGCACATATATGCCTCTAAATGGACTTTCAATGGTGGTGGTGGGGGGTTGGGTTACAAATAATTAAAACATACAACACAATAAAAACAAAACACAGCCACATAAAACTAAATAGTGTAATTTTACAAGGTAGGGCCACTTGAATCAAGGTCTCTTCTGAAGGCATTATCGTTTTAACTGTTTGGTTGTACTCATTGGTTTATTTATTTTATCTGAATATTGTAAACTGCCCTGATGGATGATCTAGAAATTTAGTAAAATAGGATTTCTAAAAAACTGTATGCACATATGCACCAGTGTAAATTCAATCAATCAGTCAATCAATCAATCAATCAATCAATCAATGTCTAGTGTTGAGTGTAAAATGTCCTGAGATTTTTAACACACATGTTCATCAGTAAACCTCAGTGGTTAGGACTGGAACTTCCATTCTACAAAATGCCCTGACATTAGAAAACAGGTGGCTAATGCAATTAGGCAAACACCATTATTGGGAAAAATGACACAAAACCTAAAAGTAGCAAGAGGCCAATAGAAACATGACAGTTTTTATGCAGTCTGGTGTTATTTGTGTAATCAATAAAGTCACAAGGCATATGGTAGAAATGTACCCATAGTTTATAGCACAGTCTGGTGTGCGTGAAGTACATATTTTTCCTTCTCCCCCTTTCTATAAAAAGGTAAAGGGACCCCTGACCATTAGGTCCAGTCGTGGCTGACTCTGGGGTTGGGGCGCTCATTTCGCTTTATTGGCTGAGGGAGCTGGCGTTTGTCCACAGACAGCTTCCAGGTCATGTATCCAGCATGACTAAGCCGCTTCTGACAAACCAGAGCAGTGCATGGAAATGCTGTTTACCTTCCCGCCGGAGCGGTACCTATTTATATACTTGCACTGTGACATGCTTTCGAACTGCTAGGTTGGCAGGAGCAGGGACCGAGCAATGGGAGCCTACCCTGTTGCGGGGATTCGAACCGCCAACCTTCTGATCGGCAAGCCCTACGCTCTGTGGTTTAGACCACAGCGCCACCCAAGTCCCATGTAAATACCTATAAATTCAAATTGTTTTTGATACAAAATACCTTTTACTTTTGATCACCAATCTAAGCAATACACATTACTATAAATCATTTCATATCTGATATAACTGTAATAAATTTAGTACACTTTGACACAACTTTGTTCATATTTTCATAAATCGTTATCTGTGTGTATTGTTTTATTTGTTTTTAATTTTATGTAATTATTGCATATATGCTCTAATATATCTTAATGCAACTATGTTAAGCAGCTTAAATGTGAAAATGAAAAAAACAACCCCGTTACAAAGAAGAGAAAACAGTAGTTGCATTCACATGACTTGCTACTGTTTCTTCTTCCATGACTTCCCCACAGCTTTACAATGCATCTGACATACTTATCAGAGATTCAAACACACATCTGAAAATCCCATCATGCTCCCCCACAAACTTTAGGTGGCTTTCTACCTATTTAAAAGTATTTTTTCAAGCATAACTTAATTTCATTCATTTAAATGCTTATTTGTCACACTTAGTTCTTAAAACTTCATTTAAAGAGAGATGATAGTCCACTCCAGGGATGGGTGGAGCTGCTTTTTGTGACAGTGCAATTCCCAGCCAATCACCCTCTCTTAGATAATACAGTGGTACCTCGGGTTACAGACGCTTCAGGATACAGACGCTTCAGGTTACAGACTCCACTAACCCAAAAATAGTACCTCGGGTTAAGAACTTTGCTTCAGGATGAGAACAGAAATCGCGCAACAGCAGCATGGTGGTGGCGGGAGGTCCCATTAGCTAAAGTGGTACCTCAGGTTAAGAACAATTTCAGGTTAAGAACGGACCTCCAGAACGAATTAAGTTCTTAACCCGAGGTACCACTGTATTGTTTTCAGTAACTGCAATGAAACAGCCAATTGTGTGCATCAGACTGTGGACAGAAATGTGTTTGTTTTGTGCCATCAGACTCTTCCCTTCGTTTGATAGAAAATTCATAGAGGCTGTGATCTGGGAAGATAGTCCAATGACTCTACAGTTAAATGTAGCGAATAAGAGTGCTCTTTTATAGGAACAGCGTGTGTCCTTCACAAACTGCTATCAGATTTTCATTTCTTTTTCTTTTTCCATTTTGCGAGATGGCATAAATGAGGTTATAAAATTCCTGGCAATCACAGGCTCCCTACTTGATGAAAATGAAGAAAAGCCTTAAAATAAGTTTGCGAAACATTCTCCCTCACCTACAAAGAATGCTATAACATGAGATGAAGATTCTCATACTACCGTGACTCCACACCCCAATTGCTTCACAACTGCATGCTTGCTTGCTTGCTTGCTTGATTTATTTATTTATTGACTTTATAAACTGTCCTTCATCTGAAGATTACAGGTGGTTTGCAGCATAAATTATTTTTTCATAAAATATTTACACTGCTTTACTGTAAAAAAAAAACCCAAAACCCTCAAAGTGGTTTACAAAACAAATAAAACAAAATTATAGGTAAAACAATTAAAAAAACTTAAAAGTTTTATAGTCCCTATATAGCACAGCCCAGCCAAAACAGGGTTGGACAGTCACAATGTCTAAAAGACATAGAAGGATCCCAACATGTTCCAGCTTCTAAGCATAACACTATTTTTCAAGGGAAATCATCACCAGAAATACAAAATCTAATATAAAAATCCAGTGAGCTACACCAAAAGTATTCTTCCCCCCATCATTTAACTTGACCTCCACACCCAGAGATGATGGGAGGAGGAGTGCTCCAGCAACATCCAACTTCTATTTTGGACATTAGCTGGTCCAGTAGACATATTATTTCACTTGCTGTGTGATCTAAACATCCATTTTGTTTGTTAGGCATAAAAGAGGTATATGGAGTTTAGGGTGGAAGAAGGCCACATCGTGTCTTGCCTTATACTCCCCCCCCCAATAAACAACATTTAATGTAATGCCTAGAAAACATCAAGGAAATATCTCATTTAAGAATTCAGAAGTAACGCGGGCCTGCAAGAAGGCTTCATCTTACCAAGCAGGAAGAAGATGACCGAAAAATTATAAAACAAAAATGAATTGTGGAGTAAATTATCCTGTAATCTGAAAAAGTTCAAATGCCTTTAAAAAACCAGAAACAAAACAGAATTGTGGTGCTTTTTGTTTGCTGTCCACATAAGATACATTAATACTGTAATAAAAGCTTATGTCATTGATTCCTTTGCCTGACCATGTATCAAAAAAATTAACACATCAAAATGTAATCATAAGTTTGGCTAGCTAGAGCTAGACATCATTCAAACATGGCGTTTCAAAAACTGCTGGCCTTATTAGTGACTGCTGGAGATTTAGGAGGTGGTACCCCTCACTCATAGTCCTTCTGGGATCAATAATTAGCTCCTAAGTTATACGACAGAAAGACACTGCATCTGTTGAGGAATAATGTACATAATTATGGGCTGCCTAATATGGGTTACTTTGTTGGTGCTTATCCCCTTTCTGACCCTTCTGAAACGAGATCGTTCTGTAACATGAATCATGTACCATGTCCTCATTCTGTAACTCCCTTTGCTCAATTCAATTTCTAGACCCTTCAGTTCCATACCTGCCACAAGCATCGCCAGACATCTGTCACTACAATACCCTTGGAAGAAATCTTAGCAATGTTGAAATTACGCCAGATGTTGTTAGAGAGGAACAGCGTTAAACCCAAGAAGCGAACACCTGGTACTTTTTAATTGTGGGAGCTCAAACTACATGAAATGGATGGCAGCTGAGTATACACTCCAGATTGCAGGAAGTTCGAGTCGCAGTCGTTTGTTCTTTGTAAAACAAAAAGGTGCAGCTTAGTGCATCTGCATGGGCTATTAAGCTACCCCTGAAGAAGTCACACAAAGAGGAACTGCTGTGGGAGTTGTGGAACAGTGATGTCAAAGCAACCTTGGTGGGAGCAGGGCAAATAGCCCATGAATATTTGCAGACCACAAAAAAAGTTTACTAGTGACGGGTTTTATTTAGTAGGTAAGGGAATATAATTAACTATATTTTATCCCCCTACAGACCCACGTGAGTAGGTTAACAGACAAAAAGATGAGCTTACCACTTAAGTTTAAAAGCACAGGGCTAAATAGAGTTATGCAGTTTAATTGAAAGAATAAGAATCAGCTGTTAGGCTGAGCTGTCCTTTCATTACCCTGTTTATCAAAGAAACAGGCTACAAACTGAAAAGTAAGTATAAAACATATATTTTACACATAGTCATGCATTCATCCTTAGCAGCAACCACATTAAAAAATAAATGCGGGTAAAGTACTTATGTTTAAAGCATGGTTGAAGAGAGAGAGGGGGAGAAGGAACAGGAAATACTTCTTTTGCTTCTTCTCCCAGCAGAGGAGGGGAAATGACATCACATAGAGCAGGGGTCAGCAAACTTTTTCAGCAGGGGGTTGGTCCACTGTCCCTCAGACCTTGTGGGGGGCCGGACTATATTTTGAAAAATAAAATAAAATGAACGAATTCCTCTGCCCCACAAATAACCCAGAGATGCATTTTAAGTAAAAGGACACATTCTACTCATGTAAAAACACACTGATTCCTGGACCGTCTGCAGGCCGGATTTAGAAGGTGACTGGGCCAGATCCGGCCCCTGGGCCTTAGTTTGCCTACCCAGGACATAGAGCCTTCTCTACTAATTACATTACTATGCTCTGAGTCCACCTATCAGCAATACAACTCTAAGGCCTTAACCTTTCCACATGCTAACTAGCAAGAATATGCATTGTTAGATTTGACTGCATATCTCCCACAACTAGTCAGCTAGTGCAGGGTTCCTGTAAGTCATTTGCAGCACATCAACAGCCTGAAAAGGAAGATAGGTGGAGAATTAATCTTTAATCCCTCCAAATTCAAACTTGGGTGGTCCTGTGCCTATCAGTTTGGAAGCAAGATGGGGCCACTCAAAACTGAAGCAGAGGCTTCTGCATACTTAGAATATCTAATGTTAAACTCTCCTCCCCGTGGGACAGCTTACTCCAAGCAACTTACACCCTGCTCCTCACCACCCAAGTTTTATAGCAATAAATTGTTGAGGTTTGTGGCTTGCAGTCAGCTCCAAACCTGGGTTTTTCATAATCATAGAATTGTGGAGTTGGAAGGGATCCTGAGGTTCATCTAGTCCAAGCCCCTGCAATGCAGGAATCTCAGCTAAAGCATCCATGGCAGATGGCTATCCAACCTCTGTTTAAAAACCTCCCAGGAAGGACAATGCACCACCTCCTGAGTCCATTCAACAGTTGAACAGCTCTTACTGTCAAAATGTTCTTCCTGATGTTTAGTCAGAATCTCTTTTCTTGTAACTTTAAGCCATTGGTTCGAGTCCTACACTCTGAAGCAGGAAAAAACAAGCTTGCTCCATCTTCCATGTGACAACCCTTCAGATATTTTAAGATGACTATCATATCTCCTCTCAGTCTCCTCTTTTCCAGCCTAAATGTACTCAGCTCCCTCAACTGTTCCTCATAAGGCTTGGTTTCCCAACCCTTGATCATCTTGGTTGCATTCTTCTGCACACATTCCAGCTTGTCAATATCCTTCTTAAATTTTGGCGTCTAGAACTGGACGCAGTATTCCTGGTGTGGTCTAACAAAGGCGATACTATTACTTTCCTCGATCAGGACACTACTGTGGTACCTCGGGTTACATACGCTTCAGGTTACAGACTCCGCTAACACAGAAATAGTGCTTCAGGTTAAGAACTTTGCTTCAGGATGAGAACAGAAATCGTGCTCCGGCGGCGCAGCAGCAGCGGGAGGCCCCATTAGCTAAAGTGGTGCTTCAGGTTAAGAACAGTTTCAGGTTAAGTACGGACCTCTGGAACAAATTAAGTACTTAACCCGAGGTACCACTGTATAAGGTACCACTGTCAAAGGCTGGGCTGCCAGTTCAAAGGCACAAATGTAAGTGGCATTAGCAAGTATTGTGCCACTATGACAGCAAATGAGACTGTGCAGGAAACTGTTGAATGCTTGCCTATCAGAAAAGCACTATTCCAATTTAAGATACTATTTCCATTTCAGATCCCTCATCTTCACATTACAGATTCCACTCGATGAGGGTGGGGTATTAAAAAGCACTCCAGGAAGTTTTAAGAGGGTATTATTGATTCCTCTCTGCTTGGTTCTCAGTCAATCTGAAAGCCAGCATGATTCAATATCTTTCTAATAGCTCCATTAGTAAACAAAAGGAAACATCCCCTCATTCTCAACTCTATTATATAAGAGAGAGAGACTAATTCAATTTTATATTTGAATAAAAGCCAGCACCAAGCTTTATTTACATTGTGTGGTGGCTTTATTTAGAAACACTGCTTTCTTTCTCCTGTCAGTGTGGAGGGTTCTCAGATAAAGAAGCAACTATCCCAAACAACAAGAAAGCAACCAACAAAAAGAAATGTGGCTTACTATCTCATCTGTGTTCAACAGTGGCTAATAGTTTGAACACTGACCAACACTCATCCCACACTAGTTTCTCCAATCAGTGAATTCCTTTCAAAAGAAGCCAGGAAGGGGTTTTTCTCCCAATTTTGTATGCTGATGACCCTCCTACTGAAGTGGGGGGCAGAATAAGAGCTTGGGTGTGGAGAGGACCCTCGGGTCCTTATTTAGCAGTGGATTAGCTTGACCACCACAATGCTTAATGCTGAATTAATATTGTCCATTTTATTTGTTCACCTGCTACTTTTTATGTCTGTGTAATGTTTAACAAATTTTAGTTGAAGCTATTGTTAATTTCCTATTTTATTGTTATACAATGGTATCTCAGGTTAAGTACTTAATTCGTTCCAGAGGTCTGTTCTTAACCTGAAACTGTTCTTAACCTGAAGCACCACTTTAGCTAATGGGGCCTCCTGGCTGCTGCCGTGCTGCCGGAGCACGATTTCTGTTCTCATCCTGAAGCCAAGTTCTTAACCTGAAGCACTATTTCTGGGTTAGCGGAGTGTGTAACCTGAAGCGTATGTAACCCGAGGTACCACTGTATGTACCCTGTCCTGGGATGAATGGCAGGTTATAAATGTGGTCGGTTGGTTGGTTGCTTGGTAGGTAAGTAAGTAAATACATACATACATACATACATACATACATACCATAAATACTAGACATCTGCCTACTAGCCCTATTGTAAGGGGCACTCTCCTTCCAGAGCTGGTACCCACTAACAGCATGCACTTCTTAGCAGAGGATGGAAAATAACAGCACTACACCACTGCAATTCTGTATTGTTCACAGAATCACTTCAGTGGAGGTTAAACTACTCTTTTGTATTGTTCCCATTGTGGAGAAAATATTCTCTTTTTGACTAAGAGAGTTGGGAGGCCTTGTGAATTTATCTTTAAAAACTGTATATATTACTGTAGTTGATAATAATCTCATTTGTCTTATTGTCTTTGCTACCTTCCCTTCCTCCTTTGTCTGGTTATCAGATGGCAATTTTTCAGCAGAGATCTAGTTCATTCAATCGAGCATCTGCTGGTGACACTTACATAAATAATCTAAAACATGCTGAAGCAGAAGAGTGCAATTTATTGTATTCAAAGATTAAGGAGCACCCATGATTTCTGAGGAAGAACTGTAGCTTCTATGTTTATTCATTGGACTTTAACCTGCTCTAGCCCCAAAGACAAATTTTATCATCTCCCCACCAGGAATTCATTAAATAAAATGAATGGCTTCTTTACAAGGTACAAATTCAGTCCCATGGAATGCAACACTGCATGAGTCAAAGTGTCAAAGGACATGAAAGGGAATTGCTCACTAGTAGCTCCACTTTTCCACTGTACAAAAATGGAAAACATTACAGGTCTTGGATCTTACACTTTGGTACAGGAATATTTGAAATGTAGCTATTCTGGAGAAAAAACATATCCCATCTTTGAATACTGAGGGGCACATCTCTATCTGTTACTTTTCCTACCACTGATGGAAATTTATATTGTATACAAACAAACACCCGCTACAAACACAACTTGCACTGCCATCTCATGAGATCTGGAACTTTTGTGCTGTCCTTCACCCCTTCGATTACCTGTTTTTAGATATTTGTATTAGGATAACCATGCTGTCACTCTTCTTTACTATCATTGTTTTCTATTTTCATTCATGGTAAGGTAGGTAGTTCTAGCACTGAAAACCATTTACGTGCCCCCCCCCCCCCCGGGTAATTTCACTTATTTTGGCGGGGCCACTCACCTGGTGAAATGATTTCTCCCCCTCTTGTGCTATTGATATTTTTAACTATGTAAAGTAGACTAATCAAAGTAACTGAGTGGAAACATTCCTCTTAAAGATAATGTGTTAAATTCTCTCTCCCTTACATATATTGTGTTTGTACAAATTATAAGGCCAATTTTGTAGAGGAGATGGTGAGAGTGTTAGCTTAATAGTGCAATTAATACTTTCCAGAAAAAATGTGCCTGTGATTTGTGAAAGTATGAGATGTTATGATGAACAACACATGGGACCTAAAGGTGTTTTATGCATTGTTTTAAAGAATATCTACACTGTCATCTTACCAAGATCTTTTCTCCTTCAAACAAACATAAAATAAATATTGAGTTTGATCCAGTACTTGAGATTAGCACAGACACTTGGTTGCTCAAGTGCCTCAATTTTGATGCTGGACCTACACAATCTACTCCATCAGCTCCAATTCTTTCCAAAGCAGCTGCCTAGGCAAGGCCCAAACCACAACATTCTCAGACAGGTAAGGCCCTGCACTTTATGGCCAACCCTATAGCTTATCAAGGAATACAATGTGTGGCGTTTCCTGCCAACAAATAGTGAGCTTAACCTGTGGAAGATATATCCCCTTACAGACCATTATACTGAATAGGGTTGTGTCTTTGCAAGATCCTGAGAGACTTCTGAAGCATGACCCTAAACTGACAGGATTAAGGCATTACTGCAGGCTCCCTTCCATGACAATAATAATAATAATAATAATAATAATAATAATAATTTATTATTTATACCCCGCCCATCTGGCTGAGTTTCCCCAGCCACTCTGGGCAGCTCCCAATCAGTGTTAAAAACAGTACAGCGTTACATATTAAAAACTTCCCTGAACAGGGCTGCCTTAAGATGTCTTCTGAATGTCAGGTAATTATTTATCTCTTTGACATCTGATGGGAGGGCGTTCCACAGGGCGGGCGCCACTACCGAGAAGGCCCTCTGTCTGGTTCCCTGTAGCCTCACTTCTCACAATGAGAGAACCGCCAGAAGGCCCTCGGCGATGGATCTCAGTGTCCGGGCTGAACGATGGGGGTGGAGACCCTCCTTCAGGTATACAGGACCGAGGCCGTTTAGGGTTTTAAAGGTCAGCACCAACACTTTGAATTGTGCTGGAAACGTACTGGGAGCCAATGCAGATCTCTCAGAACCGGTGTTATGTGGTCCCGGCGGCCACTCCCAGTCACCAGTCTAGCTGCCACATTCTGGATTAATTGCAGTTTCCGGGTCACCTTCAAAGGTAGCCCCACGTAGAGCGCGTTGCAGTAGTCCAAGCGTGAGATAACTAGAGCATGCACCACTCTGGCAAGACAGTTCGCGGGCAGGTAGGGTCTTAGCCTGCGTACCAGGTGGAGCTGGTAGACAGCTGCCCTGGACACAGAGTTAACCTGCGCCTCCATGGACAGCTGTGAGTCCAAAATGACTCCCAGGCTGCGCATCTGGTCTTTCAGGGGCACAGTTACCCCATTCAAGACCAGGGAATCCCCCACACCAACCCGCTCCCTGTCCCCCAAAAACAGTACTTCTGTCTTGTCAGGATTCAACCTCAATCTGTTAGCTGCCATCCATCCTCCAACCGCCTCCAGGCACTCACACAGGACCTTCACCGCCTTCACTGGTTCTGATTTAAAGGAGAGGTAGAGCTGGGTGTCATCTGCATACTGATGAACACCCAGTCCAAACCCCCTGATGATCCCTCCCAGCGGCTTCATATAGATATTAAAAAGCATGGGGGAGAGGACAGAACCCTGAGGCATCCCACAAGTGAGAGCCCAGGGGTCTGAACACTCATCCCCCACCACCAGTTTCTGGACACGGCCGAGGAGGAAGGAGCGGAACCACTGTATGACAGTGCCCCCAGCTCCCAGCCCCTGTAGACGGTCCAGAAGGATGTTATGGTCAATGGTGTCAAAGGCCGCTGAGAGATCCAGCAGAACTAGGAAACAGCTCTCACCTTTGTCCCTAGCCCGCCGGAGATCATCAACCAGCGCGACCAAGGCAGTTTCAGTCCCATGGTGAGGCCTGAATCCCGATTGGAAGGGATCCAAATGGTCCGTTTCCTCCAGGCGTGCTTGGAGTTGTTCAGCAACCACCCGCTCAATCACCTTGCCCAAGAATGGCAGATTTGAGACTGGGCGATAGTTGGCCAAATTGGCCGGGTCTAAAGATGTTTTTTTAAGAAGCGGTTTAATGACCGCCTCTTTCAGCAGGTCTGGGAAGGCTCCCTCACAGAGGGAAGCATTCACCACTCCGCAGAGCCCATTGCCCAGCCCTTCCCGGCTCGCTTTTATCAGCCAGGATGGGCAAGGATCAAGGAGACAGGTGGTCGGTTTCACTTGTCCAAGCAGCCTGTCCACATCCTCGGAGGTAACAGATTGGAATTGATCCCATGTAACAGGACCAGACAGAACTCTAGCACTCTCACGCCCTGGCCCTGCTCCCACGGTGGAGTCTACCTCCTTCTGAATCTGAGCGATTTTATCTGCAAAAAACTTTGCAAAAGCATTGCAGGAGATCTTGGGGTCCCTACCAGGCCCCGGTGGTACAGGTGGTTCCGATAGATTGCGAACCACCTGAAAAAGTCTCCTGCTGCTGTTTTCTGCAGATGCAATGGAGGCGGCGAAGAAGGCCCTCTTCGCCGTCGCCATTGCCACTTGGTAGGCTCGACGTTGAGCTCTAACCCGTGTCCGGTCTGATTCAGAATGAGTTTTCTGCCACCGGCGCTCTAGCCGTCTCAACGATTGTTTCATCACCCTCAGCTCCGGGGGAAACCACGGGGCTGTCCGGGCTCCATGCAATCGTAGAGGGCGCTTCGGAGCCAGACAGTCAATAGCCCTGGTTAACTCCGCATTCCAGCGGGCCACCAGGGAATCAGCTGAAAGGCCATCAACTTGGGATAAAGCATCCCCTACCACTCTCTGGAAGCCAATTGGATCCATTAAGTGGCGGGGGCAGACCATCCGAATCGGTCCCACCTCCCTGCAGAGGGGAAGGGTTGTGGAGAAGTCCAGTTGCACCAGGAAGTGATCTGACAATGGCACTTCTTTTGTTTCGCTTTTAGTTAGTGTCAGATCACCAACATCCATAGAGGTGAACACCAAGTCTAAGGCATGTCCACGGCTATGAGTTGGGCCAAACTTATTCAGGGACAGCCCCATGGAGGCCATGCTTTCCACGAAGTCCCGAGCGGCCCCTTGTAAGGTCGTGTCGGCATGGATGTTAAAATCCCCCAGGACAACCAAGCTAGGTGTCTCCAGGAGCATATCCGCCACGACCTGAAGCAGCTCGGGCAGGGAATCCTTGGTGCAGCGGGGAGGTCGGTACACCAGTAGGAATCCTGTACTGCCCCTATTGCCCAACTTCCAGAACATGCACTCAGAAAACTGGGTCTTCCCAATAGGACGCCTGGTGCAGACTAATGACTTCCTAAAAATCACTGCAACCCCCCCTCCCCGCCCACATGACCTGGGTTGCTGTGCGTAAGAGAAACCTGGTGGGCAAGCAGCGGCAAGGACAGGCCCATCTGCTTCATCCAACCAGGTCTCTGTCACACATGCCAGGTCAAATCCTCCATCCACAATCAGGTCGTGGATGGCAGTGGTTTTATTCATCATTGACCTGGCATTGCACAGCAACACTTTCAGGTCATGTGGGTTTCCTTGCTGATTACTGTATCCTTCCGGTCAGGACCAGACCTGGAGGCAGGGATAGTCCTCAAACAACGACTAAACCTGCCTCCTCGGTAATGACATGGTCTGGTCTTAGCATAACTCCTCCTCCTGCCCGTGATCACTGAGATCGGGTGTCCCAATACATCCCCCCCTGTGGAACCTGCCCCACCCAATCTATTGGCTGAGGCCCACTCCCAGGCAGCCATGACCCTTCCCCTTAAAAAGCAAAATACAAACTATATAATAATTTAACAGAATAATAATAATAATAATAAAACAAAACCGAACAAAACAAAACAAAGCAAGAAACAATAGCGCTGACTAAATGCTTATCCCACCCCAAGCAAAAATAAAATAATGAAATAATATAATATTATAAAAAACAACAACCACCATTTAAGGTGCTGCAAATTAAAAGCAATTAAAACATTTAAAACCATTTTGTCCATTGCTGCTGGTAGCTGCTCAGGCCTCGAAACTGTAGTGGTAGTGCAGGCCCCGCCCCCTAGGCCAGATGGAGTTGGCAGAAAAGGGAGCGGTCCTCCCAACACTCACGCGAGCAGCAGCAGCAGCAGCAGCCGTGTCCCGGAGGCCTCTCTCAGGCCTCTTATGCTGTGGCGGTGGGTGCAGGCCCCGCCCCCTAGGCCGGATGGAGTTGGCAGGAGAGGGAGCGGTCCTCCCAACACTCACGCGAGCAGCAGCAGCATATATTGATTAGAAGGTCCTGATCAATATATCGTGCTTTCTGCTAATTTGGCAGCTTGAACCAGAATTTCCCCAAACATTGAGCTCCACCAGATTACCTCTAGTGCATTTTCAGGTCATTGGACTGTCCATGTACCCAGTGGAGATTGGGGGTGCATTGCCAAATTCAATCCGCAATGTACCTGAATCAAACATAGGCAAAAAACCCACCATGTGACATAAGTAGGCCAGGGCAACTTTTATCTTAAAGCACCCAAGGTTTCAGGGAGACCTATTATATACATAATCTATAAAGCAACCAGCATAGAACCTCTTATTCTAATTATCCAAATACAATGCCAAAACCAGTATGTGGAATAATTTATAATTCACCAGTATGTGTGCACGTGAGCAAATACATTTTTTAATGCTCCTCAGAGAAACAGTGGGACTGGATTTGGACTCACTCCAGATGATCTATATGCTAGTCTCCCAGTGCCATGCCATCACTGCCAAATTGACATAAAGCTTGGCAGAAAACTTTCAAAAACCATCTAAAGTATGACCAAAATGTTTCAGATGCTCACTTTCACATCTGAATCCCAAATATATTCTGTTCTACTGAGCCACACAGTTATTCCACTCAATTTTAATAAATAACGGTTGCAAGTTGTAGTTAAACTAAAGAATCTGAATTATTTATAGCACAGAAGAAGGGGGTGTTTGAAAGAACACATGAAGAGGGCTTTGGGAGGATTTCAGACGCCCTTTAGATTTGTTTCTTATAGGGTTGGTGATATAAGCAGCACAGTTCCAAATCTAACTTCAAATATTTCTCCAAAAGACACAGAGTTAATCTCATACACAGTTTATAAGATAACAAAAAATTGTGTGTTAAAATCATAAGCAAAATTTGTTAAAAGAAACAACCTAAGCAAATGCCTTAAATATGTTCTGTTTCCCCAGTATTCTAACATAATAATTCAACGTTCCTCATCTCCTCCCCACTCTTTTGTTTCAATCAACCATCAAATGAGTGAAACTGTAGAGTGAAAAAGTATCAGGGAAATCCTTATTAAAGGCAAAGCCCCCATTCAGAATTACAGAATTGTAGAGTTGAAGTGATCCTGAGGGTCATCTAGTCCAATCCCCTGAAATGCAGAAGTTTCAACTCAAGCATCCATGAGATGGCCATCCAACCTCTGCTTAAAAGCCTCCCAGGAAGGACAGTCCACAACCTCCCAAGGGAGTTTGTTCTACTGTCAAACACCTCTTGCTGTCAGAAAGTTATTACTGATGCTTAGTCAGAATCCCCTTTCTTTTAACATGAATCCATTGGTTTGTGTCCTACCCTCCAGAGCAGAAGAAAACAAGCTTGCTCCATCTTCCATGTGACATCTTCCTCTCCGTCTCTTCTTATCCAGGTTAAACATACCCAACCCCCGTCAATCATTCCTCATATGGCTTCTTGGTTATCTTGGTCGCCCACCTCTGCACAAGTACCAGTTTGTCAATATCCTTTTAAACTGTTGCACCCACGACTGGACACAGTATTCCAGGGGTGGTCTGACCAAGGCAGAATAGAGCAGTACAGTTGTACCTCCACTTATGTATCTCTCTGGTTACGTAAACTTTGGGATACGTAAGCAGCAAACCTGGAAGTATATTTCTGGGGTTTTGCCCATGAGCAGAAGCGCTCTTCTGCTGCTTGTACATGCGCAGAAGCGGTCTCTCCGGTTGCGAAAACCTTGAGATCCAGTCAGACCTCTGGAACGGATCCCGTCCATAACCAGAGGTACCACTGTGCTATTATTTGCCTTGATCTGAACACTATACTTCTGTTGATACAGCCTCAAATAACTTCCAGGAGAAAATTGCTATAAGCAGCTAAATGGTACAGAACAGTGGTCTCAAGGTACTTTACCAACTTCCATCTGTGAAACTAAGCAGGTTTGTGCTTGGCTAGTATTTGGACAAAGATCCAGAAACCTCACATAAGCCTCCCTTGAGCACCTTGAAAGGGGTGGGTCTTAAATTAATCAGTGGGTAGATCTTAAGGGTCATGACATGTCTTACAACGCCCCCCCCAACTGAATGATCTCCATATGGGAAGTACCACACAACATCATGTATAAAAGTTGCACATTTCTCTGTAGTATTTGCATGTGAACAAGTACAACCAAGATGCTAGTTCCAGTTGTGTAGTTGTGGGAAAATATGTTCATTTGGTTTTCATACATGATTGCATAGATGGCTGAGTAGTGAGGACTTGTCTAGGATTACAAGCTTATAAAATGTGGCATCATCAAAATCTGGCAAAGAGAAGGAAAGTGCAGGGTAAACAAACTGGCAGAGGAAGCGGCCTGATCACCAAGTAAAAACTTCTGGGTCAGACTTGCTCTCTGATTCATCAAGATAGCAAAGACTACACTGACCTGCTACCCTAACTTCCTGCTTCTCATCTGGAAACTGTTGTTTGCAGAGCAGGACAACAACGAAGTGGATGTGTGTGTGTGTGTGTGTGACACACAGAGAAGAGACTGGAGATTACACACATGAAGATGAACTCTACACAGAAAAGTCACTGTGCATGAAGCACATCAGGCTTGACGCGCTAACAAATAAAAGGGAACATCAACATTTAGTGTTGTAGGGAAGCTTATCTGATATTACGATCACTTTATGCCAATGCAAATGTTTTAAGTTCAAGATTTCTGGATAATTAAGATGACAGTAGATAGGATAAGTTAACAGATTTCCCATGCCAAACCAGGCAGTGCATTTTCACTGGCATCCATTTTCACTGCATTAGTCTGCTATCCATGTATGCAAATAACAGTTTTTTAAAGTCCAGAATATTTCATGGAAAGGTTTTAGGGTTTGGGGGTGCCTGGGATTCCTATGCAAAAGTGTTAATGAAATGCTAAGCAACAATGTCCTGGCTAGCTGCTACACAAATAAAAACATTGCCTCTGCAATTATATGCACAGCACCCCTTGCTGTCATTTGAGTTAGTCACAATCTGCATTCCGATGGTATCCAGACAGCAGGCTCAGCTATTAAAGAAGACGTCAGCCACCGAATGACAAAGCACAAAACAAAGATGAAATATGAGGCTTTGTTTCTGAGTGCACCGCCTCTGCCTTCCAGACCTACAGAACCATTTAGCTTGCCTGCAGCACTGCCTCTATATATAGATATTTTGCGCACAGAGGTTATACGAATTGATTCTCAATGAGCAGAGGATTTCAAACAAGTCTGGCAGAGGAGTGTTACACAATGTGGATTTCTTTTGCACTTAAAGCTGCAGAAATATCAACTAGTAGCTTGGAAATATGTTATAAAACCACTGCAATGCTTCCTAATAGGGCAGCCTGCACACACAGGCCTGGCCCTTGTTACATAAGATGGAAAATTACCTCTTCCCGTTAAGTAACATGGGGCACAGACCACCAGGAAGTTCTCCTGCACAGCATTTGCTAATTTGAATGAGGAGTCCTTCCTGGTTCTGCCTGGTGGATCAGATATTGGTTTCAAAGGGGCCAAAGTTGACATTACATGGGAGCTCACAGAATCACAGTTGGAAACGATCCTGAAGGTCATCTAGTCCAACCCCTTGAAATGCAGGAGTCTCAACTCAAGCATCCATGACAGATGGCTGTCCAACCTCTGCTTAAAAACCTCCAAGGAAGGAGAGCCCACCACCTTCAAAGGGAGTCCATTCCATTGTTGAACAGCTCTTACTGCCAGAAAGTTCTTCTTGATGTTTAGTCAGAGTCTCCTTTCTTGAAAAGGTGAATCCATTGGTTAGGGTCCTACCTTCTGCAGCAGGAGGAAACAAGCTTGCTCTATCTTCCATGTGACAGTCCTTCAGATATTTGAAGATGCCTATCATACCTCCTCTCAGCCTCCTCTTTTCCAGGTTAAAAATATCCAGCTCCCTCAACCATTCCTCACAAGGCTTGGTTTCCAGACCCTTGATCATCTTGCTTGCCCTCCTCTGCACACATTCCAGTTTGTCAATATCCTTCTTAAATTGCGATGCCCAGAACTGGAGACAGTACTCCAGATATGCTCTGACCAAGACAGAATAGAGCGGTATTATTGCTTCCGCTGATCAGGACACTATACTTCTGTTGATGTAGTCTAGAATAGCATGACTTTTTTGTTGTTGCTGCATCACACAGTGTTAAGCTTGTGATCTGTTAAGACCCCTAGATTCTTTCACATTTACTTCTGGCAAGCCAGATGTCCTCCAGTTTATATTTGTGCAGCTGGTTCTTCCTGCCTAAGTGTAGAACCTTACATCTGTCCCTACTGAAATTCATTTTGTTAGTTTGAGCTCAGTTTTCCAATCTGTTAAGGTCATCTTGAACCCCGATTCTGTCTTCTGCAGCATTAGCTACCCTTGCTGTTTTGGTGTCATCTGCAAATTTGAGGAACATCCCCTCAAATCATTCATCCAAGTTGTTTATAAAGACATTGAACAAAAACGGGCCCAGGACAGAACTCTGCAGAACCCTACTTGTGACTTTTTTCCCAGGATGATGAGGAACCATTAGTGAGCACTCTTTGGGTTCTGTCAGTCAACCAACTACAAAACCACGTAACAGTTATCTCATGATGATTAACATCTTTTAGAGGTGTTTTTTTTTTACCTATTAGCAATCGCATGCAGCTGTTTTGATTATCAGGTAAGTGGCACACTAAAAGAGGGTATTTAACCCTTTCCTAGATCTAAACATCTCCCACAAAGCTGCTCTTGGGTCTATATGTAGGGAAAAGAAGAAAGGTACAGATGCGGGGGCAATTTAGAAAAGACAAAGAAAAAAAAGAAAGTGTTAAACACCCTCCACCAGAACAAGATTTTCAAAGCTGTTGCATAGGGACTGCTTAAAGTAAAACTGCCCCAAAATGGAAAGAAGTAGAAATCCCAGCAAAGGAAGAATGGATTCAAAAACTTATGAAATATGCAGAAATGGCGAAACTTACCAGAAAAATAAGAAATCAAGATAACAAACTTTTTATAAAAGAACAGAAATGGTTTATTGAATATTTCCAGACAAATTGTAAACAGGTAAGAACATTGGCGTGATTTTAATAACCTGCAGTTTCATAAGGGTATATATTTAAAATAGATGAATAAAAGAACAAATTTAGTTAATTTGGATATGCAGAAGATAATAAAAATAAATTCAAGGAACCGCAGAAAGAGGCGAAAGGAAGTCATGTTAAAATGACTGTAAAATCGGACTTCCGGGTTAGCGCCATCGCCGAATGGCGGACTCCCTCCGAGCTCCGGAGGGAGTCTGCTCGGCAGGGGCTGGGTCCTACCGCGCCGGCGACGCGGGGACCCTTAAAAACCACGGGCACGGAGTCCGTGGACATGGGTGACTCGGCTTGCACCATTAGCGCCCTCCCGACTCGTGAAGGAGCCTTTTTAAAGTCGTAGGATCCGGAGCCGGTCAGTGGCCTGTTGCTTTGAGTCCACTGCTGTCCATGCCAAGGGCAGCCGCAAGCCATACGACGGACAGCGCTGACTTCTTCTATTGAAAATTTGGACTATTAACAACAACCCGTGAGTAATTGGGAAACCGGGTTCAAAATTTTGGATTTGGCACGAGCGGGGGCGATTTAAAAAGGAAGTCAATCCCCCCCCCCTATTGTAAGCATTCCAAAACAAGGACTGGGCAACCAAGGTCCAAAGGGAAGTATGTCTCTGATAAAAATCATTAATTTCACGATGGGAAATTATAAGAAATGTGCTGGAGGAGAAGAGTGGAGGGTGAGAAGAAAAATGCAACCCCCCCCCTGGGAACCGGGGCGATTCGTGGAGCCTGGTGAAGAGAGACGGAGACTTTGACAGCTGTCAAAGTGGCTGTCAAAGCTGGAGAATATAAAGAGGACTTTATGAGGACCTTGCTGGTAAATTTTGCTACAATTTGCTATAATATGGATATAAACTGTTGGAAAATAAGCAACAATTTGACTTTTGGATTAGAGGATACAAAGTTATTACAATCCCCCTAGAGGGGTTTCAGGATACTACAAGAACGGTCGTAAGTGGAAAAATACCCTGGGATTCGCACAGGATTTGTTATCTTCTGGGAAAGCTGCAAAACTGAAAGAGTATTTTGTCTACAGAGGAAGACAATGGAATTTTTATTGAAGAAAGAAAGGGACTGGACGTAAGTTTTTGTTCCTGAATAACAAACCTCTGCAGAGACACTAGATTTCTGAATTAGAAAGTTTTAGCAGCTGAACAGGACAAGAAACCTGAGAAAGTGAGGAATAAGAAGAATAAAGGACTGATTACGACACGGAAAGAACAACGGGAGGAGTGGTAAAGATCAAGGAAATTAAAGGCCTTTGTTAGATTGGACATTTGAAGTCAAATATTATTTAAATTAATAAACTAAAAGAAAACCGGCAAGATGGAATCGGGAGAAATCTGGTCATGAAATGAGACTTCCAAGCTGATAATGTATAGACTGATGGACATGGGGAATTCAAACCGGGGAAGGGGGGGGGGGAGATTTGAAATCCAAAGGCTGTGTAACCATTTTTGAACTTTTCTATATCTCTTATTTTCTATTTCTTTACATAACTTACGCATGTTATTTTACTTTGATCGGACGTGTTTAAAAAAAGGGAATTTGTGGAAGGAACTGGGGTGGATCTTGGGGAAAATCTTTTTCTTTTTCTGTTAATGATGTGGGACGGTGGTAAGATTTGTACAATTCAATTTGGATAGTGGGTTAAACAAATTAAGCTTTAAATTTGGGAGTGAGAGCTTGTAGAACCAAATTAAGGAAAGGGAATACAATTGGGGGAGGGGGAGTTCCAGAAAGTAGGGAATGAAAGTAAGGTTTTTAAATATCTTCTTTCTTTTGTCTTTTTTCTTTGTACTTTTATATTTTTGGAAACTTTAATAAATATGATTTAAAAAATAAAAATAAAATGACTGTAAAATCATTGAAATGTATAAACCTGAAAATCATTAATAAAATGTTAAAAAGAAAGTAAAACAACACATAGGTGACCAAAGTATGGATCTCCCACATCCTGAAGGCAAGGCATGTTCATCAATGGGATAGCCTGCTATGACAGCTGTTGGGCTCCCCTTCATGGGAGGCCACCGTCACCAGCCAGGGATGCTGTAGCTGCATCTTGCACACTGAGCAGTGGTTGGATGAGATCACCCTTGCTCAGCCTGGTGCCCTTCAGCTCACTCCCATCATCCCTGAACGTTGGCTGTGTTGTCTGAGGCCAATTAAAGTTAAAGCCCAAATAATCTGAAGGGAACCAGGTGGGGAAGACTTGGGTCAAATGACCTCCAAGGTCGATCCCAGCTCTTAAAAGTTCTAGGATTCTTTGTTTAATTTGGCTTTTACTCTACTGCCCTTAGTGGCACCCAAGTTATGCAACTAATAGTGGGGCTACTCTGGATCTTAATGCTACTTAGTACTTGTGAGCGGCTTGCAAGGAGAGCTGAAATGGCAAAAAAGCATTGTGATATCTTAAAGTAAAAGCACAATTCAGACAGCATAGTTTGGCAGTTTTGAGGGCCCCTGTGGGCTGCTTCATTCTGTGGTTCAAGATACCCAGACTTTGCCCAAATGAACTGGGCAAACCATGGTTACCATAGTTTTATTTTCTGGTTTGGAAGCAAACTATGGTTAATGTTATATTCAACTTGAATGTCTTAACAAACTAAGTATCTCTCAAGCCAAGGAAGGGCGGGCAAGGAGTCTATTGTGATACTCCAAAGCACCAAAACAAGGTTTGGATATTGGCTTTGTGATACTTGAATTGAAACTGTTTATCTGGACACGAGTTTTGGCAGGCAAACTTTATCTCATCAGTTACATTAATTGGACTAAGTTGGTGAAACTTTATGCAAATAGTTAGGGCTCATGGTAGACTTCTGAATGAAGTCAGCAAGTGCTAAAGTTAAAATTATGGCTTGCATTTTCAGATATAGTATCCTATTTTTGCGAATTTCACAGATGATCAACTATTGGCTCATATTAAGATGTGGCTTCAGCAGCTAATTGGACATTCCCTAACTAAGCCCACAGCATGCCAGTCTCTCTTCTAGCCTACAGTGTCCTCTACACCTCTTCAAGTCCCCCACAAAGCTGTACCACAAATCTCTGTTTGCAAGCAAAAGTATGGCAAATTATCCAGCTTGCAGAATTTTGCTGTAATGTATGTATTTTTCTAGCTTTATTTTAATGAATGGTAAGCAAAACCTAGTAATATCTGGTAGTTAAGGTTGGATCAAGCAGTAAACATATTCAAAGCATATGGCAAACGTCAGATCACCAGAATCTGTCTAAAGCTCTGTGAGTTGAGACTATAACAAAAGCTGAGTCATCCCTATTGATGATTACACTCAAGGCTATTTCAAATACAGTGATGTCATAATTATATTCAACTGTCAGAATGGATCCCAAAATCATTCTTCTCGAACTTAAAACAAGTAACATGTATAAGCAGAAGGAATATAATATGAAAATAGTAATTATAAAAAAGGAAAACAATAATTATACTATCTAGAACTCCTAACATGCTATAACCAAGAATGCTTTAGATGCAAAATGCAGTACCAGTAATTACTTTGACCTCTGTAAAACCCAGTAAGTGGATTACAACAGAAATAACAGAAATGACGTAAAATATGTGTGACATGCCAACAAATTGTATTTTGTTTTTTTTTTTTTTAAATCATATTTATTAAAGTTTCCAGAAATATAAAAATACAAAGAAAAAGACAAAAGAAAGAAAATATTTAAAAATCTTACTTTCATTCCCTACTTTCTGGGACTCCCCCTCCCCCAATTGTATTCCCCTTTCCTTAATTTGGTTCTACAAGCTCTCACTCCCAATTTAAAGCTTAATTTGTTTAACCCACTATCCAGATTGAATTGTACAAATCTTACCACCGTCCCACATCATTAACAGAAAAAGAAAAAGATTTTCCCCAAGATCCACCCCAGTTCCTTCCACAAATTCCCTTTTTTTTAAACACGTCCGATCAAAGTAAAATAACATGCGTAAGTTATGTCAAGAAATAGAAAATAAGAGATATAGAAAAATTCAAAAATGGTTACACAGCCTTTGGATTTCAAATCTCCCCCTTCCCCGGTTTGAATTCCCCATGTCCATCAGTCTATACATTATCAGCTTGGAAGTCTCATTTCATGACCAGATTTCTCCCCAGTTCCATCTTGCCGGTTTCTTTTAGTTTATTAATTTAAATAATATTTGACTTCAAATGTCCAATCTAACAAAGGCCTTTAATTTCCTTGATCTTTACCACTCCTCCCGTTGTTCTTTCCGTGTCGTAATCAGTCCTTTATTCTTCTTATTCCTCACTTTCTCAGGTTTCTTGTCCTGTTCAGCTGCTAAAACTTTCTAATTCAGAAATCTAGTGTCTCTGCAGAGGTTTGTTATTCAGGAACAAAAACTTACGTCCAGTCCCTTTCTTTCTTCAATAAAAATTCCATTGTCTTCCTCTGTAGACAAAATACTCTTTCAGTTTTGCAGCTTTCCCAGAAGATAACAAATCCTGTGCGAATCCCAGGGTATTTTTCCACTTACGACCGTTCTTGTAGTATCCCGAAACCCCTCTAGGGGGATTGTAATAACTTTGTATCCTCTAATCCAAAAGTCAAATTGTTGCTTATTTTCCAACAGTTTGTATCCATATTATAGCAAATTGTAACAAAATTAACCAGCAAGGTCCTCATAACAAAGTCCTCTTTATATTCTCCAGCTTTGACAGCCACTTTGACAGCTGTCAAAGTCTCCGTCTCTCTTCACCAGGCTCCACGAATCGCCCGGTTCCCAGGGGGTTGCATTTTTCTTCTCACCCTCCACTCTTCTCCTCCAGCACATTTCTTATAATTTCCCATCGTGAAATTAATGATTTTTATCAGAAACATACTTCCCTTTGGACCTTGGTTACCCAGTCCTTGTTTTGGAATGCTTACAATAGGGGGATTGACTTCCTTTGAAATCGCCCCCGCTCGTGCCAAATCCAAAATTTTGAACCCGGTTTCCCAATTTACTCACGGGTTGTTGTTAATAGTCCAAATTTTCAATAGAAGAAGTCAGCGCTCTCCGTCGAATGGCATGCGGCTGCGCTCGGCAGGGAAAGCAGTGGACTCAAGCACCACGCCACTCCCCGGCACTCCGATCCGAAGCCTTTAAAAAGGCTCCTTCACGAGTCGGGAGGGCGCTAATGGTGCAAGCCGAGTCACCCATGTCCACGGACTCCGTGCCCGTGGTTTTTAAGGGTCCCCGCGTCGCCGGCGCGGTAGGACCCAGCCCCTGCCGAGCAGACTCCCTCCGGAGCTCGGAGGGAGTCCGCCATTCGGCGATGGCGCTAACCCGGAAGTGCCAACAAATTGTATTTTGGCATCTGCCATGTTAATGGATATGATATGCAAATCACATCAACCACACGAAACTAGAATGTGCAAATCAGCCATGACCATCAGCTTGCCATGGATAACTCAAAAGTTACAAGGTATCTCTTTTGTAGATATCTTAACACCTTCAATTGTCTTCAGGAACCTATGTGTGTCCTGTTTTAGACGAGTTCACACTCATGTCAATCAAACAAAATGTTGTTCTTATTTGCTGTTCATTTCAGCAATCAAATGTTAATGAAAGCAAGTAGGGAAGAGACGAAATTCAAGGCATCATATTAACTTCAGGCTTTGTTAATGGTAAAAAGTGAAATAGCAAAATTAATTGGCAATGGAAACAACATTTTCTAGCTTCATATGAGGCACGCTTAGAAACAAGGCACATAAAAAAGATATCTCATTTAATTTGAGGAACAAATAGAAGGTTACTCTTTAAAATATCCATTACCTCAATAAAAATGAAATTATTTCAAAACAATCTCTTTTGATGGCACAATCCTGAGAAAGACTCATTGTATTAGAATTAGTACTATTAGAGATGGAAAAAATGAGAAGTAAGAATTCATCATACAAGGACTGGATGAGGTGCAATGGGTTTATAAAATGCCTCGTCAGAATTTGTAAAACAGGAGACTTCAGTCACTATTTCAGTGTGGTGGTATGCAAGCACTTCACTTTGACTCAGAATAGATAAACATTATGCATACATTTTACTACTTTTCCAAAATTGGATATCATTGATGCAGTAAGATGTGACATTTGCCATCCAATAGAGCTATGATATGTACATCCTCCAGTTGAAGAAGATCCTCCAAGCACAGTGATATGGGACTTTCATAGCTCTCATGCACAAAATGATATATTTTCAGAACTTAACTGTCATTCCTTCAGACAATAAATTCATGAAAGAAACTGATGTTGAATCAACCAACCACAAGAACATATATCAAAATGGTTTTCTGGGCAAAACTCATACTTATGTTCACATAGCCAAAATAAAGTGTACGCTATTTTTTTTTTTAATCATTGGGTTGTATCCAATACTTAGTCCCCCTCAAAGTAGATAATAATGGATATAACTAACTTGGATTCATTAATTGCAGTGGGCCTACTCTAAGTAAATATTTGGATACAATCAACTGATAAATGTTTATGCATTTTAATATCCAGATTATATATCTTAATTTCACAAAAGGAACAAAGTACTACCAGATGATTATGTGCTGACTGTCATCTCTCAGGCAAATATATTCCATCAATTTCTGAATATATTCCATCAGTAGCTGAAAACAAACCATGACTTGTTTGTTCATCTGTGAGGTGACTCATTTGTTGAGCAAACCACAGTTAAAGCAAACCATTGCTTCGTATTACATATTAACATAGGTAAGTATGTCTAATATTTTCCACTTTTGATTAAAAGTTATTTCCATTTCAGTCAATCAAGATCCAAAATACTGTAACACTGTGGCAACTGAATATTGGGAGGGAATCCTAGCAGCCATTGGATTTTGCAGATCTGTCTATGGCAAAGAGGGAAAAACCTGCTATTAAAAGCTTTCTATTGTCAACAGTAGCAGCAGTAGCTTTTTTGTGATTGATATTGATATCCCGCCTTTTTCCTTGATGGGACTCAAGGGTTTGTAGATAAATGTAGAAAAAGCAATAATTAAAAAACAAACTGACATTAATAGAATTAAAACTATATACACATATAAAATCTGTTTAAATTACATATACATAATTACAATAAAAACAGCATGGCACCAGCCCTTTCATTAAAAGCAGTCAATTCCCAAAAGCCTGTTGGAACAGGAAGATTCGGGATCTTGCTGTCACAGAAAAATAGTATTTCAGTAAGACTGCACTGCTGCAAGTCTGATCTCATAGTTTACCTATATATATGCTCCTCCTCCATGTTTTCCCTCCTTATCATACCACAATGTGAAGATTGGTTAGGCTGTGAGATTTAGATTTAATTTTTTTTCATTGTACTCTTCCCATCTTCTCCACTAATCTCTAGTATTCATATAGCACTGTTAACTCAGGATTCTACATTTTCCCTCTGTCTGACACCATCAGTAAATGTCAGGTGCTGTTATAAACTAAGAATACAGTGGTGCCTCGCAAGACGAAATTAATTCGTTCCGCGAGTTTTTTTGTCTAGCGAATTTTTCATCTTGCGAAGCACGGTGTCGGAAAAGTTTTGGAAAAGCTTCAAAAATCACCAAAAACCTCAAAAAAGGCTACCACACCGCGTTCTATGAGTTGCTCCTCGAAGTCAAGTCGCAACTGTATTAACGGTGTTAAGAAAAAGGAAACAAACTTGCAAGACGTTTTCGTCTTGCAAAGCAAGCCCATAGGGAAATTCGTCTTGCGAAGCAGCTCAAAAACTGCAAAACCCTTTCTTCTAGCGAGTTTTTCGTCTTGCGAGGCATTCGTCTTGTGGGGCACCACTGTAGTTTAGAGCCCCAGGTGGGATAGAAAAGCAGTTGTTCCAATCATATGGGCATTGGGCCAAGTATATTGAAAGCCAGCTAGACTAAGAAACAGACTGTAGTAGAGAGTGGAAAGCAGAACTGATGGGAAACCCAGAAAGGTAGAACTCAGAAAGCACAAAAGACTATCTAAAATCGGAAACAGAAATGCTGATGATGACTTGAGACACTCGGAGGAGCAGAAAGTGTTTAGAATTAAACATCTTGCATAATTTCCACTCCTGTCCTCATTTACGCTAGAGTTCTCCCCCACCTCCCAATCAAGTAACCCTGCTGATGTCAAATGGAGTTATTTCTGAATGGCATAACTGGGACCACTGCATCATCTATAATGATAGTACGCAGATTCAGTAGTTATTTGAACACAAGCTTTCAGAATAAGCAATCCAAGTTAAATTAATAAACTGCAGCAAGGTCAAACAAGAGGAAATGCAGAGGCGGCAGCAGCAAATTCCTTGGAGGTTGGGGGAAATTAAAACAAGTTGCTAACATCAGAAGGGTTCTGCGATAAAACAAGTAATAGGACAACAAGATGTCATCCTTTTAAGCAAAGCTGTTTTTGTGTTTTCTGATGCTCAGTCTGTTCTTTCTTATCAGGTTTTGAGTTACATAATCAGGCCATGCCAGATTTCTCTAAAAATGACTCATTTCAGTGTTATATTTTATTAGTGCCAAAGAGAATTATAAAACTTGCTTCTCTTTAATCATAACCCGCTCATCCCTGCCTATATATATATATATATATACACACACATATTTATGTGTGTAAGGCAAAACATTTCAGAGTATGCCAATGTTTTATTATGCTGGGGGAGGGGGTCAGTTGAAAGAACAGGTGACAGTGACAGTGACAGTGACAGTATCTTGGAAGCTTTAGAAAGGATGGTGGCTATTATGCCTGCTTGATTAATGGCAGCTCAGCTTCCACTGCCATCTTACTCCCCTGCTAAAATTTGTGCCATGCTGATTATTCTCTTGTCCAAAAGGCAGTGATGACAGGGAAGTCTAGATATTAATTTTATTCTATTAAGCACTGCTTTATCAAGGAGGAGATCAGAACTTTCCTATTCTTCATCAGCATCTTGCAGCCAAGTAGTAATGAGTCACTGGCAACTCATTGTATCATGAAAATACGTAAGCTTAATTTAGCAGACTCCAACAAGCACATTACATGGTTCTTTCAGACTTCTATTCCAGCAAGGTGGATCCTCTAAATGTTTTCAAAAACTGCATCATTTGTTACTCATTTTTTCATGCTTTTTTAAAAGGATGAAACTGCTGAAATGTCATAAATCTTAAAGTGGCTGAGTTTTAACAGACAGCCATTGACTCAAACTCAGGGTTGTTCACAGAATGAGCAATGCAGGGACTCGGTGGTTGGTTACAAAATGGCTTGTAGGAGCCATGCCAGAAATTAAGATCTACAACCTGAACAGCAGTATACATCAGGAAGGTGGGAGAATCAATAGCCTTAGATTTTCATCTAGCAAAAGGAAGTGCGAGAAATAACATTAGGTTTGATGCAGTTTACAGAGTTAATAGAAAAGGAAAGGGGAGAAATCCATAGCATGCTCTGATAAAGAATAAGCATTCCTCACTTTTCTGAGAAATTGTAAACTATCAATAATATACTACATTAAGGAGGAAAAATATTACAGCATGGGGAAATATCCAAAAAAATTTAAGTACATGAGTCATTCCATATCAAGCGATCCAATTTTTTTTTACCTCATGTCATCCAAATTTCTTAATATTTTGTACACTTGTTGAATGATCAAAACTAAGTTTTAATCTAAAATTCTAAGTTTATGCTTTTAAGTTTTCTACGGAGTCTGGCTAGGCCAAAATTGTAATTTTTTTTTGAAATTTCAAACCTCCATAACTCAGAAATGGGATGAGATAAAAGAATAGAATCTTTTGTTATATTATTTTCTGCCTTATGTTTGTTGCTGTCATTTTGTTTAGTGGGCTTCTGTTATGGTCCCTCCTTGAGACAATGAACAACCATCCACGTTTGCCTTCTTGCCCACGTAAGTTTTAAACAAGGCATCTCCCATGACCCCAAACATCAGAAAATACTGCAGACCACACAAGCTTTGCCTGTACAGTTGCTAGCAGTTTTCAGGATGCTTGACAGCCAGAAAGGCAGGATACAGGTAGTGATAAAGGCACTCTGTTACTCATACACCTGCCAGAAAAGACACATGTCTGCAGTACATATATAGGTCCTATATGAAAAAGTATCAGTGTTGAGAATTCATCTTGTGAGGGAGGGGCAGTTCACAGACAAAAAGGATACATACTATGCTATCCTCCTTAGAAATCAGCTATCCTCCACTAGGGGTGGGTGATATATTGATATTTTGTCTCCTACTATAGTATGAACTCTAGACCTTGATAAAAGTTTCAATTTTTTTTCACCCTTTAACCTATCAAGAATGCACTGCCAAGCTGGCCTTGCAGACCCAGCAGGCAGGAAGCAGCACTTTACTGCAAAGTAAATGGCTGTTTCTTGCCTGCTGATCTTGCCAGGGCATAAGGTCCTGGTCCCTCTCAGCAGGTGTTGCAGAGTAAAGGGCTTTACTTTGCAGTAAAAGATGCTTTCTGCTTGCACAATGTGCAAGGCGCAAGCCCCGTGCCTCTGGCTAGAGACAGACCCAGCATAACAATAAGCTTCCCTTATTCCGATCAGCAAACAATAAGATCTACTTGGCTTTGCTCTTGCTTTTTTATGGAGGTTTAACTAGAGTCCCAGCTTCCCTGCTGAGGGAAGGAGATTCCGATGAGCAAACAGTCCCACCCCCCATAAGATCCACATGGCTTAAAGGCATGTGCCTCTTGCTAGGCAGGATAGAGACCCAGCACGATATCAGGCTAAGCATGATATCAGGGTCTCTACTAGCAAGAGACATGGTGTCTGCCTTAAAGCCCTGTGGATCTTATCGGCAGAAAAAGAAACTTTGTTTGCTTGTTGGAATCTTTGTTCCTCAGCAGCACTATGGGATAGAGATTCTGATCAGTAAACAAAGTTTCTTTGTGATAAGATCATTGTGGCTTGGCTCCTGCATCTGTTCAGGCAAGGAAGCAACAATTTACTTTTGCAGTAAAGGCTTTATGCGTTTGGAAACTAACTGCAGACGATGCTGATGACTGGGCTGCTGTCAGTTCAAATTTTAATTTCTAGTTTGAGATATATTTGATGTATTTTAAGTATTGTTTTTAACGTTTGTTTTTATTATTTTTTATTCTATGACATGTTTTTAAATGTTGTAAGCCACTTTGAATCCCGACTTGGCAGGATATAAATATATTACATAATAAATAAATAAAATAATATGAGAGGCAGTGGGGTGGAGTCCGTGTACATTATTTTGAGTTTGTTGGAGGATAAACACTGTAAGGATTTAGTAAGTAACACATAATTTGACATCTCTTATTGGTGTGGCTCAATATTAAGAACACATATTTTTAAATGTGTTCTTTTTAAAGCACAAAATATATAAGAAACATACCTACGCTAAACTATAGAGTAGTAGTAAGCAGAGCTACATACATGCAGAGTCTTAAGATGAGTCAACAGTGTGATGCAGCAGCAAAAAAAGCGAATACTATTCTAGGCTGAATCAACTGAAGTATAGTGTCCAGCTCAAGGGCAGTCATAGTCCCACTCTATTCTGCCTTGGTCAGACAACACCTGGAGTCCTGTATCCAAATCTAGGCACCACAATTTAAGAAGGATATTAACAAGCTGGAACATGCGCAGAGGAGGGCAACCAAGATGATCAAGGGTCTGGAAACCCAGCCTTATGAGGAATAGTTGAGGGAGCTGGGTATGTTTAGCCTGGAAAACAGAAGACTGAGAGGAGATAGGGTAGCTACCTTCAAATATCTGAAGGGGTGTCACGTGGAAGATGGAGGCAGCATGTTTTCTCCTGCTCTGGAGGGGGCAGAACCAGAATGAATGGCTTCAAGTGACAAGAAAGGAGATTCTGACTAAACAACAGGAAGAAATTTCTGACAGTAAGAGCTGTTTGACAGTGAAAAAGACTCCCTTGGTAGGTGGTACACTCTCCTTCTTTGGAGGTTTTTAAGCAGAGGTTGGATGGCCATCTGTAACCTAATTTTCAGGCACCATATGGCACCTAGATTGCTTACCTGACTTTCTAACACTGATCTACACCAGTTCCCAATTTGCTACAGGGCCAAGTTCAATGTGTTACTATGGGTATATAAAGCCCTTAACAGAATAGTTATATATTCTCCAGAAATCTTTAATGGTTTAGTTAAGCATGCTATCACTGAGTAAATTTTCATTTAAATATACGCATCAAATTTAGATCCCCCCCAGTACTTCCCTAGATTATTATAAACTCCAGCCTTCTTTGTGATATATTGAGGCATTGCAATGTTTAGCTGGCGATATATTGTGATATTGAAAACCAGATATCGCCCAGCCCTATCCTCCACCCTATTGTGCATATATATATTGTGTTTATTCTGTGGGGCTGCTAAAGTCATTATTACCCACAGACTGTGGTGTTGGTGATGTTGCAAGATGCTTTCTTGGGAACCCAGTTGGAGAGATTACTTTTTGCAGTAGGAGTTTTACCAACAAGCACAAAAGAGCTGTCTTACAAAGATGAGAATTAGCAATGTCTGGCAGGCCCAATAAGCCCCAGAGACGCTCCCCAGGCTACAAGTTTATTAAGAGAAAGAGGTACATATGGGAAATACCCACCCAACCATAATAGATTTATGTACAGTATATGTCTTATGAGGAACGGCTAAGAGAGCTGGGCATGTTTAGCCTGGAGAAGAGGAGGTTAAGGGGTGATATGATAGCCATGTTCAAATATATAAAAGGATGTCACATAGAGGAGGGAGAAAGGTTGTTTTCTGCTGCTCCAGAGAAGCGGACACGGAGCAATGGATCCAAACTACAAGAAAGAAGATTCCACCTAAACATTAGGAAGAACTTCCTGACAGTAAGAGCTGTTTGACATTGGAATTTGCTGCCAAGGAGTGTGGTGGAGTCTCCTTCTTTGGAGGTCTTTAAGCAGAGGCTTGACAACCATATGTCAGGAGTGCTCTGATGGTGTTTCCTGCTTGGCAGGGGGTTGGACTCGATGGCCCTTGTGGTCTCTTCCAACTCTATGATTCTATGATTCTATGTCTATTTGTGGGACAGTTTAATGCAGGTTAAGGATCAGGGAACTGAACACAAAATTGGGATGGTGGTGACAGAGAATAAGAATGGAAATGAACTAAGGGAAAATAAGATCATTAAATACTGGCAATACTTCATTAGCTCAACTTTATTAGTTCTGCATAGTTTAACAGGCATTTTATTTGCTATAGTAAAATAAATGGAGTTTCTTTTTATTAAGAAAAGAAACTTCCTGCTTTTATGGCAATAAAGGAATAAACATATTTCTTGTTATTATAATCCTCTTGTGAAAAAAAAGACTCACTGAGGCACAAGCAATTAGAATCCTACAGAGATTAGGAAAATCTATTATAGTCCTTCCCATTAGCATATACTCCATCAATATAGGCACCCCATGCTTTTAGCTGAAATCATAAAATTTCCAACATAAAAGAATCTTTATGTTGCAAACAGTGTTTTCTTCAAGACAAGTCATTTTTGCTGGCTAATTTAAGGCATTTCTCAAGGTTTACTTTTGTATGTATACAGTGGTACCTCGCAAGATGAATGCCTCGCAAGACAAAAAACTCGCTAGATGAAAGGGTTTTTTGTTTTTTGAGCTGCTTCGCAAGACGATTTTCCCTATGGGCTTGCTTCGCAAGACGGAAACGTCTTGCAAGTTTGTTTCCTTTTTCTTAACACCGTTAATACAGTTGCGACTTGACTTCGAGGAGCAACTCATAGAACACGGTGTGGTAGCCTTTTTTGAGGTTTTTAAAGACTTTGGTGATTTTTGAAGCTTTTCCAAAACTTTCCCGACACCGTGCTTCGCAAGACGAAAAAAATCGCAAGACGACAAAACTCATGGAACGAATTAATTTCGTCTTGCGAGGCACCACTGTATATGGGATGTTAGGGGAGGAGCAGTATGTCCACCATTGGACCCTACCCTGCACTCAGCTCTCAACTGTGGCTCCTAGAGGCTATCAGCATGAAACAGCAGCCACGCCCCAGGAAATGGCTTCAACTGCCTGGCTAAACCAGGTGAGAGTAGCAGTTGGGTCTCAAACCCTCAGTGAGTTAAGGATTTCCCCTGCATGCAAAGACAGGTTTCAGAACACTGAGCAGACAAGTGGGCCTAACAATCAAGAAGGAGGTTGCAGCATGTGCTGTAGAGGGAAATGAGGAGTGGATGGGTTAATCTGGGAAGAAGGAGTCTAGGAGAAGGAAAACTCTGATCCTAAGCCTCTGTTGCCTTGCAGCTATACTCATTTGTGAGAAAGACTTCGGGAGTAAACTCCAAGGAAAAATCTGAACCCATTGCCTTAGAAAAGACTAAGTAGTAAATCCTACACAAATCCAGAGAGGAGTCCCTAAGATAGTTGGATAGGATCTTGTATGTCTCCTTCCGGCAACTCCTGCAGTCAAGCTGGTGCCAAATGTATTGCTTTCCTTTCCTTTGGATCACATCAGTGAGGCCTTGAGGAGGGTTTGTCATCCAGGACCTCCATGCACACTGCCAAGGCTTGTGTCCCATAAAGGTCAATTCAGTGCTGCTAATGCAGCAAAAACATGAAGGAGGCAGCAGTTAAGAGTTACCGGTTTCTGCAGCCACAGCAGGTGCTGTGATTCTCCAGTGGTTTGATTTCACCCCTGGAGATGTACTCCACTGTCTCCTGAAATAGACGGTTCCCAACAACAACTTTCTTTAAAAATTCCCTTCAAATCGATGACCAAGTATATTTTTCTTCTGATCAACTGAGGAAAGTCAACTCAGTATAAGTCATAGGGACATCCAACACCAATCTATTTCATAAATCTGCATGAAATGAAAGCAATTTATAATAGCAATTTATTTAAATGCTCTGCTAAATCTTTCTTGATATACTGCATCATGGCAATGCCCAGCTAACAATGAGTATTTAATGATTTCTGATTATGTGGTGATGTGCTTCCATAATTAATTTTCATCTAGAAGACTTCAATTGCTACAGCAGAACATTAACTTTTCGCTGGAAGACTTATACGAGTCATAAAAATGAGAAGTAGTGGCAACACCATATAGTTCAGTGCAATCTTACCCATGTTTACTCAGACGTAAACTATGTACAGCAGTGCTTCTTCTCAGATAAAGTTGAATGTAGTTAATAGCTACATTTATATTCTGCTAGTTGGTCGAAGGCAGAATATACAATGAATAAAATAAATAATGAGTAAACCTACTGAAGAGATTCCAAAGAACTTTACTTATTTCACGATCTAATCTACTAATCTTCAAAGATTAGCAAAAACATAATCAAACATGAATCACAATACTTGCCACACCACTAGATCACAATGTGACACTACCAAGAAAGGAATTGCCAGTGCAACTCCTTGCAAGTGGGTTACGTTAAATTTGTGTTCCGTTCTTAACATCCTCCTGGCTTGGACATTATCATCTGATCTCCCAGATCTAATTCAAAGGGTGGTGGTGTTTTTCCAAAGACCTCTGCTGTTGTTGTTTAGTCGTTTAGTTGTGTCCGACTCTTTGTGACCCCATGGACCAGAGCACGCCAGGCACTCCTGTCTTCCACTGCCTCCCGCAGTTTGGTCAGACTCATGTTTGTAGCTTCAAGAACACCGTCCAACCATCTCGTCCTCTGTCGTCCCCTTCTCCTTGTGCCCCTTCTCCTTGTGCCCTCAATCTTTCCAGGGAGTCTTCTCTTCTCATGAGGTGGCCAAAGTATTGGAGCCTCAGCTTCAGGATCTGTCCTTCCAGTGAGCACTCAGGGCTGATTTCCTGAAGAATGGATACGTTTGATCTTCTTGCAGTCCATGGGACTCTCAAGAGTCTCCTCCAGCACCATAATTCAAAAGCATCAATTCTTCGGCGATCAGCCTTCTTTATGGTCCAGCTCTCACTTCCATACATCACTACTGGGAAAACCATGGCTTTAACTATACGGACCTTTGTTGGCAAGGTGATGTCTCTGCTTTTTAAGATACTGTCTAAGTTTGCCATCGCCTTTCTCCCAAGGAGCAGGCGTCTTTTAATTTCATGACTGCTGTCACCATCTGCAGTAATCATGGAGCCCAAGAAAGTAAAATCTCTCACTACCTCCATTTCTTCCCCTTCTATTTGCCAGGAGGTGATGGGACCAGTGGCCATGAGCTTCGTTTTTTTGATGTTGAGCTTCAGACCATATTTTGCGCTCTCCTCTTTCACCCTCATTAAAAGGTTCTTTAATTCCTCCTCACTTTCTGCCATCAAGGTTGTGTCATTTGCATATCTGAGGTTGTTGATATTTCTTCCGGCGATCTTAATTCCAGCTTGGGATTCATCCAGCCCAGCCTTTCGCATGATGAATTCTGCATATAAGTTAAATAAGCAGGGAGACAATTCCACCCCTTCCCTGCATATGATTCTAGGCTCTTATCTCGCCATCAAGCCTGGCCTTCCTCATGGGCCCCAGGAAAAAGAGCCAGAGCTCAGTGGTGGAATACATGCTTTGCAAACAAAACAGTCCCAGGTTCCCACCACCACCACCTGCCACTGAAGCCCAAGAGAGCCATTGCTGGTCAATGTCAAGAATACTGGGCTAGATAGACCAATGGTCTGACTCTGTATAAGGTAGCTTTCTATGTATGATCACAAAGATAGTCAAACGATAAGTTTTTTAAAATGCAAATAGGGCTGATAATACTGGGCATCGTTCCTACTTTTCCTGGTCTGATCATACTCAAACTTTGTCTAATGCACCCAAAATTTACCTCAGCATATCATTCTGCTGGGTCTGCCTAAGTAATGCCCTTCTTATACCCCTATTCTGACCTCATGAAAGAGAGACAGTTCCCTAAGATCAGGCACCCTTACCAAAAAGAAGAGACGACTTATTTCACGACAAAAAACCCCCACCTCATTTCAGGCAATGGCAGCATCCAGAGCAATATTGCTTCCAATAGTCTTAAATCAGAGTGCCAGATATCCTGTGCATATAATCAAACAAATATTTTTAAATAACTTGACTGCTCTACTTTATGGTTTAGATGCCTGTATAATAAAAACTATGAACCTTTAGTATAATTAAAATAGATTCTATGCAGAGAGACTTTGCAATTCACCACATTTGCTGTAAAGAGAAAATAAAACAAAAGCTTTGGTTGAAAGGCATAATAATTAACTTTCCTTTTCATTTCTAATTACTACTAGCAGTGAAGAGACCACAGAGAAGGCAAGCTTTTTATTCAATTCAAAGACCACCTGCATAAGATCCTTTAAAGGTCTGCCTACATCAGGGAAATTGGTCCCAAAAGTCTATCATGAAAAAATGAGGGCATTTTCTAGTTTGTGGCTCAAGGCTTTTCTCAAAAAGAAGACAATTATTTCAATGCTTTTTACAGATGATTCTCTACCACTATTTCTCAAGAAATCAATTGAGAGCTAAAGGTTTCAGGAGCAAATTCTGTACACCAGTGCAATACTGTAGAAAAGTGGCATAAATCTATAGCTATCCTCATCCATTTGTGTTCTAATTCAAGCCCTAAATGGCTCTGAAAATATATTATTTCTCACTATGCTCTCTAGTGAAATTGCTTTCAAGCAATTCAAACTTCCTTCAAAAAATCCTCTGCAATTTGCTACCTACAGGCTTTTACTCTTCCCACGGGCAGAGCTCACCACAGATATTTTGGTGCCTGGCACCTTCAATATACATATTCACTCAGACTTTTCACCAAACATTCACTCACTCATTTGTAATATACCTCCTTCATACAAAATGATTCACCTCCCTATTGTAATTTTATGCAACAGGAAATGTGTAGAACACTTGCAAAATGTGTTGCACAAAAACCATCCTCCATTTGTATTTCTCCCCCTGCTTCTGCTCCCAATGTTCTGAGCTCCCTCATTTTCTTATTTGGTTATTGAGCTGTACATGTCTGCAACGACTCCATCTGTGCTAGATGTTTAGCCTGGTGAAAGTGTACGAATCACAATGCAAGTAGAATTGCACGGTACTTTAGAGGCCAGACATCTCGTCATTTCAGGTTTCTACTGCCAATGCATACCAAGTAGAAATGTTTGAACAGCAGGCACTGTGTGACAACAAGATGGCAGAAGAGCACATGGCAAGCAATTGTGTTATTTTTCAGATCCTAATTTCTGTAGATATATTCTATATGAGGGATGAGGAACCTGTGGCCCTGCCTACAAATCCCATAGTCCTTGATCATGGACCACTGTGGCTGGAGCCACATCAAGAGGGTCACAGGCGCCCTGTGCCACTGGCCTTCAACTAGTTGGTCAGGACTCTTACCAAGTTGCAGCCTGACATAAGGTGCTTTGCTCCAGTAGCAATATCACTGTTAAAAACTACAGTAAAAAATTAAGAAGTAGGTCCCAGGATGCAGGTGTACTCCAGGTCTGAAAAAGTTGAAGACAACTATTCTAATACTTTGGCCACCTCATGAGAAGAGAAGACTCCCTGGAAAAGACCCTGATGTCGGAAAAGATTGAGGGCACAAGGAGAAGGGGACGACAGAGGACGAGATGGTTGGATAGTGTTCTCGAAGCTACCAGCTTGAGTTTGACCAAACTGCGGGAGGCAGTGGAAGACAGGAGTGCCTGGCGTGCTCTGGTCCATGGGGTCACGAAGAGTCGGACACGACTAAACGACTAAACAACAACATTCTATACTAACTATGGGCAGTCTGTACCTCACCTACTCAATTCAGTAGCAAGGCTCCTACTTGACAATAGTGGAATTGCTAGCAGCCACACTACAGTGGTACCTCAGGTTACATACGCTTCAGGTTACAGACGCTTCAGGTTACAGACTCCACTAACCCAGAAATAGTACCTCGGGTTAAGAACTTTGCTTCAGGAAGAGAACAGAAATTGTGCTCCAGCGGCGCAGCAGCAGCAGGAGGCCCCATTAGCTAAAGTGGTGCTTCAGGTTAAGAACAGTTTCAGGTTAAGAACAGACTTCCAGAACGCATTAAGTTCTTAACCCGAGGTACCACTGTATTGCAAAATGGGAAATTATCAGAAGGTCTGCACCCCATCTACAGGGTGAGTCCTTTAAAAGAGGCCACGTGGATACAGAGTACACATGTTCCACGGGGCCTCTTTTAAAAGACTCACCCTATATAAATGTTCTAACATCATATTCTGAGACACAGAAAATATATGTTCTATTTATAAATGTTTTGAGTTACCTTTTATAAAACAAGTTTTTCTTGCTAACTTGTCTGATTAAAACAGTAGTTTTAAATGAATCTTTCCTACTTTTAAATGCATGCACTTCCACATTGGGCAACACAAGGATAATTACCCGAAAGCAGGGACCAGGATGGCATTTTAGACTACTTAAATTGTAGTGCTATTTTTAGAATTTATTTATTTTCCTCATATTATTCATTGATGATAAGAAATCAATCTAGTGAAAGAAGGGACAGCTGTTCTCATGTAGCATTGCTACTGGGGGTGTGAACTACTTTCTTCTAGATCAGGGTTTCCCAAACTTGGGTCTCTAGTTGTTTTTAGACTACAAATCCCATCATGGACCAGCCAGTAGATGGTAATGACTCCCTTGCTATTTTTACATGTGTGAATCAGCCTAGAATCACACAGCTGGATGGGTCAAGAGATGGTTTCCATTCCAACTTCCGTAAGGCAAGGCCATCCATCTACCAGCCTGCCAATTGGTCAACTTTAGTCAAAAACACAGTGCATCACAGGCAGACAGTAGGTGAACTGTGGAAATGAACCCATAGGCTAGCTCTATAAAACCACTCTGTTTAGCAAACTGTAGTAGCTTTAAGAGCTGCAAACTTACAAACCCAATACTCTGCAGAAAAGTGATCAATGAAATAAACCAAAACAAGATAGAAATCTGATACAGATTTTCCCCATGATCACAATAATCAACACCCAGACCTAGCTATGTAAAGAGCTTGTGCCCCTTTAAATGAAAGGCACACAATACTCCTTATCTTTAAGTTCTGGGTTTTTTCAGTTGCTATAACAACATGCAAAAAGCCTTTTATTGCCAAGGACAGCTCCAGCTATTTTTAAATGCAACAGCTGGATTTATGTGCCTGAATTTCACTCTTAAGACAACAAAATGTGGTTTATTTTTCTTCTCTCAGTATTACAACAGAAATGTCAGTGGCTTATGCTGGAGTAAGATAAATCACATCTATGTCCTGTACCAAAATGTAGGACTGCAACCTGCAAGATGAGTATCTTGCACCCTTGCTTTATATATCTAGAGCACCAAAATTTTGTTTAAAATATTTATATACCACATTTCTTCCTGGCCACAGATCTCTAAAGTGATTGACAAGAGGATAAAATCAAGACAAAAAGAATAAGATTTAAATACAAATTAAAGCAGTGGTGACCAATTATTGTTCCCTAAGAGTCTTTTTGTAAACCCTCCACATCATCCTTAAAAAATATTGCTGCTATGTAAAGGTTCTGCAAAAGTCATGAAGAGAACAGCAGCCTAACCAAGAAGTGTGCTATTTAGCCTCTAGGACCAGGTAAGCAGTGACAGTACAGGGCAGGGCTTTTACTCGTCCTAGTAGTTGGAAACCCTGTAGCTCCTAGTTCTTTACAGTGGAATCAGGTAACTGATGAAGGCAGCTAGGTACAGTGGTACCTTGGTTTGCATACATTTTGGATTACAAACACGTCAAACCCAGAAGTCCATGTCCCGGTTTGCAACCTTTTTTTGGATTACAACCCTTTTTTTAAAAATTACAAACAATATATATATATATATTTTGGAGGCCCCATTGGCAAAAGTGCGCCTTGAGTTACAACCTGTTTTGGTTTACAAATGGATCTCCGGAACGGATTATGGTTGTAAACCAAGGTACCAGGTTGTAAACCAGGAAGATTTAATAATACAAAAGGTCACCTAGATTTTAAAATGTAAACTTCTGTTTCAATTCAATACACAAAGTTAAGTTGGTGACCATAATATAAATAAGCTTCACAGGTAGAGCTAACTTCATATCTCTTAGCAACTTGGTTTATATTTAAAACATTTCCTATTAATGTTCTGGTCTCACTGCAAAATGGTCTCACTGCAAAAGCACAATCACTCCTAAGTGTGAAGTCCAAGTGACATCCTGGTTTACTAGAGCTCCAGATGACTAGACAAGCAGGACTTGAGCTCAAAATCATGGCAACTATGTGGTGGTGATGTCAGCATAGTGTACTTTGCTACCATTGCATCTTCAGGTATTTGTTCAGTAGCTTTTCCAAATGATGGGTGGGCTGCTGAATTCTGGTCTGAAGGTGGAAATATCAAACTCTTAGAGACCTGCTGTGACAAATTAGCAAGGCACTTTGAGGGTAAAATTGCTTGCATTCATACTGAACTGGATGCCACTGTTAATACAACTCTAGAGGTTTCCAGAGCATTAGCTAGTAATGTTGTTTGGGATCACTTTCAGATTTTTGTGGCCTGGGGGTTCAAACAAGACACTTGAACAGATTTGCCCAACTATGTGTGCTCTTTGTCCTTTACCATCAGGGCTTATAAAAGCTAGGCAGATGGGATTGACTGGGTGGGTCCAGTGATTGGCTAATGACTCTATATGGAAGGGGGTAGTTGTAGCGTCCTTAAAGAAAATGATGGGGCAGACTCTGCTCAACAGACCCTCCCTGGACCCACAGGTTTGTGGCAACTACCATCCAATTATGAATTTCCCCCCTCTTGTGCAGGATATTGGAGGGGGTGGTGGTAGTTCAACTTGTAACATGCTTGGAGAATTGTGATTAGACCCATTTCAGTCTGGTTTTAACACTGAAGTAGGTCACCCTGATGGGATGTGGGTGGCACTGTGTTCTAAACCACAGAGCCTAGGGCTTGCCGATTGGAAGGTTGGCGATTCGAATCCCCGCGATGGGGTGAGCTCCCGTTGCTCGGTCCCAGCTCCTGCCAACCTAGCAGTTCAAAAGCATGTCAAGTGCAAGTAGATAAATAGGTACCCCTCTGGTGGAAAGGTAAACGGTGTTTCTGTGCGCTGCTCTGGTTTGCAAGAAGCAGCTTAGCCATGCTGGCCACATGACCTGGAAGCTGTCTGCGGACAAACGCTGGCTCCCTCAGCCTATAGAGCGAGATGAGCACACAACCCCAGAGTCGTCTGCGACTGGACCCAAAGGTCAGGGGTACCTTTACCTTTACCTGATAGATGGCATATATCAGGAGAGGGACAGAGAAGGCAATACTGTTGCATATTCTTGGGCCTCTCAGCAGCTTTTAATACCATTGGCCACAGTACCCTCCAGGATCAGTTTGGTAGGTTGGAAAATGGACACAAAGCATCACAGTGGTTCTTCTCCTACCTGCAGGGTTGTTTCTATGAATAAAATCATAGAATTGTAGAGATGTAAGGGACCCTAAGGATCATCTAGTCCAACCCCTGAAATGCAGGAATACGCACTGCCCCATATGGCGACCAAACATGCAACCTTGGCATTATCAGCACCATGCTCTAACCAACGGAGGGGCTTCTGCATGACTTCCAGCACATGTGTCAGAGAGGTTCAATACTGAACCACAAGATTCAATATTGTCCCCTTCGCTAAGTAATATCAACCGGTATATGGTTGGGGATGTGGATAATGGTATCATCAATATGTGGATGACAGCCAGCTCTGTTTCTTCTTGTCATCAGAATTAGGTGAGGCTATACAGGTGCTAAAGAAGTTTGTGCCTCAAGGGTGTAATGGGCTAGATGAAGGCCAATAAACTGAGATAATTTTGGTAAGACAATTTTAGTAAAACAGATAATCTCTTTTAGGCAAGGTTGAAAGTGCCAAGCAGTGCAGCTTAGCATAATCATGGAACACTGGTTTTACAACAGTTGCACTGATCGTTATGCTACCAAGTTCAATTCAAGGTGTTGCTGTTGACATATGAAGCTCTGAACAACTTGGGATCCAAATACTTTATCAAATTCCCAGAGCCACAAGATCTGCAGAGGAGGCCCTTCTGGAGATTTTGCCAGCAAGTGTTGTACATTGGGTGATTTTGTAAATAGAATGAAAACAATTGCAGTTCAGAGATGACACAGGAGGGAGAAAAGGGAGCACCTTGGAGTTAAGTCTAATTTTATGCAGGTGGCAAGGACAGGGGGAAGGTGAGAAAGAAAGGTAAGGAACCAGAAGAAACAGAAAGCAGTGCCCTGCCCACTGTTGGTACCTTGTCCCCAATAGATTACCCTTGAAGGGATGTAGTCCTCAACAGAAAAAGGTCCCCCACCCGTGTGTGTGTGTGTGTGTGTGTGTGTGTGTGTGTGTAATAGCCAACCTTCTGTCCTCCACATATTGTTAGAATGCAACTAACATAATTCCTGATTATTACTAATGTGTATATACTTTGGATTAATTCAGATCTGAAGAGCAGATTGACATTTGCTCCAAATGAGCTTTAAAGAGCAGGTTGTTGTGGGGAAAGCTGCAGAGCAAAAGTGGAGGGAACTAAAAAACTGAGCCTTAATACGTGAGCCATGCCTGGAAAGAATGGGGCAAAAGGCAGCGTTTTTTCTCCAGCCAGAACTCACTGGAACTGAGTTCCGGCACCTCTTTGGTGCATTCCGGCACCTCTGTAGTGTCGCGGCACAGTGTTCTGTGCTGTGTTGAGCGACAGAGGCTGTGTGTGACATGGATATTGATGTGGCAGAGGGGTGAGCTCCTCTAAAAAAAAGCTCAACAAGTTCTGGCACCTCTTTTTCTAGAAAAAAAGCTCTGGCAAAAGGTAAATGTGGATTAATTAGAACTCAATCGAACATGGAATAAGACGATCCTACAGGATTCATCAACACAGCACAAATTATTCACAAGGGGGTGTTGGGCAAGAGGAAAGGTAGCTATGTTGGTCCAAAAGCCAGAATATATTAGGACCAACAAGTCACAGGATAATGAACAAGTTTCAGGTTCTTCAGACTGGATGATAAGCAAATGTAGGGGAGAGAGAGAAGTTGGGCACTTTGTCAAAGCTGAAAGTCTGTGGTTTGAAACATTTTTAAGAATGAATGCAGGAGATGTTAGGCAGACTTAATTATATTAGTGTTGGTTCGGTACAAAACACATTCAGGCTGCACTGAGGGGCTCCCGGGACAAAGAAACAATAGTGGTATGATTGCTAGGACAGTCTGAAATAATGCTCCTTTTTAATTTATGTACAAGAATTGTGGGGGAGGATACATTTTGCAAGCAAGTTTCTACTTCTTTTTTCCCAGGTACTGACACTGGCTGTAAATACACATAATTACAATAAATGCATCTTCCACCCACACTACTTTTAAAAACAGAACAAGAATGGCTTACTTTATGTCTGCTGATCAATAATTACTTATGTGACACAGAGGCAGGTAAATTGCCATGGCTTTAGCACAAGACACTTCAGTCTGAGGAACACAAAAGGAGGGAGAAGAGAGAAGACTCTCAATTATATTTTGACTTGTAATAGTTTCTTTCTCATTGATTGCACAATGCTTTGAACTGTAATAATATTCACTAAAAAAAATGCCTATTAAAGACTACTTTTTGGGGGGGGCAGGCTGCTGAAACTCCTTGATTTATTGATGTAAGGAGTAAGTGCTGCATGTTGCACAGAAGCAGAGTTCATGCTATTCATTAATATTTACTAGTGGTTCCCCCAACCTCTGATTTTGGTTCTAAAATTAATTCTTATTTCAAAAAGTATTTATTGGCTGTTTGATTTTTTAAAAAATGTACTCTACAAAACTACAAGTTATTCCAACTGTCACATAGCTATTTTTTAAAAAAGTTTCTCCATTGATTCAACTGTCTGTAGTAGTAGTAGTAGTAGTAGTAGTAGTACAATGGTACCTTGGGATGCGAACAGGATCCGTTCCGGAGCCCCGTTCGCATCCTGAAACAAACATAACAAGTGACGGTGTGTCTGCGCATGCCGCGTTTTGACGCTTCCGTGCATGCGTGTGACGTCATTTTGAGCGTCTGCGGCGAAACCTGGAAATAACGCGCTCCGTTACTTCCAGGTTGCTGCGGAGCACAACTCGAAAATGCTCAACCCGAAGCACATTCAACTCGAGGTATGACTGTAGTAGTATATGAATTTATTTACCACCCTATACCCGCAGGTCTCAGGGCGGTTCACAGAAAAAATCATAGAATCATAGAATTGGAAGAGACCACAAGGGCCATCGAGTCCAACCCCCTGCCAAGCAGGAAACACCATCAGAGCACTCCTGACATATGGTTGTCAAGCCTCTGCTTAAAGACCTCCAAAGAAGGAGACTCCACCACACTCCTTGGCAGCAAATTCCAATGTCAAACAGCTCTTACTGTCAGGAAGTTCTTCCTAATGTTTAGGTGGAATCTTCTTTCTTGTAGTTTGGATCCATTGCTCCGTGTCCGCTTCTCTGGAGCAGCAGAAAACAACCTTTCTCCCTCCTCTATGTGACATCCTTTTATATATTTGAACATGGCTAATCAGAATATAAAACCACAAAATACATAATCAATATAACAAAAACAACCTAATAATGTATTTTTGTCTCCAGTTATAAATTTGTAAGTGGCATAGATTTTTCCATTTGTGAGATATGAGTCGTCTTGCTGCAACTCAAAAAACAAAAGTAATCAATTCCTTGTGTTTGAGATCCTTCTGTTCTCAGTGCAAGATAAGCTAATAAAGCAAGCCGTGGGATACTGTGTTTCTTGAACTACTGATCTGATTTGATAAAAAATGCTCTTCCAGAAAGGTTTAAGTCATATATCTACCTCATGTGAAGCATGGTCCCAATGAAGCCAAAATGTCTCCAACACTGAAATGAGACCTGCTCGTTTATTCTATTACATCTTTGTGAGGTCAAGTACCACCTATGAAGTATTTAAACATACTGTATTCCTAATCTTAGCAGAGGCAGATAACACTGGATTTTTTGCCTACATATTTTGCCAATCCACCTGCTTCATCCCAGCCATTAAGTTAAGGCTCTCGACACTGCTGAATTAACACGGTTCTCCTCTGGGAGTTTTCCCAGGTTCTGCAGACCTTGCCCCTTGGAACCTGGGCCTGCAGGATGACTATCATTTGAAGTTGGTCCCCTCCAGGCCTTGCTCAGTACTGCAGCCCAGCCAAATACACTAACCCATTTGATAGGCAGCAGGAAGGGCATTTGGCTTCACATTAACTGCTCCAGTTTGAAATCTTTTCAATATTAAAACAAAGAGGAAAGACAAGCAAGTCCAATGAACCTACTTCACAAGGGGGAAATTTACTAAAGGAGGGTTTACAGTGTTATTTCTGGTTGTTATGGAGACAGCAAAAGCAGCAAAAAAGAAAAAAAATGAACAAAGAAGCAGTTGAAAGAGCGAGTGAAAGGATGCTTTTGCCTCTACCAATACTAATGTGTGTGCTTCAGAAAAGAACACCATACCTCCCTTTGAAATGTTTTAATTGCAGTTACTCAACCCAATAGTTGAAAATAAGCAACTTCCACCTACAGAAATGCTGGAGTTAAATAGGAGCAAAAATGCAAGCTGCAAATATTTTGAGAAGTCACCTAGGGTATTTTTTCAGATTGTGTATGCATGAATGTTCATGTAAAATGAAATACTACACCAAACTGAAAAGTATCTAATGTGAAAAAAATCCTTCAGATCCCAGTATCTTTCTATTAATGTACAAAAAAGATGTTGTTGCAACAGACTGTAGTGTTTATTGCAATAATACTTTAACCACAGTTTAAAGTATTGTTAAATAGTTTATACTGGAAGAAGGAAAAGCCCCAAACATTCAAAAATAGCTTTTAAACTTGTGAAATAAATTTACTGTGTCAAAATAATTTGTTATGTCTAGGTAAAGGGAAGAAAACAATTTTAAAAATCACAAAATTATCCAGACCTGTTCAAATCTGGCTTCAGGCCTAGTTTGAGGCTGAAACATATGTTGCTGTTGTTAATTAAATTTCTATATTATTTCTATATCATGTATTAAATTTCAGTTGGTTGCCCCAGCTGATGATCTGTACAGTGATACCTCGGGTTAAGAACCTAATTCATCCTGGAGGTCCATTCTTAACCTGAAACTGTTCTTAACCTGAGGTACCACCCATTGAGGTACCACAATGGGGCCTCCTGCTGCCGTGTAATTTCTGCTCTCATCCTCAAGCAAAGTTCTTAACCCAAGGTACTATTTCTGGGTTAGTGGAGTCTGTAACCTGAAGCGTCTGTAACCCGAGGTACCACTGTATTGGGAAGAGACATGGGAAATGCAACTCTGTGAATCCACCTGGTTCTCTCAGTCATTTGCACACCATTGACCATGGTATCCTTCTAGATCAGCCCTGCAGGTTAGTGAGCCTACTATCAGGTATGACCATTCCTGGACAGAGGTAGCCTGGGCAGTGTTCCATGCTCAGCTAACTTCCAGATTAGATTACTGTAATGCCCTCTGCAGTTGCTGCTCTTGGAAACTATTCAGATGCTGTAGCTGGTGCAAGAGTATTGATTGGTCTATCTAAAAAGGTAAAGTAAAGGACCCCTGACAGTTAAGTCCAGTCGCAAACAACTCTGGGGTTGCAGCGCTCATTTCGCTTTACTGACGTGGCTGACGTTTGTTCACAGACAGTTTTTCCAGGTCATGTGGCCACTTCTGGCGAAACTAGAGCAGTGCACGAAAACGCTGTTTACCTTCCCGCCAGAGAGGTACCTATTTATCTACTTGCACTTTGATGTGCTTTCAAACTGCTAGGTTGGCAAGTGCTGGGACCGAGCAACAGGAGCTCACCCCATCGCGGGGATTTAAACCGCTGACTTTCCGATCAGCAAGCCCTAGACCACAGCACAACCCACGTCCCATCTATCTAGTTAAGCTAATAAAATGCTCGTTCTGAAAAGCATACACTGGTTGTTTGTATACTGCTAAGTCCTATTCAAGGTTTTAAGGCTTAATTACTAAGCTCTGAACAACTTGGGATCCAATTACCTGAAAGAGCCCCTCTCCCTAAATTAACCTGCCCATGCTTTCATACATATAGCCTGAATTGCGTCAATGATGGGCAGGATAGAAATTGAGAAAAACAGTTCTTTCATCATAAAGTGGGGTGTAATACCAGCACCTCCAATTAAAGAGGGACCAGGTAGTAGGCGATGGGAAATACCTCTACCTGAGACTCTAGGGGAAAACTGGACTAAATGGACAAGGAGTCTGACCTTGAATATGACAATTTCCTATTCTCCTCATTGTCAGAACCTTTTGCAATTGATCCAAATACTGAGAGGATTACAGAAATAAAGACAGTAGTTTGAAGCACAGTTGGAAGTAGAAAAGGATTCTTTTGTACAGTTTTCTTTAACTTCTCTCTAGCATTTCAGGACTGGTGTCTGAAGTAGTATTTGTAATTATAGTGGATTATAATTAATAATCACTATAATTACTTGATAGTTTGCAGATATAATCCCCTTCCCTAACCTGAGATTTTTCAGCACACAAATATACACACACCTGTAGTGATTATGCACATCTGGATATGAATGTTACCCTTCACATTAAAGCAAGAGGTCAACTATTGCACTAAGGAAGTGACAAACACACACTACATGGCAGATATACGCAACAGTCTTCTAACGGTTTGTAACACTGAGTTCTTTTCTTTAATAAAAAGCAGCTGAAAGGCTGTAAATTTCATCAGAACCAGTGGAGTACTGTTTTTCCTATCAAAATAACATTCCTCAGGATGATTTCCACCTGTAAGAAGGAAAAAAGACTATAATAGCTAGAGAGGAAATACAGTATGTAGGAACAAGCATTGATTGATATTTACTTTACATCTCCAGCCTGCCTCTAACAATTATTTGAAAGAAAAACGGAGAGATTATTTCCTCCCCAAATCTGTGTAAAGAGTTTGCATGTTGTGTTTCTGTGCCTCTAAGAGGATGAACCATGTTTTAGGAGGTAGCACATATTGTTGCTATGGTAATTATTATTTTTCTTGAGCAGTGTACACTCAGTACTGATTTTGAGTTACCAGAGAGCAATTATACCAATTAGAATGTGTGTAGAATTGAATGTTATGAATTTTGTTAAAATGTTCTGCTTTTATTTTAGCACACATAAAAACCAACAGACTGGTGGTGCTACAAGTAGAAGAGAAATGAGATTAGTGCTTATTTTCTGGGCTGTCACAGTGAACTAGGAAACCAAAAAGAAAGCCGGGCCTATTAATTTGTGGTGTAAAAAAGTGATGCTATTTATTCATTTATGGTATTTGTAATTTATTTACTCCTAGGGCTTGCTGATCAGAAGGTCGGCGGTTCGAATCCCCGCAAAGGGGTGAGCTCCTGGGTCAATTATTGCAGTAACAACAACTGAAAGTGGAGACTTTTCATGGATTATCATGGCCACACCTTTGAAAAAAAACCAAAAACTGAAGTACTGTAACACCAGTATCACAGAACAGTCCCACATATCTTGCGCCACTGCTTAGATGCAGATTTGTGCCTATCAAGAGATTAACATGGTCGTTGTCTCTAGGCATTGCATACAAGGGTAACCACAGTAATCTCTTGGCTAATATTCAACAAGGATCTTTGTTATGTCATGATCCAGGCATCATTACTCAGCGCAATATCACCTGCTATCTCTGGGTCGCAGAATGCTAATGTGAACATACACTCTGCTTTGGAGAGCCAAAATGTTATAATCTTTTACCAAAAAAAAATGTAAGGCAGATAGCAGTGAGGTCGAAAGGGACAATACATTTTTATCTGTCTGGTTAACATGCCGCCATGCCCACCAGCACTGTCCACAGCATTGTGATATTTACAGTATATACCCTATTCTTACAGATGGCCAAATACTAATGATTAGAGACTTTTTAAAAAACTTTTAGATTTAAGACACTAGAACCTATAAACAAATTATCTAATTACACTTACATTTTTTTTCATAACCTCTGTCAAATATTTTCTTTCTATGCTACGTACAGAAATACACTGTAAATATACTATTTCAATTAAAATAAACCTTATATGAACTACTACCAAAAAAATAGCAGAGTTGTGTTCTATGGAAATGTTTATGAGCTGCCTGAAACACACAAATTGTAGCACACAGCTTCAGTATATCATGAAAATTCCTATTGAATGAATGTAGTCAGTAAGATATTAGATGCTTCTTGTCACTGATGGTGTGCTTCTACGAAGAAGACACTGATTGATAATGTCTTATGATCAGTGATATTTTTCTAGAAAAAGAGGTGCCAGAACTCACCATGAACCCCTCCCCGTTCTCTTATAATGGCAATGGCGCCCACCTGAGAGGTTCCAGTGAGTTCTGGCTGACAAAAGCCCTGCTTATGATGAAAACATTTATGAAATATTTATTCCTATAAAATCCCAAGACAATGGAGGAAATTTAAATCTATTCTATTTTACATTTTTTTAGGACAAAAACTGTATGAAGTGAAAGAAAGTGCTGCCTTAGCTCTTTTCTCTACTTACAGCCTTCAGAATCTTCTTTGTCAAGAAAAAAGAAAAAGGGAACAATGCCATCTTCTTTTAGCATACCCCTTGGGGAAAACAAAAGCATCCTCCCCTGACTATCCCATGGAGAAGCAGAAGAAATAATTGTGTCTAGTATGTGACGAGAAAAGGTATCATTTCTGTGGTCAAGGGAGTACGCTTCATTTTGCCTAAGACACAGGTGTGCTTCCTTTTAAAAAGGAGTTGAAGAAGAAATGGAAATAATCATTACATACTCCAGTACAATTATTGGATATGACAAGGTTATATGAAGCTCATTCTTTTGGGTAACTCCTATATTTCTTCTGCAGCAATTTGTATTGCAAACATACTTAGCAGCACACCTTTTATGAAACTATGCATTTCCCAAAGGAGGGTGGGCAGACCACCTTTAACAGCTGTAACACCGGCAACCTGAAGTAATGGGCCTAAAAATGTGAGGCAGACTTCAAGGAGGAAGCATTCACACTCTCTCCACCCCAGTGTTAGAAATTGAGATATGAAAGCTACGAGCTAAATGGCACCACCTTAAACCTGGGTTATGGGAGCAACAACGGAATGTGTAGGTGCGCTTTTTTGATAACAAGAATACAAAGCTGAAAATGAATAAACTGCAGCTAAAATATTATGTTCATTTTTCACAAGGTCTAGTCCTTCCCCTGCCCACCCCCTAATATTCTTAAGAGGGTCTCTTCTCCAGTCTTCAGAGAGCAGCTGGAAGTGGGGAAGCAGAAAAACGTCCTCCTTTCCTTCCACTCTGCAGTTTTAATCTGAAATCTTAGGTGCAGTATGGCACCCAGAGCTCAGAAACTGCTCACACTAATGAAATTCCCTGTCGCAAAATGTGCCTAGAACAATGGGAGTTTCAAACACTGCTCCATCTCAACCCCCACAAAATACATGTTGATTCAGCAGGGAACATAAGCACCAGACTTAGGTAGATAATCCATGCTGGGAATCAAAATACAGTGGTACCTCGGGTTACATGCACTTCAAGGTTACATATGCTTCAGGTTACAGACTCCGCTAACCCAGAAATATTACCTCGGGTTAAGAACTTTGCTTCAGGATGAGAACAGAAATCGTGCTCCAGCGGCGCAGCAGCAGCAGGAGGCTCCATTAGCTAAAGTGGTGCTTCAGGTTAAGAACAGTTTCAGGTTAAGAACGGACCTCCGGAATGAATTAAGTACTTAACCCAAGGTACCACTGTAGTCCCATTTTTTGCTTCCAGTGCTTTGAAACATGTAGTGAACCTAAGCAGTCCTGCTTGTAGATTTAGTTTATATTTATTTAGCAGCTGCTTCAACCAAGGGGTATTACAGAAATAAAGCTATGGCATATAAAAGCACAGAAACAAAAAGTTGTTGTTTTAAAAAATCTCACTGTCTTAGAGGCAACATTTTAATTGAGAAATTTGGATGGATTCATTAGTTAAACTAATTCAATTTAAACTAATTAAGATGCAAAGATTTGAGCTGCAGATAGTTTAGATGCTGCAAAAATCCATAGCTTCCCACTATGTAAATAAGCTGTGATGAGCCCTGAGCTTGTGCTCTCCCCTCCTCTTCTGCATATTTGAAGATTGGAAGCTTCCACTTTTCATTTTAATGGAGCCACCATGATATTTTACCTTGAGGAAACTGTGGTTGTTTAAAGTATTGTTTTGATATTTAAAGATGTATACCCTACTTTGGATTTTTAAAGACCTATGAACCAATGTGGGTACAATATTTGAAATGGATACAGTTTACACTATGATAAATATTCTACACCTTCATCCAGCTTGCTGCACTAAAAGCTGTCGATGGATGAAAATCTTTGAATCAGATATGACTGCTGCCTGTGGCAACCCGTCATGTCCCTTTTAATCTCCTTTGCACTTCACTTTCCTGTCCATTTCCCTAGTTCCAGACAAGAAAATGACTGCAAGTTTCAAATATACCATTGCACAATTTGCCCAGAGAGATTATAAAAGGGGAAAAGAATAGAGCAGGGGTAGTCAGCCTTTTTATACCTACCACCCACTAATGCATCTTTCTTGATGGTAAAATTTCCTTACTGCCCACCAGTGCTGCAGTAACGTGTGCCGTAGAACCCCCTACTGCCCACCTGGAATCCTGAAACTCCCACTAGTGGGCAGTAGGGACCAGGTTGACTACCCCTGACAGAGAGGATTCCAGCTGCCCTATAAAAAGGCTTAGTGCATTCATCTAACATAGGGAGCATTGGAATGACATGGTATCATTACTTGAAGCTACTGGTGCACCAGATAAGCCAAATAGCAGTAGAGAGCAGAATAATCATTAACCTCTTCCATGTCATACAGTTCTTTTTCCCATGAGGTATAAAGAATTGTGACTCCCCACACCACTCTGAAAGATGCAGAAAAGCCCTAAGGTTAAGGACAACAATATGTTCACATGACCAACTTAAACACCAGTAAAAACACAGCCTTTAGTTTTTAGAAGCTGTTACAGCAGTTCATAAAACCAGAAAGAAACATTAAAGCAATTTCTAAGCTGAAATACAATGGCAAAGGAAGTCTTTCATTGATCAGAAAGCAATCTCCTTTGTTTGTATAATGACGACATTGTCCTAACCTGTCATCTCTCAAAAATATTAGTGCCACAGGTCTTCCAAACAGAAATATTGTACAGATCCTGTTAGGCACTCTAATAAAGGCAAAATGAAACTGCATTTTGGGCCAATCCATATATAGCAATAGGCATCATAATAGAACAAAATCCCACTGTGCAGCAAACTAATCACAACAATGCTGCATATTATGAATAAAGAACAAATGGACCAACTGAGTGTTAAACAGATTCTGCCATTGAAAATTAGCAGAGGATGGGCAAGATATGAATTTAACTAATAAATAAGCAAAACAAAGATTTACAAATAAGACATTGACAAGGGTTTCTTCCCATTTGGGAACAACAGTGACCCAAGAGTTAAATGGAACTGGGACTACTTGGAAAGTGAGTAAACAGAACAGCGACTGGAATATATTCATGCATTACATTTCACTCATAATCACCCACTGTTTCAGTGAGGCTGCAATCCTACACACAACCTAAAATAAGTCCTGTTGAACTAAATGAGGCTTCATTCTGAGTATACATTCATAGGATTACACTGTAAGCAACCATGACAAGTTATTACTGCAGGCTGAGGGCACCTCTGGCCTACCAGACCTCCGCATTTGGCCCACAAAGCTGTTTTGGCTCACCTGTCATCATGTGACATCATTTGTGGGGAAGGTAAAGATGCCAGCTGGTTGTCAGGCACTTGGGAACCATTGTATAAGACACTTTGCCAGGTGTCAATCATGTGGTGTTATTATGACATCAGATGATTGACAGCAGCGTTCAAAATTTGCCAGGTGCCAAGCAAATTTTGCACCTGGCTATCGGCCACTTGTGACCAAATGAAGATGCGCAGGTTCCAATATGGCATCTGACATCTCCACCATCTGAAGGTGAATGCTGGGGATCTTTGGATCTTGACTGTTTTCAAACACTAGGAACACATCCTGTAGAATTTTATCCGTTATATTTTAGCTGCATATTTAGAATGAATTTTAGGAACCAAAAGTTGTACTGAAGAATATGACTTTCAAGCCACCTGAACCAAAATGGCAACTAGGCATTCTATTTTGGCGACTGTAACCCTGGTTTAAGGAGCCCTTTGGCAATTAGCTTTTATATTTGAGTTTCTAACACTGATTGACAGGTGAGGTGTCCTGCCCACCTGAGTGGGTGGGAAGATAGGCCAAAAAGGTCCCACACTCCTGGACTATTGTCTTATGCCATCTGAGACAGCAACTTACTCAGCACAGAGCATGAAAAAGAATGAACTCGTGTTACTTGTATGCCTTCTGTCACATTCATAACTGATTTATTTTTTCCTTACAATTCAAGTCTGGGGAAGTTTTCTGCACAGCTGTATCAATCACTCCAATCAATTTGAATCCAAAGAAGTATTTTTCAGAAAGAGAGTAGTATCAGTGGTGAACAGTTCTATTATTATTAACAATAACTAGTTGCTTTACTCATAATAACAATCGAAAGCGACTAACACATTAGAAATACTAAAACCAATTACAATAAACACAATAAATAAAAACATCAACACTGAACACATCAAAACAAAAAACACATATTAGTGTTATTTATTCCTGCAAATGACAATGCAGGAAGAAGATGGTGTGATTCTGAATCAATCAGGAATGAAAGCCTAAAAAAATAAAAGCGCTAAAGCATTTCATCCATGCAAAATAAAACCAGATAGACATTTTAGTAATTTTAGTTCATATGTACTTCTTACACCTGCTCAATGTAGTATTGAAGATAACCTCACTGATTAAGAACTGCCAGATCATATATAAATATCAATCCCATAATAGGAAAGCAGAAGTATGCCGAAAACAACATATCTTGGGCTCTCAGCCCCGGGCAATGCATAGCAGACTCCAACAACATAGAGACCAAGAGAACAAGCATTTTATCAAGAATTCCAAGCAGCATGCACCGATAGTTTAATTAAATTTGGCCACCATACCAGAGAAAGATACATGATACATAATCTTTGGTAATCAGTGTGTAACATGAATTATTGTGCAGTGCAACTGCTATTTGTGTGGCAAACCTTACTATATACTCTCAACAAGAGCAGAGGCCACAAACCTGTCTTTTATCAATGTGTTTCCTTGCTCTGAAAATAGGAAGGAGTATCCTATTCCTTGAAGCTTCAGCCTGGACCAATATAATACTGCATTAATCACCCCTTTTCCAGGATCTCTGAGCAGATGAGTTTAACTGCAGCAAATGACAGCCTCTCTCACTGTGATCATAGGCACCACACTGTATGTGTGACTCCCAGTTGTGAGAAACTACCCAAGATCATACCTAGTGCCACATGTAATCTCCAAAAATCTCTCCTCCTGGAAATCAACACATGAAAGAGGTTCATGAGACATGCCTCCTCACATGGGCATAGCCAAGGAGGGGGCAGGGGCGCAGCTGCCCCCCATCAAGTAAAACAATAGAAATACTTACCCAACTGACCAATCACATTGGTTCTGCCCCCTCCAACATGGGCTACGCCCATGCCCCCCACCTTTTAAATTATTTATCCTAGCAATAAACAAGTACAGTGGTGCCCCGCAAGACGAATGCCTCGCAAGACGAAAAACTCGCTAGACGAAAGGGTTTTGCGTTTTTTGAGCTGCTTCGCAAGACGAATTTCCCTATGGGCTTGCTTCGCAAGACGAAAACGAAAACGTCTTGCAAGTTTGTTTCCTTTTTCTTAACACCGTTAATACAGTTGCAACTTGACTTCGAGGAGCAACTCATAGAACGCGGTGTGGTAGCCTTTTTTGAGGTTTTTGAAGACTTTGGTTATTTTTGAAGCTTTTCCAAAACTTCTTTTAAACTTTTAAAACGTTTTTTGGGGTTTTTGGATTTTGGGTTGGGGTGTTTGGAATTCAAGGACTTGGTGTTGGGGAGGGGTTTGCAAGAATCTGGAAGCTTGTGTGTGTTTTTTCTGCATTTTTATGATTTTCTGTGACCATTGGGCCACTCTGCTGTTTTTTTAAAAAATTCTGGATTTGAATTTCTGTGTGGTGGGTGGCTGGGGGAACAGTTGAGGAGGGGGTTCTTCAGCAAGAAGCAAAGAGTGGAAGAGGAACCTTCTTCGAGTTGTCCCCCAGAGTCTTAGAAAATGTACTGTACACTTTGTTGATTTTTAAATGCTTTTCTGTCATGTTTAGAAACTTAATTTATTGTTCCTTCAGTTTTTGAAATGCTCTTAACAGTATGTGTGACTTTAAAGAGCACTTAATAAACTCTTGTTGTACCAAATTTGGCTTTGTTTGGACTTTTTTTGACCATAGGAACGCATTAATTGAATTTCAATGCATTCCTATGGGATTTCGTGCTTCGCAAGACTAAAATTCACTAGACGAAAAAACTCGCGGAACGAATTAATTTCGTCTTGCGAGGCACCACTGTATGAATGCTGCCTTGGGATACATTTGGAAAAAGCAGTGATTGGTCGTGTGTCCCTTTAGGGCCGGAACTTGTGTTCCTCAGCTATTGTTTAGGAACATAGAAGGGAAAAGACTCCTTTCACCCACCAGCCAATTCTTACCCTTTGTGTATCAGCCCTCACTTCCTGCTCTAGATTCAAGGTTCTGAGTGCATTCAGTAAGCCTTCCTTGGGAGGTACAGAAAGTTGCTAAGCATTCTTCAAGAGTCATGAAGAGTGCCATTTTCTCCCTTTTCAATCAGTTCAATAGAAATGGAAAAGGGGCACCATGGGATGCAAATTTTCACCCACACAGTACAACTGACACTTGCAAGTGTTCCCAGCAACTGTGGCTATCTACCAGTTGTAGGAGTCATGCAGTGGGCCCAACTAGTTCTTTCATGACATGGAGCCCAATATGATAAATTTCAGAAACATTTGTCTAAAGGCTAGAGAGAGATGTTGCAACTTGCCACTAAAACACATAAAGACCCAACATAATAATTCTAGTTACTTAAAAAAAAAAATCAGTCTAATGGCTTTCTGCCAAAATGATTGTTTATTTTATTACATTTTTAGCCTACTCTTCCTGTAGATACCTCAGAAGAACACACAAACAGTTCTCTCCCTCCTACCCATTACAACAATCCTGTAAGTTAGGCTAAGAGGGTCTCCCCCAAGGTCACCCAGGGAACATTATGGCTGAGTGAGTACTTGAACCCAGGTTCCGATTAGTTCAGAAGAAGACTTTTGCCTAAGCATGTACTCCCTTTGCTCTTCCCTTTCTGGCAAGAGCACACTTTAATTCTCTAGCTTGCAAAGGCTTTTATGTAGCCTTCCAACAATGTCATTTTTGCTCTTGTGCTCATTTATGACATGTTATTGTATTTTGTTTTATCATCTTTGGGGGCCTTTGGGCCAAACAGTAGTATATGAAAATGTTGCAGTGGTAGCAGTAGTAGTAGTAGTAGTAGTAATAATAATAATAATAATAATAATAATAGGTTGTGCCCAACTCAGTTCTATTCAGACTGAAATTAATGGACCTGTTAGCTATGTCCGTTAATTTCAAAGGATCTACTCTGAGCATAACCAATATATGATACAAGCTAATACAAAACAATTGTAATATAGTAAATAAAAATTAGACTTAGCACACCCCTCTTCCCTTTCTGATAGTCTGAATGCAATTAGTAAGCCTGTCAGTTAAGTTTTATCCTCATTTTTAAATATATAGTTTAAATGAACTGTTAATTGTTAAACTGTAGAAAGTGTGGCATATAAATAAACTGACTATAACTAACTGTTCAGTTAACCTCAGTTTCTTGCTTCATAGATTTCAGAAAACTATGGCTACCAGCTTCAGAACAAGCCAGGATCCTAAACTAACTTTAAACCCTGGTTTAGAACTTGGTTTGTTCTGAGGCTGGGAACCATATAACTACCATACCACATTCATTAGACTATTTTACCTTCCACTTTTGAGAAAAGCTGCCTTTTTATATATTAAAAAAGCCTGCCTGCAAGAAAGTATACTTCTTGAGTTGTAACATGCAATTAAATAAAAGCTGGTGTTAGAACATGTAATTAAAAGTCTGAATAAGGAAAAGTAATGCTCAAACTATAATAATCTTTACATCTCATCAGTCATGGGAAAAATTATAAAGTAGGAGTAAAAGTCTTCATCGATTACCCAATGCAATGAATCAATCAACTCGTTAATGGCAAATTAAAATAAAGACTTTTAATTACGTCTAGATAAGAGCTATCCCCTTGCTAACAAACTGTGCTGTAAATCAGGATGAGCCATTTCCCTGTGGCAGGCAGATGCCAACAACAGTTGGCAAAGGGGCTGATTCAGAGCTTAACCCCATTCTGGGTGGGTGGTGGTTACAGCCCCTCACAGTCCTGCCACCATTCCCGGGCAGCCAGATCGTGCAGGGGCAGGTGAATGTTAACGTTCACCCCAGCTGGTCATATCACAGGGCACAAATGTCCACAAAATCTCCTAGTTCAAATCACCCAATCACTGGACCCCTAGTAGGCGGAGCCTTGCTGGTCAGACATTCCAACTCGGTCCATCAGCGACAATAAAAGCTAACATCAATGACCCTCAGTGTGGTTGACAGAAGAGCCAACTTTTCACTCTACAACCAATAAGGCTAGAAATCTAGGGCTGCTTCACACACAAGACTCTACTCAGTTGCATCAACATGTGAAGAACATGGACAACAACCATCTCCCCTTTTCAAGCTGACATAATGACAAAACCCCCCCAAAAACCTGAAGTTGCCCCTACTGAGAGAATGAATCCTTCCTAAAGTTTCTCCTAAAATATACAATTTTTGACAATTTAAAAAATAAGTTCTGGTTTAGAACTATTAAAGAACTTGCAAAGTTACAGAAGAGGGCAACTATATTGATCAAGGGGGCTGGAAAAACTTCCCTGTGAGGAAAGACTAATGCATTTGGGGCATTTTCAATTTTTTAAAGAAGTTGTCCAAAAGGGACTGGTAATTTTATAAAATTACACATAGTATGAAGAATGTGTAGCAGTCAAGCATAGTTGGTAATAAGGTTTGGATCAAGATTATTTGGACTTAATTCCATGTGATCACCAAAATATATCACAGATATCATACTAATCTTTTCTGATTGTTCCAAATTTGGTAAAATTAATGACGAACTAGTATTCCATAAACTGAACATGGTTCTGACCACGGTTGCCATCTTAACTTACACAAATTCAAGATGATGCCTCAACTTTGTTCAAATTATTATTAATATTTATTAAATCATATACCGCCCTTCATTCAACGATCACAGTATGATTTACTGTAGAAATACACAAAAATACATAATAACAAAACAAACAATAACACCCCACACACACACAGTTTAAAAGGCAATACACCTACTGCCCCATAAATTTGGTTTTGGCAACTAGTTGGGAAAGCTTCAAATATACTGTTAAAAGAGCAACAAAATAATTTTTCTTAACCTTCAAGACGGTGCCAGGTTACTTCTTGTGCTAGGGTACAGCATTAGATCATAGACTGAGGGGACAGGTGGTAATACACATGTTGGCTCCTCTCTTATAAAGCCATTTTCATAAAGCAGCAGGCTCAAAAGGGTTGCACTTATTTTGCTTCTATGGAGCAAAAACAATAAGCCCTCATCTCAGTGCTTATAAGTAACAACATTTGACTATCAAGGCCAGCTATTAAACATCCTACTCCTTGGTAGGATGCTTAAGACAGGTTGCTTTGAGAGACAATTTCATTCTTCCCACTGTGGAACTTTTGTCTGTGTGTCATCAGACAGCACCATCTGTCTCTGGCAACAATTCAGAAGGCAAACGTCATTCTGTCAGAGAACAATTATTCTTCTCTATGCTCAATTCTGAACACAACAAGAATTCCACAAATTAATGCAAATCTGTACGTCCTTCTCATGGAAAAATAGCACTTGGTGTTCTCTCAGTCACTACCCAGCGGGGATATTCATTTCATCTTTCTAACAGAAATACAAGACTCCTGGAGAAAAATATAATTAAATGGCTTAAGCATCTGAATCTATTTAAATATTTGTATTACTTTTTAATTCTTCACTAACCTTCTGCAGAATATTCCAGATTTTAGAAAACATATGAAACTCATTTTGAAGGTTCAATCCTCAGCATTTCCAGGTAGGGCTGGGAAAGACTCCTGAGAACCCTGAGAGTGGTGGCAGTCAAGAGTAGACAAAACTAAGCTAGATGAAGCAATGGTCTAACTTTGTACAAAGAAGCTTCCTATGTTCCTAAGTTACCAGCTAGTCAGAACAGTAGCAAAGAGAAGCATTCATGGAGTAGACTGAGTCAACAGGGGGAGACATTTATCACACCTGTACCCTGCCCTCAAGGCAGTATGCACCCCATTTTGTACTAACTATAGCCCCAGAAGCTGCTTGCTATATTTTGACCTAGCTTTACAGAAAAATCTCAGGTGAAAGACTACAAGCAGCACAAGTTTACTAAAGACATAAACACACCCCAAACATCACCTCTTAAATGTAAGCATAGTTGTCTCTGAAGTGGGAACAGCATCTAGAGTTCCGCAATCTGAGATCTGCTTCTTACTATAAAGCTTTATGAACGGCAGAACTTCCAGTGAATCTGAACTTCCCAAACAGCATAACACTTACATTGCAAAGTATATGCCATAACATAGTATTGGGTAAACTGAAAATACATTCCCAGAAGCTCTAGAAACTGAATAGGTTGTATCTGTGGAAGACATAGGCAAATACTAGTCAACAATAATACAGTGGTACCTCTGGTTACATACTTAATTTGTTCAGAAGGTCCGTTCTTAACCTGAAACTGTTCTTAATCTGAAGCACCACTTTAGCTAATGGGGCCTCTTCTCTTGCTGCTGTTGCTGCGCTGCCGCGCAATTTCTGTTCTCATCCTGAAGCAAAGTTCTTAAACCGAGGTACTATTTCTGAGTTAGCGGAGTCTGTAACCTGAAGCGTTTGTAATCCGAGCTACCACTGTACTTAGAAGAGCCATCATCAACAGGATTCATTTTCTCTCTCTCTCTCTCTCTCTCTCTCTGTGTGTGTGTGTGTGAGAGAGAGAGTACCAAACTAGAACACCCACAGTGTTGAGCTTTTGCCCCAAAGTCTACTACAGAAGACAACAGAATCTGTGTCTTCAAAGGATGAAAACTGAAAGAATAAATAATGCTGGTTTTCATTAACCTCAGCTTTACAGGCTTTTGGCATAACCTAATAAGATTTGTTAATAACATTCTAGCTGTAACAGTCTGGCCAAACCAAAACATTTCTGTGCTAATCTATTTCAGGCAGTAAAGATCCTTGTCAGTTTCATTTTCTCACTCCCAGCATCTCCTCACAGTGTTAATTGGTGCTTTTGGCATTGCAGTATCAAGTTAAAGGAAATAGCCCCAGTCTGGATAATCTAATTTGCTACAGAAAAGATGCTGTTACTACTAGAGCATCAAAGCTTTTTCCACACCCAAACTGCAAAGTGCTTAGTTTGAAGAGCAAGATGAGGACATGTGAAATGGATGCTTTGTCTCTCCAGGAACATTCTCCAACATTCTAAGAACATGTTCCATTCATAAAATATGTTACTTTTCTACCACTTATGTAATTACTATTCTTGTAAAAGTGTCAATGTGTTTTATCTTCACTCCCATTTCTGCCCTGTGGTTGATTCTTCCAGTGAAAACCATTCAGATGAAGGTGAGTAGCTGGTTAGACTATCACAACTGTCTGCACCAAAGTCTATCAAATTCCAGCTTTTCTGAATCAACGATAAAAGATTCACACAATACCTTATGTGTTTGCAAGTTCTGAGATTGAGGCTTTCCTTTAATCTTAATAGTAGTTTGGTCATAAAATGTACCTATTTTCTTTTAAATTACAATAAAATAGCACACAATAAAAATATTAGCTGTGTTTTTCCACTGCTTTTCCTTATATCTTTCCTATCTTTACCTTACATTAAACTTCTACAACTTTCACTTAACAAAATTTTGTAGCTCTCACTACATTGCCCTCAACATCTGAGAACCTATCGTCCTAGCTTCTTTATCAGACTTTCAGCCTTTAGCTACATACATTCATTATTGTCAATGCACTTGGTTCTCCATTTACTGGTGGATCATTATTCATGGATTGATATTCTAAAGCAATCCCCACTCCTTTAGGTTTTCCATTATTTTCCTCCATTTCTGTAAAAATGACATTTTCTACATGCCAGTATCTATTTTGTGAACAAATGTCTCACTATATAGAGTTGTTTAAAATGTCATCTCTTGCTGTTGTTTTTGGCTCCTCTTTTCTGAACATTAAGTTGTTTCCCTTTCAACAGTGAAACTTTCACTCCCAATTTAGCTTAGTTACAGGCATGCTTCAACTTTTTACTGTTAACTTTTTTTTACCCTATCATACACAGGAGATATATGATGTGTTACTGAGGCATGAGTTTAGGAAGTCGTCTTTCCCTACACGTCACACAAACAGAGGGACCCTCCTGCTTCCCCTTCCTATGGCCTCTACCCCTACGGTCTTCCCTTTTTCACTTGCCTCCTGTTCCAAACTAGTTCATTTGCTGCCTGTCTCCCAACCTCGCTACTTTCTCCCATATGCTTTTACGTCTCTCCCAATCTCCTTTCCTCCCTAAACCCACCCATGGCTTTCAAACAAGCCCAGAATGCCACCATCTTTAGATGTCCCCTCTTCAACTACAGTCCCATCTCCTTTCTTTCTTTTCAATTGCTTTCATTTCCTTCAACAGAGGGCCATGCAGATCTGCATCCCAATTTTAAAACAGCACCCCCTTTTCTTTCCTTAGAGAAAAAAAGTCTCATTATTCAAGCAGTGGCTAATTTACCACCTCTTGGACAATAGCTCATTTCTGAGCTAGCAGTGCTCCTGTTTACACCACTGAAAGGTTTTGTGTTTGCTTCTATTGCTGGCAAAGCATTTGGGACATTCTGCTCACAAGCTGTGCCAGACGATAATCTGCCAAAGCTGTTGCTTTCCTCCAAGTCTCAGGACCATTTTCTTTTACCAGGGCCTCTAAGTCTTCTATTGGACCTGAATGAACAGTTCTAAATCATATGCTTCAGTAACCCAGATTTTTTTTCTTTTTTAAAAACCCTTTTCTTTTTGGCCTTCTGGTTTATCCATCTGTTTAAGGTCCTCCTACAGAAAGCATTCAGAGACTCATTTAGTTACCTGGGGAGTGCTACAGGCATACAAAACCTTTCCCAGTAAACAGTATTAATGGATGTCGCCTATAAACTGGAAAAAAACACATTGATTAGAAAATTAACTTCGGGTGCATCAATTTCTCTACAGAAACAACATCTCTAGGTAGCATGCAAAGCTACTGACCCTAACTGGTCTCCCTAAATTGAGAATCTAGCCACTCAACTAGCAAACAACTCATGCGTCTGTGGTGGTCATGCGTCTGTGGTGGTTGGGGCCAGAGGCAAAACTAGGCCAAACAATGAATGTAAAATTTACCTTTGAACCATAAGCTCATTTTAGACACACACATCCCTATCCTTCATCCAGGCAAGTAGAGGCATTATCAAAGTTCAAGGACATATTGCACCAAGGCAAAAACCCTCAAGGAAGGTGCAAAGTAGAGCTGGTGAGGTATGTGGCCTGGGGAGAGAAACAGTGGCTGAAGTGGTGTCATCTGGCAGAATTATGAAGGGACTAAAGCCCCCACCCTTTACACAACTGAAAGGAGTCCTAAAGCTATTATGGGGTCACAATATGCTTTGCAGATCCATGGCAAAGGACTGTGGAAAGAAAAAAGGCCAGAAACATTTTGTTTAAAAAAACTAATCTCTAGCATCTAAGCCACAATACATAGAGGACCATTCAGCACCTCTAGCCCACTGAATACATGTGTAGCTTGTCAATAATAATAATAATAATAATAATAATAATAATTCTGGGTGGCTTCCAGCAGAATATTAAAATACAATGATTCATCCAATATTAAAAGCTTCCCTAAACAGGGCTACCTTCAGATGTCTTCTCAAAGTCTGATAGTTGCTTATTTCTTTGACATCTGATGGGAGGGTGTTCCACAGGGTGGGTGCCACTACCGAGAAGGCCCTCTGCCTGGTTCCCTGTAACTTCGCTTCTTACAGTGAGGGAACCGCCAGAAAGCCCACGGCGCTGGACCTCAGTAAGAAATTTGTGCCACTTTAGGAAGTCCCTCCATTACATACCCTTAGAAATAGGTTAAATGCAGATTATGGGTTAAATACCAAATGCATCTAATGAGTGGGAAGAAAAATAAATTTCTATAATAGTTAACTGCTAAGAACATTTCTGGGGGAGGGAAGCAGAGAGAGAAATGCCAGAAAAAATGTTACAGCTCTAAAACAAAGCAAATCAGGGTCTCATGGAGATAAAATGCTCTTGAGAGGGGAAGAGACAAAGGTAAATGAAAACATTAAGGAGTCGTTGAGTCTAAGAGAGGGACCTTAATCCCAGAAACAATTTTCAAATATCCATTCCTCTAACGTTTCTGGAGGTATAGGTAATGACTGATTTAGGCGAGTTTGATATGTGTGCAACCGCGCACATCATGGCAACCTGGAAGTGGCTGGAAAAGGGGACAGAATAGGGAAAAGCAGGGTTAATTAATTAAGAGTATATAAAATCTGAATCTTAAATTATTAATAGCTGGGCTACATAACAGCTTCAACTGCAAGTCCTTCAAATAATACTACATTTTCTACATCCCTTCAGCTATAGGAACAAGTAGCAATATTAGCACTTATATGGCAAATATCAATTTAAATTCAGAATTTATATTGTGAGGAAGTGGTGTAATGATGTTATATGCCAAGCAAATTTTGTAATCCACTGCTATACAACTCTCCTCCTCCAGTAACACTCTCTGTTATGAAAGCCACCCATTCTTTTAGCTTCCTGTTTAACCAGTTAGTGATCTGTAAGCAGCAATTTGAGGAGGTTCAATATTTTGTCAAAAGGAAAGCAGAAGGCTGCATTTGTATAATGTTGGGTTCTCAATCTCTTCAGACTCCATGCTTAGTTAACCCACAGATTATGCTCCTACTGGGCAGCTGCATTTAAACCTGTAGCTACTTCTCTGCCTAATCTTCTCCAACTGAGGTCATATATTTGTAGCAGATTGAGGGGACCTCCTATGCATCAACAACCTATCTACCGTATATAAATGTCTGTCGAAATTTTAAAACAGATTTTTCATGTTAGCCCCTGGAACATCTTCAACTATAATTTTTGCAGACAGTTAGTTGACATGATTTATCTTATCCTTTCAATATAATGAAGCATTCCACCAGATAACACATCTGGGTTTAATCTCACTTATTCACTAGTACAATGTATAGAACAACCCTCCCATCAGCAAAAGACACAGTCCAAATGAAACAGGATGCCATTGGAACCAACTCAACAAATCAAAGTAATACTTTAATATGCAGTAAAAACCCCAAGAGGCCACTACCTTGCTGAATATCTCAGCAAGTCTGGGTATGCTCAGTGCCTTTATGGGTGGCCAAATGGGAATTACATGTACAGTGCTACCTCGGGTTAATAACTTAATTCGTTCTGGAGGTCCGTTCTTAACCTGAAACTGTTCTTAACCTGAGGTACCACTTTAGCTATTGGGGCCTCCTGCCGCCGTGCGATTTCTGTTCTCATCCCGAACCAAAGTTCTTAACCCAAGGTACTATTTCTGGGTTAGTGGAGTCTGTAACCTGAAGCATCTGTAACCTGAAGTGTCTGTAACCCGAGGTACCACTGTACACCATACTGGACTCCATGATTGAAGAACAGGCAGAATATAAATGTAAGGGGGGGGACCCATAATAAATAAATCCTATACATATCTAGCCAGAAGAAAGCCACACTGTTCAACGGGATTTACTCTCAGGTAAGTGTGTACAGAATTACAGCCTGCATTTCTTTTAATTCAGAATTTCACTAATCAGAGTTGGCTAGGATCTATAAGCTATTGAAGCTAAGTGCATGCAGCTTTCAAAACTGATGAACATAGTCAGAGCCTGAAAATATTGACCAATTCAGTCATTAGTTGCCTGCAGCTATGTTTTCCATCAAGTACAAATATAAGCAGAGCAACTATGCAATCTAGCTAACTTGTTCAGCTTCAATAGTAATTACTGAAATACTGAAGGGCAGCTCTCTTCTATATCTATCATTGTATAACACTGTTTGCTTCCCTATGAAGTGTCCTATTAAAAACTGTGTTCATGCATTTTGCTTTGTAATGACGTGAAGAGAGCACAGCAACAATACTTTTGACCACTTACTAAGGATTTCTACATTTGTTTCATTAAGTAGGCATAGGCAAAACAACTGCTCTTATCATACATTTAGCAGGTTTTTTTAGTCAAAAAGTTGGAAAAGACTGGAAAAGAATCGGATCTACTGTTCAGACAGGCAAGATGTAATTGACATGCAGAGCTATTAATTTTATTTCAAGACACATCTCACAAAGGTGCTTATTTAGGACTATAGACAGGAAGTCAGACAACATGTGGGCACTTTGGGAGATAAATTCAGCCCACAAGGAAATTATAATCTAAGGACAGAACATCTTGACATATCATCTATTTGAGCTCTTACTTCAAAGCACACATCTGTTTTCTCAATGCCTTGATCTCTGGGAGAAGACACAATGATATGTAGATTTCTTGAACAAAAAGTTGTCCTTAAGGTTCTGTTGCTTTTGTTGACAGTAACATCTAGAAAGTGTGCAGAATGTTTCAGGGATGAGCAGAGTGAAAATTATTCATTCATTCATTCGTTTGTTTGTTTGTTTGTTTTTAAAGAAGTCTAGGCAGCCCATGAAAAACACATTGTTGATGTTGGTGGCACTTTCTTCTATACTATATTTTGTCAAGTCAAGGGCAGCAAACCTCAGGCCCAAGGGTCAAATGGAGCCCTCTCCCAGGCTATGCCCTTTCTGTATTATCATCTAGTGCTTTTGGCTGGCTAGAATGCGTCCTTGAACTGTGATAATGCCTCCTGCATGCTTGGATGGAAGGATGGAGAGGTGGTACACACTGAAACTTCTGAGCTGGTCACATTCTTTGCTCTGCCTCTTGCCCACTCCTCACTGCCATGCAGTCTGTGTTAAGGTTGCACATGAGCCAATGCAGTTCCCCACCCTGTTAAAAATGGTCCATAATTTATTATACAGGGAGCTACTTTAAATCTCAAATATATGATAGTTATTCTAATACATTCTAATTCATAAACAGCTTTACTGACAAAGTCTAAATATATTCTATTAGCAACCAATGTGAAGTGATTTATTTTGCTTTCCAGTGCTAAGAATTTCTCTCTCTCTCTATTACACATTAAGACCTATTTCAAACATCACTTAAATTGCTTTTTAAAAATGTCTATACTAACAGGAACAAGAAGAGAAAAGGGAGGACACTTCAATTCTGAACCAAACTCTTTCATTCAGTGAGATGAAGGAGAGGAAAACACACAAAGAGCAAGGGAGCACAGAAGAAGCCACCATATGCTCCTGCCTTGGCTTTCTTGGCTCACATACATGTAATAGAGAAAGACAAGAACTTAATTTTCTTCCATGCTCTTAGTTGTCTGAATTATTTCCCATTCAACATCCTGAATGCCCAATCCCTTTGTTTGTTTGTTTATATTTAATTGTTTGTTTGTTTATATTTAATTTATGGGATATTCTAAATCAGGAAAATGTTCCTTCTAAATGGTGGGGAAATTCATTAACAGAAGCAGGGAAAGATTCTCACATTATAATTAAATGATTTAAAATGCATGTATGAGTCTAACCTCAAATGCATATAACTGATATTAACTGTTTCATTGCTTAATAATAAAACAATGTCAGGCATGGGGAATCTGGGGCCCTTCAGATGTTAGACAGTTAGACAGTTAGACAGCAACTCTCATCATCCCCAACCATTTCCCATGCTGACTGAGGTCAGTGGAAGTCCAACATCATCTGGAGGGCCACAGTTTCCCCATTTCTGCTTTACATACTGTGTGACACTTCTAGAATCATAAAGTTGGAAAAGCCCTTGGAGATTACCTAGTCCAACCTCCTGCTCAATGCAGGATATGAAGTAGAGGATACAACTCCAGCATCCCTCACATAGAGTCACCCAGCCCTGCTAAATACCTCCAGTGAACAAGTGGTAAGCCTCCTCCTAAGGCAGTCTGTTCCAATGTCAGGCAGCTCCTACCACTGGAAGTTTTCTTCTAATGTTTAGGCAAAATCTTCACCCACTGGTTATAGTTTGCATTGCCCTCTGGAGCAACAGAGAACAGATCAGCATCTTCTCCATGACAACCATTCTGATATTTAAGGACCACTACCATGTCTCTTCTTAAATTGTCTCTTCTTCAGGATAAACATACTCAGCTCCCTCTAGTGTTTCTCAAAGGACTTTGTTTCCAGACCACCTCACCAGCCCAATTGCCCTCGACACACTCCATGTGATAGCTAGAACTGGACAGAGTACTCCAGACGTGGCCTGATTAGCACTAAAAGCACATCTGGAACTATAACTATATAAAACGTGGATAGCATAAATGAAATTCAGAAACAGGATTTGCAAGCACTGAAAAATTAATGGAAATGAGCAGCACCTCTCCAGAGGATTAAAATTATGACATACTGTTACTGGTAACATAGTTTAGAAGTAAAACTACCTTTCAGTTTTATAAGCAGGCTGTCTGAGCAGAGGTTCTGTATTCCTTTTGCAAAAGTTAAGAAGCACCTTATTTTAAAATCTTAAAGAAATATCTGAAATAAATTTGAATATATTGGAGAGACACAGTGTACAACCTTTTGCATTTGTTATTTCATTCACCAGGTTTTGCCAGTGGTTGCACATAATGAAGATTTTTAGGATTAAGGTAACAAGAAACTTTTAAAACAAAAAGGGAATTTTGACAATGTGATCTCATGTGACTAAACTGCTACCATACTGGGGAAAAACAATACTTTTTCTACAAAGCAGCTTGGGTAGAGGTAGATATGCATATGTGCAAAAATACAAGCATTTTATCCTAAAGTTCCAGTTCTGCTGCCCTATTATTTCAGAGGTCACAAGGGAATACAAACAGACTGCGTAATTGTAAAATTTCCTTTTCCCTTCTTTGGCAATAGAGTAACACCTTTTATTACAATTATCAGCTCAGTAACAAAGCTCCCCTGCGTGCTGTGCATATTTTCACAGGTTCATTTGTCTCCTGCAGCAGTTATCAGTCTTAAAAGGTTTCTTTGGAAGAAAAGGCCACTAACAACCATTCTTACTTCCAGCCTACAAAGCTAAAGCAGAAGCATAGCACAAAGCATGGGTAACTGATCTTAAGGTTTTAGTCTACAGGCTTTTCATGCTGGGAATAGATCCCATCTGCCTCCTGCTTTGTGCTCTAAATCTTGCACAAAGCATACCCGGAAAACAATCTTGTACAGCCCAGTATATGAAGTATTCCTAGCTACTGTAGCCAGCAATTCAAATACCCCTAAGGCTTGGAATAGCTCATCCTGAAGACTTCTGCTCGCGATGCTTTCAAGCTGACAAATATATTGCTTCTTTCTCCACATCCCCTATCCCGTTACCTACTAACAATCAGCTGCTAAAATACTCATTCCTATTCTACGAGAGGCGTGAGGCATCTTCCCTTCACAACACAGCCAAAATTTATGTTTTACCCTTATCTACCCATCCTTTAAGAATGGAAGCAGCAGGAGAGCTAGAAGTGAGGAAAACATCCAGGGCACTCTCACTGTAGGACCCAATCCCACTCCAAGTTCTTCCTTCCCAAATTTCTCACCCTCCGGATGACTCATCAAATCAACCACCCACCCACATAAGGCCCCCTACATCTTCTGTTGCATAACCCTTTCCAGCAGTCTAGCCACCTGATCATAAACCTTCCTGCAGCAAAGCGTTCCTTCACATTCTATCAGTCCCACTATTTAGCTTCTTCATACCTCACACAAATCTAAGAGAGGTTTGAAGGAGATTTATATTTGGAAACGGCATGCTGGAAGGGGTTAAACCTATTTGTCTCACAGCATTTGGAGCACCCTGACCTGTTTAAAAGTTAAAGGAAGGAAGTTAAGAGATCCCAATCACGCAACTGTTTGGCCCTTAATGTCACCCCGTTTTGCTTAACTCCCTTGCCTATCCTTCTGTAGCCCTTCTGCTAACAGTCAGCTTGAGACCCAAGCCAATCATTCTCTCAATTCTCTTAGAAGCCTCCACTTCAATGTTTGCTGCCATCAGCCTTTCATTTACAATGCACACCATGCCCTCTCCTACCTTGCTCCCTGAAATATAACCTTCCTCCCCAGTTTCTGATGCCAACTCCCCCCTTTATATTTTTAAACAAGCCTCCTTGAGTTTCCCAACAATTGTCCTTCCCACTTCAACTCAAAGCTCACCTGTGATCAGCTCAAAACCCACAAGCCAAACCCAGGAACCTCTTTTCATTGCCAATGCATGGCCAAAGAATAGGTGACATAGTAAAAAACAAAGCACCTTGGAACTTAGTCAGAATACCCTTAGTCACAATTAATTAACTTTTGTTTATGTTTCTCTAAGAATCCATTTACAGTATTAGTGATTTAACAAAATAAAAATAGGCAACAGAATAGTCTGAAATAAAGCAGGTAGAAGAGTAAGGACAGAGTAAGGACAGCCTCCCCCCCCATACACACACGACACACTTCCAGGCAAGCTTGAACTGCAAATGTCCATGTGCAATAAGAAGAATGACTGATCTTGTATGTGGTGGGTTAGAGAAAGATATGTTCACTCAGCACATGCACAGTGGCACTCTTTTTTTTGGACAGTCATTTGCATATTCTCAAACTGAGGTGGTATCTTCAAGTGAGGGGATGGGGACAAAATAATTATGGGCCTGAGCCCCAATTTAAATTAAACTTGTAGGGTCTCTGAGCTACATTCCATAGTTCCTAAAATAAGAAGCTGAGGACCAAACCTGCCTGCAATTTTATCTCTGACATAGAACCTTTGTCCTTTAATCTCAGAGGCATATTAAGAGGATGGGAACAACACTCTACACATGTTTACAGGCAGTATCTCCTAAATCCCACAGCTAAGTAGAGACAATGCTGCCCCTCAAAAGCAAAATTCCAGTGGAGTGAACATGGATGAAGGGGAAGTAAAAAAGATTTCAAGGTTCAGCCCAGCAAGAACCCTAAGCCCTTGATTTCTAAGAGAAATGGTTCCAGCCCGAAATACACTCAAGCAAAAGTTTTGTTCTCCAACCCTAGAGCAGCCTTCCTCAACCAGGGGCACCAGGTCGGGAAAGACTGTTCTAGGAGGGGGAAATGGAGGGGAGAGAAATGACACTCTGCACACATGGATTCACCCTCTTTTTCATCAGACATATGCCATGGCTGCTCTGGCACCTCTCAGAAACAAAATATTGCAATTGGTTTCTAGCTCAAATTAGCTCAGCAGGACCCCCAGAATTCAGCCCCTAGTTTCTAAAATGAGCATTTGTCAGATCTCAAAGTCACCCTCTTTGACACAAAAGTCTTGTTCTCTAATCCCAGAGACAGAAAGGGACGTGGGAGGAGGAGGAGAAAGTAGAGTAGGCTGAGGGAAATGACACATTCTGCACATATTTGGGGGCACACACACTCTCCTTTTTATAAAACAAGATCCTGGAGTTGGAAGAAAGATTCAGCATTCCTGGGGCATCTTTTTCCTTATCTGCATATTCCCTGCATTAGCTGGAAAAGGGATCAATGGATAAAGGAAAGAACATTCTGGAGAGCAGGAGGGCAACCAATATACTTCTGGTCAGTGGTTTAGGGACCCCTTCCCCTAATCTGCAATCCAGAGCTGAGGTGGTAAGAGGGTGGCATCTCTTCCAAAGAGAAGATCCTGGGGCTCTCTGCACATGCTCAAGAGCACTCCTCCTTGTCATCAACCTGAATATTCCATAGCTGAGCATGGGGCTTGGTGCACCTTCCAAGGAAGTGCCCCTGGGGTTCTTAATACATGCTCAAAAGTACTGTTTCCCTCGTAAGTCCACCTACTTCACAGCTGAACTGGGAAAGAAGAATGTGTCTTCCAAGAAGATACAGTTCTAGGACTAGAGGGTAGGAACCTTTTATGATTCACTCACCTAGTCTGTGGCTGACCTGTGTCACTTAATCCAGGGTTGACCTTTTATTGTGTGTTGGATAACATTTGATCTTTCATTGTCTTATGGTGGCTATGTGTTCTTAAAACATAAACACACTCTGAAAATCATAGTAAATGAGGTACGGGGAATAATAATACCATTGTTATTTTATTATGTAAGCTCTCATTTCTATCTTGCAAAATCAACATTCAGTAAATAAATCAACTGATTTGCCCTGTGGGTTTTTTTTGTACTCGGCAATAATAAGCAATATATAATATAGTATAATGATAAGAAAGTGTGGATGACAAACAGTAACCATGACAATAGGAATGCTTTCTCTTATGATTATGCATGTCTTTGCTTGCAATGCATTCCATACAACTGTAATAAAGTAGTGGGGTGACAGCTTTGATAAACATCACCACCACCATAGCTATCAACACTTATTATTTTATTTATGCTAGTTTTAGCATGGGAACTTTTACAAAATGCACACAACCACCCTAGAAAAAATTATCATAATTATTATCAATAATGGTAATATTTTCCCCAGGATATCTTTTATAGGATTGTAATCATTATTTATTCATTCATTCATTTTTATTAAAACAAAAACAAACCATTAGCCCCCTTCTCACAAACAAATTTAAAAGGACATAGAATGTTAATCAGTGAAAAGTGTAGTTAAAGGAAACCGTTTTCACCTAGTGTTCAAAGATATGTAATGAAGGTGCCAGGCAAGACTTCCTGGAGAAGGCATACCACAAACAGGGAGCCACTACAGAAAAGGCCCTTTCTCATATTCATAGAATTATAGAACTGTAGAGTTGGAAGGGACCTGAGGGTCATCTAGACCAACCCTCTGCAATGCAGGGATCTCAATTAAAGCATCCATGACAGATGGTCATCCAACCTCTGCTTTAAAACCTCCAATGAAGGAGATTCCACCACCTCCAGAGGGAGACTTTTCCACTGTCGGACCTCTCATGGAGGAAGCGCATGAAGAAGGGCCTCAGGTGATGATCACAGGATTTGAGTCTGTTCATATGGAGTTTATATACACAATAAGAATAGTAACAACAATTTCTCCAAGGATGGTTATATTTTCATGTTAGTTTTTTGTAATGGATATAGTAATATTTTTTCCTAGGAGGGTTTTCTTTTGCAATGGGTCCCAACCTAAAACTATAATAACTAACACTCATAATGCTAACAATTATGGAAGTGGTAATAATGATAATGATAATAAGTTCAGGGGCTTTAATGATTCCATTTAGTTACAGTTTATTATGCCAAGACACCTTGCCTGGCAATAAACACTATAGGATTTCTTTTATCTGTTTAACCCATCTGTTCAAATTGCATTATTCTGAACTCAGTGTCTGATTTCTTTTTTGGTGGGGGCGGGGGGGGGGAGAAAATTGTACATAACCATCACAGGTAAAATTGTTACTATACTTATTACAACATGCACACACCCCACTATCCTAGGAATTGTTAATATTAATAGCAATTATCACCAATGATTATGATATTAATTATAGGGTGGTTACTTTTTTGGGAGTGGTAATAGATGGGCTAACAACAATTTCCCCAAGAATAGTTATGCTTTTTGGGGGGGTGGGGGTATATAATATGTACAGCGACAGCAATTTCTTCTAGGATGGTTATGTTTCTTGGGCAGCTGGTAAAAACTACAGCAACAATTTCCCCTTAGGATGGTTCTGCTTCTCTTTCAGGGTTGGCGTTTATTGGTACAGTAACAACAGTTTCCCCTAGAATGGTTATGCTTTTCAGGGGGCAAGGAGTATCAATGGGTATAGAAACATCTATTTATGCTAGAATTTCTGCTATTTCTACATCTATTTCTGCTGGAATCTGTTATGCTTTTGGGGGGGGGGGTGTTGCGGAGGTTATAGGTCCAGCAACAGCAGTTTCTCCTATGAAGGTTATGCATTTCGGGGTGTTGTGAATAGGTATGGAAACGTCTCTTTCTCCTAGCACGGCTCTGCTTTTCGGAGGTTGCAGGGGGGCGATATGCACGGCAGCCACCGTTCCCCCCAGGATGCTGGTTCTGCTGGGGGGCTGACCTCTCTCTCCCCCCCCCCCACTCCCTTCCCTTCCTACTCACTACTTGTAGAGCTGCTGCAGGCAGAGGTCCAGGCACTCGCCCTCCACCTCCTCCTCGGTGATGTGCTCCGAGAGCGGCCGGGGCAGCGAGGGCAGCGGCGGCGGCGGCGGGCTGGCCGGCCGGGCGGGAGGCTGCGGCTGCGAAGCGGGCACTGCCGCCGGGGCCACAGCCGGGGGCAGCTCCTCGGGCTGCGCTTCCCCGACGCGGCTGTCTCCGTCGCCGCCGGCTCCCTCCTCCTCGTCGTCGCCGGCGGCAGCAGCAGCATCGTCGCCTTCGTCCAGCGCCTCGTCGTCGGCTTCTTCTTCGCCTCCTCCCTCTTCCTCAGGCGGCGGCGGCGGCTCGCCGTCCCCTCCTCCTTCGCCACCTTCTTCTTCGCCTCCCCTCACGGCTTCTTCTTCGACCTCGACGGCTTCCTCAGCTTCCCGCGCCGCGTCGCCTTCTGCCCCGCCGCCGGACGGGGGCGACGGCTCGGCGCCGAAGGGTCCGCGGAACTCGCCCAGGAAAAGCTCCAGGAAGCGGCGGTAGGTCCGCTCCTCAACGCTCCACGCGCCGCCCGCGGCCATCGCCTCGCATGCCCGGCGGCAGCGGCGGAGGAACAGAAGCGAAAGAGGAGGAGGAGCAGGAGAAAAAGAGCGGCGGCGGCGACAGCTTCCCTCAACGCCGGCCTGCCCGCCCCTTCTCGCCTCCCTCGCTCGCTCGCGCGCGCGCAGGCTCGCTCCTTTCGCTGTCTCTCGCGCTCCCCTCAGTCCGTTAGAGCTCGCGCGCTCCCGCCTTCCCTCCCTCGCGCTTCCCCTCCCACCTCGTGTGCGCGCTCACGGACACAGAAGGCAGAAGGAAGCGCGCGCGAAGGAAAGAATAATAATAATAATAAAAATTTGGCGGGGTTTACCAAGGCGCGCCGCCGCCGCTGCCGTTATTAGCCGTTCGCCTCTTGAGGGTTTATTTTTTTTAAAATGCCGGCGCGTGTATGTCTGTGTGTGTGCGCGCGCGCGAAGGGCGCCCTGAGGGAGACTCGAGCAACTTTCTTTTCGACGCCTGAAACCCACCATATCGCAGCAGGCTGAAGGCAAGGCAAGCCACGGTTGGGTTTTTTAATATTTGTGTGTGTGTGTGTATATATATATATTTCGCAAGATTTATACGCCGCTTGATTGTAATGGAACCTCGAAGAAGAAAAGGAAAATAAAATTATCAGTTACGTGCCTTTGTCAGAAAAAGCCGCCAATTATCCGTTGAAAGCAGCTATTTAGAACATTCAGAAAAAATAATAATGATTAAAAGCAAGGATAAGCAAAAGAGCAGATGAAAACACATGCCGAAGTTCTGCATGTCTGGATAGGCTTGCCTGAAGAAAAATGTTTTTAGCGAATGCCAAAAAAGAGTACAGCAAAGGCACCTGCTTTGCTCTTTAATATTTCCTCTTATTTTAATCTATCAAGATTTATATACTGTTTAATTTGTCATAAAACCAACCAGTTTGCAAGGAATATTGAAATTACTGTATAAAAAAGTTAAAAACAAGTGGTTGAAATGTCTTAAAAGATGATTATAATTAAGAGAGGAAAGAATAATTGCCACACACACAAAGAACAAGGATATAGTTGTGAGTTCCTCACTTGCATTTTTATAAATCATTTATTGTGTCAACGCGAATAGAAGTTATTAATATTGCAGTTGTTGTATAAGGGATTATTATCATGACTGGAATGTAATTGAAACATATAAGATTTTGGAACGCAGAAATAAAGAAAACCATCAAATCTAGCAAGCGGGGGGCCACTTTAACTAAATTATATAATTCAGTATTTTAATGATTGGTATTAATAATTATATTATAAATTAGTATTGCTACAATGAGGCTATTATTGGACTGTAATTGAAAACTAATAAAATTGTATTACAAAAAATAATTAAGAGTGAAAGATTAAAACATGGCAGTATCTCGATAAACATGGCAATGCTTATATATTGTTTGTGTATCTATAATACTAAACTTTAAAAACTCACAATGTTTATTAAAAGGCTTTTATAGACCACTTTTTGAGGGTGTGGGTGTGTGATGGTGTATTTATCATTAAACAGGGTAAGCAAAAAAATTCATTAAATAAATTATTCCCATGATAAATGAATACAGAGGCAGTTGTGCCTCTGACTACCACCTTCAACCTGTTGAGGTGTTTATGTTTCTTGGGCGGCTTTTTCCAAAGGAAATGTATTTGCTTTGCATGCAGAATGTCCCAGGTTCAATCCCCAGCATCTCTAGGCAGGTCTGCAGATGTCTCCTGCCTGAAACCCTGGAGAAAGTCTTGAAATACAAATTTAAAGATTAAAACAGGTGGCTAACCTGTGGCCTTCCAGTTGGCCAAGGAAGCCGGGGTACAGCTTCCGGGTCATGTGGCCAGCATGACTAAGCCGCTTCTGGCGAACCAGAGCAGCGCACAGAAACGCCGTTTACCTTCCCGCCAGAGCAGTACCTATTTATCTACTTGCACTTTGACGTGCTTTCGAACTGCTAGGTTGGCAGGAGCAGGGACTGAGCAATGGGAGCTCACCCCGTCACGGGGATTCGAACCGCCGACCTTCTGATCGGCAAGTCCTAGGCTCTGTGGTTTCTATAAATCCCTTTATTCTTGCCTGTTAGCTATGTTGGCTGGGCCTGATGAGAGCTGGAGCTGGAGAGTTTGGAGCATCCATTCCCCATCCCTGATTAAAAATAACAATGGGTTGTAGCTGACTAATCTGCCTGTAAAAGCCACATATTCCATGGCAATGAATGCTATTTTCTGTAGCCGCAGGCACAAGTCATATTATGCCTTTTATTTACATTATCTTCCACTCCCAAAATTTGGGTGTTCTACTTCCAACCAAATTGTTAGTTGTTTTAGCAACATATTCAGGTTCTTGGTTTTCATCCTGTTTTTCTCTCTTCTGGTGTTGTTTCCAAACAAGCTATATAATGGTGTAGAGCTTCGCCAATACAATTACGCTAATGCCATTAGATGAAATATTGCATCTTCCCGCAAGCTAGCTCGTTCCTTTTCCTTGCCTTTCCATTTCATGATAAATAGCAAAGGGAAAGGGGAAAAAACCCAAACCCAACTGCATTTTATCTCTGCTTTTCCTGCCACTGAAGAACTCCCCAGAGACACAATCCAGAGTCCACATTAAGAGTTTATGAAAATATATCAGAGTCAAACCCTCATTCTTTTTCAGTAGTTCCCTTTCTTTCCTTTTCATTGAGTTGAAAGTGCAAGAGTAGAAAAAGCAAGGAGTTTTGGGGAATAATTAAAAAAAATATCTTGGAGGGAAACCAGTAAGAATGGAAGAGGAACAGATAGTTTAGAAATACAGATTTCCCTGCCCAATTTTAAGCCCCCAGAGCAGAGATGGGGAAACTGTGGTCCTTCAGATGTTACTGGACTCATCAGGGCCTGCCAGCTAGGCTATTGATAAGGGATGATGGGAGTTGGAGTCCAACAACATCTGGAGGGCCACAGGTTCCCCAGTCCTGTTTGGAGGGACCCACCAGTCTGGATGGGGTAATGGAGAAGGTGGGGGTTAGCCAAGAACAATTGGTTATCCCAGGACTTTCCTGAAGAAAGCCGTAAGGAACAATAGACTATATTGTGCTGCCTTTGTTCTCTCTTCCTCTTAACTGTTCCAGTCCAGACTCCTCTCTGAATAGAATAGAATATGAACATAAGAATAGCCTGCTGGACCAAGCCATCTTGTCCAGCATCCCACCAGATGCCCAAGTGGGAAAACCATGAACCGGACCCAAGCACAAGAGCACCCTCCCTTCCTGTAGCTTCCAGCAGCCGATATTCATGACTGCCTCCATTTGTGGAGGTAGAGCATAGCCATGGATAGGCTTATCCTTCAGGAATTTGCCCAATCTTCTTTTAAAGCCATCTAAGTTGGTGGCCATCGCTGTCTCTCATGGGAGAACATCCCATCATTTTAAGTGTGTGCTGTGTGAAGTAGTATTTCCTTTTATCAGTCCCAAATCTTCCAACGTTCAGCTTCAGTGGATGTCCATGAGTTCTATTATGGAAAAAAGAAATATCCTTTCTCCATGCCATGCATGATTTTATAAACTTCTGTCATGTCACCTCTTGCTCGCATGAGTCAGAAGTGTATATATTTCCAGGAATCTCTACATGAATGTTTTTGCCTAGCTGGTGGCTGTGATATGTCCACCCTCCAGATGCTGCTGGATTCCACCTTCTATGATCCCTGAGCATTGGCCACACCTGCTAAGGCTAATAAAACCCCAACATCTGCACAGCCACAGGATCCTCCAGCTGTGTTCAGCACTAGGACAATGTTAAGAAACAATGACCACACCCCCAGCCTTCTAGAAATAACGATCATACTCATCATACTTAAAAGATGCAATTTATAGAGTATTTTCTGTGTTTAAAGCACTTCACATATATTAGCAATCTGTACAATAGCCCTGTGAGGTAGGTCAGAGTCCTTATTATCATCCTCATACTGTGGAAGGGGCTTGAGAAAAGTAGGGCTAACACCTTACTGAAACCATCTATTGAGTTCATGGCTGAGATGATGTTCAAATAGTGACTGGCTCATGATCTTGGAGACTACATTTGATAAAACTGTACAACGTACAGCCTCAAATATATAGATGTATTGATCCCAAAGTGCTCTCTTTAAAGTTTTATTGTACTTCTATTTAAAGCTGCTAGTCTTCATGAAGGAAGATACAAAAATTATGGGGGTATAGACAATTTAGTAAAGTAAAAGGACGTCATGTTTACCATACTGGAGCTAGGATATCCTGACCTCTACCCTCACCTTGTGATTTTTAAACAGTTCTTGTTAGCCGTCCCAGACTTAGCTATTAAACAGGGATGGACTTGTCAGACTTCCCAATGTCAAAGCGGCTTCTTGATAGATTAATGGCACACCAGGCATGAAGCTAAACATATGCAGCTCACACAGAGAAACAGCCGTTGGAGCTTGAAGGAATTATCACCCTGGTTAAGGACAATAGGTAATACGATTTATACCATTTATGGAGACTTGTAAAATGTTTTATATCTCAGTTCATGATAAGCTCCACAGGACACCCAATAACCCCACAAGATGCACAAAAGCAATAATTGCTTTCCCCACCCCCAAATCCAAGACAATTGGAATCACCCAAATGAAATGCGGAAATACAACACGTCCACAGGCTGCAGTCCCTCTCCCTTGCTCTCCCCCTCTCTCTATTTCATGGCAAATTACATATAAATGAAACAAATTTAGCCGTGGACACCGTCCAGTGTACTCCCATATGCCAGCCATGGTGCCGTCCCTTTCTCTTGATCAAATTGTGATGCCCAGGAGCAGGACTTCTTGGCTACAGAGCCCTTGTCATTTGGTTGGGGGGGGGGATTGTGTCTTGCATTTCAAGTCCAATGTTGTATATCTAGTATTTGGCAAAATCTCTTTTTTGAGAGGGAAGGTGCAAAAACCCTCTTGATTAACCTGCTGTGTGTAACATATGGTAACTGTGGCTGGTGTAGTTGAGTTAGACAACCGAGAAATCTGAATTTGATTCAGTCTGACATTGCGATGCTGCATGGAATTAGCAATTGGGATCACAGAGCATAACTAGGTGTTACCTGGGTCTATAACGGGGGTAAAGTAGACATACTGAGTGGCAAAGGTGTAGTGAGGTATATTCATGACATTTTACTCTAGAATTAATGGAGACTTGCGTACATGTCTTTTTCTATGTAGCCCACAAATGATCTGCAACCACTGCATTTTTTGCCTCCAAAATACAACCCTCTGCAAAGAGTTTCACCACCATTCAAGGTGCTCATAAACCAGTATATGCATATTTCATTAATGCACTTGGAGATGTATGGGAATGTCTTCAATTAAACTAATAAAAAAGTATCCTGCAGTTTCCAGTGACAAGCATAAACCAGTATAGCAACCACTAGCAACCTTTGCCAATTCCCATCATCCTCAGTCAGCATAGGAGTTGTAGGCAACAGCACCTAGTGCCCACACCAAGTTGGTGAAGGCTGCAGTTTACCACTTAATGCTATCTCATAAATCTGGCATAAATTGAATAAGACAAGGAAGGCAAAATACATAGTTATAAACATTACTGAAAGAGACTAGGACAATAAGTATCCAAAATGCTCAAAATCTGTAACAGGTTCACCAAATATGGAAGCAGTCTGCTGCATTTTTGGCACAGTACCAGCAGCTACTATTTCTAACTGTACAGATTTTGTTTAATTTCAGAGGCATCAAATGTCGTTGCATTACCATTTTTATACAATTCTCTTCCAATAATGAGCTCACAGTGCTAACAATTTCCAGATCCAAAAAGTAAAAGACAAACTTTCTGGGGGAAAGGGGATCCCATTATATGTACTTTCCCTGTTTTGGTTGATGATATTTTATAGATGGAGTATTAATAATAGAAATAATAAAGGCACATTTTATACCTTTATTAAGGTTGGGGGAAAATATTTGTGCTTGGACTCATAATCAGGTTTGCAAAATCTGTTGGATTTCTGGTAAATTAATGTTTTCCAACTCAATAGACAGGAGATTCCTTTTCTGAAGATACTGAAATAAAGGATATTGAAATTGTGGTACTCATTGGCATAACTCTTAGTAAGAGAGAATATAGTGGTCTTTCATTATCAAAAATGAAGGCTATATAGTGGTATATTTTATGTTTCCCCCAGAAATCAAAATATCCAGCTTATTCATGGAGTCTGGATCTTGACTCTCTGTGGACAGGAGCTCTGTGGAATGTTCTATGTAGATGACTAAAGGTTGGGGTAAGGAGTGTAACTTAGTGGTAGAGCAGCTGCTTTGAATGCAGAAGGTCCCACATTCAATCCCTGGCAACTCCAGATAGAGCTGGGTGAGACTCCTGCTCAAAACCCTGGAGAGCTGCTGCTGGTCAGTGTAGACATTACTGAACTTGATGGACCAGTGGTCTTAGTTGGTATAAGACTGATTTCCATGTTGATATCTAAGAACTGGAGAAAGTGGATATATAAAAGTCGCTAAAATGAAGTGGTATTTTAAAGTTGTTTTCAAGGTCACCATGACCTTGTTTTTAAAACTCTTCTGTTTTTTCAGCATTAAAATGCCTTTTCCAACATGCAAGCACATTTTGTAAGCAAATTATGCATCTCTTTCTTCCCTCAACAGCACATGAAAAGTGCGTTAGTAAAACCTGACTTTGCCATACAATGGTTTGCCAACCATTACAATTCACTGTCATCACCATTCTTTATAAGTCACTCTCTTAACCTAGCCTACCTTACAGGGCCGTTGTGGGGAGAAAATGGAGAGGGGGAGAAAATGGTGTACACCACCTTGAGTTCTTTTGGTTAAAGGTAGGATAGAAATGTAATAATAACAAAAATAAATTGCAGTGTGGTAATATGCATGTGGTGTATTTTGCCAACTTATTTTTCAAGTAATATTTTCTGATTTCATTTGGGATGTAACACACAATCAAGTCACCAGCATTTTCCATTTCACTTGTGGGTTGCTGTCACGAACAGTTTCCAAATATGGCATACTGCACTTTTAGCCAGTACTGTAAACCTGAAATCAAATCGTTCAGAACCATGGACAACGGTCTGAACTGGAATGGATTTTCACGTTCCATCTAATAAGAATACCCTTTTGCAAATTTATCCCGCACTGACAAATTTCTAATTGCATTTAAGCATAAATACTAAATAAGAAACACTGGGCTCTGGGCAAAGACAGTATTTAGGATGACCGGTTCTGCATGTATGAATTATTACCATCAAAAGCCTATATTGACATTCAAATCCAGAAGTTCTGGGTTGGAGTCACAATCAATAGTTTTGCCATGTACTGCAACAGACCCAGGAATCTGTCCCAGGTTACGAAAACTGCATTATCCTAAAGGTGTCTCATAAATTCTCTGTATATTGAAGTGCTTTAATATGCTTGAGTGGTGTATCCAGACATTCATTACGGAATGGCAAATGGAAATAAATTTGCAATCTGATCTACCATCCATTTAAGCTGAAATGCTTGGATTCATGGGAGCTGTGTGCCATTTGAGGCAAACAAGGACTACACCAAACATAGCGAGGGTCTTGCTTGGGGGTGATCCACAGACATCTGGTTGACCACTGTGAGAACATAACTCTGGACTGAATGGGCTATTGCCTGGTCCAGCAGACTCATTTTATGTACTTACCCAACATCAGCCACAGTACATCCATTGGAATTAATGGGTTGTTTCCAACTATTTTACCCAGAGTGGACCCACTGAAATGAAAAGGCCCAAATTGGTAATGTTCATTTATTTCAATATGTCTGCTCTGAGTAGGGCTAGCATTGAATACAACCAAATGGACCAATGTTAGACATGCCTATTAATTTCAATGGGTCTGAACAACATTAGACTGAACATAGAACTGTTCAACATGAGGATGAACGACATTGGACTGAAACCCGATCCTTCTGGAGAATTGCCAGAGTTAAAAAAGAAAAGATTTGAAGCTCGTTTGACAAAGGTTTTCTATTTTCAGAGACTGACGCTTTCAGATCCAGACAGCACAAGCATATTCAAAGGAGTGTCAGTGTGCTTTTTTATATCCAAACATATGTTGCACTTCATTCCATCAAGAGATGCTGAAACCTTTTGAACCATGTCTTGCAAAGTAAGGCTGGGAACCCAACACCAGACAAACAAACAAAGCTCATACCGATGAGTTTTTCACTCCGTCAAAACTATATATACAATATTCTTTTTAAGCGAGGTAAACTAAATGTATGCTGCTCAATACAGCATTGTGTTTTCTTTCCAATGAGCTCTCAAGGTGAAGAACGTGGCAGCTTAAAGACTCTTCAAGTTACAATGATGGAAGGTTTAGTGAGCCTGGGTTCATTACATATTGTGCCTGTCATGTATGAATGCAGAAGAGTATGGAACAAAATGAAACGAATGAGGTTGGCTACTAGAGTGGGCCTTTCCAGTGTTGGCACCCCCAGAAAGGTCTACCTAGTGCCTACACAATGACCTTTTTAGGTTTCAGGTGAAGGCATTTTCAGTCACTAATATTTCGTTGCTGCTTTTTATATGTTTTGCTGGATGTCATTCTCTGTTCCTGGTTTTATTCTGTGTTAGATTTTAGTTTCCTATTGTGGTTTATGTTTTTGAACTTTACCTGTGAATCACCCAGATGGCTTTTGTCATTAGGAGTATATAAATATTGGAAATAAGTAAATCAATAAACCAAGCAGGTGCTTTGCAACTGAGTTACTGCTCCTTCTCCAAGGGACATTACTTTCCCTTCATATACTGGGGCAAACAAATTGTGTTTCTCTCTAACCTTTTATTGCCTTGTTAAAAATCCCAGTAATGCATGCAGGGCTGTCCCACCCATGAGGCAAGGTAAGGTAACCGCCTTGAGCAGCTGCCGGGGGCAACAGATCCGGCTTTCAAGGAATGAATTGTACACTGCCATAATGGAAGCTGGATCTGCCGCCTCTACAGCATCCTCTCGGTGAATAGGGGGCACTGCTGCTCTCCTCCCACCTCTAGGGAGGAAATGACAGAGGCTGCCCTCTGAGGTCTGCCTCTGCCTGGCATGATTCAGAGCAGATCCTGTTCTCCCACCTTTGTGGCAACCTTTGATTCCCACCTTTGGGTGGGAGCTCACTGAGTGACTGTGTGGACTGATCTCCACTACCTCTTAAACCTCACCTACCTTTTGGGGGTTTTGTGAGGATAAACTGGGGGCAGGCAGTAGAACCATAAATGAGGTCCTTGGAGGAAAGGCAGGATATAAACAAAACAAATAACCTGTGAGATTTATTACCCTGAAATATTGTAATCAAAAAGGGAAGAGGTCCTTTAAATGTTTTTGTGGGGAGGGGGGATTTTTGTACTGTTCCGTTCTTATTTTGTTGTTGGCATCTGTCTGTCTTGGGAGACAATGGAGGAATGCACCTTTGGTGGTGAAGTGAAGCTGTTGGAAGGTTAAAGATTCTGGTGTGGCTATAGACCCCGATACAGCAGAGGCATGTTTTGTTTCAGTTGGGGCAGATGAAGGCGTTCGGTTGTACTGCTGCAGATGCACCATGGAGTTTCTTCTCTGCACTCTTCCCAGCTGTCATTTATTATGCACTTTGTGGCTTTATTCTGTATTTTATGCTGTGAACCATCCTGAGATCTTTGGATGAAGGGCGGTATACAAGTTTAATAAACAATAAATAACAACAATAATAAAAGAGGTGGGAACCTCAGCCCTGGGGGCCAAATCTGGCCCTCAGAATTCTCCCCAAGCCACACATCCCCACTGGGGAATCCACGTGTGTGTGAAATTTCTGTAAAGAAGGCCTAGCACACAGCTGCTGGCTCTACCACACATCTCTCAGCGCTGGGTTTACTGATGTCTTACATGATGTATAAACTTAGCGCTGGCCCTCTGCCCATTTACACAGCTCAGAATAATGGCAGTTGATTTATTTTGTCTTACGGAGTCCCGCTGCCTTAGGAAAAACGTTGGCCTCAGACAAACCTTCATAGCCCCATAAAAAATAAATTGCAAATATAATTACCATACACCAGGGCAGAATAATACTAGTTAATTAGTCCTTCTATGCAATTACACTTCCAAACGCAGGTGGACACAACCTCTATCGACAGTGTATGTGAGCACTCCAGAGTGGATTTCTATTCTAGGGCACACTCATTATTTCCTTTCATTTACTGCGGTAAATGTTCCAGAAGTAGATTTACAGTAAGCCTTTCAAGCCAATGCCAATGCCAGCATATATCAGCAAATCAAAACCACTTAAAAACTGGAGCCCACTGCTAATTCAAAGTCTGCATTATAAAAACCATTACATCATTTAATTCATTTCTAAGACTGATAGGTCCTGTCTTTCAATCAAATGATCTCCAAGGTGGCTTGCAACAGGGTAAACCATAAAGAGGACTCAAATCTAACAACACTGAACAGAAAATGGCACCTAGCTTCACTCCACCTCCAAAGGGATAACCTCAAAGTGATGCTACCACTTTGGTGGCAAGCCCAGCAAGAAATGGCTCCTGCAACCAGAAACTGTGGCAGCAGAATTGGGTGGTAATGAGTCACGAGAATCCTCACTGTGGTAGAATGGGCTGTATTATTTCAGATGACAGGTGAGGAGGGCAAGGAGGAAATCAGTGTTAATGTTTCCTGAGGAAGGGGGGAGGAATCTCCCTGCAAGTAGAAATCCAGCATGGTAAGTAGTAGTTTAGGATAGACAAATCTTTTACCCAATAAGGTTAGTGTCCAGGGATGGCATATTTTGGACAAAAAAGATATCACTTGCAGCGTATCTGATTCCACCAGCACAGAGTTTTTTGCTTTAAAAAAGACACAATTATGGTAGGTTTATTCTGCTTCAGAGCTGATTGCTACAAAGGGTCCTGATTGGTGTGTTGGGAGTTTTTATTTACGTATTCTTCAAAACAGAAAATGCTGGTAACAATATGGAATTAAGTGCCTCATTTTCTCTTTCTAGAACAGAGAATTAAGCATTTTCCAAAAACCTTAACACAAGTTACAACTACAGGGTAATGCTACTGCTAAGCTCTGTGGTAGGGACTTGAGGCTTGTGGGGTAGCAATTATTACCTCCTCCAGCTCCTAAGCAACGAGCTTTGCTGTAGTATCAAATTAAATAATACTAATAATCAGCAGGATCTTTGGGATTCGTGCATTTAGATACAATTGGCATTTCGAGGATCAATCCCCAAACAAGCTGACATTTCCTTTTTGAGTCAACGTGACAAAATTGGACAGCTAAACGTCTTATTTTGCACAATTACAGGCGTCTCTCATTTCGGTATTGTGCTGCTTTACCCCACGTTAACATGCAAAGCTAAATCTAACAGCCACAAACGAAGAGGGGTGTGTCTGTGTAAGAAAAACAATTGCACCTGGCTGTACATGTAAACCTACTGTTAAGAGGCAGATTCTGTTCTGGCTTGAAGTGGAATGCTCACTACAGTACCTTGCAGATGCTCCCAAGCAAAGGTCATGATGAGGCACAGGTGAAAGGGCAAAGGGCAAGATCTTGCTAAAGAATAAGCCAATGTCACTCATAGGAATAGGAGTGCACAGCTGGAAGGGAAACAGAAAACCATATTATGGATTGTATTATTTGTTAACTGCCTAACACAGGGCAGGCTCTAGGCAACTTTTAGGCAATGTTTAAAAACTCTTACACTGATGTGAAGATGATGTTAGAGTCTGTGCTAGGTTGGCCTCCCAGGGGAGAGTATTATAGTGGGGGCGGGGTGATGGTGTTGACAGAATAATAGCCACATCAGTTCAAGGCAAGATCTGACCCTGCAGCTTCTCTTTTCAGGAAGAATTTGAATGCAATGTCTTCTACCCAAGACTCTCTTGCAGGGCTGAAAGCATAAGGCTTTAACATGCATTCTGCATGCTTTAAGCTTTGAGAAAGCACCCAGCACTAATTATTTTGCTTTGAATTTTCTGCTGGATTCTGTGGATATACATTTTATATATACCGTATGTAAAAAAGGTATAATTATTAGGTGGTAGCCTCAACACTGCCCACCAGCGAGTGACATCTCTTTTTCTTTAAGGATAGCGTAAAACATACCGTATACGAGACAGCTCTTTAAAAAAAATTATCCACCATGGAAGATAAGAGGCTTAGAACCATAACCATGACATGTATCAAAATAACTGAGTGAACAGAGAAAGATTTTCCCTCTCGTAGCCAGGCAGAGTAAGCACCAATCAATGCTTCAATCAGTAGCAATCAGCGGCTCTTTTTAAGAAAGGCGTCACAACATCCCTCAATTACTATCCCGTTTTCCATGTGGCTAAGCAGGCGTAGCCAGTATATCAAACACCCCTCTCAGCTGGCACTGCCAAGACGTAAGCAGCTATTATTATTCCCAAACAAAGCGTTTGCTTGTTGACATCACCCACTGTAGGATCCTTTTGTCTTGCGCATGTCTCCTGCGCCAAAAATGGTTCATGTCTGAGTCACAACTTGGTGTCCTCTCCCTCCCTCTTCTGTCGGCTCCTCTTTAGTTTCAGCACTGGCAGGGAAGCTCTTCCTGACTCACCGACTCCGAAATTTGACAACATCTCACGTTCCCAAAATGGAACCCTGAATATTTCATTACCCTGATAAACCTCCAACGCTCTTGTGCCCTAGAAATACCATGTCTGTTTTTAAGTCTACACGTTACATTTTTAAAGTGCCATGATTGATGCCAACTGCCATACTTGACCGCAAAAAGTTGTTTGAAGATTAATTTTTTAATCAGAATAAAGATGCAGTTTTCTTCTTCCTTTTCACCTTTTGTGGGTACTTCTAAGTGATCTGCTTATTGAGCTTTCTTCCTGTTCGGCAAAGAAGAACTTAGATGACGTTGGCTATTCAATGACCATTCCTTCTGATTTGTTTGCAGGGAGGTTAGATGAAGCTGCATCAAAGCAAGTATCACTCCACATTTTCAGCATGCATTTCCCCACAGCTTTTCTTACTGGAAAAAGCCCAGTATTATGGGAAGCAGTTTTGTTGTCCAAGGCTCCCATTCAGCTATAATGGGGCAGCCTGGAAGGGCTCAAATCTGCTCTGCAGGGCTGCAGGTTTTATCCAGATGTATCATGTATTAACAGAGCAGGTGCAGCACCAGAGCAGAAATGACTGCTTTCTCAAGCCAGATGTTGCATGTAACACTGCTTTTAATATGTGAATGTGCACCCGTCTATCTGAACACACTGCCGGTGTGTTTGTGGGTCAACTTCTGAGCTATGCCTCTTAAGAAACACCAGAATTTGACAAAGCAACCCAGGAAATTGCCTTATCTGTCAGACAGAAGTTTCTGTCTAGCAATGATTGGCAGCAGCTCTCCAGGGTTTCAGATGGGGTCTCTCCCAGGTATAGGAACACAGGAAATAGCCTCATATGAAACCAGACCTTTGATCCATCTAGCTTTGTTTTGTCTATGCTGATTGGCAGTGTCTCTCCAGAGTTTCAGCCAGCAGGGGGATAAATCTCTTCCAAACCTACCAGGAGATGCCAGGGATTCAACCTGACAGCTTTTTCATGCAAACCACGTACCCTGCTACTGAGCCACGTCCATTTTAAAGAAAGAGCATGTGCAGGGCAGAATGCACATACTGGAGCAATCTTAATTTCCAGCAATTCTTATTCAGTTCTATGCAATAAACTTAAATAGGCATTGGGGAAGCAAGGAAAACAGCCACAGCTCTGCTCTTTGCCCAGTCTCAAACTGTGGTCAATAGCCAAGGGGGCAGCTGGAAGTTGCTCAATGGCCCCAAGCAGTCACCTCAGGGATAGTTTTAAGCCCTGGCTGCCATTCAATCCTATGGGAGAAAATGAGGCCAGGGGATGGGAAAGTGTTTACAGCCCAGGGGCCGCGTTCCCTTCTGGGCAGCTATTCAGGGGTCACATGCTGGTGGCTGGCGGAGAAGTGGGCAGAGAGCAATGTAAATTTCAGCCTTGCAGGCCAGTTTCTGCACACACCCACACATCTCTCTCTATCCTCCTTCCAGAGTGAGCATGAAGCATTGTCAGAGTTCAAGGATGCATTTTAGCTAGGCAACGACACTAAACAAAGGTGTGAAGGCAGGCCAGCAAGGGATGTTCCACCTGGAGAGAGAAGAGTGTGTGGCCTGGGGAGGGTCCCAAGGGCTGGGCAGAGAAGTCTGGAGGGCCACATTTGGAGCGTGGCTTTGAGGTTCCCTACCTCTGGACTTCATGATAGTTCCAGTAAGTCCTTCCTGGCATTGAAGGCCTGGCTGCCACAGAGTTGAACCCCGCAAGTGGCTGAAGTTTGCCTTTCTGCTGCACAGCAAATATCTCGTATCAGCCAGTGTCCTATCCTCCATTCTAAGAAAACCGGAGAACAAGTTTGTGGCACTGTAAAGACTACAGGCATATCTTGGATGTATTGCAGGTTCAGTTCCAGACCACCACAATAAAACGAATATTGCAATAAAGCCACACATTTTTTTTGTTTCCCAGTACTATGGTCAAAATTAAGCCAGGTCCTGCTGGCTGCAGGGGTGGAAGGGGAGAAAACAAGCTCCATCCCTAGCCAGCTCCATTTCTGTGGTTAGAAGAGAAGTGTTGACAAGGGGGGGGGGCTTCCTTCCCCTGGAAGCAGCTGGGCTGCCTTTCAGTTGCACCCACATCCTTGTAAGGAGCAATATCTGCGAGGCACAGTAAAGCGAGGTGCAATAAAGCAAGGTATGCCTGTATAGATAAAAAATCATTTCAGAGAACAAGCTCTTGTGGGCTACAGTATACTTCACCATTAATTTTATGGCATGGGACTCTGCACCAAGCACCTACCTCTCTGGAAACTGGTAACTAGTTGTTTTAAATATATACATTTTCAAGCTTTATTTAGAAAGAAAAAGAGTGGGGTCCAGGGGTGAGTGATGGGAGACATGGAGGGGAGATAAAAATCACACCATGGTATGGATTAGCAATAAACAAATTCCCTACCCCACCCCCAAATGAAATAGTCTCTTGAACACTCTGATGTTCTCCTTCAATGCAAACCATTTTCAAACTGAGCTGCTACTACTCCAGGTCAATTTTCTTCCATCTGTTCTGTCCGTGGTCTTTTACGAGGGTTTGCTTCACTTTCTGCCGGTGTACGGTTTGGAGATGGAAGCTGAACGTCTCTGAATCCATGAGTCTGTAGAGAAGACAAAGAATAAAGTAATAGGACAGTTGGAAAGCTGCAAATAAACTAAAATTTTAGGGATTCAGCAGCATTCCCATAGATCAGGAGTAGTTTGGTAACGGGGCTCAGCCCTTTTCCTCATCCATTTCACCTGTGCATCCAGGCAATGGCCCAGGGACTTCACGACATTTCCCGATTCAGATGTTATGGAGAAACAGAACCGAGTGTCATCGGCATACCGATGGCAGCTTTGCCCCAAAACTCATGACTGCTCCCAATGGCTTTATCATGTGGATTATTAAATAGCACCAGAGATAAGATCGTCCTCCGTGTCACCCAATAGCATAGCTGCCAGGGGGCCTAAAGGCGCTCTCTCAATGATATTCTGTGGACTCTGTCTTGAAGGTAGGATTGGAACCACTATAACACAGTGCCTCCAATTCCCAATCCCTGGAGCCGGTCCAGGAAGAAACCATGGTCAATGGCATCAAGTGCTGACAAGAGATCAAGGAGCAGGAGCAAGGTCGCACTCCTACTGTCCCACTCTGCAGGGTGACCAAGGCTGACTCAATTCCGTGGCCAGGACTGAACCTAGGTTGGAATGAATCTAAATAATCTGTGTACTCCAAGAATGTCTGCAGACTGCTGCTCCTTCTGTACCACCATCTTCAGCCATGCTGTTCCCTGAAATGACCCCCACCCACCCAAGAATGGTCCTTTCTTACTTGTTGCTCCTTACGTTTAGAACTGCTACCCCCAATACTTGACAATGACACTCACCTCCCTCCCTTCATTCCCATCTCCCTTCAAAACTTAACTTTTTCATGGTGTTCACAGCATTCCCAAGCCCTAAATGATCTACTGCAGGGGTAGCCAACACAGTACCACCCCAGTCATCACTGATGACTGACCAGACTGTTTTGGGATGATAGGAGTTGCAGTCCAATACTGTCTGGAGGCCATCCCCTTGGTTACTTCTGCCCAGGTTTTAACTAGGCCAATTTAAATAACTACGTACATGTTCTTATACTTTATCCTTGCCTCTAGGTTTTTCACTCTGTCTACCTTATTTATGTAAAACATTTATATCCCATCTTTCCCCAAATTAGTCTTAAGCCAACCAATGACATCCCTACTAAAAATAAAAATGAAACTGCAAAGCCCAAATGGAAGAAAATGATGCGAAGAAATGAAACCTATAAAAGCCACAGCAGGAGACAAAACAGTAACTGCAATTAGCACATTATATCGCCAGAGTAAAACTGTAACAATCAACTATAATCACTAATAATTAAAGGCCAGGGGCCTTTCTAAAATAAAATGAAAAGGTCTTTGCCATCTGCTAAAATGTCATAAGGGAGAGGCAAGACAATGGGAAGAATTCAACATGGCATAAGCAGAAGCCTTTGCGCAAGGCTTCTGTTGATGGGACTCATTAGCTGAATCCCCGCATTCCATACAATACATTCACATCTGTACCACTTTCACAGTCACAGCTTCCTCCAAAGAACCCTGGGAATTGTACTTTATCCCTCCCAAAGCCACAACTCCTAGCACCCTTCATGAACTGCATTTCCCAGGATCCTTTGGGGAAGCCATGAACTTCAAATGTATGGTCTGAATGTGCCACCTTTCTTCCTATATACAGAAAAGGTGTTGGGGGGGGGCTCTAGGTGGCATCTGGAGCAAGCAGACGACAGCCCTTAAGGTGTGTGTATACACACACCCATTCTGTTGTCAGGCCTGTTCTGAGAAAGGGGAAGCACACTTCAGGTGGCTACCAATTGCTCAAGGAAGCAGTAAAGTTGTTTCAGAAAATATGACATTTCAAGCTGGCCGAGTGTGAAACATCAGGTGGAATTACTATCTGGTGTGACTTTTACAAAATGCCAGGAGGTCCTACGAGCAGGACCAACTTGATCCGTAATGAAAGCAGCAAGTGTTTCTTTCTTGCTGATCTCTGGGAACTTTCAGCATGCTGCATTACAAACTGTCTTGCCGTGTGTGGCAAATCGGGTCATTCGTTTTAAGAGACATGCCAGAAGGGCAAAATCTAGACAAGATGCCCCTGCTGTTTTGTCATTACGTGTTTGAGTCTATGAAGTGCATAATCAAAAGGTTTAATGTTTCACTACTGCTATGACACCCCTTTCACTGCAAATGTCAGTGGAGTCTGGTTCATTAGGGCAATTGAGGCACTGTCTCACCAAGCTCAGTCTGCCCTCACCAGCTAACGAGCCCATGGGGGCAACCCAGCCAGATGGGTGGGGTATTATTATTATTGCCTGCCATCTTCCTCCTCTTTAGCCTCAGTGTTTTGCCTTGTAGAACTCAGCAGGGAGGAGGACAGGGACAAAACTAGAATCATCTAGCTCTGCCTGCCATTGGCTCTGGCTCCTCCTGTTGGGATCCCAGCCTTTTGCCCCATCAATCACCATGGCCACCAGCCACCCACTTGCAAATGTCATATCCTCCCTCAACTTGCTCCTGAAACCAAGTTTGTTCAAGCAAAAGTATTCCAGCTGTTATATAAGCTAAAAATTATGCATAATCGGAGTAACAGTGGCACTTGAATTGCCTTTTTTTAAATATGACTTTTGTTGCAAAACATTTTACATACAACAATGAAAAAAGGACTCCAGACTAAATATACCCAACTCCCTCAACCGTTCCTCATACGGAATGGTTTTCAGACTCTTTGTCATCCTGGTCACCCACCTCTACACATTCCAGCTTATCAATATCTTTCTTAAACTGTGATGCCCAGAAGTGGACACAGAACTCCAGGTGGGGTCTGGTCAAATCAGAATAGAGTGGTACTATTAATTCCCTTCTTCTGGACACTATACTTCTGTTGATTGCATCATCCTTAGCTTAGTTATGCCTTTGCCAAAATGAATGTCACCTATTAAATTAACTCCAGCTACTTCCTAGACGTTGTGCGATCTTTGATCTGAAATTTCTCTAATAAAGCCTGACCTCTTACTGGTAAGTAACTTTTAAGCAGCCTTTATAGCATACATTTGCCTGAATGGACAGCTTTTCACAACCGTTCTTACAGCATTTGGCAAAGTCTCGCACGGTACAAATTTAGAAACCACCCAAATTCTACAGACTGGAGGGTGGGTGAATGAGCAAGAGACAACTTATTTAAAAAACAAAAAACTCTTGATCAGCAACAAGCCTTCAGTTTTGAAGATGTAAGCATTCTCTGGCCATCTACAGATGGGACCTGTTCTCACTGCACAGTTTTTTAGAAAATGGAAAAAACATCTGCCAGTTTAAACCATCTTATTCAGGAATCCCTAGTGCAGAATTTAGCACTCCGAAGGTTTTTAAAAATGTTCAGCATGAAATAATAATGCTCCATTATTCTAGAGTCAGGTAGGTACGCTAAGCTAAATACTGTGACCTTGTGTATAACAACTGAAGAAACTGTAACTTTGTACATAATTTTAAAGCACATTAGTTCCTCCAAAGAATCCTAGGAACTGTAAGTTGTTAAGGGCACTGGACATTATAGCTCTATGAGGAATAAACTACTGATCTCAGGAGTCTAGGGGGTGGGGATCATGTGTGGTGTATACACAGCCTGTGTGTCATTAAATACGCGAGGTTGTAAATCAAGGTGGTATCTTTTATTTTACCAGCATTTACTATGTCGGGTGGGGAAGGGTTCCTTGGGAGGAAGGGCAGGATCAATAAATAATAATGCTTTTAAGCTTCTCACAAGCAAATGGAAAATTTTCCATTACCATTTCTTGGTGTCCAGCACAACTCTGAAGTGAAGCTTGAAACATATCATATTTAGCAACAACATTGTTCCACAAAATGCTGTGACATTGCCTTTACTCTGTGCCTTGCTCTGTATAACCATGAGGACAACAACATTACCCTGAAATGAAAGAGGCGACCAACTGTCTTGCCAAGAAACAAATGGAAGGCAGCTTCCAGTAAAAGACCAAAGAGTTTGTAAATTTCATGGCTCTGCTCAGAACTGTGTGGTTAATTAAGAACACAGATTTCTACAGATGCGCTCTCTGAATCATACACTCTGCTGCACTGATCAAGCTGGCTAAGGAGCAACAACCCCCCCCCGTTAAAAAAGTGGGTGGAGAAAAGAAATAAATGTTCGTGTTTTTAATCTGCATTTTTAATCATTTTACTGTGCACATTTGGTTTTTAAAACTACATTATTTCAGCTGTATTTTTCATAGATACTTTACATGCTTTTAAGTAAACTGCTTTGAGAAGAGCCTGCTAAATCAGGCCAATGGCCCATCTAGTCCAGCATCCAGCAAACTTTCTCACCCTACTGTATTTTGTTGATGGCTGGAGTGCTGTGAAGCAAGCAAACCACATAAAGCTTTAGAGAGGCTGGTAACGGCACATCTGCAAAGCAGTCTTACTCCAAGAATTGAAAGGTCGCATTTTTATCCCCCCAAAGCCTCAGTACTCAAAAGGCAGCGTTTTCGCCCTAAAAAAACAAAAACGTAAGAAATGCTATGGCAACATGTTACCAGGAGCACACATGGCAAGCGAACAGTTACAATGTGGTAAGCTATGCTCTTGACATTTGAAGAGAAGAGTTTAAAATTGGTTCTGCTTGCTTGGCTCTGTCTTCTGCAAAAGCTGCCCATTACGAAAAGAAAGCCCGGCTATCACAATATTTGCTGAAGGATTATTTCTAAGGCCTAGGGATGCAGGAAGGCAGCAATCTCTTCTCCAACCTATATTCATCAAAATCAGCGCAGCTTCTTTTTCACTGCAGTTCAGTTTCCACCAAATACAACGCTTTTCATTCCGCTGTCCATTATTTAATAGAGACTGCCTAACATGCATAACAATTCACGTAACTTAGATTCATTTTGTCATAAAGGAAACTTGAAAACCTTGTTTAAAAAGGTAATTAATTACGTATCCTTTGCAAACTTCAAAAGCAACAACGTGAATTAATACCAATCGTCTTTGTTTGGCTGGCTTCTGTTCCTGACCACAAAGAAACACAAAAACTGTGGTAAATTCTGAAGGGGGTGGGGGTCTCAAAAAAAAGAGACGTCCCTACTTGAATTGAGCCACTATGAACATTTCTGCTATTAGCTCACCTTGGAAGACTTGCAGCTGCTCCAAAAGCACAACCTTAAGTATAGATACCCTGCCCTCACTTTTCAGCTCCTAATCCTGGCCCTGCTCCCGCCATCCGCAATGTACTTACCGTTACACAAAATGGCACCGTTGATTCCTTCTGACTTGGCGACTTGTACAGCGTTGCCAATCTGTATAGGATGGAAGGCATTGTGATTTCAGTGTCACTGCTCCCTTGTTTAGCTCATGTTACATTTACAAATATTTGACAGCATGTGCGCATAACACCATGGCAGACCAGTGTAGGGCACCCTCCCTGCACCAGTCAGGCCCCTCCTGATGACATCAATCTCTGCCTACTGGGCTATGCTAGAGATTGCTGTCTAACAACATTTGGGAAGACACCAGGTTGAGCAAGACTAGTACAGCAAGTGCAACTTCACTGGTAAGCTTCTTCGCCAATCAGCCAAAGGGCACAATTCACCCAGGAAGTTCTTCTGATGCAGAAATTCTGATGCAATGATCAGGAGCTGTGCAAAAATAATATGACGTCCCACATGTTTTATTGTTTCCTTTTACATTCTGCCAATCAACCACGGGCGGTTTGTGAGGTCCCATTCATTTTAGTAGGCCCTCTGTACAGAACATTTTCCAAAATATGAAAAATGACACCTATATAGATCAGGGATCCCAAAGCTTTTTGAGCCAGTGGGTACCAGTCACAAAATGGCTCCTGTGGGGGCATGGCACAACAAAAAATGGCTGCCATATTGAAAAAAGAAGAGAGACTAGAGCACAGAATGATGTGGGCCTTCACCGTATGCAATCAATGGCAGAAAGGCATCTACACCAGTGACTGCTGTACTTGCTCACAGAGAGAAGCTCTTTGCACCGCTCCTCAGCGGAAAATGAGAGGAAAGGTGTCAAATTCTGGCATCCTACAAAAACTGGGAAGGTGTAAGGGTGCGTGTTCCATGTAGGAGAAACTGAATCAGTGCAACCAGGTACTGAGAAGGAAGATTAAACATTCTCATGCACTGTGGATTTTTAGTGGACATTTATTGGAACCTTTTGCAGGCACCCTAAGAGGTGTCTGTGGACACCATTGCTGGTAACTACTGAAATAAATGGGTGGTCTCAAAACAGTGGGGACCACCAGAAACAATACACCTATGACATGAGCAGCAGGCATTTTGCAGCCTGCGACAGGTGGGCCCCACAAGGCTGACAACACATAGAAGAGATGCTTGAAGAAGGGAAGGGGGAAAAGGCTGTAGCAAGCCGTTTCCCCCTTTGTGTTCCTGCGTCCTTAATCGGCACTGCACTTGCCGGTTGCGATTTAGAGTCTGTTAGCCATGTTGGGCACTTTTCAAAATGAAAAGGTGGGATATAAACTATTTTAAATTAAGCAGAATGGCATTCATTTGTTTCACCCCAGAGTCTTGGGGTGTGTGTGTGTCAGGAACTTCCTGCTGAAACCCAAAGTGGGGAGAAAGTGAAGCCTTTGTCCTCATCACTCCCCGGGAAAATATTCTGCCTTGCTCTGAGATAACCTGCCAAGGTTGCTGTTAATTATTTTTAGGGCTTCGGCTGCTTCTCCTTCCCCTCAGTGCCATTCTATTAGAAAGCAAGTAATTACCGCCCGAGGAAGATTACCACTTCACATTAGCTGCAGAGGGAATTCCTTAGAACATTTAAATTGGTGGGTTGTACTTTACAGAATAGCCTTAATCTTGAGACACCCTAAGCCATGTTTTTAAGAGGCTCTTGGTTGGAGTTCTGCTGGGTGCCTCTGACTCAACAGGGGGGCCTGTTCTCACGGAAACAGAGGCCCCCCGCTCATAATTAAGTACTGACACATTTCCAGCACTGGAGGGGGAAGAGAGGAGAGGAAGGTATGAGGTTTATGCTAAACAGGCGCAGTGGACAAGGCTGCCTTAATACTCCAGATGTCTGACAAGCTATGCAGCAAGAATGTACGTAGAGTGTGAGCTTGAGAAGCGTTTGCACCATTTATAGAGGCAAGTCTTACATTGTTAACAGCCTTTACGAGAGAGATCTTCTCCTCCATCTGATCTCTGCATTGCTAAATACAGTGCCTCTCACTCTTCCTGCCTTTACAAGTTGAATTACTAGAAGGGTTGCTAAACAATTTTATTTATGAAATAGGGAGGTTTTACATCTGATTATACCAAGTTGGGCTGTAGAGACAGGTGGGCTATGCACTAGGGACAGGTGAATATGAGGTTCCTCTCAAGTTTCTCATTTTTCCAATCACAAGTTTATTTCTCACAGTCATTTCACATTTTTTTAAAGTTCTCATTCTGTATTTTAACACAAATCTCTTCTAATATACACTTTTATATGCTCTCTCTCCTGCCGCACATGTTTTTGCAAAGAATTTTCCCCTAAAAGAATGCATTTTTGTATATTCTTTTCAACAATATATGTATTTTTATGGTCAGTTTACCCCAGTATGTGCTGAATCACATGCAGCCTGGGAGTTCATTGCTGGGCTCAGATTAACTTCAGAAGAGTAAGACACCCACTGGATCAGTTCACGTGTTTTTGGTTTCTCACCTGTGTTTGTTGTCCCAATGCAGGATTAAGCGGACGGTAGCTACATGCCCCCAGCTTTCTCCTAGAGTGTGAGAGAGACAGATAAATATTGTGATGCCTTCCTGCACAGGTGGGGGAGACTCGGGTTTAGGAGAGAAACGTGGACCTCCAGGCTTCTCTATCTGCCTACTGAAAACCTCCCCTGGTCACAGGGGTGCCATCCCACCCTCAGGACTGTGAGTGCCCGCCACCACAAGGCAGAAGTTGCGGCAGTCGGTGGTTCCTCTTCCTCTTCCTCCTCCTCTCCACAGACAGCAGGCCACGCTTTTCCATAGGGAGGAGCTCAGACTCAGAGGCAAAGGGACTCTGCCTCTGAGGCCCACCTCCCACCTCCCGGAAAAGTGTGCCTCGCTGGCTGGCTGCAGAGGGCGGAACAGAACTGCTTCTCTCTTGGAGGCAACGCTGCCGCCACCTGCCGGCTCTTCTCATTGGCTTTGTGGGTGCCCAGCCCCCACAATGATCTCATTGTGGGTACCCAATCACCCCCACCCCCCTGGAGTTAGCTCCTATGCCTGGTCACACTCCTAATGGCCCTGCTTTGCACCTTCCTCAAATGCTATTTGTCTGGCGGGAATGTTTCCTTGAACGCAATAATGCCTCTTGCCTGCCTGGATGGAGACTAGCTTGCCAGATGGAGTGGAGTCACAATGCTAGCTTCCTGGCAGGTGTGTTGCCGCCTCTTACCAGGAAGGAGAGTGAGAGGCATGAGGCAGTGGGAAACTTGGTGTGGTGCAAGTGTGCCTATGGGAGCCATCAAACTGGGTTAAGTGCTGCGCCCCAGGAATGTCTTACTGGTTGGGAAAGCAGATTGTGCATAACAACAAATTATGTCCATGCTCCCACGTGCTTTTTGCACATCCCTCTGAACGAGCTTAATTTTTGAGCATTATTCAAAAAAGAAAAGAAAAAACCATGACCAAGAATAATCCTGCAAAAACAAAGGAACAGCTAATGCAGAAAAACTGTGCAAAGAGCACCAGAAAGTAGATAATGACATGCAAGAAATCAGCTGCAGAGGAACTTCAGGCTCTTTAAAACCTGAGAAACTGATGTGGCTTCTGACAGAAAGCAATCTCATTATTTGAACTCATTTCTGACCATGTCATTTGATTTCCAGACAGATTTATTGAGCCCGTCTCCCTCAACCCATTCTAGACAGTGCGCCCATAAGTCAGGAGATGGATTGGATTTTAAAGCAGGTCATTTAAAGGAAAATACTATGAGCAGTCCCCCCCCCCCCAATTTGTCTCCAGAATCACCAAGCTGGTGCATCTGTCAGCCTCCGGGGCAGGTGGATCTAGTGGAACATCTTCATTACCACATACAGAGGGAGAAGCGTATCATTCCAGCGGGAAGAATTATCAAAATTAAATGTCTAGACCCCAGAGGCATCTTGGCAACCTTCATCACTACACCAGCGTGAGATTTAACGTTTGGAAGTCGAGATTAGAGTATGAATTATACAAATGAGTGCCATTTCCATTTCAAACCATATTTCTTTGCTTGGGGGGTGGGGTGGATGGTTTTACGCTCCATGGCAAAAAGCGCTACTAAAATTAAACTGGAGAGAGATAACAATATTTGACCTCATTATTAAGTATGCCAAGTAAAAACCATCTAGGATCATCCATTTTAGAGCCCAGTGTGTGAAAGGCTTCTCAGCCTAACCTAATCCTCGCAATGCCTAGGAGATCCCCCCCCCCCAATAATTAAGAAGCTCTATTTAAAAATGCTAAGAAAAACTAAGATTTGCGGATTTTGAACAACTTTTGCAGAGGAAACCATTTCAGAATCTATTGCAGAACGTAAAAACATCTAAAGAGCCCTGTTGAATCAGGCCATAGGCCCAGCTGGTCCATCACCCTATTCTCACATTGGCCAACCAGATCTACCAATGGGAAGCCTCCTTTCAATTCCCAGCAACTGGTATTCAGAGGCATACCACCTCTGATAGGAGGTAGAACTTCAAAACTACGGTAGTAGCCACTGATAGCTTTATCCTCCATGATTTTGTCTAGACTTTTTTTTTAAAGCCACCCAAGCTCGTGGCCATTGCTCAGTCTCATGAGAGTGAATTCCATCGTTCTTTTCTTTTCTTTTGTGTGTTCAGTTTTCTAAACGTTTTGCTTTCTGAAGGCCCATAAATTAATGAAATCGCACTGAGCAAGGGACACAAGCCTAACAAGCAAGTGATAGCATGGACGAAAAGACCTGCTACTTGGGGTGGGAACAAAAACAAAGTTGGTTCTTATCAATGGGTTTGCTGCTGCTGCTACCACTACCACCAGAAAGGAGAAAAGGGAAAACACATAAGACATGGGAGGAAGCAAAAACAGGGTTATTTCAAATTATAATCTTCCTTTCTCTAACCCAGCATGTTGCATCTAAAAACAACAGAACTGTTCATTAATAACTACAGTGCCACAGAGATGGGGATAATAATATTGTTCCCATTTTACAAAGGGAAAACTGAAGCTCACAGGAAATACGACTTTAGAGATGCAACCCAGGACAAGTTTAAGAAACATCAGAAAAGCCTGCCCCATTGCAGATCTCACAAGCAGGACTTGAGCAAAACAGCAGTCTCCCTTTCTGTGATTTCCAGCAACTGGTATTCAGGAGCATACTGCCTCCGACAGTGGAGGTAGAACATAGCCATCGAGGTTAGTAATCACTGATAGCCTTACCCTCCATGAATTTGCCTAAACTTCTTTTAAAGCCATGCAAGCTTGTCTACGAAAACCCGATAAAATGCCCCCAAGACATTCGTAGGTCCTCTGTGTGGTGCAGATCAAGCCTAGGATTGCTTCCCTCCCTCCCTGGTCTCAGTCTGCTTCCTTTTCTGATTTCCCAGAAGGGCAAGAGAGAAAGACACAGCAAGGAACACAGCAGTTGAAGAGGAAAACCCTTCATTTGCTTGCCCAAGTCACCATTTTCCTTCCCTAAGGCTGTTCCAAGAACATGATGGGAAAGAGAGGATTGGCAGCTAAGGGACCAGATAGCACCCCTCAGGGAGCTGGAGTCAGCCCATGGACCGCCAGCTGCCGACCCTTAAATCTATTAGCTTTAATTTGCTTTGTAGTCTGATTGTCTGCCAAAAATCATGTATACAGCAGGGGGAAGGCAAGCACACTGAAGACAAAAGGTCAGTGTTTGAAAGCAAGGTCTTTATCTGCATGCACATTTCAGACCCGACATCCTCCAAGGGCATGCTTTTTTATTTTGTTCAATTTATCTTAAATCTCTGCCAAGCTGTTGAAGTGCTGAACACACACATTAAGGGATGCTCTTGCCTTTGTATGTCTCTCAACGCCCCCTCCCCAACCCCAATAATCAAGGGAATCATTACGTGATTCAAAGACACTGAAGGAATGCTTTGCTTTCAATTGCAAGAAGAAGAATTGACTATTTTTTTAAAAGAAGAAGTAGTCTGGTATTCAGTGTTCACTATAAAGCTGCAAAGCACCTGGCTTTTAAGTCAGGATTTTATACCCATTTGGAAAATGGATTTGGACCAGTTCTAAGCAGAGCAAGATGCCTTTGTTAAAATCACCAGGGAGACCTGGCATCTGATGAAGTTGGTGACGGCTGCCACAGTTAATACCAAACGTTTTCCTGGCGGCAGCCATGCCCGTGCATCATAGACTTTGGAATGTGTACTTCCAAGGCCCACAATAATTATGTGGTGGTGGTGGGAAATGGACTGGGGGTGGGGAAGGGTGCTTTATTGAGCATTTATCCAGATTTGCTTGCAGGGAAATTAGACGGTGCTTGCTACCTAATGAGCATTTACTCCACAATTTCTTTGTGGGGAGGTTAGATGACGTTGCGTCAAAGCAAGCTTCCCTATCACTTTCCTTATTGCAAGAAGTCAGGTATTTTCAGGAAAAGAGAATTTACCAATATGTGGCGGAATCCTGACAGGAAACAGTAGCAGCGTAGAAGCAGCTATGTTTTCTCACAGAACAGTCAACCAAGTAAAGAATTCTAGCTAATATAACTAATCTAACAGCAGGCGATCGACTTATTAAACTTAAGAATGTACATACCGTATTTTTTGCTCTATAAGACTCACTTTTTCCCTCCTAAAAAGTAAGGGGAAATGTGTGTGCGTCTTATGGAGCGAATGCAGGCTGCACAGCTATCCCAGAAGCCAGAACAGCAAGAGGGATCGCTGCTTTCGCTGCAATCTCTCTTGCTGTTCTGGCTTCTGGGATTCAGGAAATTTTTTTGTTTGTTTTCCTCCTCCAAAAACTAGGTGCGACTTATGGTCTGGTGCGTCTTATAGAGCGAAAAATACGTTAGTGCCCAAATCTCAACACAAGAGTTTTTTGAGGCTGAAGACCAAAGATTCCACTAATTATCTCCTAAAACCTGAAATCGAGGACATGATTTTAAGGAAAGGAATTTAACACAACCTCAAGTAAAGAAGCCTACTCTTTGAAATGTCTTGGGAATATATAGTGCTGTAGGGAGAGAAGCGCATTTATCCATCTCTGATTTTGCATCTTTGTTTATGGGCTTGTGGAATAAAATACTTTCATTTCTCTATTTTCTAGCTTTTGGTAGAAACCTGTGCTCAGTTAACAACTATCTTTTTAAACAGTGTCTCATACTTTGTGACTATAAATACACAAATGAGTGACATTTGCTTCGCTCTCCAAAATTTGGGACTTCTACATTCTAGACAGTTGTACAGAATGTATTACAAAGGGACGAGACACAATGAAAGAACACACTCCAATTTCCTGTGCCTACCTCTAATCTGAATTGCCCAGGTTCATATCCTTACAAGCACATCTTGATGCTGAACATTATTTAATTAAAAAAGAAAAGAATAAGCCAGAGGAGAGCCTAATTAAAAATGTTACCGATCATCTCTAAAAACAGTGTCAATTAAAAATCAAAACAAAAGCCTGCTCCTTGAGGGCCTTCAAAAAGTCTTTATTTCAGTTCAGTGAGTTTATTCAGAGATGCTCGAGAGCTATGTTGTTCATGTTGATATGAGCTGGTTTCATACCAACATGAACACAGCAAGCTTTCCTGAAACTGTGCATAAGAAGAGAGCAAGCTACTTTATACCAGGCCAAACTTATTATCCATTGAGTATTGTGTATCCTGGCTGGGAATGCATCTCCAAGGTCACAGGCAGTAGCCGCTGATACCCACTGAGACTGGCGGGGCAGAAAGCAGGGAGCCCAACAGGTGGAGACAGAGCCAATAAGAGGCAAAGTCAACTAATTCTACTTTCATCCCCATCCTCCTCCTCCTCCCTGCTGAGTTTCAAGAGCAACACAGAGACTAAGGAGGAGGAGGGGAAAACTGACAGCCAGGGCTGGTTGGAAGTAAGAGGACAGACAGGTGGAAACTTGCTGAAGGCAGGATTAAGGCTGGTGGAGCAGTGCCCCATTGTTCCCAATTATCATTATTATTTTATTATCATCTATTAATTTATATACCTCTTACATGGTAAAATGGCTTCTAAGCAAAGGATATAATCCACTGGTCTCAGGCAGGGAGGTCTTTGCTGAAGTGTCCTCAATTTCAACCTTCTTTTGTTTTCTGAAGGATGCCTCAAAGCCAGTCAGGTTTTTTTCTTGCTAGGATACTCCCTCAGTATCCCTCAGGGATACCTTTGCTCTGAGAATGCCCAATATTAACTGAGAAGTCTGCAGTTCAAGGTACCAGTTTCCAGGATCACAGCAGCACATATTTGTGCCAGCTGGTGCAGTCACAGGACTTGGCCCCGAGAATCAGGAGCTATAACCATGGAGCTCCTGGTTTGTATAGGACATTCTCTGTGCAAAGTTATCTTCAGACAGAATCACCGGGGAAACAAGATTGGCTGTCACGGTTCTTTTGTTCATGGTGCTTGAAAGAAAAACCTGGTCTGTATAAAGCAGAAAAAGCATCCTTCAACTTGCAGTATAAAACACTTACCCAAGGCAGGTACCAAAGAGGAATGGCCATGTTCAAGTCTTGTCGTCATTTGATTGGTCAACACAACCTGGGGGGGAAAGCAGTTGGGGGTGAAGAGGGAGAAAAAACCCATCAAATATGGTTAACACACACTAAGGGGAAAGAGACTTGTGGCTGAACTCCAACTAGGGATGGGGGATAAATACAATTCAGCCTGCTTTTATTATACCTAATTTGCACTTTCCAAATCAATATGAGAACTGAAACAAAGCCATCCTTCAAAATTTACCTTCTCCATATTTCACCATAGTTCTCCAGTCTAGTAATGTGTGCAGCAAAGCAGATATAAATGCACATATTATTGAAAATAACATCCAAAATTCAGTATGTTCAGCAAAATGACTTTGCAAATATTCACACATTAGGCAAAATCACATACAAGATGCGCATATTAGGAGAAATTTGCACTAAGGTCAGATTCACACTATACATTTCAAAACTACAATACCACTTTAAATAGCTGTGGCTTCCCCCAAAGAATTCTGGGAGTTGTAGTTTGTTAAGGGTGATGAGAGTTATTAGGAGAACCCTATTCCCCCCACAGAGCTACATTTCCCAGAGGGACTCTGGGAAATGTAGCTCTGTGCAAGGAACAGGGGCCTCTTAACAATGCTGAACTCTAGAATTTGATATCACAAGATGTAACCACCAATTTAGATGTCCTTTCAAAAATGAACTTAGACAGATGCATGTAGGATAAGACCATCAGTGGATGCAAAGAACAGAAGAAAACCGGCTGGATGAGGCCAATGGCCCATCTAGTCCAGCATCCTGTTCTCACAGTGGCCAACCAGATGGGAAACCTTCAAGTGTGACCCAAGCATAAGCATGAAGCAAGCACAAGAGCAGTCTCCCCTCCTGTGGTTTCTAGTAACTAGAAGCATTTACTGCCTCCAGCCACGGAGGCAGAGCATAGCCATTGATAGCCTTATCCTCCATGAATTGGGCCCAAGCATCTTTTAAAGCCATCCAAATTGCTGGCCATCACTTGTGGGAGTGAGTTACTAGTCATGATGGCAATAGACTGCCTCCAACATATAGACTGCCTCCAACATCAGAGGCAGCATGCTTCCAAGCAGCTACTGTTTGCTGTGTCCAGTGTGATCTCGCCACTGGTTTGGGAAGTGGTGAGCACACTGTCAGCCACGATCTGTATCTATCTTGTTGTTTCTTATGGAATGCTGTGTTTTGAGCATTCCTCCACCGGCAACCAGTTTTGATCCAAATTGAGAAAGAGCAGTCTAGTCACATTTTAAACTGGTAATATATACACAGCCTAAGAGTTGGAAAGGGCTATTGCCCTCAGGTCCTGCTTTTGGGCTTCCCAGAGGCAGCTTCATGAAAACAGGACGTTGCACTATATATCCCTTTGGTCCGATCCAGTGGGGCTCTTTTTATGTTATACGTCCTTCCCAACATTATCTGAGTAGCGGGGTTTATTTTTAGTAGTGCAGCAATAAAAAAGAAATCCCAGCGTGCTCACAGAATTGCAGCTTGAGGAGGAGCAAGAGTTACCTGGAGACAGAGAGGAGAGGCAGACAAGCACCATTCCAGAACTTGCGTAAGCTTCGTTCCTGAACAATCCCTTTCTACATGGCAGGGTTTAAAAAAAGCCCACCTATAAATAGGCTACACAGCTCATGCCTGCCCTCAGCTGGCACAAAGCTGGCCCTGTCTGCAGCACCTTTAAGTGGAGGTCAAAGGCTGCAACAACAAAGGAAATCGGCAAGGCAGGATGCTAAGGATTTTCTCCCACAGACATCTCCTCCCCCCGCAAGCAAGCAAAGTGGCTTTTCTCTGAGTGACCAGCTGCAAGTCTTTTTGCAAAGGCCAGGGGTTAATTTTCTTTAAACATAATTATCAGTGGAAGGCAGGAAACTCTTTAACCCGCTTTTGAAATATGTGGGCGTTTGCTGTGAGGGGAGAAAGAAGATCCACCCACACATTTTCTCCTGAGCTTTGAAATTGGCTGTTACCGTGTTTGAAAGGACAGCAGGAGGCTGTCACAAGCCAGAGCCTTTCAGTGATATGGGATTTCGGGGGTGGGTGGGAATTCCTACGCAAATGAGGGTAGTTTGAATCAGAAAATATCCGGTTTGCATAGAAAAATATCCTCATGCTCCCAGAGCAGGGATGAGGAACCTGCGGCCTTCCAAATGCTGTTAGACTACAGCTCTCATCACCCAACCCCTGGTAATTGCTGGCTGCTGGCAGGAGAAGTCCAATAGCACATCGGCAAAGTTTTTGTGGCTTGGGCCGGTTCACAGTCCCGCAGATGCCGCGGTGGGCTGGAGTGTGCGCGCACGCAAGCGCTATTTCCGGCACTCCTTCCAACACAGAGGAGGCATGCGCAGCTTCCCACTGGCTGCAGGAGCTTCCTGCAATCAATAGGAAGCCAGCGAGCATTGCGGAAGGCGGTCCCTGCTCTGCTCAGGACCGGTTTAGCACTGAGCACGGGAGCCGACTAAGCGTGCAGCGGGGGTCCATGGGCCAGTTAAATGACCCTCATGGGCCGCTTGTGGCCCATGGGCCTTAGGTTGCTGACCCTCAAGTTTCTCTTCTCTAGAGTAGGGGTGGGGGAAGCTTTATGGTGTGTTTTTTCTCTTCTGGGGAAACATCTGGGTGGGAGGGCAGGTGTGGGGCCAGAGGCATTAGTGGGCAGAGCAGTTCATGAACATGTTTACCTTTGTACGTAGGTTAGTTTCTTCACAATCTCAAACAACTCCCTATCCTTCTTCCAGAAAAGCAAGACACATTATCAGAGTTCAAGCACACATTCCAACCAAGGAAGAACACTCATGGAGGTTGCTCCATGGAAGTTGCTCATGGAAGTATGATCTGGAGAGTCCCAAGAGCCAAGCAAAGGGGTTTGGAGGGTCACATTCAGCCCCGGAACCTGAGTTTCCTCCATTCCTGCCCTACAAAGCGATCTAATTTAGCTTGTTATTTCACTTTTATCATTAATAAAGCTAAAAAATTTGAAACTGACAAGTTTGCGTAACTTACATCATTATTACTAATGAACTTCTAAAATGGGTAGATTTCAACAGAAAAAATAAAAGCACTGGAAAACTTCCAATTCTGGAAAACTTTCCATCTCACATCACTGGAGCTTTCCTAGTCGCCGTGACTCGGCAGTGAAAAGTCCCTGTCCAGGGCAGTCTGCCCGTTATCTGTCTTGCTAACTTTCAGAAAGCAGATCAATGGCAATATTATTTCAGAGTGCTTTCAAATAAAGTAGATGGAATTTTAATCAGCAGAATCAGTGTCTTTGATTCTTGTCTTGGGGCATTTTATTGATGTTGGGGATTGTATTTAAGTTCTTGCTGTTTTATTGTTCAGCTTAATGTGAGCCACTCACAGAAAGCAGAGTAGAAAAGCAATAAAATTTATTTGATAGATTTATATCCAAAATGGAACACATGGCGTAATACAGCAGCAATAAAATGCCATGATCATAATAAAACAATTTTTTAAACCAACACATGAAGCAAACAACAAACCAGATGAAAACGAAATAAAGGAATGAATAAAAACGACATTACAAAAAACCCACACCCAACAATGATTAAACTCTGCAGAACTGCACAGCAGATATGTGTAAGACACTACAAAGGTGTATTAAGACAGACCCATCATTGTTGGAAGAATTCCCTCCCCCTTATTTTTTAAATAAGGTGGTAAAAAATGATAAGGATTGGAAGGATGGACACCAACCACTTATCCACCAGTGGTTGGGATATCTCATTGTCTTTTGTACACTTGAACGCGTGACTTATAATCATCCATTTTATTTAGATTCCTCTTTAGATTGCCTACATTAAGATATATGTTTAAACCAGGATTGATGGAATTTTATTATCGTATTTTTCAGCTGGCATTTTTTTTGTTTTTTATTATTACTACCCCAATTACTGTATTTTTCACCCTATAGGACACACTTTTTCCCCTCCAAAAATGAAGGGGAAATGTGTGTGCGTCCTATGGGGCGAATGCAGGCTTTCGCTGAAGCCTGGAGAGCGAGGGGGGTCGGTGTGCACTGACCCCTCTCGCTCTCCAGGCTTCAGGAAGCTCTCCGCTAGCCGTGGGAGAGCTGTGCGAAGTCGCACGCAGAAGCTTGGGGTGCGCTGAGCTCAGCACGCCCCAGGCTTCCGGCTTCGCGCAGCTCTCCGCTAGTCGTGGGAGAGCTGCACAAAGTCGCACAGCTCTCCCACGGCTTGCGGATAGCAGCCTATTCTGGGGGTCAGGGGAATTTTTTTCTTTATTTCCCCCCTCCCCCCCAAAAAACTAGGTGCGTCCTATGGGCCGGTGCGCCCTATGGGGCGAAAAATACAGTATTTTTGCTTCCTTCAAGCATAGATTCTGGTACCCAGTTTAGAATTTAGTGTTATAGGAATCCCAACACTCCATTTTAAAAGAAGCATGCCCCTTCAGTTTTACTCTGCAGCCAACTCTTGCGCAGCAGTTTAAACCACATTTCGTTCAGTGCTTAGTAACCTGTATGTTGCAAAACAACATTTATGACTGCCCCCACCTCATAAAACAACAACAACTCACAGCTAGTGTGTGATCATTTGCAATACTGATCAGCTGCTGGGCCAAGCCGTTCAAGAGCCGTGTTCGCAGTGAGAGATCCTCAATGTCATGGCGGAAAGGGAAGGCAACTCCATCAATCACAACCAATCGTACCTAACAGCAGGATATAAAACACAGCAAGCTGCTCTTCTCGGAACTCAGTGTCAGGGAAGCATATGAGCCACCTGTGCACATTTAAAAATAAATAAATACAAAAGATAGATAAAAGATTGAAGTGGCCTTTAATAAACAAGGAAAAAAGTAAGTATTTATAGGTGCACACTTTAGGCATGTAGGAGGGGTCTTGTGTTCAGGTCATGCTTGAGGGTTCCCCACAGGTATTTGGATGGCCCCTATCAGAATTAGATGCTGAACTGGATGTGCTGTTGACCTGATCCAGCAGACTCTTCTTATGTTCCTACAACTCCCAGCACCCTTAACAAACCACAGTTCTCAGGATTCTTGGGTGTTTGTGTGTGGTTTAAACGTAAGACATGTATGCAGAAAAAGGTAATACAAGACTAGATGGGCAAATAAACTCAGCCTGTATAAGGCAGCTTCCTATGTTCCACAACATCTGTCTTTTAAAGGCTTCACCAGAACCTGACTTTATATTTCAAACTTCTCTATGCAATTGTAAATTGTACAGGCTAAAAACCTCCTCTCTTTCGAACAAAAGTTTTCCACGATGATATACATGTAGCTTCCCACCCCCCATTTGTGCAATAAACCTACAGGCACTCCAATAACAAATACACACATGAAAATACATCCTATGCTGTGGAGCCTCTTACCTCCCTTCTGGATATTTGCTTTTGCCTAACTGATTCATTCATAATTCTGAAGGAAGTCAGCTAGAATTGCTCAGGGCTCAATGTGATCACCATGCTTAATTATGATTTATTAGCATTCCTTTGCTGTTGCTACTTGTGCTGCAAAAACTCTTCACCCACCACAAGTAAGCCAGCCCTGCTGTGCATTTACCAGCTCAGCTGCCTGGGAATATTCAACTTCCAAGGCAAGCATACCTGGAACAGCCTGTGCTTGCTCCACATAAAAGGGAGATTGGAAAATCAAATTATGACACAGAAATCGTTTTCAACCCTCCCTGGGGTAGCAAAAAGCCCTAAAGCCAGAGTGCTTTGTACCATGTCTAGCTCAATGTTGTTTACACCACTGACCTTCAACTAGTGGGTAGGGACCCACTACTGGGTCACAGCCTGATCCAAGGTGGGTCACAACAGCAGTACCAGCACCATGCAATTATATGGTAGATTAAGAAATAGATCCCCAAATGCTTGAGTTAAGGTGGGACCTGGATCTGCAAATTTTGAATACTACTGCTTCACACTAACTGGCAGTGGCTGGCAGCAGGTGCTGCTTGTTTTATTAACTCTCTGACACTTTTGGTACGTTCGAACAACGCTTCCAACAGAATGCAGAAACTTGCTTCATGGTTCCCCACAGCACCACGTGCTGCAGGTTTAACACATATCAACCTCCAAGCTATTTTCCACTGATGTGTAGAGTCAATAGACACAAGGACGGGACTGTGTCCTTTAATAGCTGCTGCTGTTCTGCCCAGTGATAAGAGAATATTCCAAGCTTATCACTTCTCCAGAGAGGATAGCAATAACAACAAACCCCAAACACACACATAATTACACAGACCACCACTCCCTTCTCTCCCCCCCACCAAGCCTATACTATATACAACATTAAAGTCTCACATCGAATATAACTGATCTGTAGACTTTATGATCTGAAAATAGAGACGGTGTATGGACTTTTAACCCAAGAAAATATTTAATAACTACACAGACCACCACCACACAATGTACATACATAGTTTATCTAACTTAGAACACACACTGACCAGAGCTGTCAACTTTTCCCTTTTCTTGCGAGGAATCCTATTCGGAATAAGGGAATTTCCCTTTAAAAAAGGGGAACGTTGACAGCTATGACACTGGCTACAGTAGTAGTAATGATGATGATAGAGAGGCCATGGTTATGCCAAGCCTCTGGTGCAATGGAGAGAAGTAGCAGGCATAGAAATAGCTGGTGTCAAGTGGTCCAGAAACTTCTGGTCTAGGCAACATGTTTTCGATATTTTTATTTAAAATATTTATATTCCCGCACCTTTTAACTATGCTGATTCATGATATGGCTAACAAATACAAAATCTTCAAGCAAACACAGGTTGAGGCTAAACATGCTTTGTTCCAAAGAGTGAAGGGAAGATTAGTGTGCAAGAATTCATAGGTAAGGGGGGAAGAGAAATCAGGTGAGCCCACAACAGAATGGGAGAAGTGTGCAAGCGTGAAAAGATTAGGCAACACTGCATCTGCCTTGTGTTTTTTCTGTGTTTAACCCCATTAATGTCAGTGGGTTTAAGCATGCCTAACTCAGTTAGGAGCGAGCTTTAAGTAAACTTGGTGTGGTAGGCAAGGAAATAAAAGGGGGACAATGCATTAGTGGTGATTCTATACTGGGTGGTCCACACTTTATTAGATGTTCTGTGGTGCTTTCCTATTGTTACTGCATTACTGCTGTCTGGACGGGCACCCTTGTACTATAGTGCAAGAGAAGTATGACAAATTGGAACATTTGTAGTATGACACATTATAGAATTTCAGCAGTAAGTTGCAGGAAACAAAGAGTATGCCTGTCCCAAAACTTTTCCAGGCACAAGTAACACTGAAAGTAGAATCATGTATGCCCACCCCAAATCATGAGCTCCAAAAATCACGAATGCGCAATCAAAAAGGTCACAATCTGACCTCAATCCAGTCAAACGACCAATGCAGCCCAGATCAAATGAATCAGAGCCAACAAGTAACTTCCCCTTCACACACACTATATTTTTTTCGTTCTTACTTACAGAATCTCCCTACCTTTGGATGCCCAGTAAGGAAGTCTGGGAGGAGGTGCACCTGTGCCAGCAGCTCCACATAGTCATGGCAACGGAAGTAAAAGATATGAGAAAGAATATTTTCAAGGGAGAAAGTCTCCAGTGCTGTTTGATGCTCTGAAGGAAATAAGAATCTATGTTGAACACATTTGTAAAACCATGACATTCGTTCCCCAGCCTGTCCCTTACACATAGAGACAGGTATGTAGAGCAAGGCATGTGGAGCGACTTAATTCCTGGCTATGGAAGTCAACAGAACAGGACATTCTCAGTGTAGCGGTGGAAGACATCTAGGCAGAGGGCAAGGCAATGTTCCCCTCCTAATTAAAAAAAAAGCTGTTACAAGGCAACTTGTAACAGCTCATGACTTGTAGGCTGTGGCCTACAAGCTATGAGGGCCAGATAAAGATGCCTGGAGGGCTTCATTTGGTCTCCAGACCTGATGTTACACTCCCCGCAAGCCTTAGGTGAGCATATAGCTTGATAATAAACCTTCTTCTGGATGTGTTTCAGCAATAAGCCGGCAGTGCTCAACACAGGCGGTTGCCATATCTGCGACTCGGTCTACCATAAAGCTCCCTTCGGTGTCTATGAAAACAGCTTCTCCATCAAGCCCTCCGAAGCATTCTGGAATCTGCACGTCCACCACTAGTTGCATGCTGAGAAAGAGGACATAAAGGAATGGTCACAGGGAGAAAGTTAGTTATAGCTCAGTAAATAAGGGTTACTAAAAGCACACACACACAGCTCATGACTGGCGGAATCTCCCCACCCCACCCTCTTCTGGCAGAGAGAGTGGGAGAACCCAGACAGGAAATGACACTACAAAGAGATTTATGCAATGTGGAATGGGCAACGGGGCACTGTGTCAGCCTATGAAAATCTGCAGGTTTAGAAAACACCCACCGTGAGAAAATAAAGCACTAAGTACTGAACGTGTTTGCTTACCTAATTGGAAGCAAGTTCCGCTGAAACAAATGGGAGCAACAGGTGAAGATGCACTTCCACTGAGCTATGGACTCTTCTGAGCAAGACCCATCAGGGCTAAAATGAAGAGCTACCATGACCATAGTCTACCCCTCCCGCCAGACTACAGTGAATCGTGAGAAGTGCAGAAAAGGCTTTTAAATGTGAGTTTTGGCAGCAGTTCTTACCATAGTTGTGTTTTGCCGACTCCTGGCACTCCGCAGATCTCTGTGATTTTTGTCAGCTGAATGCCCCCTCCCAGGATACCATCCAGTTCAGAGCAAAAGGTTATAATGAAACCGTGAGCTTGCTCCTCTTCCAGAAGTTCAAGGGCTGTGTACTTCTTGGCTGGTGCCTGATCCAACCCCACAGTGTTTGCTTCAACGCCATGTCGTTCCCGTTTGATCACTTGCAGAATTTCTAAGGCCTCCTGTTTTGAAATCCCAACTTCTGGGAAAAAACAAAATACAGTAGACTTTAATTTTCTGAAAAGCAAAGGACAGTAAGGGAAGGGTCGTAGCTCAGTAGAGAACATGATGACAGTCCCAGGTTCAACCTCCGGCATCTCTAACTAGGGCTGGAAAAAGACTCCTGTCTGAAACCTTGGAGGACTGCTGCCAGTCAGTGTAGACAATATTGAGTTATGTGGACCAATGGTCTGAGACAATAGAAGGCAATTTTTAATGCTTTCTGCTAACTAATACTGTTCATAATTTTGCCACTGACAGTTACTGGGCAAATCAAAGTAGTGAATTAAAATGGTTCCCTTCTTTTCCTATGTGCAAATACCCTGAAGTTAACGTTGTAAGGTTTGACTGACTGAAAACATAATATTTTGCTGAAGGTTTATTACTTTTTTTAAAAAAAAGAGTAATTGTGATTCTTTAATGGTGATGTTTAACTACATTTGACTGACTGCATCTAATATATATTCTAATGCATCTTTTATGTTCAATTGCAAAAGCACAAGTTACAAATTACTTACTAAGGGGAGTGGGGAACTCACCAAAATACAAATATCCCCGTTTGTAATACATTTTGGCAAGTGTTTTGATTATATACATTTTCTTTTTTCAGTCTGTAATTTTAGGCATTTGCACATTATCCAAATAAATGCAATGCATTACAAAAATAACTAGTAAAGAGGACTGGAAATCAGAGTATCTACTTCTGAAGCGCAATATAATAGTGACATCTAGTGGTTATGAACACCAAGTGACAAATTAACAGTGCAATCTTATTCAACATATCTCCTCAGAAGCAGGCCCCACTGAGTTAAATGGGATTTACTCACAGGATAAACTGCCTACACAAGGAATACATTTGTATTATTACATTTATATTCCACTTTTCCTTCAAGGACTTCAAGGTATTATACACAGCTCTCTCCTTTCTGTTTTGCCTTCATAATAACCCTGTGAGGTAAGTTAGGCTGAGATTGGCCCAAGGTCACCCAGAGAGCTTTTCTGTGGTAGCTCCCCGTTTTATTTACCATATTTTTTGCTCTATAAGACTCACTTTTTCCCTCCTAAAAAGTAAGGGGAAATGTGTGTGTGTCTTATGGAGCGAATGCAGGCTGCGCAGCTATCCCAGAAGCTAGAACAGCAAGAGGGATTGCTGCTTTCACTGCGCAGAGATCCCTCTTGCTGTTCTGGCTTCTGAGATTCAGAATATTTTTTTTCTTGTTTTCCTCCTCCAAAAACTAGGTGTGTCTTGTGGTCTGGTGCGTCTTAGAGAGCGAAAAATATCGTATTTATTTACTGAATTTATATACAGTACCGCCCTACACCCGGAGGTCTCAGGGTGGTTCACAGAAAATGTTTATGGAATGCTGTCCCCAGGGAGGCTTGCCTGCCACCTACACCACTTATCTTTAGGCACCAGGCAAAAACATTTCTCTGTACCCAGGGCTTTAACTATCTGCGGCCTTTAAGAAGTGAGTGTGATGTTTTAAATGTATTTCTCTTTCCTCTTGGTTTCAATGTATATAGGTGGGCTTTATCGCCAGTTTATTTGTTGGTTTGGGTTGCCCTGATCAAGATAAAGTGACCAACAAATATAATAACAATAATAATGGAGATTTGAACCCAGGCCTCCCAGGTATTAGTCCAACACTATAACCACAACTACACAACTTTGGTTCAATGCACAAAATGCAGAGTTCCTGAATAGTATTTCTGTCTATATACAAAAAGACCACCAGCTGATTCCTTTCAAGCCAACAGCTTGTTTTCAGTGGGATCCTCTCTTTTAACATGATCCTGCTGGCAGGTCTGCTCAGAAGTCCCATCAAGTTCAATGTCATGTATTACTCCCACTGTAAAATAGGAGTTTAGGATTCCTGTACAGCCTTAATGAACCGATCAAAGTTTTTGTTAGTGGCTCAACCAATAATTAGGCTTAGAAAAAACCTTCAAGGTCCTTACCATCTTTCCATGTTGGAAAGATCAGTTTTTAAAGCCTCAATAGGGCAAAACCAGATCCCTTTCTGACACTACACAAAGCTTTGTGTATTTTTTTAAAATTAAGACTTCTGAGAGCATTATTATATAAGGATATATCTATTATATAAGGAACGATAATGATGGATACCACAAAGCTTTTTTTAAAAAAACACAACCCCAAATACTTTTATTACCATATTTAATAATGCTTTCCAAGTCTTCATTTTTGAAGCTCTGTGTGGTTATTGTTTGTATTAATATGTATAGAAACCACACAAAGTGGTTTTTTTTTAATTATGATTTGGAAAGCATTAAATAAGGATACAACACCACACAAAGCTGTTAACAAACACGTGGAGTGCTACTAAATAGATCACTAATATCACATAAAGCTTTTTAATTAACACTTGAGAAGCCTTTACTACTAATCAACAATGGGAGCTATTGATTGCTAGCCACACTCCTGAGCAGATCCAACAGTATCACCCCAAAGTCCTTTGATTTTAACGAGTGTTAACTCAAAATTACTAACACTGGATATCCAACCATTGACGTCAACGGGTCTACTATTAATTATAACTAAAGGCGGATATCAAATATCGGGGTCCATGTCTCTACTCCTTACAGTTGCGACGTTAAGGTGGGTGGATTGGAAGCAATTGATTTCAATAGGTCTACTCTCCATTACGATTCAAGGCGGACGTCAAACAACTGGTTCCAATAGGCCTACTCTCAACTATGACTCAGGCTGGGATATATTATCATGTTATCGTTTTTTATTATGAGGAGGAACAGGGCCGGATTTAGGTTTGATGAGGCCCTAAGCTGCTGAAGGTAATGGGGCCCTTTATATGTCCAGCTGTCCTTTGTCAACAACAAATCGCTGCTGTTTTTTGTTTCGAAGATATGCTATATGGTACGTAATTTATGGACCTAATAGGTATCTAAAGCCATTTGCACATAGCAAAATACTGTATGTACATCATAGGAGCCTACACAACACAAAACGCTGTATTTTACATTGTTGTGACCTGCCCTGCAACCTCATGGTGAAGGGCAGTTACTATTATTATTATTATTATTATTATTATTATATCATAGGCCCCAATTCACACAGGGCACCTACAAGGCACACTGGCAGTAATGCAGAATTCACCCAACACCCTCGAATAATATTTCTGTGAAGAATAAGTAATGGTGGGCAAGTTGTCTTCCTGTCTGCTTGCTCACCATCATAGGGTTTTTTCACAGAACAGGGGTGCCAACATGAATAAAATGGGGGGGGCAGGTTTTTTATCTTATATTTTGGAAATGTACATCCACTTTTTTTTCCCTTTAATTTTTTTGGGGGGACCCAAGAGAGTGGGGCCCGAAGCTATATACATAAGTTTGTTTAGCTTATACGTAAATCCTGGAGGAGCATTAGTGAGGAGAGGGCGCCTGGCACCTAAACCGAGACAAGGCTGGCTGAGGGGGAAATTAAAAAATTGGCGGGAAGCGTTCGCGCGGGAAAACGTCTTTCTCCTCAGCGAGGGCGTTTTCGCCGCCGCCGCCGCCTCTTCGTCGGTACCTTTGCTGAGCTGACAGGGCCCGACCTCGACCACTTCTTGGGCTGTCTGGAAGCCGGCAGCCACTAACTTCTCCCGGAGACTCGGCGGCAAAGGGAAGCTGCCCACGTCCCTCGGCTCCATGATGGAGGAGGAGGAGAAGGCGGTCCTCCATTCCTCTCAGCCCGGCCCCCTTTTTGGAGCGGCATTTTTCTCCGCCCACAGGGGAAGAAGAAGTACAGTAGTCGCTTCTGAGGAGAGGAGAAGGGCACAGGGTTGCAACCCTGCTCCCTTACTGACTTTTGGCAGTATTGTATATCCCATTGAAGTCAATGGGGCTTGCTCCTGGGGAGCCGTGTATAATACAGTCGCAACCCTGCGCCCGCTGAACAGGGCAGGAAATCCCATTTGATTCAATGGGGGTTACTGCTGAGGAGGCAAACATGGGGTCGCTACCCTGGCGCCCGCTTGCATTGGGAGTAAATCCCGTTTAAGTCATAGTGTAGTTTACCACCCCGCACTATCTTAAAAAGGCAGTAAATCTCATTTAATTCAGTGGGACTTACTTCTGAGGAGGCAAAGATGAAGCTGCAACTCTGACGCCCCCACTTACATAGCCACTTAATTCATAGGATCGCAACCCCAAGTCATCTTAAAAAGGCAGTAAATCTCACTTGATTCAGTAGGGTTTACTTCTGAGGAGGCAAACATGGAGCTGCACCCTGACACCCACTAACGTAGGAGTAAATCCCATTTAATTCATGCAACCCTGTGCCCACTTAACATGGCAGTAAATCCTATTTATTTCAATGGGGTTTACTGCTGAGGAGCCACATAGGGTGGTGGGCCTGTTACCTACTTAGATAGGAGTAAATCCCATTTAATTGAACGGGGCTTCTGAGAAACACATAGGATTTCAGTCCTTTGCCCAAATACACTGCCGTAAACCCCATCAAATACACTGGATGTTACTCCTGAGGAGAAATGCACCCCAGTGCACACTTGTAAGGAGAAAATCCCATTAAATTCAATGGGGCTTCTGAAGAGACACCTAGGATTTCTACCCTTTGCTCAACTACATGGGCATAAACCCCATTTAATTCAAAGGATCTTGTGTATAGGATTGTGCTGCACAGAGGCAATGCTATGCCTATTTACAGTACATGGCAATATGCCCCACTGAACTCAATGGGACTTACGGTACTTAAGACCCATATAGGCTTCAGATACACAGTTTCCTGGTTTGGCTGTTCCCTGCACATATTGAGACTGTAGTCATGTCTATTTAGACCTCGATTTATTTAATTGGATCTACTCTTGGCCCCCTGAATTATCTCTGCAATACCGTGTTCTCTTATTTTTAACCCTGTGCTTTTTTTTGCCTGAAATTCCTCTGCAATCACCAAATGATGTGGTGCATTTGAGAATACGTACAGGATTCTGAGGTTGGGGTATTAATAATATCTTAGAGGACTGGATCCCCTCCCAGGGTAATCTTATTTGACTTCTTATTGGCTTCTTTCTGGAAAAGAAGATCCCTGCTGCTAGATTAAGTTTAGTTTAGTTTAATTTCCTGTTTCCAATAAGGAGTCAGTCAAACTGATGACTCTGGAAGGTATTGAGTGGTAGACTGCCCCTGAACCTGAATGCTTTCTTTAGCTATCCTAAATAGCTATTGGAAGACATCTTTTCACCTGTCCACTTCCTAAAATTTAATCCAAAGCACCAAAATAGGTGCAAAAATTTAGACCTGGGCCTCTAGCTGCACACAGGTTGGGCATTTTTTAATTGTAACCCAATAGAATGCATAAATATTACAGAGACACACAGATGGAATAATATAACACACACTGAATTTAATGATTATACAAAGTGAAATTACTTCCACCATTTACTGTAACTTAGTTAAGGTACATAAATATCACACCCATCTGCACACTTCATGAATATTGCACACCACAGCTGTGCAATCTTATATTCCAACCCACTCAGGGTGCATAAATATTAACCACTCACACAGTGCATGAATACCACCCCCTTCACGCAGTCATGCAATCTTTATTATAAACCAGTCAGGGTGCATAAATGTTACAGGGTGATGAATGTTGCACGCAGGAATGCAATGTAGCATAAGTAGAATGCATAAATCTTACAACTCCTGCAGTCTTCTACTTGTAAACCACTTGAGCGCATGCAATCTTGCGCACAAAACGATGCATGAATATTATAACACAGCCATGCAATCTTTGCTGTAACCCAATTTGGATGTATGAGTGTGTGTGTGTGTGTGTGTGTGTCACACACACAACTCCAGCAATCTCTCATTTTGTAGCCCAGTTTAAGGTGCACAAGTCTCTCGCGCATTTTCGTGCAACCTTCATTGCTAGTTCTGGGTGCACAAACATTTCTGAGCGCCCTCGCGCAGGCGGGCGCATGCACGTTGGATCCCACGAAAGGAACGCGCTCCCCAGAGCCGCTAACGGATGAAGACCTCGACGGTTGGCAAAAGGGGTGGGCAGGTGGGTTTCACGGTCTGGGGCCGAGAAAGGAGACCTGTTCAGGGGCGGGAAAGGATAATTTAGGAGGGGGAGGCAGGTGTAGTTATAGCAAGAGAGGAGTGGCGGGGGGGGGGGGCAGCAGTAGCTTGGATGTTGTCGGGAGAGATATTAGGAGTGAGGCCCGAGTGAGAGACGCAGACAAAATGAGGAAAAGGGAAAACGTGGCGGGACTTTGGATCATTTGCGGGGCATGCTTGCATCCACAACCAAAAGCGCGGAAATAGCAGCCCTTGCTGCAATCCTAAACGCGTTTGCTTTGTTCCACGGAAATCAGTGGCATGTCATGCTTTATTAAAAAGCATACTTGAGGGTGGCTGTGTGCGTGAAGGTGATTTGGAAGAGTGGATTGTGCCCCCGCACCAAAATAAAAATCCCCTATTAAATGCGGGAAAAACTCACCCCTTTTCCCTGGCCATCGACACCTTCAGGGCCCACGCTATTCCTGGTGGCTGTGCTCTGTTAATTCTGAATTTTAAATTCTGGCAACCTGACCTAGGACGGGTAATGAATGTGATAATACGTAAAATGGATGCAATCCGAATTTACTCTTTAGCCAGGAGCGTAGATGTAACGCGGGATTCGAAGTGAGTCTTGGAGTGGGGCGCACACGTGCGAGTTTGCGCCCGGTTGAGGTCGCTGAGCCTTTACTCCGAGCAGGACAGTAGATTTGCAGCCTTAAAAATAACGTGTGGGTGTGGGTGTGTTTGGATGAGATACTGTTAGTGGAGGACTCCCCCCCCCTAAATAAAACCTCTCCTGAACTATCTTTCTTTTTTGTGGGGACCAAGGACAATGGCCCATTTACTCCCTATCCCCTGTCCAGTGAAACTGGGGACGTTGAAGAGCGAATCTCTTGAAGCTCGTTTGCACGAATATGTGAAGCAAGGCAATCACGTGAAAGTGAAGAAACTTCTGAAAAAAGGTAAGGGCTGGTGTTGGAGGTGGGGGCAGAGGTATCCTTCGGAGTAGGATTTTGCAGGCAGAACTTCACACACACCCCAACTCTGGAGAGTGAACAGAAGCAGCCCCCCACCCAGGCCCCTGTTTCAGCAGAATGAGGGGGGAGCCCCTGCTACCCCGCAAAAAGACCAGCCCTGCCTTGCCACATGTTAAGCATGAGGCTTTTGATCTCAAGGTAGTGGGTTCGAGCCCCATGTTGGACAAAAGATTCCTGCATTGCAGGGGGTTGGACTAGATGACCCTCGTGGACCCTTTCAACTTGACAAATCTATGATTCTAAGTGTCGTAGTAGGGACGTGGGTGGCGCTGTGGGTTAAACCACAGAGCCTAGGACTTGCCGATCACAAGGTCGGCGGTTCAAATCCCCGCGACAGGGTGAGCTCCCGTTGCTCGGTCCCTGCTCCTGCCAACCTAGCAGTTCAAAAGCATGTCAAAGTGCAAGTAGATAAATAGGTACCGCTCCAGCGGGAAGGTAAACGGCGTTTCCGTGCGCTGCTCTGGTTCACCAGAAGCGGCTTAGTCATGCTGGCCACACGACCCGGAAGCTGTACACCGGCTCCCTCGGCCAGTAAAGCGAGATGAGCGCCGCAACCCCAGTCAGCCACGACTGGACCTAATGGTCAGGGGTCCCTTTACCTTTAAGTGTCGTAGTACACTATTATCGTTATTTTTATATTTATTTATTCATTGCATTTTCCCCTGACAGTGTCTCAAGGTGGCTTCGGGTAGGTAGTGTTGGTCTGCCATAGTCAAAATAAATTAAAACAGTTCTTTAAAAAGATGGTTAAAAAGACTCTTCTTAAAAAACCCCTTAAAAGAATCAAGTTTTCGAAAAAAGTTATATGATCTAAGAAAGTCTTTAAAAGAATCCTTCCAAAAGAATTTAAAAATTGAGGGACAGTGGACTGGCCCCCTGCTGAAAAAGTTTGCTGACCCCTGGTTTAGAGACTAAATTAAATGTCCTAGTTGCACCACTGATGAGACAGCTTCTATCCCTTTACATTTTTAGTTGTGAGGACTGCATGGATCTGGTTTCCAGCTTTTAAATAATTGGAATCCCGCCCCCAGGGGTAGGAAAATACTATTATGTATGAAAATAAACAACATAGTAACTCCCTCTGTGCTCCTTCAGCCTGATTAGGGTGAGGGCTCGGGGTGAGGTGTGAAAAAGACACCGACTGTGCTGCCTCTCACTTTGCATTGATCTATAACAGCACTACTTCTTTTAAATCTTACTGCATTTTTCCTTTCTCTATGGTGCTTTGTAATGAAATTAAGGTTTGTCCTAGGTGGATTGTTTATAGGTATGCCTAGATAATGGGTTATAGGAATACATAGAGAATCATTAGCTGTAATTGCAAAAGGGAGTCTTCCTTTGGAGGGGCAGTCTGCCTCAAAAAATGTAGGTCCTATACTGAGGATATTGCAAAGTGGAATAACCTTTACGCCAAGGGTTGAAGAACAGCAAGCATGGTTGGGCGCCACAGGGGGCGGGAGATATGCAAAATAGGAGGCGTGGCCCCGCGTCCTGCTTCCAAGGGGTTTTGCTGGGAATATAATTGAAACTCGGTAATTTCGCCCGGAATGGAGCCACAGCGGCGGACATGGGCGGGAATAGCAGCCTTGCCGCCTCCGGGTGCAACATTTGGGGGAGAGGGTCGGGGACGCGGGCGGGGAGGGGGAGGAAACCGAGCGGAGGCTGTTGAGCTACCGTGACTTGAGAAGCGGAGAGCCGCCGCCTGGCCTTTGAAGCGCGGAGTGCCGAGTTAAGACTATACTTTCAGGGATCATTTCTATAGTTTGTAACTAGAGAAGTGTACTCGAAAGTGATTGGCCGCGGAAACCACGAGGAGGAGTCAAAGTGTTCTCTTCTGAGCGCGAAGCGAGCAGGCAGTGTTGCATTTTGCAGCTGCTGCCTGCTATTGATGACCGTTCCGCCTCCTTTTTATTAAGGAGGTTGGAGGGAGAGAACACAGACTGAGTGGTTCGTTCCTTTTTTAAAAATGGTTGAAAGATAGACCTAAGTTTTTGTTTGTGTTTTAAAACCTGCTTATTTTATAGTACAGGAGGATTTCTCCCCTCCCCCATTTTTCTATTTATAGGCTATATTTATTAACTATCTTGTTTCTACATTCTGCTAGTGTTGGTCCAGCAAATATAAATCTACTGTAATACACATTTCTGGGGGTGTAGGAGCTTAGTGGCAGAGCAAGCATTATGTTTGCTTGCAAAAGGACCCAGGTTAATTCCTCCATTGTTTGCTGGATGGGTATTTGCATATTGTCCTTTCTGAGTAAAGACTACTGGGATAGCACACAAAGTAATCTCTTTAAAATTCTAATTATATTCACAAATAGCAATACTGTACTGATACAACAATCTCAATTTGCATATCCTTAGAAAAGGTTCTGCAAGTAATTTTATCCCAATTTCTCATCAGCTTTCAGCCTAGGTCACAAATACAGAGGGCTTTGTTTAGGGGAGAGATCTCCTGTAGAGCACACATCCATAAATCCCGGATCCTTTGATGATGATGACTCTCTTTTGCATTCATCTACCCAGGAAGTTTAAAATATTTTCATACATTACGTTTATATCCAACCTTTGTTTATCCCTTTCCCCTATTTTATCTTTACATTCAACCCTGTAAGGTAGGTTTGGCTGGGACATAAGTGACTGTCTTCATAGCTGAGTGGGGATATGAAGCTTTGTCTTCCTGGTTGTTGTTGTTGTTGTTGTTATACCCCACCCCCAACAGGAACTCAATGAAGCTTAGAGATAACATCCAATTCATTACATAACCACAAACAGAGATAAAACTCTGTTCTGTTCCCCCACTTTCTGGTTCAAATATCAAAGTCAAGGAACATTATACAAATGCACAGGATGACAGTATATCTGTTAGCAACTAACAGAATGTAAGAGGAGCCTGCTGGATCAGGCCAATGGCCCATCTAATCCAGCATTCTAGTTTTACAGCAGGACTTGAGCACAAGCACACTCCCTCTTGTAGTTTCGAGCAACTGGAGGCAAAGCGGAGTCGTCATGGCTAGTAGCCATTGATAGCCTTAGTCCTCCCACCCCATGAATTGGTCCAATTTTACCTTCAAGCCAATCCAAGCTCCTGTGGAAATAAGTTTCACAGGTTATATTTAGCTGTGAGTACATTAGCTATGGGGACGCAGGTGGCGCGGTGGTCTAAACCACAGAGCCTCTTGGGCTTGCCAGTCAGAAGGTCGGCGGTTCAAATCTGTCAAAGTGCAAGTACAGTGGTACTCGGGTTAAGTACCTAATTTGTTCTGGAGGTCCGTACTTAACCTGAAACTGTTCTTAACCTGAAGCACCACTTTAGCTAATGGGGCCTCCTGCTGCCACCGTGCCACTGGAGCACGATTTTTGTTCTCATCCTGAAGCAAAGTTCTTAACCTGAAGCACTATTTATGGGTTAGCGGAGACTGTAACCTGAAGTGTATGTAACTTGAAGCGTATGTAACCTGAGGTACCACTGTAGATAAATAGGTACCACTCCGCCGGGAAGGTAAACAGCATAAACGATATTTCCGTGCACTCCTCTGGTTTTGCCAGAAGCAGCTTAGTCATGCTGGCCACATGACCCGGAAAAACTCTGTGGACAAACATCGGCTCCCTCGACCAGTAAAGCAAGATGAGTGCCACAACCCCAGAGTCGTTCGCAACTGGACTGAGCTGTCAGGGGTCCTTTACCTTTTTTTTTCATTAGCTATGGTAGCAAAATGCACCCTTCATGTGTAGGGGCTACCTATTTCTAAATGCACTGTGGTAAAATAAGTGTGGGGGTTCAATCCCTTCCATGCTTGCCGAGTTTGTGGATGCGACAGGTTTTGAAACAGGATAACTGATTAAGGCTGGGATCCTGTGCAGGGGAAGAAAATCCTCTTAAACACAGTTGGACTTAATTCTGAGGAAAACATGCATAGGTTTGTTTGCACTCTAGATGTACCTTTTAGAAGGAAATCTTGTTACAGTATTTACTACTTGTTGTGAGTGACACAAAGCATGCTTACTAGGTGGTAAGCTCACAGGTGTAGCTGGGGGGGGGCAGCTGCTCCCCCTAAATCAGTACATATCAATACAGATCTGAGGTTCTGCCCTGCCCTAACAAAAGCCTTCCCCCAACCCCAACAAAAATCCTGGTGACAATAGGAACACCTCCAGTTTGCTAAGCGTGTGAGAAGCCCTTGCACGCTGCAATACTGCAATATGCATACAGTACTGAGGAGGATACCTCTGTAATGATACTTATTCCTTGGCAAGTGTGTATAGGATATAGAGAGCAGCCAGTGGTGTAGCGTGGGGGGTGCAGGGGGGGCCGGCCGCACCGGGCGCAACATCTGGGGGGGGGTGCACTCGCACTCACAGCTCTCTGCCCCTACCTGGCTCACTCACTCTCTCACTGCAGTGCTGGCTGTGCGAATCCGATCCGAGCCGCTGGGTCGCCGCCCACTGTGGAGGGGGTGGGTGCCAGGCGTGCGGTGCGGAGAGAGAGCGAGGGACTATCTGGGGGAGGGACAGTGCAGCGGCCGCCCAGCGCAGCGCTGAGCGCGGGAGAGAACCACACCAGACCAGCCCAGGCAGCAGCAAGAAGAAGCTGGCAGCGGCGGCAGGTTAGGGGGCGCAAATTACTTGCCTTGCCCCGGGTTAGGGGGCGCAAATTACTTGCCTTGCCCCGGGTGCTGACAACCCACGCTACGCCGCTGAGAGCAGCTGTAGATAAATATCTCTATGTAAAAACAAAAAGTGTACCTGATTCCTGATACCATTTTCCCCTTGAGGTTGTAGGAGTAAGGGAAAGATGTCGACTTGCTTTCTCTTCCTCTATGGCATTCCTACATTACCGTATATAAAAGCAGCAATAGTAAATAACGTAAATTAAGAAGTAGAATAATAAATCTTACTTGGATCGAGGCTTAAGGAGAGACGAAAACGCGTGGCCTATTTTGAGGGGCGGGGACTATGCAAAATAGGAGGCGTGGCCCCGCGTCCTGCTTCCAAGGGGTTTTGCTGGGAATATAATTGAAACTCGGTAATTTCGCTCGGAATGGAGCCACAGCGGCGGACGTGGGCGGGAATAGCAGCCTTGCCGCCTCCGGGTGCAACATTTGGGGGAGAGGGTCGGGGACGCGGGCGCGGAGGGAGAAGGAACCGAGCGGAGGCTGTTGAGCTACCGTGTCTTGAGAAGCAGAGAGCCGCCGCCTGGCCTTTGAAGCGCGGAGAGCCGAGTTAAGACTATACTTTCAGGGATCATTTCTATAGTTTGTAACTAGAGAAGTGTACTCGAAAGTGATTGGCCGCGGAAACCACGAGGAGGAGTCAAAGTGTTCTCTTCTGAGCGCGAAGCGAGCAGGCAGTGTTGCATTTTGCAGCTACTGCTTACTATTGATGACCGTTCCGCCTCCTTTTTATTAAGGAGGTTGGAGGGAGAGAACACAGACTGAGTGGTTCGTGCCTTTTTAAAAAAATGGTTAAGAAATAGACGGATATTCCCCTACATCCTCATTTTTTAATTTGGGTTTATACAGTATAATACAAATCATTTTCTGCCTTAAAGATTTAAATTTGTACTTTTTTACTTTTTTTCGCATATTGGATGCTTTATCTGCCCTGCATTCTACCAGGCTTTAGTCTTATGAATATAAAAATGAAAGATACATTCTGCATTCATTGGCTGCCTCAAGAGGGAGTGATGAGAAACTCAGCGTATTTTCAAATCCAAAATGTTAATAGAAAACTAGCTCTGAATGTATAGTGTAGGTTGTTTTGAAATAATTTAGTATGATATGTTTTTGTCACTGCAAATAGTGTTTTGAAGCTCATGGTTTGAGGATTTATAGGAGTTGTGGTCTAAACAGTGGTTTTCAACTAGTGTGCTGTGGCACCCTGGGGTACATTGAATGATGGTCAGGGGTGCTGTGGCCAACACTAGTCTCTGTTCCTCTTTCTCCTCCCTCCTCTGATGTCTTTTGGCATCTCTGCCTCCTAAAGGCTTGCACAGCTGTTTATTGCAGCAGCCCTGACTATAAGCTCCACAGGCAAAGTGTGCCCCTGGGATTCACCTGTTTTTGGGGTGGTGACGGGAGGGGGGCAGCTCAGAGATCGGGGGCGGTGGCAGCAGCAGCTGCACAGAGGACTCCCAAGGAGAGGGGAGAGGACAGGAGGCTGAGGGAGCACTCCACAAAATGGGGGTGTTCAAAAAAGGATGAGAGGCTGCCAGCTCTGCAAGCAAGGGGTGACATAACTGGGCTCCTGAGCTCCGCAGGGTTGCCACAGAAAGAAGGTAGTTGGTCCAGGGAGCTGTGGACTCAAAAAGGTTGAACACCTCTGGTCTAAAGTATCCAGAACCCATCAGGTCAGCTAAGGCAGTCCCGAGTCTTCTAAGTACCCAGGAATACCCTTAATTTGAGGCCTTCCAATACAGTTTGTTGAAGAAAGATCTGTTTAGTGAAACTGCCACTCTATATTACAAAATCAATGTGCCCCAGCTGGGCTGGGTGTGTGGGAAGCAGTGTTCTCCCCCACTCCCATGCTATTCTTGCAGATAACTGTGTTCACATGTAGGAACCGTAATCAAATGTAGCCGGGTCTTGTTAAGCACAAGGAATCAAACTGTTCCTTATGAGTGTGAAGCAAGTGGGCGGTGTTGTGTTTATACAGCTGTTGTTCCCTGCTTTCAATGACCCATTCTCCTTACTTGTTCAGAGGCTAAAAGGGCAAAGCAGAGACTGCTTATTTGCTTCGAAAATGTTTTAAAAATAGATTTTACATACGTACAAATATACATAATTTGTATGCTGCCTTTCCACACTTCAAATCATGCTCAATGTGTCTTACGTGAAAAAGGAACATAACTACAACATAACAAAAGTAGTTATAAATGATAAAACATTTTTTTAAAAAATACACATCCAAACTGAACAATTTTCACATATATCACAAAAAACCTTAAACAAAAATACATAAAAAACCAACAGCACCAGATCTCCTTCCAACAACAAAACTCCCCAGCCCAAGAGTCTGTTCAGCAACCTTAGCTTTCGTAGCTGCAGTCAGGGTCTCACCTTCCTAGGCAAGTTGGAAGTGGCTTTCAAGGCAGGGAACAGGTGTTCCTACTTAAATAGGTGGTTTTGTATGTGACACAATCTGCATTTCTTTTTTTCTTTTTTTAGAAATAAGTACAGTAATGTAGAATTACTTCCTTTTTGAAGTTTGAAGTCACATTAAATGTCAGTGGATGTTAGTAACAGGTCAAGCATACAGCTGGATAGTAGCAGTGCAATGAGTTCATGTGTGTTTAGGCTATTCATTTGACGCGTGTGATACCGGTAATTTAGAAATAAATCCCCTTTGGTTTACTTGAATTTATTCCCAGATTAAATGTGCATAGTACCTCAGTCCTAGCATTGATAGTGCACTTTAAAAAAAATTACTCAAGAGCAGTGGAACTCCATACAACAGTAAGGTGGTCCAGAAGACATTTTATTTCTATATTGAATCAGGTTGGCTTCTGGTGGAAAACTGCTGGACTACATAGACCTTTGATTTGACCCAGCAGGGCTAGTCTAAGAGTCTTGGGGGGGGGGGGTGTCAAGACATTGCCCTGAACCATAAGTGGTGATTCCCACGGAACTGTGGCTGCGCTCAGCCGCTCCAGTTTCCCAGAGTGGAGCGGGTAAAATTGCTGTTCTACCTGTAGGGTAGGGGCTGTTGTAACGATTTACGCCATTGTGAACTTATTTGAAGAATGCTATATGTATCCTGATAAGGACTGCAGGACTTTCTTCGAAAGTAAGTTTGTAGTATATAGGATCTCTCCATTAAGTGTTTGACGAGAAAGTTGAGTCAGGGATCAGTTGCTTCCCTGCGGAGTCTCTTTGCAACACGATCATTTGCGTGTTTTACTCAAGAGCAGGGCTTGCTGGGGCGGCGAAGACTAGGACTCCCTCCACCCCCGCGGACTGTCCGGCGGTGACACAGTTAAGCTGCCTGAGCCAGGGAGAGTGACGTCGTGAGGGCCCGCCTCCTCTAGGTAGCCGCCTGGGTTTGAAGAGCCAGTAAGCGAACTGCAGGCTGCCATGTTTAGAGGAGACTCAAGCCCGGCTGTGATTGGCCGCTTGGGTCCCGTATGCAGATAGAAAGCGAGAGGGATTCTGGTCCACCGCCGATACCTGGCCAAATACCAACTTATAAAAGCATTTCTTTTAAACTATCCCGAGGGGGCTTGAATTCGCTCGTTTTCTGTCTTAAGAATCAAAAGTCGCGCATGTTTTCGATGGGTTAGAAATCGGTCGCAGTGACTTCGAGAGTGGGTCGAGGCAACCAGGCTCTGGAGCCGCGAATCGTTTAGTTAAGACTATACTTTCAGGGATCATTTCTATAGTTTGTAACTAGAGAAGTGTACTCGAAAGTGATTGGCCGCGGAAACCACGAGGAGGAGTCAAAGTGTTCTCTTCTGAGCGCGAAGCGAGCAGGCAGTGTTGCATTTTGCAGCTGCTGCCTGCTATTGATGACCGTTCCGCCTCCTTTTTATTAAGGAGGTTGGAGGGAGAGAACACAGACTGAGTGGTTTGCGCCTTTTTTTAAACGGTTAAATATTAGCTCTTAAATATTTGGTCCTTTTTAAAGAGGTTTCATATTTTAAAGTTTTTTTTATTCTTAATAGAGTGTTGTTTCCTTTTGCTTTATATGTTTGGCATTATTTTGTATCAAAGATACATCCGTCTAATATTGGTTAACCTTGCAATTTCTCCATTGTTGGTTAAATGCCTATTTTGCCCTTTCTGAAGAAGTTTGGGTTAGTGCATGTGGCAATCTGGTTAAAATTCTAATAAAGCCATTCATATTAGTTTTTCTGCATAATTTATTGCATAATTTGATTTTAAAATAATAATCTCAAATCTGTTTACAAAAAGTAATAAACGAATGAAATTATTGGTTATGTCATGTATTGTTCTTCATCTGAGGTTGTATTTACCTCATTTTAAGACCTGCCAAGGAACAGATGATTGTTATTATGTCTTCATATGTAAAATCAGAGAAATTAAGGAGAGTGCTTTTTCTTTTTCCCATGACTGTAGCTTAATTTGTGATCTGCCCTTAATGGTGTGCCTCTGGCTGATTCATTGCAGAGGGTTGGAGAAGGGGAAGGGCAGCTTTTGTGGGACCTCACACACTTAGGGAAAATTTGCCCTGGGGAAGTGGAACGAGGATGGCAGTAATTCTCTCTCCCCGCCCCCCATTCTTATTTTTATAGGAATCAGTGCTGACTCGATTAACTCATTGGGGCAGACTCCCCTATTCACTGCTGCCTTGCTTGGTATTGGGAAAGTTGTCAGCGTTCTTTTGGATTATGGTTCGGATCCTAATCAGTAAGTACAAAAGCTACATTTTTGTTGTTATAGGGAGACAACTTTCTGGGTTTTAAAAACATCCAGAGGTGTGTAGGTTCTCCTCTACATGTAGATCTGCAGAAATGGAGAAAAAGCAAAAAAGCGTGTTTTCTGATGATAGGTTTTCCCCCCCATTCCCTTTGAAAAACAGTCATTGAGACCCCAGGGCTGCAAAACTAAGCTGGAAAGTGTGTGGGAAATGCCTTGCAATGAATGGCCTTCCCCAGCCAGGCACGCTTCCGGAGGTTTTGGGCTACAACTCGCATCAGCCCCCGCCAGCATGACCCGTGGTCAGAGTTGATGGGAGTTGTGGTCAAAACTATCTGGAGAGTGCCAGCTCATTGACAGTATCTGTGAGGTCCCAGAAAACCTGCAATACTATTTTACTTCGTTTGCATAACTCACTCAGCTTGCAGAATCCTATTTTTATTTGAGCAGGATTTGGATTACCCTTGGCACAAGTGTAGCTATTATTTTATTATTTATTAAATTTGTATACTGCCCTTCATCCAAAGATCACAAGGCAGATCACAGCATAAAAATGCGAGATAAAAACGGGAACAAAAATGAAGTGAAACAATACCCCTACCCCTACCCCGAAACACATTTAAAAGGCCGTAAGATGTTAATCAGCCTTGATGTAAGCATTTCTGCATTTTGTTTTTAAGCCCAGAGTCCACCTAGTCCAAGGAATTGCTTATTGAGGTCTTTGGGGGCCCTCCGATCAGGACTTCTAAGTGCTCTTGTGTTCCTTGTTTTCTCAGCCGCTGTCACGATGGGAGCACTCCGGTCCATGCCGCAGCTTTCTCAGGCAACCAGTCAATCCTCAGCAAACTGCTGGATGCGGGTGGAGACCTGCGAGTCCATGACAGGAATGGGAGGAACCCGCAGAGCTGGGCTGTGACAGCTGGGAAGGAGAGCAGCGCTCAGGTGTGTGGGCGGCTAGGGCCTTTCGCCTCTTGCTTACCCCAGAAGCTTGCCCCTGTGTGCACAAAGCTCCACAAATGCCTCCTCCAAGCAGAGTCAGCCTTCCATTTCCTGCAGGCAGCAGGCAGTGTTGCTTTTTTTGATCATGTGTGGGGGTGCCTGTGGGGCCCCCCCATCAGTTATTGCTGGGCTCCAGTTCTCAGCATCCCCAACTGTTGGCCCTGTAAGTTGCAGGGGATGGTAGGAATTGGAGTCCCAGCAACGTTTACATGACTTCAGGCTCCCCATCCCTGACCTTGCAACACTCCCAGCCCAAATGCTTTTATCCAGAACTGTTTATTTGTTTCTATGACAAGGGTCATGGCTCAGTGGAATAAAGCACCTGCTTTTCAGTCAGAAGGTCTCATGTTCAATCCTTGGCATCTCTAGGTAGGACTGGGAGAGATCACGTCCAAAATCATGGAGAGCCACTGCAAGTCTGCCCAGACTGATGTTTGGCACCACTGGATAGCTCAGTTGGTTAGAGCAAGTGCTGATAATGCCAAGGTTGCAGGTTCAATCACCATAATGGACATCTGCATTGCAGGGGCTTGGACTACCTTTCTCAACCTGTGGGTCCCCAGATGTTGTTGAACTACAACTCCCATCACCCCTAGCTAGCAAGGCCAGAGCTGAGGGATGATGGGAGTTGTAGTCCAACAACATCTGGGGACCCACAGGTTGAGAACCGCTGGACTAGATGATCCTCAGGATCCCTTCCAACTCTTCAATTCTACAAGGCACTTTCTCCCTTCCATCCCTAGTTGCTTTCAAGGTTTGCGCTCAAACTCAGGCGTCTTTGCCGCCACCAACCATCCCTGGTGGCGGCGGCTTCTCCTCTTCTGTTTTGCAGATGCTCGAGTTCATCCAGCGATGTACATCCCACATGCAGGCGATTGTGCAGAACTACTCCATAGACTTGCTGCGGAAGGTGGACTCTCCCAGAGCTTTGGTCTCTAGCCCCTCCAAGTTTGTGGGCATCAAGCAAGGGTGAGTGCCTCCAGCTGTGACAGTGATGGTGGGGAGCGAAATCGTTTCTCCCTCTTCTAAACATTAGGAAGAACTTCCTGACAGTAAGAGCTGTTTGACAGTGGAATTTGCTGCCAAGGAGTGTGGTGGAGTCTCCTTCTTTGGAGGTCTTTAAGCAGAGGCTTGACAACCATATGTCAGGAGTGCTCTGATGGTGTTTCCTGCTTGGCAGGGGGTTGGACTCAATGGCCCTTGTGGTCTCTTCCAACTCTATGATTCTATGATTCTATGATTCTCTTCCTTTCCCCGCACACCAAACGTTTGTATTTTTAATAGAGGCTTGTAAACACTTGGGAAGTGCCCTTGGTTCCTCCGCAGAGAATGGCTGCGACATCATTCTTTCTGCCTCATGTGGTGGAAAAGCAGAACTGCCCACATAAAAGCAAAAAGGAAGCCCAGATCAGAAGCAAATAAAATCCGAAATCTGTCATTGGGTATTAGCAACAAATCTCCATTTGTATCTGTGCTGGCTTTGAAATTGTGCCCAGTACATGCAGTCTTTTTATTGTGTTGTGAAATTCCTTTCAGATGCTTTGTATGAAGTGTCTAGAGACTCTAAATTTCAGGGTTATGGGTTTGAGCCCCTCATTGGGCAAAAAATTTCTGCATTGCAGGGGGTTGGACTGGATGACCCTTTTGGTCCCTTCCAAGTGTACAATTCTTTGATCTTATGGTTATATGAGAGCTAGTGTGGTACAGTGGTTAGAGTGTTGGACAAGGACCTGGAAAACCAGGGTTCAAATTCCAGCTCAGCCATGAAGCCCACTGGGTGACTTTGGGTCAGTTGCTGCCTCTCAGCCTTAGCTACTTCAAGAGACACCCCTTTCCCCCTTTATTTTTTTGTCCTTCAGGACAGCTGACAAGATTCTGAGACGCGGGAGCAGTGCCCCCCAAAACATTTACAGTTTTGGCTTTGGGAAGGTAAATATGGTGGAAGGGTCCAGGACGCAACAGGATCTCCCTGTTCCCCTTGAGCCAAGGTTGTATCTAGAAGAATGAATTGGGAACAGCTGGTGAATTTTTTGTTGGGAATTCAAAAAGTATATCCCTGTTATGCAAGTCTTTAGCGCAGCGTGTGGCTTCTGGTGGTGAAAGAGCAGAATCTGGCCAGTGGAAAGCCTTGAGCCCAGGGGCCAAATGCAGCCCTCTGGGTCTTTCTGTTTGGCCCTTGATATTCTCCTGCCCTCTTGTCTGTCCTGCTCTGCGCCTTCTTCAGGTGCTTTTGCCTGGCTGAGTGTCAGGGCTGGGACAAAGGCTCAGAGCCTGGGACGACGAGCAGTCAGAAAGGGAGAAGAGGAAGTAGAGTGGGGGGAGGAGATGTCGGAAGCTGAAGAGGTAACAGGGCTTAGTGAGCAGGGGGAGTCTGTGGCAGAGAGAAGTCCAGAATTAGAGGCAGAAGCAGAGGATGGAGAGGAGAGGAGGGGGGCCAAGAGGCAGAGTGGAGGCAGGCTTCTGAAGAAGCCAGGGGGTCTCCCCCTCCTGCTGTGACCAGCTCCCCTTCCTCTGGTCTCCCAGGACCAGAAGAGGTGTGAAGAGGGCAGAGCAAAGACAGACAAGACTTCTTCATCTCAGATTACTTGGGAAGGACCAGGCGGAGGAGTAGACTTAGGGAGCTGTGGGAAGGTGGGGACCTTCAGTCCTCGCAATTGCCTCATTGGGGCCAGACCAATGAGGAAGAGTTGCTGTGCTCACCAGGCCTGGCACTACTGAGCAGCGTCTTCTAATAAAGTGTTAACTTAACACTATGTGCTTTATTGCTGATGTGCTCCTGACACTGGGATATGTCCTGGAACCCTAGAAATGTCTCTCACTTGCCTTAATTGAGAATGGATATGGGTGCTTGAATCTGTGTACAAACTAGTCAAGGTAAATTTCAACATTTGTTGCTCTGCACCTTTTTGCGTTGAGCTAGACTGGCCCCAAGGAGGTTTCCTGGAAGAGAATGTGGACCTTGATTGGAAAACGTGTGTCCTCGAGCAATAGCAAAAGGATTGGTGGGTGGGTGTCTTTTAAATGTAAGAAAACATTTCTGCACTCCTTTTATGAAAAAGGAACACCAAAGTGGTTTACGTGACAATAAAACATAGCATTATCCAATAAAAATTCACTGTCAATAGAGAAGGTGAAATCATCGCAAGGACAGGTATTTATAATACTATTAAGGGCCAGGGGAAAGCTACGCTTTCTTTACAAAGCATCTTTCTTTGTAAAAAAAAAGGCTTCTCTTTCATTTTCTTTGCTTACAAAGTGAACATAAGGAAGAGATTTGCAGAATTATGAATGTTGTGGAGAAAAATGAAAACAAAGAGCAATTGTTACAATTATTATTTCTCTTGTCAGGTTTACCTCACAGGCAGCCGTCAGCTGGGCTACCTGGCATCGCTCCCCATCATTTCGGATAAGGAAGTGGTCCAGGCTGATGATGAACCAACCTTCTCCTTTCCAGCTGGGCCGTACATGACTATGACCAAGTGGGTTGATGCTTTTGCAAGGGGGAGTTGGGCTTCGTAACCAAGTAGGCTAGGTGTAGGCTTGTTCAATGTATACATTGCTTCTGACCCAAGATGAAGTCCCAAAGCAGTATGCATCCAGACGAGAAACTGCAGTCAAAATCACATAAATATTAAGAACAGGTTTAACAGCGCAGTTTCATATCAGTGGTGCTTTCTTTTGCCTATTTAGACTTGTGTTGTTCTACTTTTTTGGGGGAGTAGAACCCCCAGGATTCACCAGTCGGAGCCTACTGGAAAAAGACACACGCTTAGATTTAAAGAGTTGCAAGCTGTGGAATTTTCTTTTTGAGTGCCGAAAACTTGAAGGGTGCTTGCTTTTGGTTCCCCCTGTCTCAAAAGTTGTTTACAAAAAGAATAAAACAATGATATCGTCACCACTTAAATAAGGCATTAGAAATAATTAAAATAAAAGTAAACTAAAAACCAGGTGAAAACACTTGTCAGCATTTGACCTGCCTGGATTTGAACCCTGGCCTCCCACTTGCACAGTGCCTGCTACACCACCACTGGCGATCTTCCTTTGGGAGCTGCCCTTCTGTCCACCTCCTGTGATAGAGTATGCGTTCAACAGAGTATTGAAAACTGCAATACTGCCAAAGAAAAAGTCCAGAAAGTCACACCTGGCCTCTCTCCCCTCCCTTCCCCACTCTTGCAGTTTGATGTGGGGTGGAAGCAGAGTCACAGTGAAGGAGCTGAACATGAAACCCCACCAGCACTGCAGCAAGCTGCGCCTATCCGACCTGCTTCTCGCGGAACAGGAGTACAGTAGGTACGGCCGCCTCTTGCAACTTTGGCGGGGAAAGCCTGAATCACGATTGTGGCTCCTTCCTCTACTGATGTTCAGATCGGAGGGGGAACAGCGTCTCAGCAGCGATGTCAACTTGCGCTTCTTGCAAATACGTAAAAGGTGCCCATGCAATTTGGGTGCTGAGCAGGAAGAAAGAAAAGCCCTAGAGCTATTCTGGTAATCTTGTTTTGGTTGAACAACAAAGAGGGGATCTGTATTGTGGCTATTTGCCTTGGGGAAAATAATCTACTTGTTTCTCTCTTCCTCCTCAGTCTCTTGGCTGATTACAGTGTTATAGGGTTTTTTTGTGGGGGGAGGTCAGTCTGGATGAAACCCATGAGTCCCTTTCAAAGCTGTGATTCTGTGTCAGGGAGGGTAGAATCTATTAGGAGAAACCAGCCAGATCAGTTCCTTCGCTAAGGGAGTGGCCTTGGCCTGCCAGTTCAGTCCTGCCATTTACATTAAAAAGGGGCTGCCTTGTTGCCATAGAGACAAATGGGTGTGTGTGTGTGTGTGTGTGTGTGTGTGTAACCCCCCACCACCTAGTGGAAGCAGACTTCACCTTATAGAACATGGGTAGGCAAACTAAGGCCCGGAGGCTGGATCCGGCCTAATTGCCTTCTAAATCCGGCCCACAGACGGTCCGGGAATCAGCGTGTTTTTACATGAGTAGAATGTGACCTTTTATGTAAAATGCATATGTAAAATGCATCTCTGGGTTATTTGTGGGGCATGGGAATTCGTTCATTCCCCCCCCCCCATATAGTCCGGCCCCCCACAAGGTCTGAGGGACAGTGGACCGGGCCCCCTGCTGAAAAAGTTTGCCGACCCCTGTATAGAAGAACAATAGCCAGAGTTTTATGAGTGAGCGTTGGCTGATGCTGGAGAGACAAAGGCATCCATTGCTATTGCTCTGTGCTGGACCCAAAGTGGTGGCTTGGGGCTTCCCTGGAAAACCTGATGGGGAGGCAAGATCTTTCAGGCGTCAGTGCTGTGAGACCTTCCATCTTATCCTCTGATTATATGTATGTGTAAATAAAACCACACGTCTTAAAGGCACCACAGTCTTTTGTTAACAGTCATTCCAAGGAAACGGAAATACGGATAAGCGCAGGCACCCCAGAGCCTGTCAGCACTCGGTGATGGGTTGCACACAGCAATACCCAGCAGAGCATCCCTTGAAAGATCAGTTGTGTTTTCTGGTGCCATGACGATGGCCTGATCCATGTTAGCTTCCACCCTCTTTTGGCCTTTGCTCCCAGCGTGTTCTGTTGTTGCTTTTTTGTTGGTTCTGGTGCTTTAAGTTGGTTAGGAAAGGCAGAGTGAGCTGTTCTGATGGGATAAGATCAGTAAGCCTGGAAATGCACTTCCTTCGTAATCCAATTTCCCTTCACATTGTTGGGTTTTCATATCTCCTTCTGCAGCCAGCTCCGCCATCCTCATTTGTTGCAGCTGATGGCCGTCTGTTTATCCAGCGACTTGGAGAAAACGCGATTAGTGTTTGAGAGGGTTACTTTTGGCTCCCTCTATAGCATCCTTCATGAGAGGGTAAAGTGACCGTTTTTGTTTCTTGGCAGAATTAATAGATTTACTCTACCCGCCCCCAGTGCTTTCCTCCCAAGGAGCTCAGCGTGACAAAACAGGTTCTTCTGGCGCCTGCCAAACTTTATCCTCATAACAACCCCGTGAGGTAGGTTACACTGAGAGAGTGTGACTAAGTCATTGACCTTCATAGCTAAGAGAGCCACCTGGCAAGCTTCATGGCTAAGAGAGGATTGATCCATTTTGTCCTGCGTCATGTGGTAGGTTAGATGGAGTAAAAGGGGTGCTGGCTTTGCACATAGTGCTGAGCCACAGTTAAAAGAAGCCAAAGACAGCAAATCATGACTTCAGGTTAAGCTGCTGGGCAGGGTTTGGACAGCTGGAGAAACCATGGTTTAATGAACCATCGTTGAATAAACCATGGCTTGGCATTATGTGTGAACCGGGCTGTGATCATCTCCTCTCAAACAGTTCTAAAGCAGAATGATTACCAGACAGTAAGCTAACACCCGCATCATATGTTGACTGCTTTAATTGTATGGTATGGGAGGGTACCTGCCCTGTTTTAAATCCTGTCTTCCTGGAGGTTCCTCCTTCCACCCAGGAAGAGCAAGCGCTCAAGCTAAGAGCTGGTTTCTTTCCTCTTTCCCTCGGCAGCGTTCGGAGTTCCCCATTGTGCACATGGAGACCCTCGTGCACCTCTTGCTCCAGGTGAACGATGGCCTGAGGTTCCTGCATTCGCACGGCTTCATCCACCGCACGGTCAGCTCCTATGCTGTGGTGGTGGTTTTGGCCGGGGAAGCCAAGCTTACCAACCTGGAGTACATGATCGAGAGGTAAAGACGCCCTACTTCCCCCCATTCTCCCCATTTTACTTGAGCAACTAGCATAAGTACAAAATGTAAGTTTGGAAATGGTGTCTGAGCTGCAGAGGTCGGACGTGCGTGTGTGGTCAGCTTGGAAGCATGATGAAGAAAGGAGGCCGCCCAGGCACGAAGGAAGTATGTAGTGTTACAAGCTTCCTGCCAAGGCAGACAAAGGAAATGATTTCACTGAGTTCTCTCTAGCAAATTTTACAGGGAGGCTCTGTGAGCCTGCGGTAAACCTACCTCCAGCTGCTCACCCCTCCCACACCTGTCTTTGCTCTCCGGCCAGACCAGGTCCTCTAGGGCAGGGCTGGCAGACACGTTTACTTTTTACAGAAACAGGACAAAATACCACCGGTAAGGCTGCCGCCACTCCCTTTGTCCCGGGGAACCCAGAGCCACAACCCAGGGAGAAGGTTGTGCCCCGTTATTGCTGGTTACCCCCACTCCACAAGTTGTATCCACAGACTTGCAGACAGAAATTCTACGGTAGAGCACAACCAAGCGTAAGGCTAGGAATTAGCTTTTCCCCCCGGAAAGGCACACAAACTAAAACAGTTTCTTTCTTAAAATTTATTTTAAAAGAACATAAGGAAACATGCTAAAAAGCAGGCACATCTTTAGTAAGTTACAAGCAAGAAAAACAAGAACATTGTGAAATCTAACTGACTTACATACTCACGACTAAGACACAGATAGAATAGTTAGAGTCCTTTCAATGATCCGCATTCAGAGGTTTTCGCAATTCTCCATCACAAAGGACGAAAGGACGGCTACTTAGGTGGAGCATCAGCAGCCGGGCGATTTGCGAATTGCAGAGCGCGCTTTCCCAGCCATTCCCAATATCTTTTATCCCCAATTTGCACGTGGCATCGGAACCCCCAAAACCAATATAACTCTTGATTATTTTTAAATTCTCCAATGACCAGCTTGCGGGCTAATCAATCTAACTTCTGGCAGCTGGGCCAATTAAGAACCCAGAGCCTAAAGGGGTTTCCTCCCTTTCCGTGGAGCCTATGCAGATACACATTCCCAGGCAATCAAGGCAGATAACATCACTGAGGGAATGCACATAACTTCGGACCCAGGTGTCAAACCTTTCATTAAATCAGGGGTTTCCTTTCCCATAATAAACCTTTCACACCCTGGGAGTTTGCTGGTCTGGGGTTAAAGGGACAAAACTTATTTCCCATGGTCCTTGTGGCTTGTTGGTATCCCACAAGGCCTCACTCTTGTTGCTTGACCAAGGAACAGCTTCTAAGTAAACACTAACTTTACTACAGAGCCTCAGCCCTTTCATGTGCCCATTTGGCAAAGCATAAGTGTTGATTGACTGCAATAATGTCCCACATAAACAAGTGGGTCTTTGAGAGCGCTCTTGCAGCTACTGTCTCCCCACCACCACCCATTTTCGCATGTAAAAGGTAAAGGTAAAGGGACCCCTGACCATTAGGTCCAGTCGTGACCGACTCTGGGGTTGTGGCGCTCATCTCGCTTTATTGGCCGAGGGAGCCGGCGTACAGCTTCCGGGTCATGTGGCCAGCATGACTAAGCCGCTTCTGGCGAACCAGAGCAGAGCACGGAAACGCCGTTTACCTTCCCGCCAGAGCGGTACCTATTTATCTACTTGCACTTTGACGTGCTTTTGAACTGCTAGGTGGGCAGGAGCAGGGACCGAGCAACGGGAGCTCACCCCGTCGCGGGGATTCGAACCGCCGACCTTGTGATCGGCAAGTCCTAGGCTCTGTGGTTTAACCCACAGCGCCATCCACGTCCCTTCACGTGTTATCTAGCTTTAAAATAATGCTGAGCATCTCTGGGATGTATGTTCTCCCCCTTTGCCACATGTTCTGAGGGCCTCTTGGTTTCCTGTCTTTGGCAGCAAGGATGGGGGAGAGCACAGTGACCTGACACGGCTGCCCATCCCTTCCCAGTTATACAAATGGTGCGCTCCGGAAGTAATCCTCCAGAGGACCGCGACCACCAAGTCTGACATCTACAGCTTCTGTGCGGTGATGCAGGAGGCTCTGACAGGTACAGAAACAGAGGGAGGGATGCTAAGCCTCACAAAGGTGAGAACATAAGGAGAACCTGCTGGATCGTGCCAATGGCCCATCTAGATTACCATCCTGTTCTCACAGCGGCCAGACAGATACCTGTGTGAAGTTCGCAGGCAAGACCCAAGCGCAAGAGCGCTCTCCCCTCCTGTGGTTCCCAGCATCTGGTATTGAGAAGCATCATTGCCTCTGACCGTGGAGTCAGAGCAGAGCCATTGTGGCTACTAGCCATTGATAGCTTTATCCTCCCCTGAATTTATCCAGTCTTTTAAAGCCATCCAAGTTGGGGGCTGTAACTGCCTCTTGTGGCAGTGAGTTCCATAGTTTTAACAATCCGCTAAACGGACTTCCTTTTATTTGTCCTGAATCTTCCAACGTTCATTGGATTAACACAAGTTCTGGCGTTATGAGAGGGAGAAAACCTCTCTATTCGCACCCTCCATGCCTTGCAGAATTTTATAAACTTCTGTTGTGTCGCCTCTTACTCTAAACTGAGAAGTCCCAAATGTTCCACCCGTGATCATTTTGCTGCCCTTTTACAACTGTAGTTTGTGTGTTTGCTTTTTGAAGCTCTCAACCTGCCCCATTCCCATTTCTTGGCTGCTGCACCTTGTTTGGAATAGTCTCTCCTTCCGTCTTCATCAAGCTGATTGGCCCCAGCCTCCCCTTCAAGGCTGTTGCCGAAATTCTGCTACTACTAGATGATCCTGAAGGTCCCTTCCAACTCTACAATTCTGATTCTTTTTTAATTTCAGTTGTGTATTTCTTGACGTGCCCTCTGCCATAAGGCAGGCTCCTCCCCTTCAGAGCTTCACCACATCAGAGCATGCATGCGGTTTGTGTGTCTTCCAGATACCATCCCTTGGGATGGGTTCGAGGGCCCGGATGTTAAGGATCTCATAGTTTCTGGGCAGTGGCTGGAAGCGGATGCCAGGCTGCCCAAGCCCTATTACGACATCGTGAAGACCGGGCTGGAGTCCAGGCAGAAGCAACGCACCATGAACCTGCAGGATATCCGATACATCTTGAAGAATGACCTGAAGGTGAACCAGAGCAATCGAGCCTCCCAAATCTGGGCTTGCAAACAACTTTACTGCTGGTCACCTCTGGCAAATTTGAACCACCTCTGGGCACCCAGCTGTGGCTGGCTGGCTGGCTAGCTAAAAACTGACCGCCAGTGTGTTTTGTAAACATTATTTTTGCAAGGCTACTTCTCAACTCCGTAGAGCCTTGCTTCCCAAACTCCCCCCACCAATGGATTACTTGAAAAGTTGTAGCTCATCTAGGAGAAGGGAAACTTTGACCCTACACATTTGCTGCCTTGCAGGATATTTCAGGAGAAGAAAAGGCTAAGGGGTAAAACCCACACAAATCAGGAGTTGAGTCGCTAAGGCGGTTGGATAATGCCTTGTACGCCTCTTTCCGGCAACTCCTGCAGCCAAGGTGGTGCCTAACGCTCTGCTTTCCTTTGGACCACATCAGCGAGGCTGAGAGGGGCGGGTTTGTCATCTGGGCAGGCTAGGACCTCCATACACACTCCCCAGGCTTGTGTCTTGGGGAGTGCACTTTAATGCTCCTAACGCAAAGGTTTGACTCTACCCCTGGAGGCGCACTCCACTGTCTCTTGAGACAGATGGATGCCAACAATGGCAACTTAATTTGGTTGCAGGGAGAGAGGGGTCCTCTGTTTCCTGACACCATTCTCTTTGCCACTGCAGGATTTGCTTGAGTCTCGTAGGACTCGCCATGGTGACAGTTCTGGACCGTCGAAGGCCGAACCCCATGCTGACATTAATATCTGCTTGCCATCCGCCTCCGCTGTCTCGGTCAAGGTGGAAGAAGAGTTGCCAGAAGAGGAGCAGGAAGAAGAGAAGCCAGAAGAGGAGCAGAGTGTCCCGTGTCTGCCTTGTAAGTTCTGCTTTTGCTGCAAGGGCCAAAGCCTGGCCTTTTGTGTCTTTGCTGCCAGTGCCAGTTTCCCTCCTGGGGCAAACGGGAAGGGCTGCATCTAAGTGGCAGGGCACCTGCTTAGCATGCAGAAGGCCCCAGGCTCAGTCCACAGCTGCATCTCCAGTTAGGCCTGAAATCCTGGAGAGCTGCTGCCCGTCAGTGTAGGTAGAACAGAGCTATGGTTGGTCTCTTCTGTATGTTTGTGGCCCTCCAGACACATACCAGGAATGGGGGAACAACCATCTGCCCTGCTAGATGATGTTCATAGAAGTGACCCTGCTCAGAGTTGGAAGGGACCATGAGGGTCATCTAGTCCAGGCATGTGCAACTCCCAAGAGACTGTGATCTACTCCCAGTAAAACACTGGCAGTGATCTACCCATTGTCATTGGAGGGAGGAGGAGCGTGCGTGGGGTGGGTGGATTGCCCAGAGTTATTGATCTTTTTTAAGGAGGGAAGTGCCCAGAGTTGTTGAGCTTTTTTGGGCGAGGATTGCACAGAATTTTTAAGCTTTCCCCCCATAACTTTTTGCACATGATAAGGATCCTGCGATCTACCAGGATCAGCTGGGGGTCTGCTGCTAGGTCACAATCTGCTGATTGGACATCCCTAGTCCAATCCCTGCAATGCAGGAATCTTTTTGCCCACTGTGGGGCTTGAACCCATGGGATTGAGATTGAGTCTCATGCTCTACAGACTGAGCTATCCACCAGCCCCAGCCAACATGGCTAGCAGCCAGGAGCGCTGTGAGGTGGAGAGCAGCAGCTTCCACATCCCTGAAGCAGAGCAAGGCTTTGCGTCCAGGCGTCATGCACACGGGGCAGAAATACGCCACAGGATCCTGAGAGGCCCTTTGGAAGTCTGTATGTTTGAGGAGAGAAAACACTGTCCTGTGCTTGTTAAGAGCTTAGCCCCTCCATTCTGACTCGTGCTCTTGATTCTTCAGCCGGGAGCTTCACCGTGATGAGATGCGCTGCTTCTGCTCCCAGAATCGAAGGTGCCGCTGGCCACCAGTCTCAGCCTGCCCTCCCCGCCGCTCAGTCTGGCCACCTCTTGGCTCCCAAAGTCCAGGGGGGCACCAGCGACAGGGACGAGAGCCTCTGCAGCTTTGAAATCAATGAGATCTACACCTGCTATCCTGAGATGTGTGGGGACAGCACGGAGGAGGACACAACATCAGGACCGGGTCAGGGATCCCCAAGGCAGCCTCGGACCGTCCCGGGGGATTGGGCCAAAGCCCTTTCGCCGCCCCTGCCAGCCAGAATTCAGGACGGACAGACAAGCTGCAGTGAGGGGGGCGCCACCTCCGATTCAGAGTCGGAATACACCAGGGAAGAGGTCACCTACATGTCGCAGGCCTACCCTGTGCAGCAAATGGTGAGGTTCTCCAGCCCCCGGGGCCGGAACACCCCCTGGAAGGGGGGCCACTACTTTGGGAAGTGTGTCCTGAACCTGAAGATCTCCCAGACGCTGCTGCAGCAGGCGAGGGACTCTCTCTGCCGGACGGAAAAGAAGCTGGACCAGCTGGAGAGCTTCAGAAAGCCCCAGCCCCACCCATGCGCCATTGCCCTGAACCCCATCATCCGAGAATACTGGGAGAAGGACGAGGGCGCTGCTTTTGGAAACCTCAGGGCGCCCTGCAGCAGACCCAGCGCCTTCCTCTGGAAAGCGGTGGGCCCTCCGTCTGTGAACTACGTCCCTCCGCCGCTGCGTGTCATGGCCATGCAGCGGCCTCTGGTGATTCAGCCCTTCCAGCCCATGGAGCCAGAGCGCAGGAGCCAGGACACCACCTGCTGGAGCGACTGCGGATTGGAGGCGCCCAAAAACCCCTGGAGCAGAGGGGAAGTGGAGCCCAACTATCAGGTGTGAGAGAGCGGTAAAGGGAGGGGCTGTAGCTGGGGGGTAGAGCAGTTGCCTTGCATGCAGAAGGTCCCAGCTTCAATCCCTAACTTCTCCAGGTAGGGCTGTCTGAAATCCTGAAGAGCTGCTGCCAGTCAGAGCAGGCAGCACTGAGCTAGGTGGTCTGACTCAGTATAAGGCAGCTTCCTGTGTTCTTATTTCAACCCGCTATTCAGAACCATGAGGGCTAGAATCTTAATCTACTAAAGTGATAAAGCACCTGCTTTGCATGCAGGGGGTCCCAGGTGCAATCTCAGGTGTCCTCAGTTGGGCCTCCTGCCTGGAGAGTCAGTGTAGACCATGGGTAGGCAAACTAAGGCCCGGAGGCCAAATCCGGCCCTATCGCCTTCTAAATCTGGGCTGCGGATGGTCCAGGAATCAGCGTGTTTTTACGGTAGTAGAATGTGTCCTTTTATTTAACATGCATCTCTGGGTTATTTGGGGCCTGCCTGGTGTTTTTACATGAGCAGAATGTGTGCTTTTATTTAAAATGCATCTCTGGGTTATTTGTGGGGCACAGGAATTTGTTCATCCCCCCCCCCCAATATAGTCAAGCCCCCCACAAGGTCTGAGGGACAGTGGACCTGAAAAAAACCCTTCTTTTATTTTACCAACCAACCAATTACATAAAACAAACAGTACTGATTTTGATCCTGTTGTTGAGGCCCCTAAAAGGCATGGGGCCTATAAGCCGGTGCTTACTCTGTCTATTTGGTAATCCGGCTCTGTCATAGGCAGCTGTCCCATACAGGGTTTGAACCTGCAACTTTGGTGTTATCAGCACCACCCTCTAACCAACTGAGTGCAGATTGTGACCTGCTGGAAGGACATTTGATAGGCACTGAAATTGGCCATGGAGTCAGAAGCAGGGTTGTGTGGCCTCAGCCCCGGGAGCTGAATATGGCCACCCAGGCCTCTCTCTCTGTCCCTTGGGACGTTCCCAAGGCCACACCCCCTAAGGCCACTGTAGGGCGTACTCTCCATTCTCATAAAAAGCTATTGGCAAATACCCACCCCTTCCTCACGTGTGGGAAATTAAGCAGTCAGCCTTTAAATATACAACCTTCCTTGCCCTCTGGTTAACTGCATAACTCATAAATAACCACCTGAGTCCCCACTCAGCTATGATTGACTGGAGTGATTTTTCAGCTTTTGCACCCAGGCGTCACCGTCCGGAGGAAGAGGAACATGATCCCGCAGTTGTGGCGAGGGAACCTGTCTGCAGTGGACGATGGGAACAGATTTTCAGATGGGTGAGTGCTGCTGCTCCTCAGTCCCCAGCCACACTGCCTCCGATTCCATAGAGGACAGTGATGAATTCGGTATATTGCCCACCCTAAGGTCCCAGGGCAGGTCTCAGCAATTTAAAATGCAACATTAAAAACCGTTCGAAACAAAATGCGATACCAAGAATGCCTAATAATATGCACCTCAGGAGTTGGAATCCCTGGGTAAGCCTCAGCCTTTGGCACAATCTGTTTAGTGAAAGGTGCCAGGCGTGCCTCTGTGGGGAGGGGAGGGGTTCCACAGCTTGGGAGCCACCACAAATACAGTGGTACCTCTGGATGCGGATGGGATCCGTTCCGGAGCCCTGTTCGCATCCTGAAGAGAACGCAACATGCGTCTGCGCGGGTTGCGATTCGCCGCTTCTGTGCATGCGAGTGACGTCATTTTGAGTGTCTGCGCAATGTGGAAGCAGCGGAACCCGGAAGTAATGTGTTCCGTTACTTCCGGGTCATCGTGGAGCGCAATCCGAAAACGCTCAACCTGAAGCAACTTTAACCCGAGGTATGACTGTAGTGCCTTCTCCCAGCCCCCTCCCCAGACTACCAAGAGCCCCCTCTGCAACTTAACACCTGAAAAGGTCTGTAAGGAAAGAGGCAGGCTTCAGATACAGTGGTACCTCGGGTTACAGATGCTTAAAGTTACAGACGCTTCAGGTTACAGACTCCACTAACCCAGTAATAGTACCTCGGGTTAAGAACTTTGCTTCAGGATGAGAACAGAAATTGTGCGGTGGTGGCAGCAGGAGGCCCCATTGGCTAAAGTGGTGCTTCAGGTTAAGAATAGTTTCAGGTTAAGAACGGACCTCCAGAACGAATTAAGTTCTTAACCTGAGGTACCACTGTATTTGGGGTGTAAGTCATTTAGGCTTTAAGCACTGACGTGGGCACCTGGAACCGGGCCTGGAAACGAACTGGCGACTGACGCAGCTCCTCTAAAGCAGCTCCTGTGTGAGATCTAAACAGAACCCCAGCCAGTAATTCGGCTGCTGCATTTTGGACCGATGGAAGTTTCCGAGTTGTCTTCAAGGGCAGCCCCGCATAGAGTGCATTGCAGTGTCATCCAGCTATCCCAGCTCAACTCAAAAAATCCATGCTAGGGCAATACCTTCAGTAGCCCAACAAAAGCATCACGAGAACTCTGTCAGACTGGATGTTAAACAGAGCAAGTGTGTGTGGTGGGGGAGAGAAGAGGTAATATTTTGGGAGGCTGAATTTGAACCCATGGAGTCTGTATCTGTTCACAGTCAGCTTGCAATCAGGCTTTGTGTTTCCAAGACACCTTTTTGCTGTTATGAGGCAAGGAGGGATATAAATTTAATACATGGTGATAATATAGGAACATTATTATTATTATTATTATTATTATTATTATTATTATTTATTATTTAACTTACATTTTTATACCACCCTATACTCACAGGATAAAATCATGATATAAAAACACAGAATACATAATCAAAATAAAAACAAGAACAACCCAATAACTCCCCCCCTGCCCCCGCTCTACCAAAACACATTTTAAAAGGGCACTGAATGTCAGTCAACCGGAGGCATTTTCCCTTGGAGCCTAAAGGTGTATAATGAAGGCACCAGGTGAGTCTCCCTGGAGAGAGCATTCCACAAATGGGGAGGCACCACAGAAAAAGCCCTGTTCTCGTGTTGCCACCCTCCGGACCTCTCATGGAGGAGGCACACGAAGAAGGGCCTCAGAAGATGATCTCCACCCATATTCCAGTGTGTTTCTTGCAGGTTCGTCTCAAAATCAACACCTGAAATTTATGACGATAGTGTGAGGAGCGAGGAGAGGAGGATGGCACAGTCTGAATGGACAAGTGAGTATTGTGTTTTATTTCATTGGAGTCATGCAATCCATAGGTCTCTGGGATGGCGGGAACAGCCCCCATGGGTTGAATGTGGCCCCCGTGCCACTCAGCCTGGCTCTTGGGGCTGTTTCCAGGCCACGTCCTTTCCCCCAGGCCACGTCCCTTTGCTGTCCTCTGCAAGTGCTGTTGCCTGGCTTGAATACATCCTCTTGAATAATGAAAATGTTTACCCTTTACTTCTGAACTTCCAACACCTACTGAATTATTATTTTTTTCATTCCAGCAGGCATTTCAACTGAAGTCTGATTTTATGGTTTTGGTCTATTTTTTAAAAACATTTTCTGTACACTACTTGGAGACTTTGTAGTTAAGCGGTATATAAATTGTTTAAATAAAAAGAAATGGAGGGTGGAAAGGCGTGTGTGAATAGAATCCTCTACCTTTTGTGTAGCTGGTGTGTAGCATCCTGTACAAATGTAAAAGTCATGTCCGTTGTTTCACCCACTTCCTGCTTCTGGCTCCACCCACCACTGGCTTGCAGATCCTCCAGAAAGTTGTCTGCGAGGAAATGCATTCACCAGGCTGGAAGAGGTTCTTTCAGGACTAGTATATATTCTGTATTCTGTCCCAGTCATGGCATTGCGGGCAGCCCTGTCGGGTAGGTGAGGCTGAGCAACAGTGACTGCCTGCAGCACCACGTAGTGAGAGGGGATTTGAATTCCAAAGGCAACATTGCCTGCTGCGGTGGTGGTTTTCAGACTGGCTGCTTCCTAGGATCCTGTTTGGATCAACAGTGATCTTTGGGCTTTAATCTCTTCTTGGTGACAGACAAGGTGGTTGCGAGGCAGACACAAGGCTGCCTGGGCTGGATGGAGGCCAGGACCATGTACAGTAACAGACAATGCATTCAGGAGCGATAGATTCAGGACCATGGACAGCAACTCTGTTGTTGAGTGCAGAGGGATAAGTTGCTTCAGCACTGGCTTAGTGCAAGTGCCAGAGTCTAGCTTGGAGGAACAAGGCTGAAGACCCGCTTTCTGGGTGCTTACAGCATGCCCACACCCATCCAAGGACCAGTGTAGTTAATGTCTAGTTATGTCCCCAAATGCATTTTACAATCAGAAGGTGAGGTGGTGCTTGCCAGAAACCACCACCCTGGGTGACTGTGGAGGTATGAATTCATTTCAAGGAGTCTTGATGAGATCTCTTTCCTTTTTTGTTGTCGCATTGGCCACTGGATGGCAGCATCAAACAAAGAACGGGATAATAAAGCCAAGAGCCAGAACATAACTCTGGTGGGGTGGGGGGAGAGCTTCCTTCACCCCTGGATATTAAGGGCTTCCCTTCCTCTCCCCCATAATTCGAAGCACTGCTCTCCTGCTTGCTGCACTTAGGGACACAAAATCCTTTTCTCTCCTACTGAGCCGGTAGTAAGCCTCAGTGGGAGGAACACATCAGCAGGAGAGAAACCAACAGTAGGAAGAGCACTTTAAATCACTCTCCACGGGGCATATCTAGTCATAGTCATAATCTGGTTCATTTGTCAATCTGCACTTTCTGCAAGTACATTGTGTGCTGAAAGCTGTTCGTGGAACGCAGACCATTAAAAATAATTCATAGCACAATAGCTTTAAAACATAATAACGCTACAATTTATTTAGCAAAATTTATAGAGATTTTTATTTTTTGACTTAACTGTTCTATAAACAGTTTACATGACCTTGACATTTCAGCCATTAGCAGTTCATTTTAAAGCAAGAGCGTTGAAGACTATCTCCTCTCCCTGCAAATTAGGCGGAGATTCCCCAACTCCCCCCCCCAGCCAACCCACCACCCCCATTCCAAGACACGTCAAAAGACACAAGCATCTTTTATCTTGGAGACATGAGCCTGCCCCACCTTGCTGATCATTTGAGCCTAGGGCACCGGTGTGTGCCAAATGTATGCTCTACAGTTCCCCTTATCTCCTCCTACAAAGTCCTTCTGAAAATGGAAAAAGCAAATCACAGTGGGCTCCCCCGCCTTGTCCTCCCCAGCGGAAGTGAAACAGATGGCGAGGCAAGCGGCTTCCGGGCAGCTTGGCCTTCCGCCCCAGTATCGTCTTGGTGAATGGACATCGGAGAGCGATGGGGAGAGCATCAAGGATGCCTTCTGGAGCACCAGCAGCAAGGAGAGACTCCGGTTCCACCAGTGGAACACCGAGGAGGGGAGGCTGCGGGCTGACAGCGGAATCGGAGACCACTGTTTGCCCTGTGACCACAGCGAAGAAAATGCCCCGGAAGTTGCGTTGAAAAGATTTGTGGTACCCGAGAGCCAAAGGACAGACGGTAGGGCTGAGCAAAAAGGCTCCTTCCCTGCAGTTAACCATCCCGTTCAGAGCTACTGATTTGGAGCAGGTGGGGTGGGATATTTCAGCAATTTTTCAGAGGCTTATGTGCATGTCAAAATTATTCCAAATGTTTTGTAGAGATGCTGTTGGTGACCCCTGCTTTTTAAACCAAATATTAGCTCTGATGCTTACAGTGCTATTTTGGAGTGAAGGAGACGAAGGGAAATGACAGCTGACCTCTCTCTCTCTCACCCACCCACCTACCCACCCAAATAGCAGAGCTAACAAATACTTTTTGAAGAATTTTGGGGGGCCCTTCCCCACAATTGCCTTTACTTTCTATGAGTCCCCCCTAGATTTCCCCCCACCTAATTTCAAGCAAATGACCTTGCTTTTGTCTAAACCTTTGACAGAACTTAAAACTGGATGTCCTAGATTTATATTTGTTACACTTATAAACCTGTCTGCTTCTTCCAGAGACTGCAAGCATCTTACCTGTGGTTTTCAATCCAGGCAGCTTTTAAGTGGCAGGACCTAGTTAGCTTCAGCGGCAGAACTCCTTCAGGAGTTTTCTCTGGGCAATGTGTGCGCTAATTGCACCACGCTGAAGTTTATTGAAGCGCCTTTTTATGCTGCTGTTTCTCCAGCTGCCAGCAGGCGGTGCAGTTGCTTTACACAGCGGCTCCAAGCCACTCCCTGGCCACTTTCTCCCCCCCAGCCATGTATAATCTTATGCACCTCTTATCACGTCCCCCTTCGTTCTCCTTTCTTTCCTAAAACTAAAAAGCCCTAAATGTTGTAACCTTTCAAAACTTCAAAACAAGTGAATTATTAGGCACCCTTACAAAGCAAATGATTTACTGGCTTTTTTTTTTTTTTTGCCCGCCCTGTAAAGACTGATGTTCTTGTCTTTATGGAATAGACATTTAATTGCCATTATCTTCACGGGGCCCCGACAGCTCCTATTGCTGTTAGCTGATTTATTCACTTTTATATTCTGTAAGCTGGCCAAGCCATTCCAGGGACGCCATTAATTCTTTGCATGCTAATTTCCCCCCACTCTCCATTTTTTATTTTCTTGCGTTTCACGTGGAGTTATAATTTATTATTAGGCAGAGGCATCCAATTCCCAGCAAATGAGGTGCTAACGGAGTGTGGCCTGGCCTCTCGAAAGAGCGCTTCGCTTTCTGTCACCGCCGAGGACCTTTGCCGGGTAGGCACTTTAACCCTCTGCGATCTCTGGTTCCCCCCCCCATCCCAAATCAAAGATCTGTATTGCTATTTAATAAATTGATTAGCTGCCATATGATGAAGCCTATGGGCCAGGAGCAGTTGCACGTTAAGCTGAAGAAGCATTCTGTGGGTGGGGACGGGTGGGCGGGCCTTGGCTCAGTGGAAGAGCATCTGCCTCCAGGCAGGGCTAGGGATGTCCTCTGCCTGAATCCCTGGAGAGCTGCTGCCAGTCAGCATAGAGAACACTGATCCAGATCGGGCAATGGTAGGGCCGGGAAAGAGTTCCCAGAGAGCAGCTGCCAGTCAGGGTAGGCCAGAGATGGGGAACCTGTTGGATTACACCTCCCATAACCCCTGAACATGCTAGTGCAGGGGCTGATGGGAGTTGTAGTCCAGAGGGCACCGCCTTAACTACTCTTGCTGATCTGGTTTGAAAACATCCAGTGGATAGTGGTAATCCTGGCGGTAGGTTGGGTTGGAGAGTCCCAGTACCCTGGGAGTTGCAGGAATGCTGTACAGTGGTACCTTGGATTAAGAACGTAATTCGTTCCGGAGGTCTGTTCTTAACCTGAAACTGTTCTTAACCTGAAGCAGCACTTTAGCTAATGGGGCCTCCTGCTGCCGCTGCTGCACGATTTCTGTTCTCATCCTGAAGCAAAGTTCTTAACCGGAGGTACTATTTCTGGGTTAGCAGAGTCTGTAACCTGAAGCGTCTGTAACCCGAGGTGCCACTGTATAAGGTTATCTAGGCACACAGAGTGGTGAGTTTTGGAGGGTCCGGGTGTCCCCCTATTCTTGGGCTGGGCGGGACTTCCTCCTGGAAAGCCTGCCATTGGCCAGGCCACTGGAGAAGCCTCTTCACAGCAGAAGCTGTTCTGCAGAGGCCAGGCAAGGGAGACTGGGACGTGGGCCCTCAGCAAGTGCCTGCCTAACCGTGCTGGTTTTTGGTCGTCGTCCCTACCTGAAGGTTAGGATTGAACAGTGGCAAAGAGGTTGGTAATGGATCGCGTTATAAAGTGCCCCCCCCCGCTTCTCCACCCAGACATTTACTTTGAAGGGTTCCCCTGACCCCTCTTAGGAATTTCCCTCAAGCTCTCCTTGTTACGTCCTGGCGGGAAGCCAGCTGCAGTCCTCTCGGCTATCTGTCTGCATTAACAATTTGTCAGATAAAAGCTTGAAGTGCTTGGGCTGTGGGAATGGAAGATTGGGGGAGCTGTACATGTAGTTGTACATCAGTGGTGGGGAAACGTTTTAGGTCTGAGGGCCACATTCTCTTGGGGGCAACCTTCCAGGGGCCACATCCCAGTGGCAGGTGGGTCCAAACACTGAGGGAATTCAGATGTCTGCGTTTTGCAGTGCTCTTAATCTAATCCTGAAATCTAATACAATCAAAGGGAGTATGAAAAGCCAGTGCGGTGTAATGGTCAGAGTGTTGGACCAGGACCCAGGAGAGCAAGGTTTGAATCCCCACTCAGCCATGAAACTCCCTGGCTGTGACCTTGGAGTCAGTCACCAACTCTTAGCCTCACCTACCTCACAGGGTTGTGAGGATGAAATGGGGAGGACAAGAACTATTTTAGCCACGTTGAGATCCATGGAAGAAAAAAGGTGGTATATAAATGTCATTGATAATAATAATAATCAGGGTTTTTTTCCAGCCGAAACTCACAGGAACTCAGTTCTGGTACCTCTCAGGTGGGTGCCACTGCCATTCCAAGAGAATGAGGGAGGTGTTCCTAGTGAGTTCCGGCAACTCTTTTTCTAGAAAAATAGCACTACTGATGATGATGATGATGATAGTGAAATGTTGTAAATACAAATAGCTGTATCCCTTTATCAGTGGGACTACAGGAAGCTGCCTTACGCAGAGTCAGACCATTGGCCCATTTAGCTGATTGGCAGCGGCGGCTCTCTTGGGTTTCAGACAGGGAGTCTCTCCCAGCCCTACCTGGAAAGGCTGGGATTCGAACCTGGTGCCTTCCATGTGCACAGCAGATTCTATAACCACTAAACCACAGCCCCTTTCCCAGATGGTAGGTTTCTAATCTTCACGGTTTCCTTCTTTTTTTACGGGCAGTTGGAGGAACTGGGCCCCTCCCTGTCTCCCTCCCTTGATGTATCAGAAGAGTTCTTCACTCCTGACGCAGAGTTCTTCTACTGCTCCTCAGTTCCTCCTGAGAATGCAGAACCGGAGGTAAGAGGAAGGGAGGCATCGCGTGGGAACGTCTGCCCACAGAGCCCTGGGCTTCCTGGTCACACAACCTGGAGATGAAGGGTTGTTGCTAGTGGTGGCCTTGTTGTCCAGTGGTCCTCAAGCCTTCTGATGGGGTGGGTTGGCAGTTCCCGCACCTGAAAAGGTCCATCTGCTCCTGCCTCCTCATGGCAGCCAACCATATCAGGTTTGTTTGTGCGCTGCCATCACTGATGGCGAGCAAAGTCAAGGGGGGGCAGTGTGGTGTCAATGAACACAAGAGCCCTGTGGGGGTGGATCAGGCCAAGGCCCTACCTAGCCCAGCACCCTATTCTTGTTAGGATATTTTCGTTCCTCCTTAAAAGGGAGCAGGCTGTTGTGTGTCACAAGCCTGCGTACTTCCTGCTCACAGGAAGTTTCCATTTTGTATATAGCTTTTGTTTCTGTCTGTTACCTTGACACGAAGGCAGGCAGTCATGTTTTTCCTTTGTTCTGACCAACGCTGAATAAAGTTGTAAATATGCTCTTCTGGGTGCATCTTCTGTTGCGGAGTCTGCTGCAAGGGCGTGCATGAGTCCTGGAATGTGTCTGAGGCTCGTGTCGCTAACTGACTGATGCTGTTCTACGGGAGACCGATGGATCGTCTGGAGATGCCTGTCTCCCTGGCAGTATCCCAACAGTTCTCACAGTGGCCAAATGGATGCCCTCATGGGAAATGCACAAGCTGAGCATGAGAGCAAGAGCACTCGGCTCACCTGCCATTCCCAGAAGCTGTCATTCAGAGGCATGTTGCCTCTGACAGCGGAGGTGGAGCAAAGCCCTTGTGGATGTGTCTAATCCTCTTTTAAAGCCTCCCAACTTGGGGGAAGCCTTCCATAGTTAAACCATGCATGGTGTGACGAAGTCCTTTGCTTTGTCTGTCCTTGATTCTCCCAGCATGTCATCTTTACTGAATGTCCCCAAAGTATGAGAGCGGGGAAGAGAAAGATATCCTTATCAACTTTCCCTGCACTGTGCATCACCCTTTACATCAGGGAGAACTTTCTAAACAGTAAGAGCCGTTCTACAGTGGAACGGACTCCCTCGTGAGGTTGTGGCCTCCCCTTCCTTGGAGTATTTTAAGCAGAGGTTGGGCGGCCTTCTTGTCATGGATGCTTGAGTTGAGATTGCTGCATTGCAGGGGGTTGGAGCAGACGGCCTCTGGGGTCCTGTCCCACTCTAGGGTTTTATGATGTGTCTCAGTTGTTTAAGACAGAGCTGGAGAGTCTGTGGCCTTTCTGGCACTGTTGGGCTCTCAAACCCCCGCCAGCTCTAGCCAACCTGGCCAGAAGATCAGGGAAGGTGATGGAAGCTTCAGACCTGCTCTTAAGAACCACCCTGCTGGATCAGCCAAAGGGAGCCAAATGTCCTGCCCAGGAGCAGAATTGGCACTCCCCACTTGTGATTCCCAGAAGCCCTTGAAATTCAGAGGCAGTGGAGGCGGAACAGAGACATTGTTGGTAGTAGCCACTGAGAATCCTTTCCGCTGAGGAAGAAATTAATGGGACATGAAGAGGTACAGAAATGAGCAACTAAAGCAATTAGTCGTTTCCAGCTGAGCATCCTTAGGAACATCAGAAGAGACCTGCAAGCTGGATCAGGCCAAAGGGGGACCCACCTGGTCCAGCTTCCTGCTCTCACAGTAGCAAGCAGGATCTCTGCTCAACTGCAACACTCTTTCCACTGATGTCCTGAGGCAGACTCTCTCTGACACCTTTCCTAGTGTTCAACTCTGGATCTCCCAAGTGGTTTTTGTTGGGCCAGCTCCTTAATTCCCAGCCGTTTAGAGACTTGGCTCTCTGTTTCCAAGCTTCCCCTCTAGAAACCGAATCTTTCCTTGTTGTTCTCTTCAGAACTCAACTGCTGTTGAAGATGAAGACCTGGAAATCACCCAAGATATTTGCAGTCAGGAAGACGACTTGGAGACATTCCAAGAAATCTGTGGGAGGAAAGAATGCCCCACAGACGCAGAGCAACGCAAGTTGATTTTTATTACTTTTTTTTTATTTTTACAAGTTTGTAGTGTGTCTTTGCCATCTGTCAGCATGGCTGTCTTTTTCTTCTTAAAGCAGGGATGGGAACCTTTTTGGTCCTTGCAAATATTATTGGGGCGCCATCTCCCCTCAGCCCCCAGATGCAGCACCAACAGTGGTCGGGGGGGGGCGGAGGTTGCTATCCAGGGGCACCGATTCCCCACCTCCCCAGCTCTCAAGCGTCGGAAGGCGAAAGGTCTGCTTAAGATTCCTTGCACGCAGGTTCTTAGAAACACAAGATTGCGCCTGAGTCCAGCATCTTGTTCTCACGCTGCCCAGCCAGATACCTCTGGGAAGCAGGCAAGCCAGACCTGGGCGCAATGGCAATTCTCTGCTCCTGCAGTTTCCAGCAACTGGTGTCCAGAAGCATTGCTGCCTCTGACCGTTGAGGCAGAGCCCAGCCATCATGGCTTGTGGCCCTTGATAGCCTCCTCCCTCCTTTGGGAGCGAGCGCCAGAGTTGGAACTCTGCGCTGCATGTAGAAGTCCTTCCTTTTATCAGTCCTGTTTTATCAGGCAGGATTATGTTTGAGGTGCTTTGATCTCTCTCGCACATATGTACACACTGAGAAGCCTAAGCGAGCCGGGAGCGGGGAGCGCTGTCTTCTGTATTCCACCAGGCTTCTTACCCCTGTAGCGCCACGGTTAGAAAATCTTATTATCTCTATCAACATCCATGACAACCCATTGCTGATTCAGCAACCCTGTGCATTTGATTTACAAGAGCCGGCTGGGGGATTGAATTAGATCCCCCCCCCCATTTTCCACCGGGGGGGGGCGGGTAGCTTCGTACATCTGCTCCAACATTGGGTTGCTATTCACTGAGGATCTGTAAATATTTCAGCACCCCCAGGAGCTTGGGATGTGTTTATTAAAAGGAGCGGAGAGGAAAAGAAAGATCTCTTTAAAAACACATTTATCTTTGCCAACTGCTGAAAGCCATGATTTCCTTTTCAGTAGCTTATGTCGTTCTCTCTCCCGCCCCCCAGCACCCACCCACCCCCTTGCAACCCCCGCGATGCCCCCAATCGAGCACATTTTGTTATTTGCGTTTAGGAGGAAAACTATTTCCCCACTGCGGCGCAGAGGCGAAACATCTCCCTAGCAAGGCGCCAGGGGAGGATTTGTTTACACCTGCAGCCAGGTAGGAAGCGTCCGTCTGCCGGGCTGCCACTTCAGACGTAAATTAGGTTGTGTGCTTTTTTGTTATTAATCCCACCAGCTCGGTGCCCCAAGCGAGTTGCCAGGTGTGCGTGTTATGTAAATGGAGATTTCTGTGCACTCCCTAGCAAGCGAAAACATTTGCAATCATCTTTATAAGCCCCCGACAAAACTTAGCTTTTTACGCTGTTGTTGCCACTTCTCGGGTTTTGCCTAATGAAGGAGTTGCAATTAGAAGGGGGGCGGGTGGAGGGGGAGAAAGCTGAGCATAGTAATTAACGCATGCCTCCACTGAAACAGCATAAGCTTAAAGAAGCTGAAGCCTGGATCCAGTGGACCGTGGGTTTGTTTCTCCAAGTTTTTATTTCTAATTTTAGGAGCAGGTGCACTGTGAAAACTACTGGACGTGTTGTGTAATTAAATTCTTAGGCAAATAAATGTTTCCTGCCACCATGAGATCTAGAAGCATGAGGAGCTTTACTTTCTTTAATGCCAGTCTGCTCTTACTACATTTTATCCCACTCCTCGGACCCAAACACCATGTCCTTTCCTTTTACCCACTTCGTATCATAACATTGTGGAGTTGGCAGGGACCCCCAAAGGACATCTAGTCCTGCAATCCAGGAATTACAGCTTGAATATTGCGCAATAATTGCTTTCCGAAGACCTGTCACCTCCTTGCACAAAGTCCACTTAAGTTGAGTTAAGTTTGTCAAGCGTTAGTTCCAATTGGTTTGCCGGAGGTTATACGATGTTGCATCGGAGCTGGTGTTTATCCTGCCCTTCCCAATGTGCTTTCTGGTTTTATCACAGAAATTCCAGGTGTTCCCCCTCCCTGCCCACGGAAGTGTTTTTGTTGCACAAGAGGACTAGATCTACTTTCTTTGTTCAGCCTTAATCTGCTAGCATTCGATTGAAGCCTACCTGGAAAACAGCAGCAATCTGGAAGTCTCTCTAATATAACTCCCGGTAAACTTAGCATGGTCCAATCAGGTTGAACACTGAGGAAGAAGAGGTTGCATGGAAGCAACTTTGGTTTACTCCAGAAAATTCCCTTGCAACACACACACACACACACACATATATGAAAATCTCCCTTTTATGTCACTTCACTCCAAGAGAATCAGTTAACACCTGCCCCCGTATACCTATTTCCCCCCCCAGCACCGGAACTACGCAGTTTGTGAGGCCCAGCAAGGCACCAGGAGAGTTCAAAGAGAAAGAAGTGTAAGTGCTTGATGTCGCTGGGTTGTTGTTGTTTTTGGCTTTTCAAAAATATTTATTGGTGCAAATACATGCCACTCAGATCTGAGCTTCTGGAAGAAAGCAGTACAAAGAGAAAGCAGTCTCTTACCAGTAACAGAAATATTTAATGAATGCAGCAAAAGAACAAGTAGCCATTCTCGGAATGCACTTCCCTCTAGTCACTTCCGTCCTCCCATCTCCTAACCACCTGATTTCTCAACCACTGAGCCTTTTGCAAAGCCACCTTATCTAATCTCTTAGCCTTGGGACTGAGAAGCTGCACATCTTCTGGTGAGAGACAGCCTGTTATCTCACTGTCTTCCCTTTCTTCTCCTTGCTGTTCACCTCCCAGTTCTGCCCAGCTATTACCTTCCAAACTGTGACCCTCGGCAAACCGTTGTTCCAAATCAACACTACTCCACTGCTCCTGTGGAGTTTCAGGATCCTGGCCATGAGCAGGGGGAGGGGTAGGCTCCCACCATTCCTCATCAGAGTTGTACTCCTCAGCCTGGTCTCTTGACAGTTTCAGACAGGAGACCTGGCTGAGGACATCTGGGATTGAACCTGGGACCTTGGGTGTGCGGAGCAGATCCTCTACTACAGAACTACAGCTTATGCTGAGTCAGATCTTTAGTCCATCCAGCCCAGTACTGTCTGCACTGACAGGCAGCAGCTCTCCAGGGTTTCAGACTAGGGATGTTCCCAGCCCTGCCCAGAGACGCCGGGGATAGAACTTGGGACCTTCTGCTTGCAAAGCGGGTTCTCTGCCCCTGGTTCAGTACAAAGCAGCTTCTGGTTGTTCCTAAGACAATTCTTGGAGAGGCTGGACCCCTCACAGGGCCCAAAGATGGCATCTGATGACCTATTCATTCCCAGCATGGTTGTGGCAAATCATCTACCTCTTGCCTCTGCCTTGTTCAGGTCACTCATCGATATTCAGGACTTGTCCAGCATCATCTGCGAGGAGACGTTGAAGGCAACGCCATACGCAACCCCCAGAAGCAGTCACTCGCCCATGGATGCCAGCACTCCGCTTAGCCCAGGTAACAGGTGAGGGATGGAGGAGGTGGGCCTTGGCTGTCAATCTCAGGTGCTAATCCCCAGCCCCTGCACTGATTGAGAGGACTGCCATTGTGCTGCAAGAAACAGAATTCAGTAATCAAGAGCTTCTGCGAGCCTTGAAGCACTGGGCCTATACAAGAGGCTGCCTGGTGCATCTCTGCATGAGCTGTTCATATATATTAAGCAGTATAGAGATGGTCATACAAAATGGATCGGCTGCTCTGGACAATCTGCCTCTGCAGGCTATTTTGCAGCAGCTGTGTCAGGAACATGTTCAGTTGCTTCTGCTGCTGAGACACAGTGGAATTACTCACTCTTTTAGTAATGGAGGGGGGAGGCTGCCTGTTGTTTCCCTGCATAAGTCACTGTTGTTGCCTCCCAGTGTTTCAGGTAAGGAGATGTAGCTGGAACATAGACTCAAGCAGGAACAGGAACTGAATTTCTCTGAATGCAACTAGACCTTGCTGTTGCGTGCTTTAAAAGCTAAACCTTTGGTGTGGGTGGGTGTGTTAAAGAGGGGAGTGGATATTTTATTTAGGTGGGTGCCTTAGCCATCTGGAGTTCGGGAAGCCCTGATCCTGGGGTTCAGCGGTGCTGTTAAATCACTTAGATTAGGGGTGAGTAAAATGGCTTGAGAGGTTTCATGCCACATTGTCTCCCTGGTTTTTTTTCATCATCCTGGGGTCAAAATTTTGCTGTCGGGAACACATTAGAAATGTTCCCATAGGAGTCAATGGAAAGTGCTGACTTGTTATGCTAACGTTGGCCTGACTGACCATTTCCTCAGAACAAATTATGTTCGGATAGCAGGACTTTGTGTACATGTCCCTAGAAAAACCTCTGAGTTGTCCATGGCTGAAACATAAGCAACTGGACAAAAGTGCCCAGTTTTTGCCTCTGGCCACACCCACCTCTGGCATTTGGCCCCTGAAAGGTTGCCCACGGGGGAATGCAGCCCTTGGGCTGAAGAAGGTGGCCTTTTGTGACTTTTTGCTGTGTGGCAAAAAAAGGGGGAGGTGTTCTTACAGGGCTCCCCCTCTCACTATGTTTTGCCATGTCTTTTCAGCACAGGCGCCGCCCAGGTTTTCCTCCACCATCACGAAGTACAAGGACTACTGCGTGACAATAGACACGACAGGCTGGGGGAGCCGGGAGGCCTCCCTGTTGGGATTCAGCACCTTTGCCACTGCCTGTGCCCAAGGGAAGATCGTAGAGTTGCCCCCCACCCTCCAGCAGCCGTCAGACGCAGTCTCCAAAACGGTGAGTTGAATTGTGGCCAGACCCACAGGGCATGTGGGCTTCCCTCCTTCCCAACACATAAGAAGAACAAGTTGCAAGAGAGAAGTTGTTTGCAACCGCAGCTCAGCTTTTGAACGCGTGCTTCAGGGCTATGTCACTCAGCGGTGGAGCATGATGTGTTCTGCATGCACAGGGTCCCATGTTCAGTCCTAGGCCTCTCTGGGGGGCTGGGAATCATCCTCTCCCCTGAAACCCTGGAGAGCCACGGCTGCCTGTCAGTGCAGGCAGCACTGAGCTAGGTCAGCTGATGGTCTAGATCTGCACAAGGTGCAGTTAACAATGAATGCAGTCAATATAATGATATAACTGCATGCCAGGCAGAAAAGTGTTTCTCCCTTAGAATACTAGAACTTGTGGAGCCTCAATGAAGCGGGACATTGGAAGATCCAGGACAGAGGAAAGAAAATCCTTCCTCATGCAGCGCGTAGTTAAACTGTGGAACTCCTTGCCACAGGAGGCAGGGATGGCCACCAACTTGGATGGCTTTAAACGAGGATTAGACAAACTCATGGAAGAAGAGAGGGCTCTGGATGGCTACTAGCCTGGATGCCTCCATGGTTGGAGGCAGCGATGCTTCCGAATACTAGTTGCTGGAAGCCACAGGAGAGCAGAGGGCTCTTGTGCTTTGGTTCTGCTTGCAGATTCCTCATTAAAGGCTTTGAGTTAGCCACTGTGAGAGAAGGGGGCTGGACTAGGCAGGCCATTGGCCTGATCCAGCAAGCTGTTCTTATGAGGTTTCCTGAATGAGTATATAGAGAACAAGAAGACCCAAAGTATGAAAATATGCTATGCTATCCTTGGATATAGCATGCATATATTTTTATATATATATATATATATATATATATATCTCAAAATGAGGGGGGAGAGAGAAAGAATTAACACCACAGGTAGGAAAATAACTGTAACATATAATAGAAGACAAAGCACGGGCTGCAGGTCTGTCTTTGGGGAGAGTTTTGACAGCAAACTCCTTCTTGGAATGTAGCCCATTTCTTCCGTCCATCAGTGGCTAAAGGAAAATCTTCAGCCACAGCAGCTGCTTTCTTGTTGATGTGTCGTTCACTACAGATATAACCTAATGTTATAGATCATATCCCTTTTTTGTTTTTCAAAACGCACAAATAATGTACATTTCCTGAGGATGCAAATAGGATATTCCACACAAAGTGCGTTCTCCCACTTTTCCCAGTGGCGAAAACAGCAATAACCGCTGCTTCCACAAAACATAACTTTATAGTAGCTGGGAACCTGCTGCCTCATGTGACTAATCAGATAAGTCAAACTTGTTGTTGAGCCAGTCAGGGCTTACACAGAGTTCAGAGTAAAAATCCAGTTTCCCTCCTACCCAGGCAACTGCAGAAAGAATCCAACTACAATAATGCAGTTACCCCATCAAGATTCCTTTGTGTGTGTGTGCTGCAGTTTCATCAATTTCGTGTTGTGTGCTGTCGCACATCAAGAAATCTAATTGGGCGGGGTGGGGAGACATAAACTGAAAATGGGCAAGCTTCACCCACCCTGAAGCCGATCTTTGAAACACTCCGACTTGAACTGAAAACCAGGTGTGATGTGAAACTATAACTGGAGCATGGAATGGGAAATCCACTTCCTGCTGGTTGTTGGGGGCCATTTGCTAGTCCTAAGGGGGACCCCTAGGAAACACCCAAACTCGCCAAACCTCGGCACCAGCCTTGCCCTTAAGAGTTTGGTCTTTGTTTTAGCACAGCTTTTCTTAAAATGTCAAGAAAGCCTCCCAAGAAAACCTCAGAAAGTGATGTAATATGCCCACGTTTGTTAAAGCAACAAGCAGTCGGGGAGACATTATCAGTTCTGTGGTGTCAAACAGCCCTTGCTCTGTTCTCTCAGCGCATTTCCAAGGCAACCTCAGCCGGTCCCCTTGATCTGTGTTGCTGCAGCTCTTCCCCTCCATTATCTCCCCTGCCATTCAATAGAATTCTAAGGAGCTGCCGAGTTCCCCCTGTGCCCCCCCCTCGCCTGCCCGCCCGGTTGTCATTCATCGGCAGGGCTGTTGCTGCTTCTAGACGAAAATTGGAGGTCACCGAACCACAACAGCAGTCGGCAGGTCACTGCCGCCTACTCAGGGACTGGCCAGGCAGCCAGCCGGTGCTTATTAAACTCATTAGGGGCCGCAGATTCATCTTGGCTGGAGTCTCCGTGCAGAATTCCAGACCAAGGAGGCCAGGCTGGAAGGATAAATGACTAGAGGGAGTTTTCCCTTTAATCAACTGCTTCCCTCCCACGGAAAAGGGGGGGGGGAATGTTTTTCGCAATTAGGCAAGGGCCAGGCATGTTCCCTCCCCCAAAAACATGACCAGCTTTGCTCATCAGTCAGCATGGCACGAGAAGCTTTTGTATCCCCTAGTGTGACTGAGCGGGGAGGCAGGGAGTAAGGACAAATTATTTTCACTAATCCGGAGAAGGGCCATAACTCATAGGCAGAGTGCGTGCTATGCATGCAGAAGGTCCCGGGTTCAGCCCCCCAGAATCTCCAGGTGGGGCTGGGAGAAGCTCCCTGTCTGAATTCCCGGAGAGTCGCTGCCAGTCAGTGTTGGCTTAGCGGGGGAGGTTGAAGGAGCTGGCTATGCCAATCAGCCTTGCAATATGTGGCCCTGCCTCTCCAGGGCAGTGAGGGGGGGGATGTTGGCCCCCTCTTGTCAGTATGCCTCCTGCTTGTCTCCCTGCCCCCATGGGCATTTACCATAAGCAACTGATGATCTTTTTTCATAATTCTCTATAAAGCTATTTTCATAGTACTTTGTTCAGCCAGGAAGTGCAAAAGCTGGTAAGTAACATAAGTTTTTAAGGGAAACGGGTGGCGCTGTGGGTTAAACCACAGAGCCTAGGACTTGCCGATCAGAAGGTCGGTGGTTCGAATGCCCACGACGGGGTGAGCTCCCGTTGCTCGGTCCCTGCTCCTGCCAACCTAGCAGTTCGAAAGCACGTCAAAGTGCAAGTAGATAAATAGGTAAACGGGAAGGTAAACGGGAAGGTAAACGGCGCTTCCATGCGCTGCTCTGGTTCACCAAAAGCGGCTTAGTCATGCTGGCCACATGACCCAGAAGCCGTACACCGGCTCCCTCGGCCAGTAAAGCGAGATGAGCGCCGCAACCCCAGAGTCGGCCACGACTGGACCTAATGGTCAGGGGTCCCTTCACCTTTTTTAACCTAAGTTTACCTGCAAGATCACCTGATGCTGTGTAGTCTGCTTCAATCTGCAGAGCAGGCACTGGTCACAGGTGCCACAAAGCACTCATTCCACGTTTGTAAGAAAGTAATCTTTTAGCGTGGCAGCATCCACACTTTGGAACTCCCTGCTTATTGACACGAGGCAGGTGCCTTCACTGTACCCCTTTCGGCACCTGCTAAAAGCATGTAGAGTCGAAAGGGACGACAAGGATCATCTAGTCCAACCCCCTGCAATGCAGGAATCTTTCGCCCAACATGGGGCTCGAACCCACGAACCTGAGGTTGAGTCTCGCACTCTTACCAGCTGAGCTATCTTGTTTTTAAATGGATGTTTTTACTGATTTTATTGTTCTTTTCGTAAACTGCTTTGTGTCTTCCCCCACAAGATTCAAGGGGTATATAAATTGTTGGCAATAAAATAAATAGATGACGCTTCCAGCTGCATATTACTCCAGGAGAGCAGGGTGTGTGGACCAAGTGAATCTGTACCAAAGTCCACAATTCCTTTAAGCACACACCCCTGTTTCTGACGCAGCCAGGGTTAATTCTGATCCAAGGAAAAGGGAGCTGGGGCCTCCCTTGTCGATCTTAACACCTTTAAAAAAACAAAACTCTGAGCATTTATGTTTCACAGGGTGCCTCTTCGGAACCCCCTGGCGTACAGTTGCACCTTCAGAGGGGTCAGAAAGAATTGGAGGCTCCCCCTTCTGCTCAGGAGAGCCAGCTCCAGGAAGGTAGGGCAGGCAGCGTGCAGATTGAGGGCTCAGCCTGAGTCTCAGTGCAATGTTTGGAGACACCCCGTTGTTGAAACAATGGCTACCAGCCCCTACTATGTATTTATGCATCTTCTTCCATTAAGGCAATGCACAGGATAAACCTAGTTTAACCTAGAGACCTACTTATCCTGTGGGGGAAAGCTTGTTGATGGCGATGTTATACCTCCACTCTTGGAGGCAGTGAATCCCAGTTCCTGAGATTGCTGCTGTTGCTCTCAGGTCCTGCTTTCAGCCTTCTCCTTGGGGGCATTTGAGCACAGTGAGAACTGAGGATGCATTACCAGATGTGCCCCATTTGACCCTGATCCAGCAGCCCAGCCCTTCTGATGTTCTGAACTCTCTGTGTTCTATGGGCTTCGCCAGTTTGCTTAACTTTGCCCTTTGCCCTCCCACTTGTAAATATTTTAATGGGGCAGCAAAAGATGTAATCTAGTCACCCACCTTTCCATCTGTTGGTTCTTCACACATGCAGGAATATAACGTCCCTTCCACCACACACCACCTCATCAGCAGCCCCTAAAGGCCCACCGAACTCAGCTCCCTAAATACTACAATTTATAAAATGCAACCCAATTCAGATGTGCGAATAAATGCAAATAATGGAGCACGACAGCTGCCCTGATGCTTTGAAAATACAGTGGTACCTTGGTTTATGAACTTATGATCTGTTCCGGAAGTCCGTTCTTAAACCGAAACCATTCTTAAACCAAGGTGCGCTTTCCCTAATGAGGTCTCCCGCCGCCGGTGCCCTTCCGCCATTCGGATGCCATTCTTAGAGCGAGGTAAAGTTCTCAAACCAAGACACTCTTTCTGGTTTTGTGGAGTTTGTGAACCAAATTGTTCTTAAACTGGACTGTTCTTAAACCGAGGTACCACTGTAGATCACAAAACCATTCCTGGAAGCTCCTTCGAAGTTGCCAGTGCGGTAAAGTGTAATTTCAATTTTTATAGAAGGCGCAGGCTGGATCGGGTGTCCATTGCCAGATCTTGAAACTGGCTGAGCTAGGGATTGTTTGGCAAAAACGCTCCAGAATATCTCCAGCTCTTTGACTTATCCTATTAATGCTCTTTTGATGCCAGTGATTCCTGAGCAAGCAGATCCAGAAGATCAAGAAATAAAGCTGGAGGAGTGCAAAGCTGATGGCAGCCTCTGGAACAATGACACTTTGTGTCTAGAAGAAGATACAGACAGGTACACAGCAAGCTTCTAGAACTGGGGTGGGTGGGTGTGAGAGAGATTAATTTTGCTTCAGTCCAGCAAGATGGGCTCTTTCCATTGCCAATTCCCTGATCACTTAAGGCAGAGGTGTTCAACCCTTTTGAGTCCACGGCTCCCTTAACCAACTGCATTCTTTCTGCGGCACCCCTGTGGGGCTCAGGAGCCCAGTTCTGTCACCCCCTTGCCCGCAGAGCTGGCAGCCTCTCGCCCTTTTCTGAACAACCCCCTTGCGGAGTGCTCCCTCAGCCTCCTCTCCTCTCCCCTCCGGGCAGCTGCTGCCACCGTCCCTGGTCTCTGAACTGCCCTCCCGCGCCAAAGAGGTGCTTACTCTCACTGCCCCACAGGGGCCTGGGACTTGTCTGTCCATTCCCAACAGTGAGGGCTGACGGACTGGCTGGCCGGGCTTTTCTGAGTCTGCTTCAGCTCCTGGCTGAAGCTCCAGAGGCACCATTCGCCAGCTCCAGAGGCACCATTCGTCTGCAGAGCTTATAGCCAGGGCTGCTGCAATAAACATCTGTGCAAGCCTTCAGGAGGCAGAGGTGCGAGATGGCATCAGAGGAGGGAGGGAAGGAAAGAGGGATAGAGGCCAGTGTTGCCTGCAGCACCCCTGACCATCATTCAAGGCACCCCAGGTTGCCATGGCGCACTGGTTGAAAACCACTGACTTAAGGAGCCCAATCAGCCTTTTAATGCTTCTGCTGTTGTAAAGAAGTAGTGCTGAATAAAGCTTTGCCTCCACCTGCCGAAAGCTTGCGGAGAACCTTTGCCCGGCACTTCACTGCGTTCCAGAGTTCTTAAATCAGCTCTGCAGCATTTCTCTGCAGTTGGGTAAAGGTAAAGGTAAAGGGACCCCTGACCATTAGGTCCAGTCGTGGCTGACTCTGGGGTTACAGCACTCATCTCGCTTTATTGGCCAAGGGAGCCAGCGTACAGCTTCCGGGTCATGTGGCCAACATGACTAAGCCACTTCTGGCGAACCAGAGCAGCGCACGGAAACGCTGTTTACTTTCCCATCAGAGCAGTACCTATTTATCTACTTGCACTTTGACGTGCTTTCGAACTGCTAGGTTGGCAGGAGCTGGGACCGAGAAGTGGGAGCTCACCCCGTCACGGGGATTAGAACTGCCGACCTTCTGATTGGCAAGTCCTAGGCTCTGTGGTTTAACCCACAGCGCCACCCATGTCCCTGCAGTTGGTTACTTGAATGCAAAAGTCTTACAAACTGGTTTTCTAGCACGCCTCCCCCCAAATAAGCGTGCATACAATTAAAATAAAGATAAAACAACACCCATCAGAACTGCAATGTTCAGAATTCAATAAGTTACAATTCAACGGGGTGTGGGGGGCAGCATCATCTCATTGATAAAGCACCTGCCTTGCATGCAGAAGACCTCAGGTTCAATCCTCAATGGCATTTCCAGTTAGGGGGAGGGAGAGACTCCCTGCCCGGCATCTTGGAGAGCTGCTGCCATTCAGGGTAGAAAATGCTGAGCTAGGTGGACCCAACAAGTCTTGTCTCTGTATAAAGAAGATTCCTGTGTTCATAATAATAAAACAAACCTTGTTAGCATAGCAGCAAGGATGCAGAGTGAAAGAAGCAGAGAAGCCAACATTCAATGTCAGCCAGCGATGAAGGGCAGTAAAAAAGTGCATTGAAATTCTTTCTTCAAACTCCCTTTGCAGGCCTAATAACCTTGAGTGGTATCAGTAAAAGGCAGCGATAGAGAAAATGGTTTTCTCTCTCTCTCTCTCTCTTTCTCTCTCTCTCCCTCCCCCCTCCCGTGTCTCCACCCCACCAAGCACCCAGCCCTTCAACATGCCAGCATCCTTTCTAATAATCTGGATTTTGGGAGCATGTGTTTCCTTTTCTTTTGCAGGGCTCACTCAAGCCTTGATGATGTTTTGGAAGCTGTCCTCAGGCCAGTTGCCGACAGTCGCAACCCTCGTGCAGAGCCATCAGCCCCCATCAAGAGGTTAGTGAAGTGACTGACAACCCATTCGTATCACCCAAGAAAGACTGTTCTCTGCTTGTGACAATGAAGGGATGTCAGTGGAGCTGGAAAACTGACTAGTGCCAGAAGCAGCAGCATATTAGAAAGCGCTGGACAGAGATCCCACACTGATGCTCGCTAGCGGATTGAGGTGGATTGAGAAAAAGGCAAATGTACCTGGCAGACTTAAGGATAGGTCTGTACCAGCTTGTTTCTATACTGCTTGGCTCAGTGCAGACATAACAGTAGCTCAGAGGTGGGAGAACTTGCTGAATATTACAATTCCTTGATCCTTGTCCAAGCTGTCTCGGGTTGGTGGAAGTTGGAGTCTAGTAACATCTGGAGGGTCATTGATTCTCTCAGCTTCCTGCTTGAAAACTCCTCATGCAGCGGCTTAATCAATGGCTTTATTAACCAGGAGCAAACCATGCTCTCCAGCTGCAGTTTCTTGTTGGTTTATAAACTGTGGTTAATGTTAACTATGGCTTAGCATTACTGGTGAACACAGACCTTATAAATAACACTGAGCTAAAGGGAGCAATGGACTTGGTGTAAACTAATTCTGCCCACAGTGAACTTATTGACGTTAGTCATGTGCATTAACTTCAGTGGGTCTACTTTTAGTAGGACTAGCATTGGCTGCAACCCTATGACCCTAACCTGGAGAAGGGCCTCCCATGAAGATCTCAAGGCCCAGGCAGGTATATATACAGGAGAAGGTGATTCTTCCAAGTAGACATGGATGAAACTGTTGACTTCTGCTCTCATGGGTTTTCCTTTTCCCATTCTAAAATTCAATTCTCCACACTTCAACAGCTATTGGTAATTATTATTATTATTATTATTTAATTATTATTATTAAAAGCTTATGAAAATTTGTAAGTATTCCGGTGTAGGTTTCTCCAAACTATGCATTTTTGAATGCAATTTTTAACTAAGGTACACATTTTTACAAGCAGTCTTTCTAACTGTATTGCATCACTGTGTATTCCCCCACAAATACCTGCCTTTATATGCACACTATTTTTTCTACCTATCATTTGGTTGGAGAACTGCGCCGCAAATTTCACAGAAGGATGAATTTTGAAGGCTACCTGGGTTTCATTTCTCGTGCTGTTTCAGAAAGGGCTGCTTTTGTAGGTCCACCTTTAAAATTGTTTCCAGAAGAGCCGATTGGATAGATGCCATTAAAAACGGGCCGCACCCCAAAGCTGCCCCTGACACAACACCTCTCTGTCCCCTAAGGGAGCCAAGCCACGCCCATCACGGAAACATTGAGATGAGGGACGGAGCAGAGGACAGCTTCAGCGAATCGGAGGGTTCTGCCGAGAATGTTGAAGGTCTGTCTTGATCCATAAAAGAAACATGGAACCGTGACCCTGCATTGTGTCTTTTTAGTGTTCTTTTTTTTTCAAGTGTTGAGTTCGAAACCTCACCAAGCTCAAAACAAATCAAATCTAATGGACAAGAGGTCCATCAATGGTTACTGGCCATGGTGGCTTGTGCTCCACCTCCACAGTTGCTTTCAAATGCCAGTTGCTGGAAACCACAGGAGGAGCAAATGCTTTTGTGCTGAGGTCCTGCTCCTGGTTTTCCACAGGCAACTGGTTGGCCACTGAGAGCAGGGCACTGTGTGCGCTAGAGAGGCCTTTGGCCTGATCCAGCAGGCTCTTATGAACGATGAAGGGGGAGAACCAGGTTTATGCAAGTGTGACCCTCTTTGCATGGCGAGTTCCTGCCTCCCCCCAAGGAAATAAAGACACAGGACACAAGAATTCTGGTTAATGGGTCGAATTAGGCCACAACTTTATTGAGTACAGGAATTGAGCGGTATTGGCTTAGGCATTGGTCCTAACAACTAACCGGCATGAAGGCCGGTAAGGGTTAACCACCAGTGGGAGGAGTCCTGCTGAGGCACATCAACTAGGACCTCCCCCGGTGTCACCGCGTGGGGGCGTGGCGTAGGCCCACACCTGCTTAGGCTTAGGACAAGGCCACGCCCCCCAGAATCCTTTACTGGACTACCCTTTGTTTGGGGGAAGGTGATGGTGCTCCTTCCCACCCTTCATCTGCATAACAATAGATCAATACCCCCACCAATGCCTAACCGCCAATACCGAGGAGTTGTGATGGTTTGCTACGAGGTAGGCGAAAACCAAATGGCTGGAGCCAATCTGCCATTTGGAAAAATTCCTACCAGGCCCCTTGACGGCGACCGGCCGAAGTTCATAGCAACGTCAGACAACCTGCCTAAAGGGTGGGAAGGGAGGGAAAAACCAAGTCCGCTGCAGCGATAGAAAGAGGGGGAGCCTCGGCGGCGCCAGACCTAAATAGGCGAGGCCACGCTCCCAGCGCCAGCTGATTGGCTGGCCCGGGGTATGACGCGGCCAAGGATTCCCCTTGCTATCACGGGGGCTGGAGCCAGCCCCCGCGAGTGTGGGGAAGGGGCGTGAAGCCCACAACCCCACCTCCTCCTTATCTTCATAAGTAGCTTTGTGGCAAGACCTTTTCATCCAAAATGCTTGCTCAGCTCGTTGCGATGTGAAACTTCTCACTGGTTCCCTTCCCCAAATAGCGCACACACCCCAAAACCACCCACCCACATCCACCACTCAGACTCCACTGGAGCAGAAACTCATCTGCGCCCTGCAAGGCCCCTACCTGGGCCATGACCCCCAGTAAGCGTGCACTGGGGATTGGGACCTGGGACCTTCTGCATACTGAGCAGGTGATCTGCCGGGGAGTTAGAGCTCCTCTCCTAACCTTGTTAGGCAGGATTTACAGCCGCCTGCGGAAGATTGCCTTGCGAGGGATTAGGCCGACTATGAAACCGAAGCAGCCGCTAGAAGGAAACCAATTTTTCACGTCTCGCTCAAATGTGCCTGATGCATCCGTTTGATATAGTAGGTGCTTAGGAACAGGAGGCCAGACGCCTCGTTTATTTTGCAAAATGGGATTGCTTTTCAAAACACAATCTTTTTGGTTAAGCTCATTCTCCTCCCACACCCTCCCCGGTCCCACGCAATATCTAAAAATCAGTAAAACGGCATGCTTTTCCTCCTCTCTCTTGCATAACACAAGAATGGTGGCATCGGGGAGGGAGATGCTGGGAAAGCCTTGCCAGCTGTCCTCTTGAGGCTGCTTGACCAACTTCTTTGTGGATCTAGAGGGCCCATGTGCACTGGGAGACCTGGAGGGTAGCCATCCAACAGGTGTGTAGGCTTCATGGCCCCGGCAGTCATTTGCACACTTCTCTCAGTCTAGTCCACCCTGATAGGGGAGCCTCTCCTTACCATTCAGATTCTGACAGGGCGACGGCATCTCATTTTTCCTGTGCTTGTTCTGAAGAGATGAACTGTGTGCAGCCGAGTGCCAAAGCAGGGATTGATGCTGCCTGCAGGAACCAAGACTTTCTTTGAAGAAAAGAAAAGAAAAAAACACCACCAAAAACGAAACAAAAACAGCCTGAAGGGTAAAAACATGAACCATATGCTCAAAAGATAACTTAATGAACACTGTTATATTTTATACAGGAATGTGTGAAAAAAAAACAACCTACCACGTTGTGTTATTTCCGCCAGTGATCCCTCTCCAGCTGCTTACAAATAGTCCCCGCTCCACAGTGGGAGGCTGTGCCATTGCGGTGGGAAAGGGGGCACCGTTTAGCTGACGCATCCTCTGGGATCCCCTGATTTCTGTGGGTGCAAAAACACCTGCACCAAACCCCAGAAGCAGCCTCTGTGCCAGTATTGACTGTGGGTTTGGAAAGGAGGAGACTCCAGGACCAGAAACCTGTGGCCCTGTGGGTTTTTTTGGTAATTAATAATGCTTTTATTAAACAAGGTCTCAGAGGTGAGAGGTTTGCTGTGCACCAGTACCCTTTGAGGGGAGAAAAACCACAAAAGATTGACTTACCAACAGCAATAAACAAAGAAATGCAGTCCATCCTCCTGACCCATTTACTCCACAAGTCCTGTAGGAACAAAAAGGACTGTGCCTTGCAGAGGCATCATCAAGAACAAGCCCCGGCTGCAATCCTATGGGTGCTTACATGGGAGTGAGTCCCCCAAGTAAACATGCATATATAGGTCTATGCCGTAGCTCTACAAACTTGGGATAAGTCACTTGGGGTTCACTTTTGCATTAAATGTGGACTGTTGGGGTTGTTAAATGCTTAACCAAGTGCCCCAGTCTAGTTTTTTTAACCACCACTTTGGCCCTGCAAAGGGGGATGGTGGAAGTTACAGAGCCATCTCCCACATCATCTCTTTAGGGAAGCTTTTAATGTTTAGCAGACTACTGTATTTTAATACTCTGTTTGAAGCCGCCCAGAGTGGCTGGGGAAACCCAGCCAGATGGGCGGGGTATAAATAATAAATTATTATTATTATTATTATTATTATTATTAATTATTACCATGCTGGAGGCAAAGCTTTTATTTCAACTAAAATGTAATCTAAGGTGTGCTTTAAGAATGAAATGCACACATTTCTGCTCTCATCCAACTAGAAGAGTGACACTGCTGCCCACATTCATTCCCTCTCTCTACTCTTTGGGGGAGTGAACGTAGTACTCCAGATGTTGGACTACAGGTCCCACCTTCCTTGGCTGCTGGGAGTCTACACTTTTCCCTTCTACCAATTCTGCAAGTCTTCACCATAGTCCAACGGCATGTTCCATTCAGAGACATCCTAAGTACTCCTTGTTCGTGAAGGACTGCTCCCTTTCATTTTAATGGAGAGGCTTAGCATGTACCTTTCACGTTCAACACATTCCCTTCTCTTGGGAACTGCAGGAGGGGAAAGTACTCGTGCTTGGGTCAGGTTTCCCACAGGCATCTGGTTGGCCACTATGAGAACAGGATGCTGGACTGCATGAACCATTGGCCTCATCCAGCAGGCTCTCTATGTTTGTACCTTCAGCCGAGCCACCCTAGGTCTTAATGCGATGGGCTGCGTGGTTACTTGAATTCAAAAGGTAACCAGAAGGAGGTAGGAATGGAAAAACCTGTCAGTTTCACTGTCTGGACATTACATTCCAGGAGTGTGCAATCTGTGTACACAAATAGCCGAGTTGTACACCTGCACAGTTATTTATACGTAATGCACATTCATTGTCCACTTGGGTGCATAACTGTATTAATCAATGAATGATTCCCACAGGCACTTGCAAATGCATGTAATGTGCAAATAAGCCTTATGTTTATTCTCCCAGTCTGAAATTTGGTTTGCAGTTTAAAACAAAAGCTCTCGTGGTGATTCATCAGCGTTAGACACATTTTTGCAAACAATTTCTTTTAATACAGTGCATCTTGATATGTCCATCTCCCTGACATAGACACTTTATGGACCCTTTTATCCTAGTATTTTTAATATTTTGTTGGAAGCCAGCCAGAGTGGCGGGAGATGTGTGTGTGTGTGTGTTAATATACAATTTTTTATTGTTTTGGGGGAGCTATACTGTGCAAGTCAGGGATGTGTGGATGTTGACAGTTTCATTTTTGGTTTGCATATTGTTCTGGGAAGTTTAACACTGATTCTCATTAAAATGCAAACAGTAAATGAACCCCCACCCACCCCTCGTAGACCCCTGCAGCGATTCTTTCTCCTCCTCACCCTTGTTCTCCGATAAAAGGTCTGAGACCAATGAGGTGCTTGAAAATCTCACGGGCAAAGCAACACCCCATTTACTTCTTTGGGGCAGCTTAGGCTGGAACTCTGTCCGCTCTATGAGGTTCACTGTTAGCTGTCAACGTGGGAGCCAGTTCTTGTGATCACCCTGCAGGTGGAAGCTTCTCTTCCTCGCCCCCTGCACCTTTTTGTCTCACTTGAATTCTTGGAACACGTTTTTAAAGAATTGAAAGTGACATCAACCGGCCGAGGATCCTAGAGGAGGAGATGCCAGACAGTGTCAGGAAACAGATTATTAAGAACATGTGCTGCGCAAGCCGTCTTGGGAATGCAGTGTGGGTGGGTTGGTGCAACTCAATTTATTCAATTCTGTCACAAGATATTGCTTATGCCAGTCCAGGAGACTGCCACCTTGTCTGGTGACAAGCCTTGAATAGACGGAGTTGTCCCTCAGCTCAGCTTGGAACATGTCATGATCACAGCAGTTCTTTTATAATGAACTGTTTCCTAGCGCCAGTAGAGTCTTTCTTCCTTACCTGAATCCTGGATAAGAAACAAGAAACCCAGGTCTGCCTAGTGGTTGCTGGGTGGCTTTTTTGCACTTTGGTTAGGGATGGGCGAATTTGTCAATTTCAATTTACCTCTGCTGCTCATTTTTTCCAGGCTTAAGTTCAGTTCCCCACGCCAGTTTGCAATTTTTAAAAAAGGACACAGCATCCACCTCAAAACTAAAGTCTACTTCCACCTCCATCGCATGGGTTCTTAGGGCCATCTTTCCTGCTCTCATGGAATAACAGCACTGAGAAATTTGGAGAAGTGCAAATTTCAAAGGGTGGCAGCTGTGGTTCAGGGTATGCATTGTTTCGGGAAGTGCGAAATTTGGTGCGTCCACTTTTAATTGCGAACTGAGCCAAATTTCTTCTCCGTTGCTACGCCATCCCAGTGCAGGGACGAACACTGGGCTTTGGGTTCAGATTATGAGAATGGGGGAGATAATAGATTTGGTTTGCCTTGAAAGGTGAATCTGCCTAATTCATACTACTTCCCCTTCAAATCCACCCCCCGGAAGAGCTGGACGGGCTGTGGCTCAGTGGTGGAGCATGCAGGAGGTTTCTGATTCAATCTTTATACCTCTGGGGCAGGCTGGCAAACATCCCCTCTGCCTGAAACCCTGGAGAGCCAAAGTGAGTCAGTGTAGACCAGTGGCTCTCAAACCTTTTCCTCTGGTCCACACTTTTCAGAATAAAAATTTGCTCCACGCCGAATTTTTTATTGATAAAAAATACATCAGAAACCAAAACAACAATGAGCAGTGTTTGATTTATAAGACGGAACACAACTGTTTTATAATATAATCACAGGACATCCAGAAAGTATGAAACAACGCAGCTACCAAAAAACGTGAGTCGTTTCCAAAATATAAACAAGCCTCTTAGATATGTACCTTAAGTATGGATACAAGCTTATTGAGAGGCTTGAGCTTGCTTTTGCCTGACAATCTCCTTTATATTAGGTCTAAATTGAGACAAACACTCATCTCCTCATCAATGCAATTAAGCCTTTCTCTTTTCTGATCTTTCATACTTGTCAGAGTAGAAAAATCCCTGTTCACAACAATATGTGATGGGGAACTGTGGAAGAATAGCCAATGCTCTTGAAGAGAAGTGGGGATACTGTTTCTGGTTGTATACCCAAAAAAAGAGTCCTGTGTTTCATTTTCAAGGTGTGAGCGTGCAAAATGCAGGCCATTTCCTCTTCTTCATTCAATGTCAGCCCTGAACAGCTGCGGTTCGAAAAGGGGTCTGTAACCTGGTCAAAGTTTTCTGTAGACGACGGTGGGAAGTAATTATCAAATCTTTTTCCACCAGTGTTGCAACATGTCCCTGTACGAGGCTGCAAAATTCATTGCTTGTCTTAAAACTTCTTACCAGTGGGAACATTCTGAAGTTTCTTTGAATCTTCCCGCAACACTTGCCATTGTCTCCTGCCGCACCGTCTGAGAACCACTAGTTTGGATTATACTACGGAGTATATTTGTTATTGTAAGGTTGGATTTGTTGTGTTTATAAAAGGAAAAAACTAATTAAAAATTATACGGGGAGAAAAATTGTTTGGACTATACTGAGCTAGATGGGGCAATATTCTGCCTCTTTCATAATTGGCACTCTGTGTTCTATGGAAGGCAAATGCTTCCCCACCAAACTTGCATACCCAGCATGTGTCAGCACACAGAGAGTGAACAAGCAGCAGAAAGCATCACTTCCTCACTTTGCAAATTATTAGTGACAAATTCTCTTTTTGTTGCTCTTTGCAAATTTAACCCCCGTCCCCTTCTTTTCCTCTAGTGATAGTCAACGGAGCGCTGCTTAACATTTAATTAATTGGATTAAGTCCTGATGGTTGTAAACAAAAAGCAGATGAATTGTATTAATTGGGAGAAAACGAAGCGACCGGTGGCACCAGGCGGGAGTGGGTGGGAGCGCAAGCATGGCTTTAAAAAGGGGAAAGGCACTCTTAATTAATTAATTTGCAGCAAACTCCTCTCTGGATAATTACGCTCAGCATGGACCCGTCAGTGCAATTAGCTCCCACTTGTCACTTAATATCAATCTGTTTGGGTTCAGGTGTTCATGGAAGGCAGGCTCAACAGGAATCGCAGGGCATCCTGCCCTAGACCATGAATGGCAAGTGATGATTTATTGTCCTCACTTACCCTTCATGCTCACTTCCTGTTTTCCTACCTAGCAAAGTGAGGGCAGAAGAAGAGCTATAGAACAGGGAAAGAGACATGCCTTCTGCAGTCAGCCCAAATGTATTCTTTTCTCAGTGGAGAAACTCCATCAGTTGTCAAGGAGATAAGTAACTATACAACCTTTAGAAGACGTCTGAAGGCAGCCCTGTACAGAGAAGCTTTTAATGTTTTATTATATTTTTGTATATGCTGGAAGCCGCCCCGAGTGATTGGGGCAACCCAGTCCGATGGGTGGGGAGCAAATAATAGCATTATTATTGTTTCCTCATCTTCTCATCACGTAGGGGAAGTCAGCTTTCAAAGGCACCAATTGGCTAGTGCCTGTGATGTTGACAGCATGGTTCCCTCACCCCCAAAAAATATTTCCTGCATTATTATTTTTTAAAAAATGGTCCAGGATGGCTGCATACATGCATGAAAATGTACACATGCTACTTTTAAAAACAGATGTGAAAGATAGGCGAAGCACGGAGATAAGGACCAGACTGATGACTGATAATTCAGTCTATTTGTTTGCGCAAGGCACCATATTTTTCGCTCTATAAGACGCACCAGACCATAAGACTCACCTAGTTTTTTGAGGAGAAAAACAAGAAAAAAAATATTCTGAATCCCAGAAGCCAGAACAGCAAGAGGGATCGCTGCGCAGCAAAAGCAGCGATCCCTCTTGCTGTTCTGGCTTCTGGGATAGCTGCGCAGCCTGCATTCGCTCCATAAGATGCACACACATTTCCCCTTACTTTTTAGGAGGGAAAAAGTGAGTCTTATAGAGCAAAAAATATGGTATTTTTCAAAGTTGGAATCACACCACAGATTTTAGGGCTGCCACCCAATTGAATAAATGGTTCATCAGTCATGAGTGACAGTTGATCCATCAGTCGACTATTCAGTCTGCATATGTTTGCGTGTGAGTAGAAGCAATGGTTCTGCAGCAAAAACAAAACTCAGATGACGAGTCTGTTGCATCAGATGACATCTTAGAGCAGGCATTCCCCGTTGAGAGCATGCCTCTTCAGGTGGTGCTTATGGGCTGCAGTTTTTATAAGTACTTCATTTCATAAAATTTATACACCCCTTGATTTCATAACAACCTCAGCCTCAAAGCAGTTTACAAAAATGAATGAATTGAATTATCAGCAAAAAATACAGTTAAAAACAATTATTCAAAGCATTTTAAAACTAATTGAAATCAATTAAAAGCTGGAAACCAGTTTGCAACATGTGTCAACCTTCTACATGTCTGAACAGGCTTGCCTAAACAAAAATGCTTTTTGATGTCAATATCAATAGGAAGGGAGGTTCAAATTTCAAAGACTGATTTGTTACAAATGCAGAATGAGTGTTATGTGGCGCGTGTTGCAGTACCCATTCCAGAGAGCAGGGCAGTCGAGGGGGCATATTGGGTGAACTGATCCCCCAGGTAAACAGGTCCCAAGTTGTTCAGGAATTTATATGTACTAAAAACAACACCTTGGCCTGGTGGCAAATCAGCAAGCTGTGCGGGCCTCTGAGGCAAAGTGTTCCACGCTGACAGGGTCTCACTCCTGCCAGCAATTGCGGTGCAGCATTCTGCACAAACAATGGGTTCTGGATCAAGCACAAGGGAAGCCCCACACAGAGTGCATTGCAGCAGTCCCTTCTTCAGAGTAACTGCTGCATCGCTTATAAGAGGCAATGCCTCTTAATGGTGCTTGCTGTCTACGTTGGTTGCAGGAGCTGCAGCCAGAAAGGGAAGTTGGCAACCCCTCTCTGTATCTGCAGTACCTTGGCATACAGGCCTTTGGATCCTAGCATCAGTCTGTTTTGTGCTAAATAAAGATGTTTAATCCACACGTTTTCCACGCCCCTTCAAGCAAAGTGATTCGCTTTGATTTTCTTATTTATTTCGCTCCGCTTTTCTCTTCCGCCCCGGGTAACCACTGTTAAAAATAACTTCCAAGCAATTAAAAAAAAAAAAACCACATACACGACAACAACCTAACCTAACAAAAATAAAGGGGCAATACATTTTATTTCAGGTGCAAGATATTTTGATGGCGTAAGTAAGGCTTGAGAGGGTCGAAAGGAACCGGACGGTTTTTCATTTCTTCCTTTCCTCTGGTGTGCTGATAAGATGGGAGTCTTTATATGGGCAGCGCTCTCTCACTCACTTACACACACACACACACACACACACACACACACACACTTATCTTTTCCCAAGAGCAGTTGGAGAAAATGCAAATCATGCAGTTGGCTGTTAAATTGGGTTCACGACTCCTGGTCCCAGCAGTGTGGCCAGAAGAAGATGAAAAAGGACAGGTGTGCGGAGCAGTTGTGTTAGTAGCAAGATTAACTGGCCTGCCAGAGAAAAGAGTTGGAGCTTTTCCAATGGGCAGCTTCATCTTCTGAGCTTGGGGCTGCAAACCTGTGGCCCTCCAGATCTTGCTGGACTGTGACTCATCTGTTGACCATGTTGGCTGGGGCTGATGGGAGTTAAAAGACCAGCAACCCCTGGAGGCTTTTGTTGTTGTTCTAACATAAATCACATGTGCACCATATATCTAAAGCACATTTCATGCACACGACTCCCCCCCCCCCCCCAAGGATCCTAGGAACCTAAGGGTACTGGGAACTGTAGCTCTGTGATAGCTAAGCTACACTTACTAGGATTATTTGAGAGGAGCAAGGCAGTTTGAGCATATTGCACCTATCCTGACCCAACTGCACTGGCTGCCAATTAGTTTCTGGGCCCAATTCACGTTTATAAACGGGCAAAGTTTAGGACACAAGCTGGGCAGGAAGAAAAGACATGGCACCAACAAGTTCACAGATTTGTCTCTATCCATCAGATGTGCCTCTAATAAAAGATACTGACTTCTGTGGGATTCCATTTCCCAGATTTTGCACTTTTAACAAGGCAACTTAGAGAACGGAAACGAGAGCCACGTTCAAAGGCGGCGGCGGCGGCAGGTCCTGCTCTTCTGCATCGTTAGGAAGGTGACGCTTGATTCCTGCTTCCTTCAGAAGCTGAGGTGGTGAGGCGGCCTGGGAGGCTGATCCCAGCCGGTGTCGTGTCCTGGGAAGATAATGGTCTGTGGCCACAGCTCATTGTGTAGAGGAGGCAACTGCGGAACTGAAGGCGGGAAGGGAGAATTGACAGGGTCACCATCGTGTTTGCCTGCAGAACCAGGGTGGGTCCAAATGAGCAGTTTGTTGCAGTGCATAAAGATGGAGGAGAAATTTGGTTAAATGAAAATTTGGATGTTCTTAATTTGAACATCCTGAAACCCATCACAATTCAGGTTCCTCCATATTTCTCCAAACAAAAAAAAAGGGCACATGGGAACCTCAGAATTAAACTTGTAATGTAGCCCTACAGTACAGAAAGGTAAGAGCTGCATCCATTGTTCTGCCCACTTTTGCCTCTGTCCCCACATACCATTATGGGGACCGGGTGGCACTGTGGGTTAAACCACAGAGCCTAGAACTTTGCCGATCAGAAGGTTGGCGGTTCGAATCCCTGCAACAGGGTGAGCTCCCGTTGCTCGGTCCCTGCTCCTGCCAACCTAGCAGTTCGAAAGCACGTCAAAGTGCAAGTAGATAAATAGGTACCGCTCCGGCAGGAAGGTAAGTGGCGTTTCCATGTGCTGCTCTGGTTTCGCCAGAAGCGGCTTAGTCATGCTGGCCACATGACCCGGAAGCTGTACGCCGGCTCCCTCGGCCAATAAAGCGAGATGAGCGCCGCAACCCGAGACTCGGTCACGACTGGACCTAATGGTCAGGGGTCCCTTTACCTTTGTTTACCACCTACCATTGGGAGAGGGCCTTCTCAGCAGTGGTGCCCACCCTGTGGAGATGAGTAACTATACAACCTTTGCAGACATCTGAAGACGGGCCTGTATAGGGAAGTTTTTGTGTTTAATGTTTTGTTATGTTTTGTGTGTGCTGGAAGCTGCCCAGAGCGCCCAGGGCAACCCAGTCAGTTGGGCAGGGTACAAATAAATTACTACTACTACTACTACTATTACTATTACTGGAAGGCAGACCTGGAAGGTTCCTTATGAGCTAGTTTGGCTCTGAGCCTGAGAAAAGTTCCCCAACCCTGACATACGTAGTCCGCTGCCATGGAAGAAGCCCTCTGTGATGACTTACAGGGTGCTGAATACTAGTCCTTGACCATGATAAAGAGATGGGTTGATTGACTCACAGTGCATAGATGTTTTCCAGTCTACAGAATTGCCCTTAAAAAGGACCACAAATGAGTCTGGCTAATAAATGGCCCTCCCCACAATCATTTAATTTCTCCTTGGGTGCTTACCTGCTTGTTCATGAAGACATAGATGATGGGGTTGTACACTGTCGCCGTCTTGGAAAAATACGACGGCAGGGAAGCGAGCGCTGGCCGTATGGCGAGGTCCTTGTGGGTGGCGACCACCATGGCGAAACTGGCGTAGGGCAGCCAGCAGACGAGGAAGGCAGCCACCATGGCGACAACCATTCGCGTCACCTCCCTCTCGGCCCTCTGAGTTGTCTCCTGCTCTTTCTGCTGAGCCGCCACCTGCGGGAAGGATCAGGAAAGCGTCGAGGGACCGCTAGCTGCCCCCGGCCATCTACAGCGATGCGCTCGAAGCAGCACAGGGCACGCACAAGCACAACTCTGCCCGGTACTCACGGTTCGCAGCGTCATCAGCAAGCTGGCGTAGGAGAAGAGGATTGTGCTGAGAGGCATTGCAAAGCAGGTCACGAACAAAGTCATGATGTAGCTGTTGTTGCTGCTTCCTCCGCTGTACCAGTTGGGGCCGCAGGATGTTCTCAAGCCTAGGGTTCGAGGAAGGGAGAAAACTCTTGAGTGTTTGTACTGTATTGTAGGGTATGTGAATATGATAAAAATGGAAAACTTAATAAAATTATATATATATATATATATATATATATATAAAAGATCAGGGCTAGATGGTCAAACAGTCTGAGACGGCATAAGGCGGCGGCTTCCTAAAGTCCCCTGTCAACAAACCTTCAGGGACGTAGCTGCTCCAGCCGAGGAGTGGTGGGACCGTCCAGACGAACGACCACCCCCAAGTGAAAGCACAACCAAGCACGGCATGCCTTTTCTGGAAGCGGAAATCGCCCACTGGTTTGCAGATCACGAGATACCTCTCAAAGGCCAGGATCGCCAAGGACCAAAGACCCACAATCCCTGGGAAAAAGAAGAAGAGATGAACCTAGAACTTTAGGGTTGGGGGGGATGTCTCAGCGGCCATCCAGTCCAAGCCCTATTCAATGCAGGAGTCTGGCACCTGCAGCATCCCTGGCAGGTAGCTGACCCAACTCTGCTGAAAGACCTCCAGCTGTAGAGAGTTCACCACCAGCTCCTGGGACAGTTCAGCTCCCCTGTTATGCTGCTCCTCCCATCAGGCAGTGTCTCCAAAGTTTTAGCCGATATCTGCTTCCACCTTGGTTCTAGTCATGCCTTCTAGAGCAACAGAGAACACGTCAATAATAATAATAATAATAATAATAATAATAATAATAATAATATATTATTTATACCCCGCCCATCTGGCTGGGCTTCCCCAGCCACTCTGGGCTGCTTCCAGAAAATATTAAAATACTGTAATACATCAAACATTAAAAGCTTCCCTAAACAGGGCTGCCTTCAGATGTCTTCTAAAAGTCTGGTAGTTATTGTTCTCTTTGACATCTGGTGGGAGGGCATTCCACAGGGCGGGTGCCACTACTGAGAAGGCCCTCTGCCTGGTTCCCTGTAACTTGGCTTCTCGCAGGGAGGGAACCGCCAGAAGGCGTTCGGTGCTGGACCTCAGTGTCCGGGTAAAACGATGGGGGTGGAGACGCTCCTTCAGATATACTGGACCGAGGCCGTTTAGGGCTTTAAAGGTCAGCACCAACACTTTGAATTGTGCTCGGAAACGTACTGGGAGCCAATGTAGGTCTTTCAAGACCGGTGTTATATGGTCTCGGCAGCCGCTCCCAGTCACCAGTCTGGCTGCCGCGTTCTGGATTAGTTGTAGTTTCCGGGCCACCTTCAAAGGTAGCCCCACGTAGTCCCATCCTCGAGAAGAGCTCAGGGATGAACAGAGCCAAACATAGCGGGCACAGCTTTTGCGCGTTTCCTTTGAAAAATGCAGGTTTTATTCATAACATAAACTCAGAGTTGACCGGTGTCCATTGGAAATGGTAGGGCAACAGGCAGGGAGCCCAACAGCAGGTGGCGCCATAGCCAAGCAATTCAAGTTTTGTTCCCATCCTCCTCCTCTCTGCAAGGGCAACGCTGAGACTAAGGAGGAGGAGGGAGCTGATGGGCAGTGCCACCCTCTGGGCTGGTTGTAAGTAAGATGGCAGAGAGGTTGGGGTTGGCTGAGCTAAGAATGAGGGTGATGAGGCGGTGCCCTATTTTCCCTAATGGACCAGCCTATGCTAGTTGGAAAAAGAAGGGCTAGAGAGGAGAGGTTGACCACAGAGAAGGGGAATAACTAGAGCACAATCTCAAAAATGGCTTGTTGTTGTTTAGTCATTTAGTCGTGTCCGACTCTTCGTGACCCCCTGGACCAGAGCACGCCAGGCACTCCTGTCTTCCACTGCCTCCCGCAGTTTGGTCAAACTCATGCTGGTAGCTTCGAGAACACTGTCCAACCATCTCATCCTCTGTCGTCCCCTTTTCCTTGTGCTCTCCATCTTTCCCAACATCAGGGTCTTTTCCAGGGAGTCGTCTCTTCTCATGAGGTGGCCAAAGTATTGGAGTCTCAGCTTCAGGATCTGTCCTTCCAGTGAGCACTCAAGGCTGATTTCCTTACAAAGCAGTGATCCATGAAGGGGAAAAATGGCTAGAGTTTTCTAAATGATCAGATAGCAGCAAAAAAAGGGCATTTACTCATGGGAAACTATGGCGCTACATCCATAATGTTTGATGTATTACAGTATTTTAATATTTTTTTGGAAGCCGCCCAGAGTTGCTGGGGAAGCCCAGCCAGATGGGTGGGGTATAAATAACAAAAAATTATTATTATTTTTTTTTAAATCAAGATTGCTAAGGTTTCGAAAAATAAAAAAAAATGTTTTATACTGAATCAGACAGCTGGTCCATCTAGTTCAGTATTGTCTACCCTGACTGGCAGCAGCTTGCCAGGGTTTCAGACAGCATTCTCCCCCAGCCCCAACTGGAGATGCCATTGGGGATTAACCCTGGGACCTTCTGCCACTGAGTCACAAAGGTCTTCTAAATATGAAGCAGGGTTCCAGTCCTTGGGGTTCTGAATTAAGGGCTGGTTTAAAGAGGAATGTTAGGAAGCTGCCTTCCTGGATGGCAGCTTGATCCCTCTTCCTTGAACCCATCTAACTCGGTATTGATCACACTCGCTGGCAGCAGCTCCCTCTAGGATTTCAGAAAGGGTAAAATTCCTAACTTTTCCTGGAGATGCCAGGGATTGAACCCGGAGCCTTCTGCATGAAAAGCAGATGTTCCACTTCTAAGTTGGGCCCTTCCCGATATCCCATTGTGTTTGTAGGCCAACTCTGACTTCCTCTGCTTCAGGCATCCCTTCCCACCCAACCAACCTGCAATATGAGTACCATAACACTGGCATGAAAATGCAACTGTTGTGCAGATTATGGAGATGTGCGACGCACAGTGCGCTCCGAATGCTCCAACAGTAGCGTATACCGTATTTTTCGCTCCATAAGACGCACTTTTTTCTTCCTAAAAAGTAAGGGGAAATGTCTGTGCGTCTTACGGAGCGAATGCATGGTCCCTGGAGCCGAATTGCCCAGGGGTAAAAAGCAGATCATGCTTTTTTTTTTTTTTTTGAAAGAGGGAAGTGGGTGTTGAAACAAAGCCGCTGATCATTTGCCGATCAGGGAGAGAGATAAGGGATGCTAGAGATAAAGGAGGCCGCCTGGGAGTGGGGAGGTAAAGACAGCAAACTTGCAAAGGGGGAAACAGGAAGGCTAAAGCAATAAGGAGAGAAATTAGAAGAAAAGGAGGAGCAAAAAACTGCTCCAGCTAAGGAAAAGACACTAAGGCAAACAAGAGGGAAGGGCGTGTTGAAAGGAAACAGCTGATCAGTGGGATTGGAAGAGAGATAAGGGACACTAGCAGAGGCTGCCTGGGAGGGGGGAGGTAAAAGCCCATGGATCCTCAGGATTTTTGCATTGGGTCACCTCAAATTCACCATCAGATCACATGTCTGTGGCCACAGCAAGAACCACAAAAATCATACATCCACTGTTTCGTTCAAAATATTTTTTTTCTTGTTTTCATCCTCTAAAAACTAGGTGCGTCTTATGGAGCGAAAAATACGGTAAATGCAAGGTCTGATAACTGCTTTTCAAAGGAAACCAAAGGGCCACCAGGGTCATCTCCCTACCTGTTAAGGAGACCATGAAGCCTTCAAATTCGCAGGTCGCCTGGCCAAAGATAAAGAAGCCGTGGGCATTGTTTACGAAGCTGATGGTGCTCCCAAATAAGGTGACCAAGAGATCAGCCACGGCCAGGTTCACCAGGACGTAGTTCAAAGGAGAGCGGAGCTTCTTGAACTGGACAGAGACCACAATCACCAAGCCATTCACCAAGGTGGCCGAGATGACCACCAGCCCCATGAGGACAGCCACTGATATGTAGGTGCTCTGTGGGGCCACGTAGGGCCATTGCGGCCCCTCAAAAGGGCCTGGGGTCCTGTTTCTCACCTCAACCCATGAAGCGTTTGAAACTTGCATTTCTTCTACTGGGGACGGAGATCGGGAGAGGCTGAGCATGCAATCGACTCCCTCGAAGGGCTGCTTGCTCCCTTTATAAGCCCACAGGTGTGTTAGGAATTTGGAGCTGATCCCGGGCATTAAGGCACCTTAAGCTTTCTTAAGTCCAGGTCTCAATAATCAGCTCACCATCCAAAAAGGAGATGAAGTTCAATAGCTGCTTATATACGACTGTCAAGAAGCTGCTCCATTTAACTGAGTGGGATTTTCTTTTATGCTGGCTCAGTGTTTCGATGCTTAGTTTAAATGGCTGAAGTGTGTGTGTGTGTGTGTGTGTGTGTGTGTGTGTGAGAACCAGGCGAGGCAATTGTGGCCCTCCAAGCACCTCTGTCTGGCCCTCAGAACCCTCCCTGGACCATACCTCACAGGTCCTGCTTTGCATCCTTCTTGATTTTTTTGGCCTCACTTGGCTATATCCTTGAACTCCAATAATGCCCTTTGCTTGTTTGAATGGGGGATAGAGAATGTGTGGCAAAATTCACAATCCTTACTCCACCCACTTCTGTTTATAGTCCCACCCACCACTGACTCGTCTGCCCCGGAAACTCACCTAGAAAATAACTCAGCTGAACAAGTCCACCCCCAATACAACACACATGGGTGGCGCTGTGGGTTAAACCACAGAGCCTAGGGCTTGCCGATCAGAAGGTCGGTGGTTCGAATCCCCGTGACGGGGTGAGCTCCCGTTGCTCGGTCCCTGCTCCTGCCAACCTAGCAGTTCGAAAGCACGTCAAAGTGCAAGTAGATAAATAGGTACCGCTCTGGCGGGAAGGTAAACGGCGCTTCCATGCGCTGCTCTGGTTCGCCAGAAGCGGCTTAGTCATGCTGGCCACATGACCTGGAGGCTGTCTGTGTACAAACGCCGGCTCCCTCGGCCTATAGAGCGAGATGAGCGTCGCAACCCTAGAGTTGGCCATGACTGGACCTAATGGTCAGGGGTCCCTTTACCTTTAATTCTCACTCAGCGCTATTTTTCTAGAAAAAGAGGTACCCCAACTCACCATGGACACCTCCCTCGTTCTCTTATAATGGCAGCAGTGACCACCTGAGAGGTGGTGAGTTCTGGTGAGTTCCAACTGGAAAAAAGCAGCCTTCTTTTACTTCAAAGTAAGCAAGCTTAGTTTATAAGATGGGACGTGGGTTTAAGTTAACTAACAAGTTTAAGTATAGCTCTGTTGCAGGTGTTTCTGTTAGATCAAGGTCCTCTGGCTTGATGGATGTGCATGTATATTTTAAGGAACTGAACAGGGTGAAAGATTATGAATCGCTGGGGAAGTGTGTGTGAACTTCATATTGTCCAACTTATTTTTTAGTTGTTATTTTTTAAATATTGCCTTGTAGAGTATGAATGCCTTATTGATTTGTCAATCATCTGACTCACGCTGTAATTGTGATGTTTCGCTTATTCTTTAGCTGCTGGTTTGCTAACAGTACTTAATAGATTGTGATTGTTTTACTGATGGTTTGTTAATTATATGATGTGATTTATGCTGCCCTTGTGACGCTCTGTCATGTTATTTATTGTTTGTGAGCCGCTTTGGGATTCATTTGAATGCGAAACGGCACAGAAATGCAATCAAATCATTCAACTTCCAAAATGAAACTTTTCCATCATTTTTTTTATTATTCATTTGCGGTTCTATTTATAAAGATTAAACAAATCTGACCAAAAAGTACATATAGTAATACTGAAATACAAAATTGATCTGTGGGGAAGCAGCCCAGAGGACATGTTTCTGCGGCCAACTCACTGTAGCAAAACATTGGTATCAAACATCTAACAAGTCTTTTGCATGACAACCACTAACTTGACATGCAGTAGTTTTTGTTTTAAATATATATATATATATATTTATATATATTTATATATACCGTATAATATATATTTTAATTTACATATGTACAGAGTCCAGGTAAAAAAAGGCTTTTGATAGAAAACGAAAAGGATCATGTACCCACGGAAATCAGCAGGAAGGTGCGTGTGATCATATTGAGACACTGAAAACAGCTTATCTTTGAGATTTGATTTTTTTTTAAAGGCATACAACTTGGCTGTTCCATGGGCCTCTTTACAAGTGATGTTGTTTCTGTACCTAGGAAAAATATTCTGTGGAGGGAAGTTATCCGGCACACCATCACCATAGAAGCGTGGTGGAAATATTTATTTTGCCCTATGCGGAAGAGTCACGTTGATGATGCAGACAGTGTGAAAAACGTCCCTGAAAGCCTTGGGTGTGTGTATGTGAAAATGCTTTCTTTTTTTTAAACAGGGGACTGCGATGCAAAGTCTACAACAGGCAGCTGTCTGCAAATGCCCCTTTTCTGCTTTTTCCCAACAGCAATAAGCAACGATGGGAAAACACACGAGAGGTATCTGAATGTGCCTCTGAAACGCTTTCTCCAAACAGCTCATCGATTCAAAGTGCCAGATATTGCCTTTTCAAGTGCTTTCTGGAACACAACAGAAAATGATCTCCGCAGAACCACCTGATGAAAATTGGCCACAATTTTGTTCACTGTCCGCTAAGAGAGCTTGAGGCTGAAAATGACTCCGTGAATGGTGATTTCCTGGATATGGCAGTTATTAAAGCATTGTTTGTGGCTGGGGAGGCGGAGAAGCCATTTTTAATGGAAGAATCCAGCTGATTGCAGAAAACATCTTTCCTTGTGCAAAATGAAATATACCTAGTTGGGTAACAAGTGCAGGACGGAGGTGTTAAGGAAAATTGGCAAGGCTTCCCCTGGAATACAAAATGTTGCAGAGAGATTTTGTCTGCAATCAGCATTTGGCTTATTTGATCCACAAACAACAGTAGTTTTAAACCATGATGGCAGGAAGTGCTTTTTGCACTTCCTGTTTCCCAAGTACATGAGTCTTGCCCATGGGAGCGACATCTGAAAAGCATAAGTTTTTGTGGATTAGTATGCAAATAACTTCTTACAAATGGTGCTAAATCTGTAAACTAATCTCCCAGGATCCATAAAGGCATTGGGTTGTCTCCAACTATCTACTCAGTGTAGGACCATTGAATTGAGTAGACCTACAGTAGCTGTGATTTCAATGGACCTACTCTGAGCAGGACTAGGGATGACTGGGTCTGTTAATTTCTGTTTCTCTTTCTTGGAGCCTTTGCTTCTCCAGATTTCTGCATCAGTTTGCAATTTATTTATTTTTTTTAAAAAGTCTGCAGGAAAATTCACCAGCATCTTAGTGCAAATTCCTCCCTAACATACATGTTTTTGTATGCAATTTTGCCTGATAAACACATTTTATAACTTATTTTCACTAACATATGCGGTGCTGTGCACGCATTTTCCTAATATATATATTATTTGATTGGAGAACTGCGTTGTGAAATTCAGAGAACTGTGAATTTTGAAGGACAGCTGCATTTCAGTTTGCATATTGTTTCTGAAAGCGCGGATCAGAGAGAATCTCCGTAAAATTTGAACGGAACCGAATTTCTCCTCCGTCCCTAATTATGACTACCTTTGGATACAAGCCATGAGATATGAGTTTGATGGTCTTCTGCAATGACTTCACATGAAAACAACTCAGAACCTACTCACCCTCAAAAAAGACGTTTGCACATGAAAGAAAGCATAAAACTGATACAGAGAATAATTCTATTCTCTTTTAACTAGAGAGTCTATATTGTGCTAATAGAAGAATAATTCTTTTTTTGAAGAAGCCCAGCAGACCTGGGGTTTTTTGACATGTATTGACACTTATGGAAGTCAGTGCTGGTCTTTGAATTCAGCTGCAGGCTGGACTTCCCAGCTCGAATGAAAACCATTTGCGGTCTCCGAGCTCCAGAAGGATCTGCCCTAGACTTCTGTCTTGCAAAAGACTCTGGTGAGTTGCTGAGAGAGAGTGTGTTGTTTGATGCCAGAGAACTGTAGTAGCCAAACAAGGAAGGCATCCAGTTTCTCAGGTGTGTTAGCTGCACAAAAGTCAAGCCTCTGATCTCCCTGCTTGGATAATTCTCTGAAAACCAGCGAGAAGCCTTTGGCAATTCTTCAGCGCCCTCTCTCGTTTTCTCTTAACAGGGAAGAGGCCGAGGAAGATGAGGGTTAAAGAAGGTAGCGGTCGCCTCAGGTGAGTGACACAGCCCTTTGTGTTGTGGGTTGACCGTTTATGTTTTGAGCAGATTGTCAAACACAGCGGCATGGAAGCTGCAGCCCTCGAGACGTTGCGCTCCAACTCCCAGAGCATCTGCTTATCGGGGAGATGTCCCCTAGGTTCAATCCCCAATGATAGGGCTGGGGGAAAAGACTCCCTGCAGGAAACCCCCTACCAGTCCGTGCAGACAATACTGAGCGGAATGGACCAACAGTCTGGGTATAAGGCAGCCTCCTACACTTTTAGCTCCCAGCAGGGCCAGTGGTCTGGGGAGCGATGGGAGTTGGAATCCAAAAGCATCTTGAGGGCCACAGCTTCTTCACCGCTTATCTAGCAGGACGGCTGAAATACTTCAGAGCAAAACTGAAAACTAACCACCCTCTGCCCACCCCCACCCCCAGTCTCCCTCACATACACCGAGGACAGACAACAGCTAGAGATGTCACCGTGTATCTCTTAATTCGGAGATTCAACAAAACACTTTGCATCAGTTACATATTACAAAAAAAACCAAATGAAAAGAGGAAGAGGGAAAACCCCTAACCCATGTATCTATAGATCTATATTACTATATATTTGTGCATTCATGTTGCCACTGTGTTCACAAGGCAGCAAGGACTGAATCCAGAATATCAAAGAAGTCACAGATCTAATGCATGCAGCCCTCTGGACCACCCCACCCACACACACACACACACACACACACACACACACACGCGCACACACACACACAGAGAGAGAGAAAACCAACTTGCTGCAAGAGTAAATTCAAGGCATCCCAGAGAAATCTGTAGGACTGAAGCTTGCAAACAACAGGAAATAACAAGTTGTTGTGGGTTTTTTTTAAGGGGGGCGTGCAGCAGTGTCAAACAGTTCCCTGCAAATTGGCTGTAGCTGGGACCTTCCAAGCAAGGCCCGCCCCCTCTCAATCCTTGCCGACATGGGATCCCTCCCGTGGCATGAAGTAAACAGGAAATCCGAAGGCAGCCGTTGTTTCTTGGCCGGGGTTGTGTGCTATGCTTTTCCCAGGTATCCGGGGTGTGTCTGTGAGGTCAATCGCTGAGGAGGGCCCCCGGAAGCTCGTTTGTGAGCGTGTGCCAGTGCTCAATCTTCTTATCCTTGTTTTTTAAGCAGTCAAACCAGTGCTTCAGGCGCTCCCCTTTGGCATTGATCCCAAGCACCACGCCACCTGAGGGAGACAAATGAGAGACAAATGGGCAGGCAGAGCCTGGTGGCTGTTTATGCATCCCTGCATCCCCCCAAAGGATCAGTACAAAATTTGGATTTGCATCACGGTGTTAAAAGAATTTTAAGGTCCCAACTGTCTTTCCTCACAAATCCTGTCTTAAGGGCACATTCAAGATATGAACAGGGTGTGAGCCTGTGACGTGTGATCTAGATTCAGGAATTCAGTAGTTATAATAACAAAAGAGTGGCCAAAACCCAGATAATGCAATCAGGTAACTTGCCAAACAGGAGATAAACAACGCACTCGGATTTCTGTTGTAGACCGCCTTTTCTGTGATATAGGTATGATGTATTGGGGGAGGTGGTCCTGGGCTACTACACCCCTTCTATGATGTATGTATGATGTTTCGGGGGTATTCTGGAGTTTGAGGGTGGACAATTCCAAAAGTCTATATAAGGGCCAGCATCCCTTTGTTCTGGGTGGTCCTCCTCCTCCCTTCTGCATGTGGGGCAGCACCCTGTTGCAACAGTTAATAAAGATCAGGCTTACTAGCTGCTTTGCTTCTCAATATTCTCTGGCTGGTCTCTGTTATTTCCTCCTACCGATAGAAAACCTAAAAAGAGGACTCTATATGGGCTCTTGGGTACCCCATAAGGGAAAAGGAGCAGTTTTTTCTTATACAGTGGAAGCTTGGGTTGCAAACATGATCCGTGCAGGATGCACATCCGCAACCCACAGCGTCCGCAACCCGCAGTGGCGCATCTGCGCACACGCGGGTTGTGATTTGGCCCGTCGGCGCATGCGCAAAGTGCAATTTAGCGCTTCTGTGCATGCGCAACTGCTGAAACTCAGAAGTAACCCGTTCTGGTACTTCCGATACTTCGGCGGTCCGCAACCCAAAAAAACACAACCTGAAGCGTCTGTAACCCGAGGTATGACTGTATCAATGGTCATTGATAGAAGGGACGCCTAGAGAAGTAAGGGGACATTGTTTCCTGTTGTTCCCCGCCTTCGTTGCAGTTTGTCTTACGCACTGCATCAATTACGCTGACAACACGTCATTGCACCCTGTTCATTTCATATAGTCATAGAACTGCACAGTTGGAAGGGACCCTGTGTTGCAGCCCCCTGCAATGCAGGAATCGCAGCTAAATCATCATTGACAGGCTGCCATCCAACCTCTGCTGAAAAACCTCAAATGAAGAGGCCACCGGCTTCCAAGGCAGTTCGCTCCAATGTCAAACAGCTCTTGCCTTTAAATGCAGTGGAAGCTGGAGAAACATAATCAACCACAGTCAGAAGAGTGTGAGACTCTTAAACTCAGAATCGTGGGTTCACGCAAAAGATTCCTGTATTGCGGGGAATTTGGACTCTCTGACAGTGACAGGTGAGTTGTTTTGCATTTTCACCGGCCATTGTGCTTTGTTGTTTATCTGTTCACCCACAAAATGCAATTAAAAAAGGGAAAGGGGGTGGAGAGAAAGGGATGCACTTAATTAAATTCACAAACTCTGCCCCCTAATCCCACCAGTTTCACCCAAATCATGGTTCACCCCTGTAGCCTTCTAAAAACTGTGTGTATATTGGCTGGGGCTTCCTCTTCTAAGGAGGAAGGAGATAGCTCAGAGTATGAGACTCTTAATCTCAGGGCCACGGGTTCAATTCCCGTGTTGGAACTCCTGAACTGCAGATTCCTGCACTGCTGGGGTTGGTCTAGATGATTCTCGTGGTCCCTTCTGACTCTAGTAAAGGGTAAAGGGACCCCTGACCATTAGGTCCAGTCGTGGCTGACTCTGGGGTTGCGGCGCTCATCTCGCTTTATTGGCCGAGGGAGCCGGCGCACAGCTTCCGGGTCATGTGGCCAGCATGACTAAGCTGCGTCTGGTGAACCAGAGCAGCGCACGGAAACGCCGTTTACCTTCCTGCCAGAGCGGTACCTATTTATCTACTTGCACTTTGACGTGCTTTCGAACTGCTAGGTTGGCAGGAGCAGGGACCAAGCAACGGGAGCTCATCCCGTCGCGGGGATTCGAACCGCCGACCTTCTGATCGGCAAGCCCTAGGCTCAGTGGTTTAACCCACAGCGCCACCCGCGTCCCTTCTTCTAACTCTACAATTCTGCAATTCTGCGAATGGGGGAACAGACCAAAATCTCACCTCCTGGACTAAAAACATGGAACCGAGACATAATTATTCTTCAGTTTTTGTACTTCTCCAAGTTTTGCAACATAGATTCTTGGCTCAGAAGAACTGCACCAGAATGAGTTGCAAAATATGAATTTCAGGGGGGGATGCATACATTGAAATAAACTCTGTATTTAAGATACTATTTTGTGATCAGGTACATACAGGTATGTATTGAAATACAAATTTTTGTATGGATATTTTTTGGTATGGATTTTTTTTAAATTACAGATTAATATGGAAATGGGTTTAAGAATAAACACAGGTGAAATTGCCACGCACTGGGAAATTAAATTGACAAGAGCTGAGCCCTCTATCCCTGGTGGGAAGATACTTAAGTGGGAATCTGTGCAATCTGCTGTAAAGGTCATGCTGAATCCAGGTGACATTTAACAGTCCAGTGCCTTGACAATTAAACTATCAAAGCTTTGCAGATCTCCCTTGGGAACCTCAGACTCACCAATAAAGTCATTTGATTTGCCAATGTCATAGTCCCACACCGTCACCTCTAAGGTCTTCTTCGCCAAGTCACCGTGCTTAATCTCGTAGCAAAATTCCTGCAGCGGAAAGGGATAAACGTGCATTCAGGACGTGTTTCCAAACTTCTCGCTCTTATTGTCCAGCACTCTTTCAATGAAGCAGAGCTGCAAACTTGGTGCACTGGAGAAATTGCAGTTTGCAGGGGGCGCTGGTTAGCAGTGCCAAGTGGGGCTGATGGTGCGAAAGTCTGGGAGCCCAAACAGGAGATGGCGCTAGAGTGTTGGGGACTTTTTAGTTTAGAGACAAGGTAAGAGTCGACCTGATAGAAGTTTTTAATATTTAACAGTGTACTGTTTTTAACACTTGATTGGGAGCCGCCCAGAGTGGCTGGGGAAACTCAGCCAGATGGGCAGGGTATAAATAAATTATTATTATTATTATTATTATTATTATTATTATTATTATTCTAAAATTACGCATGGAATTGAAAAAGTGGATAATTTTATTTTATTTTTTTATCCTTCGTAACGCAAAACTTGGGAACATTCAATGAAGCTGAATGTTGGAAGAATCAGGGCACAGAACAGAAAGTCCTCTTCATGCAGCACATAGTTAATCTGTGGAACTCCCTCCCACAAGGAGGTAGTGATGACCACCAACCTAAGTGGCTTGAAAAGAGGATCAGACAAATTCATGGAGGAGAAGGCTATTGCTGCCTACTAGCCACGGTGGCTCTGCTCTGCTTCCATGGTCAGAGGCAGCAAGCCTTCTGAATACCAGTTGCTGGTGTGATAGGAATTTTGAGGTCTTAGATATATGTTAAATGTTCATAAGTGTACCAACCAAGCACATACATAGATCAGCACAGGAAGACCGACCTGAAACCATTTTGATTCCCAAACTGAGCAAAAGGTCAAAGGAAAATGGAAAAGCCTCTCCATTGTCTTAAGACAATCCTGTCTTAAGATATGATTAGGGTGAGAGGGTAAGGATTTGCTGAACCAACAAACTGAATTGGAATACAAAAAAGGGAGGTATGAGGAGGTCCGGGAAACAAGCTAAAGGAAAATAAGTAATGGAAAATCTGTGTGTTTTTAATTATTTTTATTTTGTATTTTTGTTATTTTTTTCATTTTTATTGTAATATTTTAAAAAAGCTTAATAAATATCTTATATATAAAAAAAAGATATGATTAGGGTGTGAGCCTGTGACCTGGCCCAGGAACTAAGTATTTATCATTACAAAAGACTGGCCAGGCTCCCCAGGCAATCCAATCAAGTGACCATTAAACAGGTAACCTGTCAGACGAGATAAACTCAGATTTCTGCTGTGGACCGCCTTTCCTGTGATGTAGGTATGATGTATCTGGGGGATGGTCTTAGGTTGCACCCCTTCTGTGATGTATGTATGATGTATGGAGGGGTGGCCTTGAGCTCCAGGGCAGGGAATTCAAAATGTCTATATAAGGCCTTGCGCGCCATTGTTCTGGGTTCCTCCTCCCTCCTGCGTGAGAACAGGATGCTGGACTAGACGGGCCAGTGGCCTGACCCAGCACGCTCCTCTTACGTTCTTAAGTTCAGTGTCAAGCAAGGGCCAACTCATTTTCACTTGGTGCCCAGTTTCCTGTCTTCTGAGGAGGAATCTGACA